CCAGTCTCGTTGTAGAAGTTTCTCACATCTCTCACGGTCGTTTTCATTTATTGGCTTTGGATTCTGTTTTCTGCCAAGAGAACCGAGAACCTCAAGTGCTTTATCTCCATATTCCTGAGCCTCTCCCAGCCAGACAATAACACGTCTGGCTTGTGCATAGATCATCCGCATGAGTGGGATCTGCTCGCTCTTTTCATTGTCATCATCCTGCTTGATGCTTATCGCATCAACCCATAGTACTCTTTCTAACTGACTGTCTCGGAGGTGTAACAATGCGGTGTGAAGGCTTTCTGTTATTAAAAACCCACGGCTATTGAGAATAATGGAATGAGATGTGACTGGATTTCCCCAAACATAGGAAAGCGCCTCATAGAGATGCCCCTCGTCGCCTGAGTGTGAGAGGTTGTAGTTGAAAAGTTCGCATCTGATTGGGGCGTCCTTATCCTCGTCTGGCAAAAGGCGGATCATTCGTGTATATGACTTCGGTGGAAGTGGTGAGTAAGTGGAAGAGGGAACAGACATATTTGAACTTTCTTCATGTGTAGAGGACATTTTCCACATGTGTGTAATAAATGCGTATTGGCCCTAGATGATCTCGTCTAGATTCATCAACGAATCTTGTGCAGTTTCACAATGTATTCCACGGGACGTTTCAAACAGGCCAGAAGATGAAGGCAAAAGCGGGGTGGCCTATGAATAGTCACAAGAAAATGTGGGACTGACCCCTTAAGTAAGTCCGAGCCGTGCATGTAACTCCGAAGAGATCAGCTCTTACCCCCACCTTCGACCGGCGACAAAAAACAGCTCTGCTGACATGGATGATCAAGTGGTAAAGACTATGTGTGGTGGAAAACTAAGCGTGTTCTTTCTTTCAAGGCACAATATCTTAATTATCTGGCGCGGCTGAAGGACAAATATTTGCCAGCTCGCCTTTAGCCAGCTACAGCCATATCTGCTATATGATTGGAAGATAAAGATTTCCGAAACGTCCGCCATTACGGCGATCAGCATCTCAGTCTTGGCTTTTTCACCTGCGTGACAAAAGAGAGAAAAGCATTTCTAGGATACTAGAGCTGGTATAATACTACACAGAGAAATACTGCGGCGAGCTCTCAGTCCCTGCACTTTTCTTCAAATCATGTCTACAGCCACGGGTAATAGGATCAGCCGAGGAGCGTGGCCGCGAAGAGAGGTTCGTCGGGCTTACATCGGCCCGAGACCGGGGGTAACAACAAAGCCCGTGTCACGGAGAGTTCTGGCATACAATTCGCAGATAGAGGTGTGTTCAGGTACATACTTCCTGTTGGAATGTATTAGAAGTAATTGACTCGTCGTGGACAACTTGCCCTTAACTGACGCAAGGAAGATAAGGGTACTAATATAGGACACCTATTCCTTAGGTTCCAGACCTACTGGTAGCTCAGAGTCACGTGAAGATACGTTTGGCATGCTCTATCACGTGGCTTGGAAGGATCTGGAACCGCCCCGGCCCGGGCAGGCACCGTGACTGTATCCATGGCACGCTGACGATGCCCCTCCTCACCTCCATGTTCCCATCATACATCGCATGGACTAGTGCCACACGAACAGCATGAGTAGTGCAGCGCATATTGCTTTGCTTGTTATCCTATTTAGCCTGTCAGAAACTGCCCTTGGTCCTCCAAATGGATCATGCGAAGGACCGCTTTTCCCCAGCTAACATTTCATCATTCCCAACAATAGGCTCTTCGGCGGGATATATTGCCTTGATGACGTGGCACTTAGCCCAATAAGTGAAACTGCCTCTCCGGCGCGTTACCTTGCTCCAGGCGAATGCACCCCTTCGTATGCTCCCACTCCTGGAATCTTTAGCCGCGATGGCACCCCGTCCGGAGACAGCCCGTCTCTTAGTCGTGGGCGTCGAAGCTCCAACCCCTTGCGTCATTCGCCGCTTCAGGACTACATTCGAGACACGGAGTGGGATCTTGCAGGAATAGATGGCGGCGAACAATATTTAATGGTCCGATATTTGATTGAATGGAGAGTAACTCTCAACAACCGCATGGTAGCGAAGGACACGGAACAAGATCTGGGTTTGGATCCCAACTCCTACTGGTCAGGAATAAAGCAGAAAGCGGAAGACCTACTACGTCGGAAGATAGCTCATAACCGACAGGTGAGACTAGACGACACTACAGTAGTGGTCTCTGTAAATGATCGCTCACAGCGCGATCTCGTCAAGCGCTTTGAGAAAACTGATGTTGACTGGACAGCTATCCAAAAGCAGCTCACGATGTGGGAAAATCTATTTCAGCAAGGCAAAAGGCTTAGGCTCTGTATCTTGATTAACTATCTAGATTCCGACCAGCCTTCGAATGGCGCTGACAAAAGAGGACAAACCTCAGTGACCAGAAGAATGCTCCATGCACGAGACGCTGAGATTGACGCGGAACAGGTTTCGGGGCAGCCCTCGGCCTGGCGGGACGTGTACATAGTAATGCGCTGTCCTGGCTCCCCGTGCCGCCTCGAGTCGCAATCTTGCTGGCAGGACCCTGTCGGGAAAAAGCATTATAGACTGCGCACACACCATTTAAGGAAGCTGGTTAGGTATGTGGAGCAGGAGGGGGGTGTGGTTGAATGCCATGATGATGTGCCCGACAACATCTGTGAGCAGTTATGTGCCGAGGAGCAGCACGGCTGGAACAACGACAGAAGGTCCCTGGGCATCCTGCAAGTGGATCCCCATTTCCAATCAATATCAATGTCCTCCCCACGCCACCGCCTCGGTCAACGGCTATATCCCCACCTGCTGCTGCGGAACCACCGGCACTCAGTTCCTCACCGCCTAGTAGTTCTATCAATGTCCCCGGTCCGTTGGAAGTAGCAGTAGAGAACTACGCTGCATGGCAACTCTCGCGAGTGAATACTGAAAGCTTCAAGGACAATATTATCAAGGCACGTGATATAGCCTTGAACAATTGCCTTGATCTGAAGCAGATTTACCAAGATCAAGACCCTGGCTTTTTCATTAACCAAGGCGTGAAACTCGGGGCTGCACGCCGGTTTGTCACTGAAATCAATGACTGGGTGCAGGAGATGCAATTGTGATGGCAAAGCTGTACTGTAACATGTAAAATATACTTTTTGTGATGACTCGTGTAGCCGGCTAAGTATCTAATATACTACAATAGCCATACCTGTAAGACGCCTAGTCAACAATGCTGTACGAATCTCTCGCCAAGTAGCCTACTGCACCTTGGAACGTCTCATGTGGATACTCAATAGTCAGCCCTGCATGCCGAAAATGACCCTCTGCACTTTGCTGCTTTGCTCCAACCTTATCAACGCACCACTCTAAGAACGCTGTGAACCCCTGCTCAGTATTATCCTTGTACGACTGCCAATTCCGCCGAATAAAAGCCTTAAGCTCAGCAAAGAACTCCTCTATGGGGTTTAGGTCCGGTGAATAGGGCGGCAAATATACCAACTTGACACTCTTTTCGGAGCACGTCTGCTCTACCTTATCAGAACGGTGAAAGGACGCATTATCCATCACAAGGACAGATTTGGGCTCGGGCCACTTCCCGCAATGCTGAAGTAGTTCTTCAATAAAATCCTCAAAGAATGATGCATCAGTTGAGCCTCGAAAAACTCTAGCAAGTATAATACCGTCCTGTGCGTAAGCAGGGAGTATTTGGTAGCGCTGATCCCGATGAAATCTTGACACCTGAACCGGTGTGGTACCACTCGGAGACCACCCGCTTCTTCGAAAGCCTATTCTTTTGTCACATCCAGACTCGTCCACATAAACCAAGTGGAACGACTGGAATTCCGAAATCAGATGCATATAATCATCACGTAAATCGGCATTTCGTTCTCTCGCTTGCTGCCGACATTCCTTTCTAGACCAGCCGGACTGACGGAGAGCATCACTAATAGTAGACCTCGGCACACGTATGTCAAATTCGTCCAACAGAAAGAGTTCCATTTCGTGCAGGTACAGACCTGGCTTTTCTATCAGATGATCGCAAAGGGCTTCTAGCATTAGTGGAGTTAACTTCCGCGGGCGTCCGCCTTTTATCGGAGGGGATTTGAGAGTGCCAAACAATCGAAGATTGGAGCGGAGTCGGAATATTGCGCGTTTACTGCAATTAGCAGTTTTAGCCATTTGTGATGTGGTTAACGCACCGCTGACCAGCATATCGTGGATGAGGTCAAGCGTCGATTGAGCTAAATTGGGAGCCATTGCGTTGCTTGAATTGCAAGCAGTAACCAAGTGTCAGTACGGTGTTGGTAAGATGTGTCGGGCACGTGGATTATGGGTTAAAGGCACGTGGAGCTTAGTCATTAATACAGTATTTGGTCACGGTATAGATAGTAATTTACCATACAATGGCGGGTTAAAGATTTTCCTGCTGACATCCCAAACATGGTTTAGTGCGGTTTCAGGTCAGGGTTGCTGAACCAATCAAAAAGAGTAAGTAGTGACACCGGTATCCGGACGCACTGTATTAGCCCTCTGCAAGTTTTTAGAACTGAACAAGTACCACTTTCCGAAGACCCTCGCAGCTGCCGGATAAGTGAAGTTCTTGCCTCTGTCATTGACGTGTAACACTTGGACGGTGTAGTTGAAAAGCCAAAGCGCCGGCATAGACAAAAGGTTTGGCAAAACGAGAGCTATAGTTGATAATGCTTGAGAATAGATGTCTCTTTACAAAAATTAGAACGAAGTGGGAAAATTGGAATTCGAAAGGCTTTAACGCTTTTCGGCAAAGACACAGGCCATTATTCTATGTCAATTTGCAGGCGAACGGCAAACACTGGTTTCGCTTCTATCAGTATATATTCGAAGGGAAATAAATGAATAAAGGCAATATTGTCAGGTAACATAGCAGAATACACGAAGATGCATGTTAAGTCAATAGCACCACCGAGAAGTATATGATAACAATTAAAACTGATCAATAGCAATCAAGTGCGTATGAAACCGGATCTTAAAGTGAAGGTTCGAAAGGTGATCATTAGATTGGGCCAAGAGCAGCCAATGGCCGACGTGAGACAATTCCGTGCACTGTCTGCGCATGATTCATTACATGTTTCTTATGCTCCAGCTCTTTGTTACAGATATTGCACGTGAGACGCATGTCCTTGGGGAAGCGCTTGACGTGCTTGTCAACAAAGTGCCTGCTGAGAGATCCCGGAGTAGTATGTTTTCTGAATCGTTCGATTGTGGGGAGCTTGGAATTTGAAACACATAGAAAGCAGATAGTTGGTCTTTCATCCGGAGATTTGACGCAGACTGACGAAATCGCTGATTGAAGCTCTGTTTCGTGCTCAACCACCGCACACGGTTCTTGTCGCTTTGGAGGGGGCGTAGATGGCGGTGTATTGTCAGCACGCCGTTTCTGGGAAACGTTTGGTCGTCTGGTAGGCGACCCCTCTTCCACGTCACAGAAAGCGATAACCGCATTGATCGCGGAGATTCGACGCTGATATTCCTTCTCGACAGTAGAGCCGGGCATGGTGAGAATCGTATCGATCAAGAGCATATGCTGGGGAGTCATATACCCGGTTCGTTCCAGCGCGCACATTACCTCTTCGTCCACCAATTTTCCGGAGAGTTGCCGCTCGCTGTCGATTACTGGCTGCTCGTTCTTGTATCGTTCCAGATTCTCGCGCACCAGGCGATTGCGCTGCCGCTGCCACTCATTTCGAAACTCACGCTGTGCCCGCTGGTATCGCTGGTTTGCCTTCTTGCTCTGTTTCTCACAAGTCTTGACATGTTTCTGTGCCTGGCGACCCGCGCGCGGCAGCTCGTCTGCTGCCCGTCGGAAATTGGAACCGAATCTTTGCAGAAGTTCTCCTTTCGCTGTTTCATAGGCTCGCTTCTTCTCGTCCCGAATCTGTTTACGTCTGCGAACGTGCTCCTGCAAAACACGCACACGAGGTACTTCGTTGACACAGCTGGTGTCGTCGAGCTTGTACGGTCGTCGGGGGTCAATCGACCGGCTCATAGAAGCGGCAAAGCGCATCAACTGCTTTTGGGCCGGTAAACCCCGGACAATGGCCTGGGCGTCGACATGTATGCCCACACTGTAGTGTTTCACAAACGTGTTGATGCTAGCATGCTGTAACATCACATTTTGGACCTCGTTTGTCACGTCCGCTGCTCAAGGGAAGAAGGGTTAGGACTCAAGCGATCCGAGTGAGAAAAAAAAAAAAAAACCCCTAGGCAAGGGAGACTCACGGCTATCATTGAATGCCTTCGCGGCCCCATACCGGAGCCCATAGGGCTTGGTAACTTGTTCAAACCCTGTGATCTCGCCACCGCGCTTCATCCGATATCGCAGTGCTCCGTCCGTCAGTTGTTCCTCCACGACAATCCGGATCCCATCAGCTTCACGCACCGCCTGGCAAAACACAAATCGATCCAGTATTTCCTCTTTGAGTTTCAATTCCTGCTGCCCTAGCCCATCCAGAACGCCGAGATTATATAAATTTTCGGGGCAGTCCACCACCATTCCGTCGGTGGAAAATCTTTTGAACGCTTGAAGGCGGAACAGCATCCCCAAAAGGAATACGTGGGGACTGAGGACCAAGCTCGGGTCGAAGATGATCTCTGGAATGGGGAACGTGTTCCTATTCCACATATTAGTTATTGTTCACCATTCATACAGCGGTCGATCCGCAAGCCTCGGGACTCACTGTTCCTTTTCCCCTAGAAAGGTTTTGGTAAATTCCGGAGTTAGGTAAATAAAGAGTCGAGGCCGTCCTCCTTCGGGATTACGGACCAAAGTCAAGATGAGATCTCGATAGCGCAGATTTAGGAGCGCCCCAGGGCGACTACCGGTGATCGCAGCTAGTTGACAGAAGAGGAGCAGCTGGATCCGGAGCCACCCGCACAGGAATGTCATCTCGGTCGTTGATAGCAACACGCGAGCAAACTCCGCCACGTCTTCGATATACATTGTAGCTTTCGGTCGGCGGCCAAGCTTAAGTTTCTTCTCTTTAGCGACAATTGCTAGCACCTGAATATTATCAGTCAGAGTTCTGGCGCAGTTCTATCGGGCAACACTACCCACATCCAATACTTTGACAATAGTGTCCTTGCTGAGTCCATGTCCAACCTCTGCCTTGTATACCAGATGCCACCACTTCCAAAATGTCTCTAGAGAACTCTTGTACTTCATACCCGCAGTCCGGCGGCCGTTTTTCCCCCGTCGCCGATCACATCGCCAGGAGAAGAGGGCCTTGAGGAAACGAACTGTCTCCTCCGAATCGGACAGCCAGTGAAAACGTTCGATAGGGTCATACTTTCCACCGCGGCAGAATCTAGAGACAAGGTTGTACCATTAGCGTAGCATCGAAGTTAAGAAACGACCGTTCCTCACTGATTCCAGTATTCCCGAGTCTCGTCCAACTTCTCCTGGGTTCTTGGGCTATAGCGTTTCTGTCGGAGCCGCGAGACGTCGAGGCATTCAGCCTCCTGGAGATAGTGTTCAGCGGGGAGTTCCTGCCACTCCTCATCATCCAAGATCGAGTCATCATCAGAGGGATCATCGTCAGATAGGGCATCGCCGCTGTCGGGCTCAGACTCGCTGGCCGATGATGTGCCGGAGGCGTCATCCTCGCCTGAGAAGATAGGTGGTAGGTCGCTTGTCCGGTCACTCTCATCTTCAGATGCGACCGCTTGGGAGAGCCGCATGCCAGGCACGGAGAGTTGAGGGGTGGACGTGTTATAGAATAAGGAAATAGTTCAAGCCGGAGTTGTTTCTCAGCCGTGTTGTCGAAACGGTTAGGGACTGATGGACCGATGGGTGGCAGTCGCTGGAGGAAGGTGCGAGGTGCGAGGGAAGGCCATGATCGCTGGAGGCTTTATAGAATCGGACGGAACCTGGTGGTCGCAGGGGAGCCAAAAACGGCTCCCTCAGGAGCGAAAAAAAGGTGCGGTAGAGCAACGGAAGAGCCCTGCGCCAGCATCATGCGTTCGATGAATGAGGGATCGACGGAGTGGCTAGCGCCAGGGCTAGGTGCCTAGGGGAACGGGGGATGGTGGACGTGGTGGTAGTGGTCGTGGCCGTGGGATTACCTCCACGTGACGCCAAGCTCGGTGATCGTTAGAACGACTCGTAAAACGGCGTCGAAGGTAGCCTTTTACGGCCGCCCTCTAACTGTGTCAACGTTAAATAGAGTATATTTTTAAAATTACCAGCAGGATACTACTTATAGTTATTTTTATTAGAATCTACCTATTTAATGCGGTACTGTAGAGTTTTTATCTATAAATAATTTTTTAAAATCTATTCTACTTTTTACTTAATATAGTTATTAATCTTAATTAAAAAAATCTAATCTAAGATCTATCTAGGCAACAACTCCAAAGTACTATAAAGATAGAGTTTATTAAAATAAAAAATAAAATAAATCTTTATATTATCAGGTAATTAAATTTAGAATATATAACTAATTTTTTTAGTAATAGTTACTAAACTATACTAGTTTTCTAATAATTTCTGGGATAGTTATCTCTAGTACTAATTTCTAGTATCTATATAAATCTTATTATTAATATTAAAATTCACGGGTTGGCGCCATCAGTTAGCTGTATAAATCTAAATTTATTAAATAATTTATATATCTTTTTTTACTAATTCTTATATTTATTCTATATAACAGGCTAGGGCTCAGGCTTACTACTAATTAATAATATCTATAATAAAGATTTAAAATAATATTTAATTAAAAAAGATATAGAACTTATATTTTTATTTAATTATAAAAAATAATAGTCCCGTAGACTCCTGGGATAGAACTATAAAAATAAAATTAATTAATAATAAAAATTCTAACTAGTTATCTTAATAATAATTTATAAAAGAAATAAGTTTTTATACTATATACTAGTTCATAATTTTAGTTTATTTATTAATTTAAAAATAATATATTATTAAAAACTTAAGTTTTATCTGTAGTATACGATATAATTTATTCTAAAATTTTAATATAAACCTTTTTATTTATATAATTTTTATACTTGTTATCTAGACTATTCTAAATTATCTAAATAATTTCCTATATAAATTATAGCTATAGAAAACGATGAATTTACTATAGATTATAATAATAATAATATTTCTCTGACTAAGGGTAGTCAGATCTAAATAAGGAGGTGATATAATAGTAGTCTTATTTAAGATTTTATTTAAGATCTTATTTAGAGTTATATAATTATATTTATTTTATTTACTTTACTATTATTTTTTTTAAGTAAGTACTTATAATATTTCTTATTTTTCTTTTTTCCCCTTTACGCTTAAAGTTCTAGAGTAGTTAGCACCAATACGACCTCATTTTGTTATGTTGAACGGCCGTCTCAGACTAATCCTTAGAGGATTAGTAGTCTAATACTAATAAATATTATTTTATAGTAAGTAAAGAGATCCTAAACTACTACTGATAATCTCATAATTATTATAACTATTCTAGTATGTCACCTGAAAGCCCTGGGTCATACTGACTAGACTACTACAGGACCAGGACATCAGTTAGGCCGGTGCTAATAAGATAAAACCTCCATCTGAACCGTTCTATCACAATTTATTTTACTTATTTATTAATTTAATCAAAATAATACTATAGCTAACAATCTAAAAGATTTTATTAGTAGTAGTTTTAACCATATATATATAAAAAGTAAAAAATATAAAATAATATTTTAAATAAATTATTATTTTAATAGTTCTAGAGTCGAGCATCTAATTGTGTAAGTAATTTAGATATTAGTTTTTTTAAATTATAGTAATAATATTAAAATAAACTAATATAATATAAATATTAAAAAAATTAAAATTAATATTAATTATATTAATTAATAGTATTTTAGATAGTAGTACAGGCGGAATAAATATAATAATTATATTAATTTAAATATTTATAATTATTTTTTTATTTAAGTTTAACAAGTACTTACTTGGAAAATAATTTTTATAATATTTATAAAAAATATATTATATAATATTCTTATTAGTAGTATTAAGTTACTTTTTTTTATATTATATAGAGATATTTATTTAACTTCTATTATAACCACAGGTATTACTATATCTATAGTTATATTTATATCTATAGCTATAACCGCCGCGATCGCTGCCTCAGATATTATTATTAATATTATTAATATTATTTTAAGGCTTGTTATTAACCGCGTATATAATTAGTTAAAAAAATTAATTTTTATATATATACTTAAATTACGTAAATTAAGTATATATAAATAATAGAATTATATTTTCTATTAATATTATATATTAATTTATAATAAATAACTACAAGGCAGGTACATCTTAAATAATTATAAAAAATTATAAAAGTTTAATATAATTATTAATAATTTTAATACCGCGAAGCTTATTAAAAGCGTCTATATAATATATAAAAAAAATCTTTTAACTATTTATATTATTATAGTAAATAAATATCTATTTATTATATAGATAGATAACTATAGTAAAATTAGAGGTTTTATATATTTTTTAAAGAAGAATATATACTTTTAATATAAAGTTATAGTTCTGGAAACACGCTGCGGGACTAGTTTTATATATAATATTAAAAATTATAAATATAAAATAATTTAATTACTTTTACTTCCTACAGTTGGAGTTATATGTAGTAAGTAAAATATAATTATATTATTTAACTTATTTAATACTATGTTCTAGTTCTTATTAAATAGATAAAATATTATTATTACTAGTATAGATAACTAATATATATATATTTTTATCTTTATCTTCAGGATAAAGAACTAGTTTTTCTAGAAAAATATATTTATTCTAGAATAACTCCTACGCGTTTAGATTATATAAATATAAGTAGTTTTATAAGTTTCTTTACTATAATAACCAGTTAGCCTAGCCTTTAAGCTTAGGAATAGCTTTAGAGACATTAATATTAAATAAGTTTTTAAATAGTATTATTATAAATGTTTAACCATGCTACTCGTGTAGTAGGAGGTCTAGTTAATTAGTAAATATTAAATCTAGATACTAAATTAAATAGATTACTGCGGAGGCTTTTCTACCCATAAAACCACATATAATAGTGATTTAAGATGTAAAAAGCCTTAAGGAAGACGCTATTTAATAAATAATATATAAAAATAATAAAAAAGTAATAAGGAAAATAAATATTTAATAATTTATTACTATGAGGGCTCATAACCTGTGACAGTAATATTAATGATATTATATATGTATTGCCTAGCTAACTACGCGAGGAGGAGGTGACTAGGTGGCTAGGTCTGAGATCACGTGATCTCCTTTCACACAGACATCTATTTAAGCTCTAGGATACAACCAATATAAGAACCATCATCGATCCAATCCTATTTCTCCTGCTCCACTCACAACCCCAACTCCATCGACTCCTCCCGTCCATGCCCCCCCACTCCACAGCACCACCGACGGATGAAACAAATTCATGACCACCATCACCAAAAACATCATGGCCGTATCAAATACATACAAAAACACCTCACGCGAAATCAAATACCCACTATTCCCCTGCGCAAACTCAATCAGACGATAGACGGACCGCACCAGGATCAGCCCGCTGACGAGATAACATGCACCCAGTAGACCCCTCCAATCTCTCGGCCAGGGTTTCTGGTGTCGATGCATGGTCTTTTTCGATTCCACGGTGGGAGAGTGATTGATCCGGACGTGGAATGTGAGGGAGGCGATGAGGAATGCTCCGAAGAAGAGAAGTTGCACGCAGAGGCCGCTCACGATTACCCATTGGCCAATTTTCAGACTGTTGCTGGATCCGTGGGACATGATGCCGCCGCCTGGTGGTTGTTAGGTTTGAGTGGTGATTTGACGGTGAGGTGGCTTACCGGCGCCTTGGAGCAGGAAAGAGAGAATATCGCCGGAGACAAAGATCTTGGTCATCCATTGCACTGGGATGACGCTGAGATGCTGCGCGTGGAGAAAGGTGATGATTCGGCCGAGGACCATGTAGATGGAGGCGGCGTATAGGGTGGGTGCCAGCAGGATGAGGAGGGTTTGGACGGCATAGAGGGTAGTTGAAGTGGTGTGAAAATGGGCGTCGGCGCGGGCTGCATAGCCGATGATCTGGACTGGATTGAGTCAGATGCGTTTCATGGAAGGTGCACATGCAGCGAGACTTACAGAACCCTCCGACGATGAACGGGTTGAAGTATTTGGCGTGGGTGCGGATGCGTTGGATGAAGTGGACGGCAGTAGTTGCGGAGAAGAGAATGGCAAAGGTCACTGCACCTCCGAGACTCGGGACATAGTCGTATAAGACATAGGTGGTGCTGGAAGTCGTCATGGCGGCGGAGGTTGGCAACGAAGGTAGCTAATGAGTAGGCAGTCTATTGCGGTCTCGAGATTCAGTTAATCGCAAATCTCATGTTTAACCTGCTGCCCTGGATTTATATATGATTGATGACTTGGAAGTAAAATTCTTTCGGTGCATCGTGTTCATGTCTATTCTAGGCACCGGCACATCAACATGACATCTAGATGTCGCGAGCCACGTTTAGGCAGTAACTTTCTCTGGTTCATCCATTGAGATGTTCTATCTTGTTGCCGCCGCTAAGCTTTGACACTTATCCCAGCCAAGCGATGTCTGGGTCTGGATGGACCCGATTAGGGTTGGACACATCCGAACCCGAACACGAACCCGATAGTCTGACCCACTGATCAGCCATCAGCCGTCAATCCGATTCAGGATCGAGATACGCAGTACGAGACGCAAGCCTCTCGTCTTAGGCTCCAGGCTGTGGGTCAAGGTTCGCGCCACAATCACTGCCGATCTTGAATAAGGAGGCCTGATGAAACCAGCTCTTCGCCCTGCAGGGGCCAGAGCATTACAATCAACGAGGCTAAAATAGCCGTTCTTCTCCACCTTTGTGAAGAGATGAATTTGGTTCTCTCTTGTGTCTGCAACTACCTTCCCTCATTACACCCTAACTGCAGGAATGGCCGACAAACCAGAGAAATTCCCCCAGGACAATCAACATGCAGCCGATATCTCCGAACCCCCTCCCGCATACTCGCCCCCGGCCTACTCGACTGTCTCTTCCGAGGTCTCCTTGTGGACGGTAGAGCCGGATTTCGCGCCGTATTTCACCAATGAATCTCACAAAGGGGACAATGTTGCCAGCGCTGACGGTATGCTCTCCTTGACTATGCGTCATTCGGGTGGAAATTGGCTAAATCTGGTCAGACAATGTAACTTTCGACACTCATATCGGCCTCGGGCCACGCACGTCTGCATTTATTCAGGCCTTTATGCGACTGAGATTGCAACCCCGGCTGGTCCACGTTGGAACCGACTCGACGTCGCTGCAAGGGAACGATACATCGATTCCGGAGATACCAGTTGGCTTCACGGCTGCGCCGATGGACATTGTGATTATGGTGGTCGGGGGTACGGACGATAAGATCCCGCTTCGCAGCTCGAGTATGGGAGACCACTGACCGTCTGTAGAGAATGTCGACCCCTTTATTCTCATCGCAAAACGGCTCCATTTGGAATCACATAGAGTCCGGATCGCTGCGCACGCGTCATGCGAACGATCGGTCAGGAGTCACGGACTTGATTTCTTCGCCATTAGTCACGATTTGATCCATCCTATGGTAGGCTCGCATGTATGCACCAGAACTTGGGTTACTGACGAACAACTAGAGCATCCATAGCGCAGACTCAGCATATAGTAGGGGTGAAGATCTGCAACAACTCCGACAATCGCTCTTCGAAAGCTACCACAGCTGCTGGAGGGCATGTATTGCCACATACCGGCGTGACCCGCGACCGTTCCTGGCCGATGCGATCATTGCAAGTCCGTTGGCACACGCGCATATACATTGCGCACAGCGTCTATCGATCCCGTTGCATATCATGTCGACGATGTTGTGGAGTTCCACTCGGGAATTCCCGCATCCGCTGGCTCAGGTTGACGGGTGTGAAGAGGTGGATGAGAGGATGTCGAACCTCCTCTCTTATGCGCTTGTTGAGGAGTCGATATGAAACGTGTAAGTGGGAGACGAGAGACGTGGGCGACAGTCCTGATAATCGTGTTTTCTTGCAGTATCATAGAACCGATCAACCGGTTTCGGCAACAGGTTTTGGGCTTCCAGGGCATTTCTTCGGCTATTGGGGGAAGATTGCTGGTCGATCAGGAGATTCCTCATACGTATCTTTGCTCTGAAGTGCTGATTCCACGGCCAAAGGATTGGAGTAGCATGATAGGTAATACCAGTTGGTCTGATGCTAGGTAACCAATACTGACATTGGCAGAAATATCCGGCTATCTTTTCGAGGATGAACCAGCGCCCTACAAGCCAGCAAAGGACCTCGAGAACTTTGTCCAGTCAGGCCCATCCCCAATCTACTTGAACCTGCGAGGGGAGGGAATGGAAAGTCCCGACATCCTCGCGAAATCAATCCAAGACACCGTCTTACAACAAGGCTTCCGTGTCATTCTGTCCGGAGGCTGTCGAGACCTTGGACCGCTGTTCGACAACCCTCATGTCTTCTCCGCCGAGAAAATTCCCCATGGTGCGTAAGGCGAACCCTTGATGGATCCCATCTAATATAAACCACAGAGTGGCTATTACCCAGAGTCTCTGTCATCGTCCACCATGGAAACTCAGATGACACCGCCTCAGCCTTGCGACATGGGACGCCTAGTGTGGTGATCCCGCACTCAGGAGAGTAAGTCTCACCTACCGATGCTAGAAGCTCAGACCATTAAGATCTTAAAGACAGCTATCCCGCGGCATCGCCATCTCCAAAATCGGAGCCGCCGCCGCACCACTTCTCGCCAAGATGCTCTCCTCAGAGTCCCTCTCCCAGGCCATAGCATTCTGCCTACGGCCAGACATTCAACAATCCACCCAAGCCGTCCGGAATCGCGTGATAGAAGAAAATGGCCTCGATACGACCATCCAGTCATTCTACCGCTGGCTGCCGTCGCCGATTCAAAAATGCAGCATCACCCAGCAAGATCTCGCCATGTATCATATCTGGAATAAGCCATCGATCATCATATCCCCTGAAGCCGCTGCAGTGTTGTTAGAAGAGCGACGGATCAAGAAATCCGATATCGTACTGTACGGCATCCACCAGGTACTCACAACCGGCCACTAAACCGAGCTTAGAATCCAGCGGAGATCCTACATCATCGAATGCGATAAGCTAGCAGCCCTCCACGGTACGGCCAGGGATTACTGGGATGGGGTCACCCACGCAGCAAAGAGGATCGCTACCTCCTCGGATTTAATCAGTACGTTACCGGGGCTGCAGCGAAAGGTAATCCCCATTGCGTAGCATGTCACAGTCACGCAGCTTACTGACCTAACCCAGACAAACTCAAGCTCTTCATCGGATGAGAGTGGGAACAACTCCAAAGACAAACGCAATCTAGCCAAGGATGTGGGCATCAGCACGGCGAGGTTCTTTGGCCATATTGCTCTGCTCCCGTTTACGAGTAAGTCTGTGCCGCCCTGTTTCTTTCCTTTCTTCTCTTTCTCCAATTGAGAAAGTTGCTAATGTATTATCTACAGCCACCGCGTTAGTCGTCAACTCCGTGACCTACGGAGTCAAAGCCGCCGCGGGCGACAGCCCACACAATCTTGGTCCATCCCATCCCCCTGGAAATAGGGCTATCGGTCCCTCAACAAGAAGGTTCACTCCCCCCGACCAGACGACAGGAAAGAGGGTTCCCTCATCGTCGCGCACCTCCCACGCTAGCCAGATTCAAGTGCGGGATGAGGAACATGTGCAGGCTATTTGTCGTCGACATCTGGAGCGGGGGTATCAAAGCCCGAAGCGCAGACATGCGGAGTTTCGGGAGATGGTGCGGGATCGATACCAGGGTTTGGCGGGGGATTGTTGAGAGGAATAGGATGACTTTGGTATGGGTGTCGAGGTACTGGTAATAGATTGGGGATCAGACATAATTTGAATTAGAGCAGGAGGTGAAATCTACTAGAGACGATTGTGATAATGTTATGAATGCAGCAGTTATGGTAAACCTTCCAAAAGTATCTCCGGCTACAGGAGTGCGTGGATGGATTGAGATAGACTTTAATCACGGAATCTTCCCAAAACATATTCATTCCGTGTGAATGAACACAGTCGGTGGCGGTAGGTAGCCGCATGGTAGGTATAATTACCAGTGAGGGATTCCTATAACTTGGAAAGTCCCCTTCTGCTAGGTGAGTAATATTGCTTACTGGATAACGCAGATATAGTCTCTAGTTAGGTACCAGTGTATGAAGCTGTCAACTGAGATGATAGATCTATTCTTGAGGAGGTATCAAAACAGACAGATATCCAATCTAAGATCAAATTATCCACATCCTCTTCAAGCTAGCAGATAAAAAAGCACCATACCCGACCCAGTGGCCACGATGGGTTCCCAAGGCATGAATCCCCACCACAACCTTACTCACCCTTGTGAAGCTCAACCCCCGAGTTTAAGTCCCCCCCCCAATTCAACCGCGTAAACGTCCCCAACGGATCATACCTCCCGCGAATCTCCCTCATGCGCTGCACATTCTCCGCCGGGAACCCCGCAAACGCATCCTGCCATTCGCCCGCATCACCCATGTAGATAAAATCCCTCGCTAGGCCGTTTTGCTGATTAATCCCGTGGAGATGTTCAGTCAGTTGGCGGATACATGTCTCGACGCGGAGATCGTCTTCGGCGTTGACCCAGCCGGTGCTGAATTGCCACCCTATATGTAGTATTTTTGTTAGATGGTGGAGTGGGTTTATGGGGCGGGGGGAGGGGGATAGGGATAGGATGGGCTCATAAATTAAAGGCTCATCATCTAGACCCCAGACGTTACCGATTCCGTTGGTTTGGGCGACTCGGGCTGCGCTGCCCGGGGAGATGTTCAGCACGAAGGTCGGGTAGAGGCCGGCGATGTCGGCGATTTGGTCGATGGCGGTTTTCCACGCTTGGTACATGGTGTAGAGGACGGTGGGGTCGGGGGACATGGCGTGCATGCCGAACATTACGTTGTTGCTGGGGTTAGAGGGGGTGGTATTTAGTGGGTGGTGGGTGGGGAGGGGATGTACCGGAACATTTGCTTGGGCGTATCCAAACTTGAAGCCTATTGCTTGGAGGTCGTGACGTTGTTGATCTTGGTCATGCCGGGGCTGACGTCGATGGTGTCGTGGTGGACTTGGTAGTCGTTCATGTTGTTGAAGGCTAGGAGGACACGCCTGGTGGATTTGTTAGCGAGGGACAGGGGCTGTGTATGTGACCTACATTCATGTGTCCGCCTCCGCGCACAGCAAACTGCGCTTCGCCGGTGGTAAACACGGACACCGCATCAGCCACCTCGTCTGCTGAGGTAGGGAGAAAGATGCACGCCGGGTCCAGGCCATGGAACCTCGTTGCCTTGAGTTCTCCATCTCGCACGACCGGCTGTCCATGATGATGTCTGATCATCTTCCATGGTTTGATGGTATTCGTCTGGATCGGCAACATGGGAGCCTGTTGCAATCTCCAGTCGTGATGAAATGTGAACGAGTTTAGGGTTCCGGTGAGATGATCGGCGGGTGGAGTGAGACGCGTAGCTCGGGTTCAGATTGCAGTGGGATTGCCAACAGCATACCCCTTGACTCTAGGAAGTTTTGCGTATGATGCCTGAGGATTAGACAGCACATTACTGGACGAGGCATTGCTGGGTTCTACTAACCTACATTGATAAATTGGTAAGGCGCTACCTTTTTTGAATATTTGTATGACTTTTCGCTGTTGAATGTGACTTCAACTATATAGAACGTAGTGTTGAGCCGTAGAAGGTGGTAAATGAATTCGTGAATATCATTGCTCGATTTCTCAAATACGAATACAAGATCTGCCCGGAAGTGGTATCTCGAATAGATACCATTGCAAACAACGTCATCAATAACAAGCTTCAACACCTCCACCTCAGCCTCAAGCCCTATATCTGCCATCCGGATCATCCACATTGCCTGACTCCGTAAGCTGATAATCAGCATTGGCCATCGGTCCCCAACAGCTCTTCCGCTTCGCAGTCAATTCATGACACCGACCCGGCAAATACCAGATCGCCCATGCCCCCAACACCACCGCCATCTGATAGATATCAAACGCATACGCCGGCCACTCCGTCGCACTCATAAAGTTATCCGACGTCGCACTCAGCTGCGTCAATTGAACCACATTATGTCCCATCGCAATAATCGAAATCGCCAGCCCCACCAACTGGTTCCAACGTTTCCAGTTCGGAATCACCTCCAAACACTCTTTAGTCGGATCGCGACCCAGCCGGATTGTCATGACCAGATTCTCAACGAAGATGAAAACCCAGAACAGCAACTGGATCACGAAGCCGGCTTTTGTGAGCGTCGTTCCCAGTTGGAGTTTGTTCGTGGCTGTCGCGGTGACTTTCATGACTACTCCCACGCTGAGCAGCAGGAAAAGAATGGCATTGAGGGTGAAGTAGAGGGGTCGGGCGATGCGCGGTTTGATGAACACTTTCTTCTCGGCCCCGAGACCCTTGACGAACTCCACGCCCGTCAGATTGACGGTGAACATGATCAGGGCTGGGCCCCAGATCAGGAATACGTATTGTGCGGCCCATGCGCCTTGGTTGGATTGGTCGTGGGCGGAGAGGATGCGCGCACCGCAACCCATGGCTTGGACTGGGAATCTTAGTGCGGTGGGCCAGAACAAGAAGAGTATGATTCTTACAGAGGCTACCAAGGACCATGAACGTTCCGTCCCAGGCCCTGGTGGAAATCAGGCGCAGGGCATGCGTTGCGGCTAGTGTGCAGTAGATGCCAACTCCAATGATGGCGGGGATGGCGCTTGGTGTGTAGGCATAGTAGGCTGTCATGGTGGCAAGCAGATAAAGAGAACAAATGGCTCAAATCCAATCAAGATTGTGTTGTAGTCTTGCGGCTGGGGGATATTTGGCATGGCATGTCACCAACGTAGCAGATCAGGTTCAAGTTATAGACAGTTGGTTGATCTGCGGACACCACTGTAGCATCGCCATCGTCTCATCGTGGCGGTCGAGACACCGCGTGGCTATTTTCAGCCATAGGCAACCATGAAACCTTGACTGGAGCTGAGGCTGGTGAGGTTGTCGGATGGAGAACAACGCAGGGGGCAGAAAACCCTAGCAAGACCCACCTCAGGATCCGAACCCGACCCGCTGGAGGATTGTCACCGGCAATTAGCCATGGTCTATCTTGAGAAATTTTGAAGATAATCATTTAGGCTTCCTTGTGTTGGAGTATGAAGCTGGATTGGATGATACGAGTTGAAGCTATAGTATGCGTGCTGGTCATTGAATCCTGCCTAGTGCTGTTCACTGATAAAGTCATCACCGCTGTCATTGTATGCTGCCAAAATAAGATTTCTGCTGAATGAAGGATGGCTTTACTTCAGCAGAACGAGGTCTCCAGTTGTTACTCATCGAAGGTCTTACCATTGAAAGCAGAAATCGCAGTGAATTCTCGTCAAGTGACTGAAAATAAAACAAGCTTTCGTTTCAACTCACTACATGTACTACTTTGAAACAAAATCATGCACTTGAGATCAAATCCATCAGAGAATCAATAGATAGACCAACTACATCAAGCACCCGGAACAAAAGCAAACATCTTAATCTCAATACTCACCCGAGGTTCACATCCAACCGTCTTCACATCCTCAAACGCAGTATGCGGCACCGCAATGCCACCATTTCCGACCTCCGCGCTATCAAATTGCTTAAAGATCAAGGGCTCCTCCGGGGTCTGCCCACTCAGATAATACCATCGCTGCTGATCCCCGTAGGACAGATGTCCCAGCTCGTTCCATCCATGCGGGAAAATCATTCGCGTGGAGATCCAGTCATGTGTGAGATCCACCGACAACCAGTCACATACCGCCAGCGGATCTTTCCGAATCGTCTTCAAAGGACGCCACACATTGATCACCAAGACGCGACCTTTCTTCACGGTTTCCAGCTCAGTCGGATCCGTGACCAAGCTCTCTAGCTGGTGCCAGGCCCCCGTGATCGAGAAGTCAGAATGCACACTCAAGGCCGGTGCCTGACTCGCCGCCAATCTGTTCTCATCGACGGAAACGCAACGAATGCGGTTCGCAAATGTGAGGGTTCTAGTGGCGCCAGTTCTATACCATCTCCCATTAGCCCCGAATATCGATCCGCATGGTGTCATCGGATCTCACATCTTCCGCACGAGCTCCTCCGACCTCCCGACCAGGAGTTTCTTGATCTCTGCGTCATCCGAGCAATCCCTAAGCTCGGGGACCGCATCTCGGCTGTACTGGAATCCGTTCTTTGCGAGAGTGTATGTAGATTCCTCGCCCCTGATATCGTGGACGAGCACCAAATGCTTCTCCTTCTTCGCCTGCTCAATCGTGCCATATTCATCAGGGGTCATGGTGGTTAAATCCGCGACCTCGTACCGGTTCGCAGTGCGCTTTCGGAATACCAGTTCTGCCCAGACGTCATGTCTCTTGTGCGAAATGGAGTCGGTGCAGGAGGTGGCTTCTGGTAGAAGTGGCATTGTGAAGACGAAGATGGGTGGTTGTAATGACTGGGATGGTAGGGACTGATGTGGTGTGAATCAATATAGGTGGGGATAAATGGACTTATAAGCTATGGCGTGGCAAGTCGATTACAATGGCTGAATGCATTGGTCAGATGGTAAAAAGATGCACAGCTATTGCATAATCCCGTGTACTTCAAACGGCTGCCTGCCGCTTCTCATGTGAAAGGGGTTCCATGCAGCATCCCACCACCTAATATGCACAGGATAGTTCCCGCTATGATCTGCACTTTATTTGGAAGTCTAAGCCAGCTCAATTCAAACAATGGGTGGGGTGGTCTACCACACTTCGCAACCCATACTCAGGCCGATCTACGAGTGGATCCAGTCGGCTTCGGGTTCGTGTTCGGGTTCGGAATTGTAATGTAATGGAATAAGCCAGCCACGTTCACTGATTATGCGTAGTACGAAGCTAGTTGCTTTGATAGATCCCTGATTATGATCGTGGCATGGTTCAACTACTATTCAGATGTCACTGCTGTAGCCTAAACAGGATATCGCTGCACATCGCCAACATCTCTTCCATTGTACAGCAATCCGACTTCACAGATTGATTCCAACACCTCTTATAACGCCAACTGCCCATACCATTTCATAGCCTCTATCTGCGCAAAACGTACACCGCAAACACAACACCTACCGCCGCGAGTATCCCGACCCACCGAATCAACCCCCGCCGAATATGCTGCTTCGCCGTCCGATTGATCGCCTCAGAGTCATTGATGCGCGGAAATGGTATATCCTTAGGGACTTCCTTCCCCAGAGCCCTGCACAGGGGTCCCCAACCATCCTTCACATCGACGAACACCAGCCGATCCTCCGGAACAATCTCTTTCAACCAAGCGATATGCTTGTGATACGCTGGCCCCGGCCTCCCATGCGTCCCATATACTTTCCGCCATTGCACGGTGATCAAGCTGATATAGTCCACGAAATGTCTCATACCCGGTAGCGGGAGAAGCACCGCCCGTAGGAACCACAACCGCGCTAGATCCTTGACGTGGGTCATACTCTTCTCCCACGCTAACCGGATCGCGGACCGTACATATAACCTTCGCGTTGGGGTACAGGTGCAATAGCTCGGGGACCAATTGGCTGCCCGGGGGCGTCGGTGATGGCGGCATATCCGTCCAGTCGGCGCTCCATGAGGGTGAGAGCTTTCTGGCGGTCGTCGGGCGTTTCGCTTTGGAGGTGCTTCAGGATCGTGATCCATGATTTGATCTCCTCGGGAGGTCCAATGGTGGTTTGCGTACCGCCATGGTAGATGGGGCCGTCGAGAAGGATGTCCAAGGCGGCGCTGAAGGAAGCGGTGCCGGTGCGGGAGAGACCCGCGCCGATGACTTGGATCTTGGTGCCGGGTTGTGGGATAGAGGGGGTTTGACCCATTTTGATCGATTGATGTCTTTTCAGTGGTATATCGAGGCGATTAGATTTGAATGAGAGATTTGGCGCGTAAATGCGTCGAGGGCCTGATCGGAGGTGTCATGAAATCAAGTCAGCATCACGACCAGTGCCACAAACTTTATATATTGCGGGGCGAAGGAGAATCTGATCTTGACCGGTTGATAACAGGGCTGACTTAGCGCCAGGGGTTCAATGGAGGTTCCATCTGGTGCAGACAGGTCCCTAGATGCTTTCCTCCTGCACAAGTTGGTCAAGTTGACAATCGTGTAGATACTACGGAGTAGTTGGTAGTAGTTGATTCGCCGTGGGCTATTCGAGATCCTTGAGTGTTCGGCTCGGTTGAAAAGTAGAAGAGGCGGGTCCTGTTGGATATCCAGCTAGACTGATTGTCCATCTCGACCTGAGTGGGATGCAGGAAGCCGTCTGTCGCTTTGAGAAAAGAGATGACGAGGGAACTGGCAACATGCCAGGTGAGGTATGATCAACAAAAAGAAGGGGAAAAAAGAAGTGCATCATCCGTGAATCGAACACGGGCCTCATCGATGGCAACGATGAATTCTACCACTAGACCAATGATGCTATTGATATGATTGCTGCCCATAACCGATATTATACGGCAGGGCAAAAGGAGACGTGTCAAAAGAGACCTAGCTGCATCCAGCTAGTGTGCAGCAAGTTGATTCATTGAGGCAGACAGAACATCCGGTATGTGGATACCATAAAATATGAAAAAAGACAAAAAATGGAGCTGCGGGGAATCGAACCCCGGACCTCTCCCATGCTAAGGGAATATTATACCACTAAACCACAGCCCCATTTGATGAAAGACTACCCCAGTTTTGTGTAAATGAGCGGGGGCTACAGTGTACGCTGCATCAGTGCTTACTTCTATGTGTAGTACCTCTGCAGCCTTGTTGTTCACTTGAGTTTAGATCAGAGACTGGTTCCCTAGCAAGGTTACTTTCACTATTAATACAGGTTTTCGTTGGCTATGGCATCTTAATCGGTGTGTAAAATCGATGGGCTGGAAATAGTTCAAAAGATAGTCGGCTGTGTGTTCGTCGATATATATTCCTGAGAAATTGTGCACTTATGGACATCTACGGTATAGGACTCCACTCTAACCTATTACCAGGAGGATTAGGATCCAATATACGCCGCTAGGCTCTTTACTGTTCCTTCTACTAGAGGGTACTAATAAGAGTATTAAAATGTTGGTGATATAGACGAATGGCTGTAGCCTCAGGCCTCAGACCGTGACGAGCCCTAATTCCTTGTGCATGCTCACGACAAAGCAACGAATACCAGTTGTGCCTGGTATAACTCCCTATTATACACTATCTACAATGAATCTGACCGTCTATTCATGATGACAATCATGCCACCCCTCCTGGTACCTCAATCCCTAGCAAAGAAATCACGGAACTGCAACGGAACTATACCGGAAATCCAACGGAACTTCAACGGAAACCTAAATTCGGGGAATATCAGCTCCACTGATCTACAAGCCACATTCCTATCACGGTCCGTAAAGGCTAAATCTATGCTTAAGTTTAATCCACTGTCGCTGACGATCGACGGTGAGGGGATGGGTGGCCGATATATCCGATTCAGAGTCATTACTGTCCGCGGTGATGGGATTAAGTCTTGATTCAGCGTGGTGCGAACGTGGTTGTCAACCAATGTTGAATAAAGGAGAATTAGATAATTACAGCTAGGGTATCAAATGGCGTCCAGAGACAAGATACGCTGGCTGCAAAACCCCCACATGAATACCACTGAACAATCTCCAACTATCTCCGATGCCGTGACATCCGGTCACCATGTCTTCATATACACAATAAGGCAAAGATCGACTGATCCTATACTTGCTTACCATCACAGACAACCTGCAAAGCTATATAAAGACCATCTTCCACCACCATCACCACCCATCCCATCACCAAAACCCAAATCCACCCAACCACCATGTCCCCCCTCCCCCAAAAAGTCGCCTTCGTCACCGGCGTCAACGGCATCAGCGGCTACGCCATCGTCGAGCACTTAATCCGCCAACCCAAAGAAGAATGGTACCCCCCCCCTCCTCCCTTCCCAATCCCCTCCCCCCAACCCAACAACCCTAACCACCCACCCACCCACCTAGGAGCAAAATCATCATCACATCCCGCCGCCCCCTCCCAGCCCCCTGGATCGATCCCCGAGTCGAATTCATCGCCGTGGACTTCCTCGCCCCCGTGGAAACCATCATCGTCAAGCTGCAACGTATCTGCGCCCCCGTCACCCACGCCTTCTTCACCTCGTACGTCCACGACGACGATTTCCGCATTCTCAGGGAGAAAAATGTCCCCCTGTTTAGGAATTTTCTGGATGCGCTGGATGCGGTGTGTCCGGCTTTGGAGAGGGTTTGTTTGCAGACGGGGGGGAAGGTATGTTTTTTTTTCTTGGTTGGGGGGGTTGGTTTTGAATATAGGGGGTATTTTGGGTGAGGGTTATGCTAACGGGGTGGTGGATGTTGATAGTACTACGGCGTGCACCTTGGCCCGGTCAAAGTTCCCCTCGAGGAGACCTTCGCGCGATACGACGACCAGGGATATAACTTCTATTATAACCAAGAGGATTATTTGAAAGAGGTCCAAAGTCGACGGAAGGTCTGGTCGTGGAATGTCATTCGGCCGAATGCCATTAATGGGTTTGCGCCGCATGGTGAGATCCCCCACCCCCTTCCCCCTTTCCCCTCGATAGGGAGGAGGAGGGGTCGAATATTCGGCTAACGTTCGGTATAGCAAACGGAATGTCCGAAGCCCTGACCATCGCCATATACATGTTGATCTGTCGGGAACTTGACCAGCCCGCAATGTTCCCCGGAAATGAGTACTTTTGGAACTCGATCGATGATAACTCGTACGCACCAAGTTTGGCCGATCTGACGGTGTGGGCTGCGTCGCAGGAACATTGTAAGGATGAGGCGTTTAATCATGTCAATGGGGATGTGTTTGTGTGGAAGTATATGTGGCAGGATGTGGCGAGGTATTTTGGGGTGGAGGTATGTTGCATCCCCTAGGATTGTATTGACTGGTGAGATATAGGTGGGGAGCTGACTTGCGCAGGTACCAGAACCAAAGTTTGAAAAGGCAGCCGGACAGGCAAAGACCTTGAGTAACGAGATTGATATGGTGGAATGGGCCAAGGATAAGCGGGAGGTGTGGGAGAGGGTGGTTCAGAAGTACGGAGGCAAGGTTGAGGCGTTTGATTGGGGCACTTGGGGCTTCTTTAACTGGGCGACGGGCAAGTCGTGGTTGACGATCTCGTCCATCAACAAGGCGAGGAAGTATGGCTGGCACCGGAACGATAACACGTGTGATACTTGGATTGAGACATACCGGTCGTTTGAGAACGCGGGGGTTCTTCCTTCGCATACTGCCTTGGCCTCAACCCACTAATCATTGCGTGGTCAACGTTGTATTTGGACTATTTGGCTCAATAGAATTGATGTTAGTCCTCCAGTGCATGGTAATGAGGAATGTGATTAATGGCTAAAACTCTGACTGGATGGTATGGTTATTGCCGGATTATAAGGTCCGGATTGAGATAGTTGCCAAATAGAGCCTCTAACCATTCCATCTCCTCGGTGCTTCCGCGATGTATAGTATCTGAAGGCGGCACTCCTGATTCACACTGAGTCATCTCATCTTCCTGTGTTAATGGCCTCGTGCGTGCATAGCCGGCGTCCGCCGTGCTATCTAAGTGGGATGGCCAGGCTATACTGGAGACGACAGGCAGTATACCCATGTTGACTGCAGCAAAGTCCCTCTCGAAATCAAAATCGGCCATCACTAGGTTGGTAAGGCCAGCGTATGGCGAGCCTTGCGGTAGCCGCGGATCAGCAAGATCTCGATATTGCACAGGTGGCATACGATTGGGGCCATGGCCTGCTGTATCTGTGCTCTCGCTGAGCTCGCGAATCCCTTTCAAGTGATCACTTGGCCTTGAAAAGGGAGCTCGATCTGGATATATCATAGGAAGTTTAGTGAGGTCCGTTTGCCGTGACTGCGCAGCGTGGTTCTGCGAGAAAACCTGAGAGGAATGCTTGTATAGTGGACGCTCCACACCTTCGCTACTTTCTAGTTGACTAGCCATCTGTTTCAACCGGGAGACAATCCGTATTAACTTTCCAGACACCCATGTCTTACTGCAGTAAGACTCCAACAATTGGACCGCGTGCAGCGTGGCTCTGCCATACGCAGATTTGAACGTGGACTCTTTCAAGATCAGTCCCAGAGACACTATTGTAGCGCCAATCAAGTAGTGTATGAATGGAAAAGTGTATACAGCTTTCTCCTCGGGGATCTGGGCAAACTCTTCGATCAAGGTATCAGCAATCTGCATGCACGTCACTTCATTTTCGAACGTGTCAAGCGTAGACGTGCTGGGAGAGACCGAAGCTTGAAGCATGGGTTTGCGAATCAGAAGCCGAAGTGATAACCACCGCTAATATTGTCAGTAAGAGGTATAAAGTTACCGAGAAGGAGGCATACAGTCCGCATGAGTGCTTGCTGCTTAACTAGCCACCATGGCGCTTGGTGATGCGCCACGGGTTTGCCGTATTGAGGATGAGCAAATTCCTGCCTAATATCTTTCTGCGCCCGGAAAAGCAGGGTTTCAAGGTGCTCGCGGAGAGGGTAATTCGGAACTGGCCCCAAGTTGGTAGCCCCATACATGCCCTCCCAAACCTTGCCGAGGACTTTGGAATAAATTACCATGGCTCTGAAATAGGGTATCGGGGTGAAGGAACCATCGCCAGCATTGGTTTGAAGGGCTGCAGCTGGATCTAAGCTGGGTAGATTTCGGGCTCTAGAGACGTAGTCATCGTCTACCTCTTGGGGGAGAGGCGTGTCAGCGTTGACATCTTGAATTAAGAAAGGATGGCCAGTTTCAATAGCCAGTCGACGATCCAGGACATAAAGACACCACCAGATTCGCCGAGATATCTCACTATGAAAAGACGGCATGTTCTGCACAACCCTGGATCGGTGCAATCCCAGATGGTGTGCATGGGAGATGGCGAGAGCTAGGAGTTTCTCAGCCTTTCCAAAAATGTCGAGGCGGAACAGGTAGATTGTCTGGGAGATGCATGTAAGCGATCATTCTTATCCGAAAGACACCGCTGCTCACCATCAAAGCCAATGTTTGTAGAAGCTCAAGTGGATCTGAACAGTTTCCAAAGCAGCCAATAATATCTCCCAGTAATTCAGAGGCTGCTCTATATAAGCTCCAACCAGCCGAGTGTCGTCCTTCTCGGTTTTGTACCCTCGGAGACACGGTACACCTACCGATAGCTATACATAAAAGTAGTTGAGCCACACTCGTATTCTTCAACCGATTGAAAGAACTTGGCTCGTTAGGCAGAGGAGCAAGTTTGTCGTGCCACAACGTGTCGTAGTTGGCACGCAGAGTAGGCAGGTGAAGAAACGGATACAAGATATGGATCTCGGTGCAAAACACAGCTAACGCCTGATCCCACTGTGACTGATCTGGCTCAATGTCGTAAGTCTGAAAAACACAGCGAATATAATCTGCTGTGCTCTTTGGGCCGCTGTCGTGAGGAGGTGAGGGGGTCAAGGCAGGAGTTGAAATTCGAGAATCCACCACAGCAGTGCTATGGTGGCTTTGTATCGCCTCCAAGCGCCCTGCAACCTGGTCCAGGGCATGTCGAATGGATGTCTCGCCGGAAAAGGAATTCAACTCCGCCGGGACAGGCATCTTTTGTTTAGAAGCTGCTACAGCGTCGTTTGCAATAGATGCTCCTTCAGGGGAGGCATCTGTTCTTTGATCGTCAGCCCCTTCCGAGGCAGAATACACAGCCGTAAGTATAAGCTGCAACTGTCGCTCGACTTGATGTAGTTTTGTCAATAGTTCTTTCCGTGTCACCCTGCGTGTATCAGTTGGAATCCTTTCAGCGATGCATGTGGTGACAGGGAGACAAACTGAGATTCTTCCATGCTATCATTCGCTTCTGCGGCCGTTGAATCTCTATTATAATTTCGAAGCACCTCGTCCGTATCAGGCTTTCGGCGACGCAAATCAACCGCATTCTGGGAACATTGGCGTCCGCTCAGGATACACGGCTGACAAGGCAGGCGTCCATCACACTACTTCGGTACTTAGCAAGCAACTCGGGAGCTGAAATAGTGCAAGAATTTCTCACTTTGACTTTTCGGTGACGACATTGTACGCTAAGTTAGCCAAGATCAAATTAGCAATAATGCAAGAGCTAAAAGCGTGTCTTAACATACCATGCCTTGGACACATATCTACCCCTGCTCTGCCGTTTCGGACTGGGTTGATCGGGGTTATCATCACCGTCATCAGATCGCTTGTTACCCCTTCGACTGTGGGTAACTGCGTCTTTTGGATGCTTTCGTATCATTCAGCAAATGTAGAGGCGACTTGGCGTGGTAAGGTGATTGACTGTTGTTCTGTCCGACGTCCAACGGAAGTTGTTCGGAATCACGGAAACCCGTAGATGCTTGCCAGTTGACACATCACCTGATCTGAAGTGCACAAGTGGGTCTGCATATCTTTTCCTTTCCTCAACTTGAATCGACCATCATCAACAATGGATACTGCTATCTATTCATGGAATGCTGGGAGATGGCATGCTTCTATACGACTGGCACAATGTTTCTGTGCTTAAGTTGCCTCTTCCCTGTCAGATCCTGAATCGACGAGCATAGTTGATGCGCAGATGTCATGCCAACCATTTTACTATTTACACGCTGTTCCAAAGCATTTCAGGTTTTGAATGGTGTTCAATATTCCGTACTGACACCTGGATGACAACACTGCTTCCGATGGTTTAGACCTACTTCTGCTGACAGAGGACATCTACGCTGTGCAACAAGGTGCAGTAGATAACCTTTGGGTGTTGATGGTATACCCTGCGGCTTCACACCCGTTGCCTCCAAATCTCTTCACTCCACCGCCCAGATACCTAGCTCGAAACCACACGCTCGCTGAAACGACCAACTTAGGTATCCATTCAGATCTGATCCCATCAATCACATGTGGACCCCTTGTGGTCCACCCAAAGCGGAATGGCTTCCTGGTGGAGTGGATAATTATATAGCAGGACAACCACAGTCAACTGCGCCGTTGCCACGCCAGGGACATTTATTTTCCCTTGATATTTCAGATAGCCAATGAAATGACAGAACATGGTCATCTGTGTGGTTGCATAGCTATAATTATCCATTTGTGGTAAAAAAGACACAGGAGTACATGCCAACAGGCACCTGGATAATACTATTGCCGACGACTAGGCAACACAAGGAATGCAATGAGTCCTGATTCATAACGAGCTGAGGAGACACAATTATTCTTACTTGGTTCTTTCCTCAAACTTCACTCGTTTATTGACCACCAGGTTTCCTATCATACCCATCGTCACTCGTTCATCATCACTCCAACATGCGTCCAACATCCCTCTTCGCGCTCCTCCTGAGCACCATCACCATCACCACTTCAGCCAACGCCGCCACACCGGCCTACTCCATCGTCGAGCCCACGCAAGGTGCCATCGTCTCCATCGGCACCGCAACAGTCATCGAATGGAACACGACGGAATCCAGCTCCTCCAAAGTATCCTTCTTCCTCGAAACCACCACCAACTCCACCGACCTCTTCACCATCGCCTCCAACATCTCCAACTCCGGCTCCATCTCCTGGTCCCCTCCCTCCAGCATCACAACGGGCACCGACTACATCGTGGTCCTCCAGCCTTCCGACGACTCCTCCACATCCTACAAATCCCCCGCCTTCACCATCTCCGCCTCCAACGCCTCCACAACCTACTACCCCACCGAAGGCGAGGAGGTCAAGACCGGCGAAACCACCATCATCACCTGGAAAGTCGATAGTAATGTTACCCACGTTAGCATTTATCTCATGGAAGGGTCGGGGACGTCGGATTTGAAGAATGTTACGACCATTACGACGGATATTGCGAACTCGGGGGATGTGGCGTGTGTGCTTTCGAATAGTGTGGCGTCGGGGGATGATTATAAGTTTGCCATTGTGGATGTGAAGGATGAGAGTAGTGTGAAGTATTCGGATACTTTTACGGTGGTTAATGAGAAGGCGTCGTCGTCGAGTAAGGCGGGGAGTACGACTTCGTCGTCGAGTACCACTTCTTCTTCCGGGTCGGGGGAGACGTCAACTGAGACTGCGACTTCGGGGGCTTCTAGCGTTTGGAAGCCTTTGGGGTGGATGGGTGCGCTGTTGGTGGTTCCGTTGCTGTTTTGATAATTGGTCGTTAGATTTGTTGCAGATGGATGGTAGGAAGTGTGGAGCTAGTATCCTATCGCGTTGCTTTCAGATCATTGTCTTTGGAAGAATGTTGAGTGTATATAGAGGTTGCTATATGTTAGCCAATTCGAAATGAGTCGACTGTCTACGACCCAGACACAAGTTCATTGATCGACTCGTCCTTGAGGAAGTTGATAGACGTGAGATCTTGCATCATGTTCATTGTAGACAACTGTGACCATAAGTGAAATCGAGAGTCAAAACATCGCACAGTACACACTGCTGGTCGAGAAGAAACAGCTAGTTCCGCGTGAGGCTGGAATGGCAAGACAGCCCTGATTTTTCCAGCCATGATATCAAGATTGTGAAGAGCATGGTGTGGTCAGCTTTGACGATGCGATGTCCTAAGTGACTGCACGGTTAAAGTGACAATGTTGCAATCGCTTCAAGCATTTTGAGATCCAGCCAACAACCAACAACCGGTAGCAAGAGTCCGAGATAGATATTTGCCCTAAATCGAAACAACCATCATAAAATTTCCATATCCTCGAATTATCTCAACTCACAACGAACCAAACGCCCAGTCCCCTCCCACCCCCCCAACAACCAAACCAAACCCAAGTACCACCCTAATCCCCCGTCCCAATCTCCAAATCCAACTGCACCCCATTCTGAATACTGTAATCCCCCAACGTAATAAAATCCTTAAACGGTCTCTCCCCCTGCCGCTTCAACATAATCTCTCTCGGCGCGCGACCAATCTGCGCCGCCACCAGCACCTTCAAATCCCCAATCGTATCCGACGGCAAACAAGGCACCGTCGCCTTACTTCCCAATCGATCATTCACCGTCACAATCATCATTTCCTCGGTACTGGCAGGGCGGAGTTTCTTGGCTTTCTTTTCCTTTTTCTCTTTCTTGTCTTTCTCGGGGAGGTCTTTCTTGGGGGCTGCGCGGTCGCGGTCACGGTCACGGTCGCGGTCTTGGTCTCGGTCGCGAGGGCGATCGCTATCGCGGTACCGGTCTCGGGGTCGGTCGGGGGAGTACTCGCGACGGGGTCTGCGGTCTCGGTCTCGGTCACGGTCACGGTCGCGGTCGTCACGATCATATGGTCGTCGGGGTGAGCGGGCGCGATATCCGCGATCGAGGGCGCGGTCGGCGTCGTCGGCGGGATCTCTGGCGGGACGCTTTTCCTTCCATCGGAAGCCGCCTGAGCTTTTGGGGGGTTGGCGGCGAGGGGAGCGCGAGCGCGAGCGTCGTCGCCGAGGTGGCGAGTCCGGCATCGTGGTGGTGAGTTGGACGCTGGGTCCGAGGGAGGTGGTGAGGGAAGCTTGGGGGGGATGAGAGCCAACGTCAGATGGATAAGTGCATGTGATGTGATGGGCAGAATGGTACCGCTTTAGGTTGTGTTGTGTGTTGTGCAGGTGATGAGTCAGCTATGTAGTCGGGGATTTGATTGAGGCGTGGTTTTGGGACTGCTACTCGTGTTAGGGTATTAGTGTATGGGTAATGGGATGAATTGAGTTCTACTGCAATATAGGCGGGATATTTCAGGATTGTAGCAAGTGATGGGTTCTGATGAGCAAGGTATGGCTGATTACTGGATGCGGTGCACAATAATCCAGCACCAGGAAAACTTGTTGTATGTAGCAAAGAAGTTCTTGATGGTGATATAAGTACATTGACGCAGGTACTGATACAACGGTGCTATAAACAATCGCTGGGCCTGTTCCCTTTTCCGAACCATTTCTCCAGACGCTGGCGTGGAATGAGAAATACGATGTACCTACCGTATTGTTAAATAATATTCCAGACATTAGTAGTTCTTGTTACACATCGTCAGTCATTCTCATCCATGAGCAGAACCTTCAGCTTCTCCAGCTTATCCTCACACTTGACCTCCATCCGCATCACGACATCCAGACTCTCCTTTTTCGTGATGAGCAACTGCGACACCAGCCAGAAATTGTATCCGTTCTTGAAGAAGCCCATCGAGGCCCACTCACTTCGGGAGACTGTGTTGCGCAGCGTCACCCAATGCTCGCGCCATCGGGACAGCGCTGTTCGAATGCCAGATAGCATGGAGTCCTCGGGAATCGCTCTAGCGCGGCCCTTCGCTGGAGGATCGAAGCTGAAGAGATGCTTAGGCTGGGAGAGCTGGGCTTTGCGGATAATAGGACCTAGCAGGGTCATGTGCGAGTTGATGAAGGTATATAAAACTGGATCGAATTAGTTTGGGATGATGTACTACCAAGGGCTGCCGTACCATGGATTAAGATGAACATGTCGAGCACCGTCATGCTTGACATACTACTGGAAGTTGTCGAGTCCGGGGTTGACGGCATCGTATCCTTGGGAACGTCGTCGAATAAATTATGAAACGCTTCCGATATAGTAATCCCCCGCGAGGGCTGAAAGCTGAGGTCAGTGTATGGGTGTTCGAGAGCGAAGAGCGCTTCGGCGCAAGGGAAATCGCATTCAACTTCAGTGTGCGTTAGACGACAAGGGTAGTTCTGGAAAAATGAAAAGGCGCAGTCAAGAAGTTGAATAATGCTCATTGTACTGGGATCGGTCAGCTAGGCGGCTATAGGAGGGGGTAGATCATCGTACCGAATGCGACACTCGGTCTGGATCCATTGGTACTCAGGAACCATCTGGTGCTGTTGATGGCGGCATTTGGGGAGACCCATCCGACGAGCAACCTATCCATGTCAGTGACGCAGCGCCACCTCTGACTCTCAAGGACATACCTTGATGACTTCGCTGAAGCGGTTCTCCATCGCTCGATTGTGCGACCCACGGCTTCCTGACCAGTACTGCACTATGACTATGATGAAGCCGGCCTGGAAATTCTGAAACTGGACCCAGTCATTGCTTCCATTGTCAAAGGTCCGGCGACCGCAGAACGTGGACGCCACTTCGTTGTCGGCAGAATATGTTTCACTGGAGAAGATATACAGTTCTACAAAGTCCAGCAGCCGCTTTGCGGCATTTGTCTCCTGCTCATCGGCGGAGTACATGGCACCCATAAACACCAGCGCGGCAAGCAATGGCAGGGCCACCGTGTCTAGGTTCAGAGAGGCCAGATGAACCATGGCGCAACTGGGCTGCCAGTATTTCAAGTACATTGACACGAACTTGCGGATACGCGAGGGCGTGAGCAGAAAGCTGAGATCCGTCGACAATCGGTCTTGTGCCCTAGCATCGAGCGGAACCGACCAGGCTCGTGCCAGAATGGCCTGATACAGCCCGGTCGCAAACGGCTCCTCCGGTTCATATGCCGGCGGCGTAGCGAGTGTGAGAGCGGGTTCCTGGACAGGAGGAACGATCGCGGAAATGTAGGGCTCGCTTGCATATGGAGTGTCGACTATTTTATGCACATTCCCGAAAGGGCCATTGAAGAACTCAAGGAACGTATCTTGGAAGAAAGAAAGGGCCGCAGGGTCTGATTCGACAAAGGCCGGTGCACAGTCTGCTTGGTTGTTCCCCACACGGTAACCTAGCATTGTGCGACTGACTTCCTGCAGCCCCTTTTGGTTTTGGTACTCAAGGCCGCGGGCGCGATCGCTGCGCGGAGGGAGGAGAAACTCCTCTGTAAAACTATCGGTACCGCCGTTGAGGAGAAACTTGATCGATCCACGATCCGAGGACGACGCGTAATCTTCACGCTTCGCAGGGGGGGTCGAGCCCGAGTCCGGCTCCAGGGTGTCGGCCGCCCTCTTACGATCATTATTACACTGCAAATTCCTCTTCTGACAGGAGCCGCAGGGGCTTAGTCCGTCGCAGCGAAGCTTCATCGACGTGCACTGGAGTTGAACGGATCGGTTAGCGATCATGCGCATTAAAGGCAGGGGTACACGATCGGACGATGGGGTGGACTTGCTGATTGACAGGCATGGCGCCTTCGGCCTCTCTGCCCAGTCTCGGGGATCTTTTGATCCCCGCGCTTGGCGCAGTCCGAGTAATGATCGCGGAGGTTGTCACTAAAAGAAGAGAACGGATCAGCACCGCCCGCTCCGGGGGGGCGGAGAACGTGGCAAGACCATATGGGGTCGGTCGGAAACCAACGATGGGAAGGGAGAAAATGAAACACACGAACCAGCGGGCGAAGGCTTCATTGCAGAAGACGCAGGAGTAAGGTCGGACGCCCGAGTCTAAGGGAGAATTTCCATGTCAGCGAACAAACAGCATTGGAGGATGGGCCAGGCCACAGGAGGAGCGGGCCGAAATGCAGGGAACGTTGAACGGATGGACATACGGCGGAGATGGTGTCGTTTCAGATGGTCAATGCGGGTGAAACCCCGCTGACAGATGGTGCAGCAGAAGTGCTTGCTGGCAGACTTCATGATCGGGGAGGGAAGAAGGGGGCGCGCATCGGGGAGAAGGCTGAACGACTGGGAAGGATCAGGTCTGGCGCAAACCACTCAATCGCTAGTCCAAAGAGGGACGCAAGGCAGCAGCTGCGCGATCGGCCCGCCGCAGGAGGCCCTAGATACTCTGATAGACGTACTGCAGCCGAGACGGTTCGCACGGAGAGAAAAGATGCGAGAATCTCGCGATTCGCGACCCGGTCGGGATGCAGTGATCCCACCGAGTTCAAAGAGGGGAAGGGCGGAGAGGGGAGGTGACACACTGTTGACAGCTGGGGTGTGGAGAAATCGTCCCCATAATAACACTACTCAAAAAATCTTAGTCCGAACTCAATAGGCCAACCGCAGCAACACTTCCCTGGCAGCGAAGGTCTGAGGGTCCCGTCCATGGATGGCATCGCAGCAAATCCAGGTTCATTTCATACTGCCAGGTATTGCGACATACACGCCGGTATTGAAGTGCGGGCTGAGACAGTGCGTAAGGTACCTGGTACCCCCCAGTCCACCCCCATCCCATCCGCGGGAGTAGGGAGCATACCAGTGTCGCAATCACCCCTGAAAGTACCCGATACTGTGTCTTTTCATTCTGCTCAGGCACGAATCACTATTATTTACCAATGACGTGACCCAAACTGTATCCGTGACACGGGGAGGGGGGCCGGTCACCACTAGTCACTACATACTTACGGCCTAGTAACATCATCGTGTTGATGTGTTTCATGATTTGCATTCAATGCCCCACCGCTCTCGCTTTAATTCTTCAACTGTTCAAACACTGCCAAGGGAAAGTCCACCTGGTCATCATCCAGGTAGCTGACGTTGATCGCATGGTTCTTTTCATTCTCCGTCCAGCCATCCCCCATCCAGCCATTTGCGTTGTCGTTAACATACTCATACGTGAAATCCTCCCATCGGGGGTGAGAAAGAACTTGCAGCGAGTGGAGCGACGAGCCGGGCCAGACGCCGATCACCCGTCCGCCTTCCTCGCCTCCCTTGTACCAGCTCCGGCATTTCTCACTGTATACCGTGCGGGAGAAATACTGGTCGCAGTGACGGGTAAACCTTTGCACGGCATCCTTCCGGACCGACATGCAGCGGATGTTATCACGCTGCATCTTCTGGACACACGAGGTGAAATAGTCGATGACTCTCTCAAGCAAAAGCAGCAGGTTGCCTTCTCCAAGGGCCGAGTTGGGCCCGAAGCAGATGAAGTAGTTCGGGAACCCGTCGACCGCGATCGAGAGATACGACTCCGGTGTCTTCTTCCACCGCTCCGCCAACGAGAGGCCATTGCACCCGATGATGGGAAATCGGGGGGTGAACGTGGTGTCGAACCCGGTGGCACAGACCAGAACGTCAGTGGGATGATGTTTCCCATCTGCGGTGAAGATGCCCTCTGCATCAACTCGAACAATATCACTGGCGATGATGTCGACCTTGTCATCCGCCAGAGCCTCCAAGTACCCTGGACCGGGCGTGAGTCGGCGGCAAACGGGCGGGAATGCCGGCAAAAGCTTCTCATATAGCTCCGGCTTTCTTGACAAGCGTTGTCGCATGTTTTCCGCGAAAGCTTCCTTGGCACCCAGCTGTTCTGGTGTGCCCAGCAAGGTCGCACCGTGGACCGACTGCAGTTGCAGCTCGATCTCTGACTGCATAAGCGCAAGTGACTAGGCAGGGAATGTGGCAGCTTACCTTTACGGAACTGTTGGTAAGCATTATGGTCCGTGTTGAAGGTCTTGAGTTCCTCGGGGGTAAATGAGACTGCGGTCATCCGGTCAGCTAGTCCATTTCCCCTCACATTGAAAGAAACTCTTACAATTGTCCGACTTAACCCCACGCCTTTCGAGTTCGCTTCGAGCAAAGCTGGGTGCAATCCAAGTTCGACTTCTGACGTAGTGGTCCATGTGTGTTACCTTTGGCAGCATTCCAGGCACGATTTGGATCCCACTCGAGCCGTTCCCGACCACAGCAACCCGCTTATCCTAAAGGGGATCAGTGCATGCTTGGAGACCTTCACGGCGGACCTACGCTGTAATCGAAACTCTCATCCCACCTTGCACTGTGCATCAGCTTTCCTTGGAATTCATGAAGCCCGGGAATGTTCGGCCATTTCCATTCATTCAAAAAGCCAGTGGCGGAGATTAACACATCGCATTGGTCTGGATAGACTGAGCCGCTTTCTAGATCCTTGATCTTAATATGGAGACGGAGGTTAGCTGTTGCATTTCAGGGCTTTGATCGATCTTTCTAACCTGCAGTACCCATTTGCTATCATCCTCCTTCCACACAGCTTCAACAACTTGCTGCTTGAACTTGATATACCTAGCACAGCCATATTTGTCCCTTACTCGTCCCCAATACTTGTGAATCTCCGGGGCTGTGGCATAGAAGGTGGACCACTCTTTGTTGGGCTCAAAGGTGGCCTGGTAGGTGTGGGCAGGAATGTCTATAACCCAGCGCAGTCAGTCACGGTACAACAACGGCAGAACAAGAAGGGAACACCTACCACAAGCACATCCTGGATATCTGTTCTCCAACCACGTGCCTCCAATATCTGCATTCTTCTCGTACACGCAAAGATCCAAGTTGGGGATACGTTGCCTGAACCGGATAGATGCGATGATACCGGAGATTCCGGAGCCAATGACGACCACTCTCAGCGGCCTGGCTTCATCAACGGAGCGTTCTTCCACGACCCATGAGTCAGCAGGTTGCTCATGAGTTTTGGCAGCGCTGACACCAAACAACTGCGCCAAGTGATTCATAATGTCTGTTATGTACCCAAGAGAAGGGGTGTGACGATAAGAGTGAAATGCGGGGGAGTGCCACGCTTTATACTGCGCAGTGGCTAATATATCCGAGAAAGATCGCCTCTCGGACGTCGGAATATCCTCGTGCTGCACAGGCTGTCCTCATTAGTGACAGCACCGGTTGAGCGCAATGATCTCCCGTTCTACCTCGTATCTGTCATAGCGACTTCAAGGCCTCCCAATTGAGGTGGGTACCAGTGCCTGGGGAGCAGGAGCGTGCAGCCTTCCGCCTATGCCTACCTTTTCCAAATGTTGCCATCACAATGGGAAGCAATTGGTCCAATATCCATTCAGGAGGAGCTGTTCTTTCACAGTCCGGAAAACCCCCGGCATAGCCTATCGATAGCTGTCAATCGGTGGAGTCCGGATTGGCCAGATTGAGGGGACTGGCAGGCAAACTTGAGCGCCGGTTAAAGCCAACCGACGCCCACCAGTGAGACGACAGATTGGGGTGGGGGCTGTCGATGACAATCAACCCAAGCAAGACCACTCAGTGGCTGAAAAAAAAAATAATTGATAGGGCTGCGCTCTGCCTGAGACCGAGTCAGGCGTCGGCAGAAACAGAATGAGGGGTAGAGGCGCAAATACGAGATGGACGTGTCGGTCGTTGGGATGTGACCCGTATACGTTAAAAGGCCGGGTTCGAGGGCAATGCTCCGCCGCGACGGCCCCTTCTGATCGGACCCAGAGAACCGGCGAGGTACCATGGCATGAAACCTTGCCTATCGGACCCGACGAGAGACTTTGCAAGCGGCAAAACCACCTGGAGTAGAGCTACAGCGGCAGCATGCCCTAACAAAATCTTGACAACCGGTTAGCCACTAGGTTTCCGCCGGTTCTTATCCGTTGCATACCTGTTACCATGAGAGGTGATGGATCTGCACGAGATGGTGTGCCCCAAAGTGATACGGATGTGATCGACTTTAATCCGTAAACCCGGACGATCCGACTGATCAGCATGGCTACAGGTGACAGAAAAAGCACAGATGCAGCAGCCAGACTCCTAAGTACTATTTTAACCATTGACAGCAGCCGGTAAACCCCCGGCAGGAGGGACTAGAGAGCGACCCTCCGAGGGGCCATCTTGTGCATGGCGTATCAGGTATGTACGACTCGTGTATCGGCTCTCCGCGAGGGGGTGGGGGGTCGTTCCCAGAGAACGATTGGGCGGTACGACCCAAGATTGAGTCCAGCACCCCATGCTACCCCATCCTACCTCGCCATTCTGCCATTTGGACTCCCATTCCCCAGTTCTTAGTGCATCGTAGCAGGCTGGAAAACCCCCTCGCGCGGGCCCAGCCGGGGCGTCCAGCGGGGCGGGGGGGGGGGGCCCTCAGTTCACTGGCATGCCCGATTCCTCAATTGAAGTGACCAAGAGCATCATATTTGGACCCCTCCGGTTGTGTCACGCAATCTCATACATGATCAGTGGAGTCTCTCCGAGGCACCAGCACCTGGGAAAGGCGGTAAAGCATATATTTGGGCGTGACTCATCACTCGCGACTCCTGACATTTCCAGAAAGTAGATTTCGTCCAAGCTTTCGGTCAACTCTGGCCGAAGCTGCTGAAGGAGGTGATAGAATACTTGATTTGCGGGGCGGCGATTGCTGGGATCATTGTCGATAGCGAGAGTCTAGACGCGGGGTGGCGGGGGTGAGGTCATTGGCATGATTGTTCCGTGGGAGACGGGAGTTCCTTTTGTTTTCGGTCACCATGCCAGGTTTGAGGGAGGGAACCTGGCTCACCCATCTTCGTCCACCTCCCCGATGATTTCAACATAGTTTTCAACTTCAATAGCCGATCATGGCTTCCCGTGGCTCTGGGACCACCCCGGAGTCAAAAGCCGTAGGTAGGCGAAGCGTCCACTGGCCTTGCGTTCAATAAGCCCCGTCGGATCGCCACTTTGGATACGCCAATCGGCAAGGCCAGCGACGATCGGGGCGATTGGTGAGATTCGAATAAGCAGCCGTCAGCAACGGTCCCGTGGGGGGGGAACAATGCTGAGTTGTGCTTCAGCACTCCGAATGTTGTCCCCCACTATATAGCTCCACCGCCAGTGATCGCAATGGACGCCGTGGCTCTTCTTCTACCACGGTTTCCCTGCCCATCTCATCTCCTCCAGACTACTCCGTACGCAACCGGCCATCTCTACTTCATCTCTGGAAACGTCCCAACCTTGACCCATGCCTGTTTTCACCGAATACGCTACCTCCACACGCGAGCTTCGCGTCCTTCCCTCCTTCGCTCCTCCACTACCCCGTCTCAACCCGGACTATCCCCACGATGGTCTCTCCGGGAGATACGAGGTCGTCATCGTCGGCGCCGGTCCCGCCGGCCTCATGCTCAACCTGCTGCTGGCACGATACGGCCTGACGGATGCATCTCTGCTGTGCGTGGATGCAAAACCGGAGACTCTGAAATCTGGACAAGCTGATGGTCTTCAGCCCCGGACACTCGAAGTCCTCAAGTCGCTGGGACTAGCGGACGAGATTCTCGGCGATGGATGCCACATGGAGGAGGTTGCATTCTGGAACCCTTCCTCCGACCCGGACGAGGTGATCGAACGCACGGCCATCGTGCCAGATGTTGCTGTGCCGGCGCGGTTTCGTCACGAGATCACCATTCACCAGGGTCGCATCGAGAGAATACTCGAGACTGATCTGCTGCGGTATTCGAGAAGGGGCGTGCAACGGAATACTAGGCTACTGGATGTGATCATTGATGAGGATGGCGATGTCGAGTTCCCGGTCGTGGCAGAACTCGAGACGGACGGGCAACGGCGGACGGTGCGATCGAAGCACTTGGTGGGTGCCGATGGAGCCCATTCTGCGGTGCGACGCTGTATGGGATTGAAGTTGGAAGGGGAGTCGTTGGACCATATCTGGGGCGTGGTCGACCTGGTTATCGATACCGATTTCCCTGATATTAGAAGACGCTGTGCGATTCACTCCCCGGCTGGTTCGGTGATGGTGATTCCACGCGAGCGAATTGTGACGGGTGACTATTTGACCCGGTTGTATGTCCAGGTGCCGGAGGAGGCTGCCTCGGCTGATGATCAAAAGCCCATGAATGGGTCCGCCCTCAAGGATGCACGAGCCCGTAGGGGTCAGGTCACGCTGGAGGGAATCTTCCAACATGCCGCAGAAGCGTTCAAGCCGTACTATATCCGACCGAAGGAGACCGGTGCGGTGGATTGGTGGGCGGCATATCAGATCGGCCAGCGGATGTCCGATCAGTTCACCGTGAAAGACTCAAAGGGAGTTAACCGGGTCTTTATTGTGGGAGATGGTCCGTTTGCCCCTGGTTTTTTAGGATACCAGCTGACGCTCATTTTCTGCCAGCTTGCCATACTCATAGTCCCAAGGTATGTACCCCATACTCCTCGGTAAAACTTCGCGCATTAAGTGGGAATAGGCCGGTCAAGGAATGAATGTTTCTATGATGGACTCTTACAATCTCGCTTGGAAACTGGCATATGCAATCCACGGACTCACTGCCGACTCGTCCTCGCCCGGAAAACCTGATGCCGTTCTGGATACGTACCACACTGAACGCCACACAATAGCTCAAGAGCTGATCGAATTTGATCGTGCATTCTCGTCCATGTTTTCGGGCAAGATAGGTGGTGCGGAGCATGGTGTTGACAGCCTGACCCATGAGCAATTCCTGGAAGTGTTTAGTACTGGCAATGGATTTACCAGTGGGTGTGGGATAGAATATCCCGACAATCTGACTGTGCAGAAGACGCTTAGTGAAGGCGTAAAGAACCCTATCGAGGGAACCGATTACCTTTCTGGTATCCTCCGTCCGGGCAGGAGGTTGTTAAACGTCCAGTACCGGAGACACGCCGATGGCAACAGACGTAACCTGCACGATGGTATGTTGGGAGATGCAGGAATCCCATAGGACCGAATGATACTGATATGGCGCAGATTTTCTCTCGACCGGTCGGTTCCGTATTCTTTGTCTCACATCGGCCGATCTGTTGGACCCGAAGGGTGTTTCTGCTCGGACACTGAGGACGCTAGGGTCCTTTGTGCTACCAAGGTTCCCGGCTTCCGTGATTGAGCAGGTGGTGATCCACCCTCGTCTGCCCAGAGATTTCACTTGGCGTGATACACCGACAGAGCTGAAGAAACACTCCGAGATGAGTTTCTACAGTGGCTACGAGATGGACGACGTGTACAAGATCTACGGGGTTGATGCCGCCCAGGGGGCCTTGGCCGTGGTGCGGCCAGATGGATACGTGGGCCTGGTGGCTGCCTTGGACGACGTCAAACGGGTGGAGGGATATCTGGAGCGGTGTTTGAGAACCGTCCAGACCGCGACCTGATGCAAGCGAGACGAGTTTGCAATGATCATCCAGCCAGTCATGATCCACCGTAGGCGCTGCCCAGGATGATATCGGATACGAGGCCATCCCGCGGTCAACCCCAGCCAACAAGAGGAGCGATGGACAGGTAGACCCTAGTTCCGGTAGGGCGCTGTTGCCTTGATGGATGCTATCGGACGTCCGAAGTAGAGCCTGACGGTAGCGAGATCAAGACAGGGAGACCTCGACAGGTCCAGCCTCAGCAGACCAATCATACTTCATTTGTTGTGTATCCATCTGTCTGCGGGAAGATCTGTAGCCGGAAAAGAATCCATCATCGTCATGAGTCACATCTCCAATCGGACGTCCGGCCTGCTGATCAGGCCGGGATGCATGGCAGGACCCAATGCGAGACACCAGCCCACGTGACCCCGCGTGCCGACCAGCCGAGAGCGGAGCCACTCAGCGTCCGTCGTTTGCGACGGGCGACTGCTGGATGCCCGTTTCCAGTAGATTTCTTGCTCGGGCCCAGCCGCCCGCGTGCACAAGTGCCACCAGGACGATAAGCGTGGAGCCGCGCTGACTGGTGGAACGCCGTCAAGCTTCCTGTCCCCGGCCAATGGCAGCCCGCCGTGCTGCAAATTCTCGACAGCTGCTCCACTGCCGGGGTTACCATCCTGTTTATCGCCGTTGCAACAGCCAGGGTACACTCGCCATGATATAATTAACCTGGGTCCTGCCCTAGGCTGGGCCCGGGTTTCGTCTCCCGTGGTTTGGCTGGGAAATCTCATTCCACAGCTTCGTCCCAACTCCAGGTTCACGTGGTGGCCATGTCCAAGATTCACTCGGCGTCCGAAGCCGGATCCACGAGATCGAGGTCGACATCACTGTCCAGCTCGGATGATGATTCCTTGGCACGGCGGCCATATCGATTGGGAACGTGGAGGACCCGCACCCGGTCGCAGTCCCGACACAGTACGAGGCAAGTTGATCGGGTGCATTCGGGGAGACACCTAGACGATCACTCCGTCTATCACAGCGACCATGAGGGTAATCTAGACTCATCGTCGGAGGACCAAGAGAAGAATGAGCCTGCCCTCGAAGTCCGTGGCGGCATCGTGAACGAGCGTGACCGTGATCTGGAGGCTGCTGCATCGGGCCTGGAAAAGTCGCGGACGACCCGGTCCGACAAGTCTAGAGTGGACCCGAAACTGGTATGTCTGTTCCCTATGATCCATGACTAGTGCTGACAGACTAGGTCACTTGGAATGGCCCCGACGATCCGGACAATCCCAAGAATTGGCCCATGAATAGGAAATGGGCAGCCGTGGTGACAGTCTCCTGCTTTACTTTCATCTCGCCCGTGTCATCCTCCATGGTGGCTCCCGCCCTGAGTTCGATATCCGCCGATTTTCACATCACCGACGAGGTCATCTCGCAGCTCACTCTGTCCGTCTTCATCCTGGCCTACGCGGTGGGGCCGCTCTTCCTGGGACCCCTGTCCGAGATTTACGGTCGAGTGATTGTCTTGCAGTTGGCCAACCTACTATATCTAGTCTTCAACATCGGCTGTGGCGTATCACAGACCAAGGTGCAGATGATTGTCTGTCGATTCTTTGCTGGGTTGGGCGGTAGCGCACCACTGGCGGTACGTACTTCTCCTACAGGCGTGTGAGCCTTGTCTGACAGTACTCAGATTGGTGGCGGTGTTCTCTCGGACTGCTTCAAGCCAGAACAGCGAGGCAAAAGTGTCGCCATCTACAGTCTTGCGCCCCTACTTGGACCAGCCGTCGGGCCCATTGCCGGCGGCTTCATCGCCGAAAACACGACCTGGCGCTGGGTGTTCTACGCGACCTCGATCGCGGACGGTCTCATCCAAGTGGCCGGGCTTTTCTTCTTACGGGAAACCTACGCGCCCGTGATTCTCCAGAAACGCGCCCAGAAGCTCCGCAAGGAAACCAACGACCCCGACTACCAGACCGAATTCGAGCGGCAGAACAAGACCTTACTCCAGGTCATGCGCGGCGCACTCATCCGTCCCTTCCGCCTGCTCGCCACCCAACCCATCGTCCAGACACTCGCTGCCTACATGGCCTTCATCTACGGCACGATGTACCTCGTCCTCTCGACCTTCCCCTCCCTCTGGACCAGCCCAGACTACTACCACGAGTCCACCGGCATCGGGGGACTCAACTACATCTCCCTCGGCTTAGGCTTCTGGCTCGGCTCCCAGATCTGCGCCCCCCTCAACGACCGCATCTACCGCCGTCTCAAAGCCCGGAACAACGGCGTCGGCAAACCCGAATACCGCGTCCCCCTCCTCTACGTCGGCGCGCTCTTCATCCCCGCCGGCCTCTTCATCTACGGCTGGACCGCCCAAACCCATCGCCACTGGATCGCCCCCAACATCGGCGCCTGCCTCTACGGCATGGGCAACATCATCACGTTCCAATGTCTGCAGACGTATATCGTGGACGCGTATACGCGGTATGCAGCGAGTGCGTTGGCCGCCGTGGCGTGTATGCGATCGCTCGCCGGCTTCGGGTTTCCGTTATTCGCGCCGTATATGTACCAGGCGTTGAATTACGGGTGGGGAAATAGTGTGTTGGCGTTTATTGCGATAGGATTGGGGGTGCCCGCGCCGGTGTTTCTCTGGCGGTATGGGGAGAAGTTGCGCAAGATGAGTACGTATGCGGCGGGGTAGGTTTTCCGCTGCGAGATGCATGTGTGTGTATCTTCATGGAGTCTGATTTTTATAGATATAATGTATATTTCCGGGTTACTATTAATTAGCAGTACAGTCACTAGTATATATTTATTTAAATGGCTAGAATATTAAGCAGTTTCAGTTTCATTCTTTCTCCAAAGCTATTCTCTCACAAATCTCACTCATACACTAAGCGCCTTAGTATATAAACCCTTTTTCCCGCCTCCCCTGAAGTTACTAATACTGCCCCATCTTGTCAGACCATGGCTTCCAAGCCTTATATCTGTCTCCTAGCATCCCACAACCCACATCTCCAGCTCGAATGATGATATACTTACAGAATACCCAAGCATAGCATCAGAGAGAGGAGACGCGCAAAATAGCAGAGAAAATACATAATACATAACTATCAAAGAGTCCGCAGTTGAAATACCAGCCCTGGTTATTGGGATAGATAGACACTGGAGCTGAGCTGGAGTTACTAGTAGAATATTGTAATCTAGTAGAGAAAGGGTGGGAGGGGTAGATGCTGATGTGAAGGCAGGCGGCTTGCCCAAGGACGTATCCCGGCTGAGCAAGAGTATTTATTGATGCTAGTTGATCTGGTCTAGTTATTACCTTGTAATCGGAGTAGGGGGGTCTTCAAGAAGACAAGTTTTGGTGTCATGTCGTCATTGTACGTAAGAAGATGCGGACACTTTCATTCATGGGCTGCCTTCCACTGGTTATCGAGACACCCCTGGAGATACAATTACAGTGTGTTGTATGTAGTAAAGAAAGATATAATGTAGATAGTTCACTCGAGAGGAAGGCTAATTAAGTACTCAGAATGATATTCACATAGATGAGATCAGGAGATTGATCGATGCGATAATAGATGACTGACATTATACCGGAAGCTCCAACGACAAAGTGAAGAATTTATTGTCTGAGCAGTAATCTCAGTTACATTTGAGATTACGTGACAGGCACAAGCTGGTTAAAGCATGACAATCAACAGCACTCAAGCAAAAGGGGCCGCGCCACTAGGGGCAGATCCACCAGGGGCAGAACCACCGCCCATGCCTCCAGAGCCACCACCCATGCCAGAGCTGCTAGAGTCGTTCTCGACACCGCCATCGGCGGTGTACTCGGCAGCCGGAGTAATCTCACTGTCCGCATCGACGTCCACGCCCAGGGCAATCCATCCGAAGATACCGTCGCTCACATCATCGCCCAGCAGCACATACTCGACGAAGGGGTCAATCGTGTCGGCCTCCTCGGACAGGATGGAGTCGTCCGCGTTCTCGGTCAGGTCCTGGGTGTTGGTGTTGTAGGGGCTGGTCTCCTCGACCTTGGTGATCAGGTCCTGGTCGAAGAAGAGCTGGCCGACGTGGTTGGCGTGGGTGGTGGAAAGGCCGGAGAGGGTGTTGTTAGCGAGGACGGTGGTGTCGTTGGGGGTGTGCGAGAGGACTGTGCATGTTAGTACAGAACATAGACAGAAGAACAGGGAGGGGGTATCTACCGTGAATGTGAGTCGCACGACTGGTGTAGTGACCGGGGAAGATGGAGGTGAATTGCGCAACACCATCAGAGTCGGTTTGCTGGATACCGCGGAGGAAGGTCGCGTCCAGGTTGGAGGTGTCGGAAGAGTCGCCATTGCCAGACGCAGCAACGCCAGAGTAGACACCCTGCAGACATGTTAGTATGTTCGATGTGATGCAGGCTCGAAGATTTCCAATGGGATACGCACAGTAGCGTTGCAGTGCCAGAGATCAATATACACCTCTGGGACCGGCTCACAAGTGCTGGTGTCAATGAGCTGGACATCAAGGTAAAGGGGCACACCCTCCTGGGTCTCGGAGATGTCGCTGCGGATGAGCTCGCCAGTGACATCTGTTCGCATCATTAGTATTTGAGAGAAGTGACAGAGGATAGAGTGACAGGGATAAAGCATACAGTAGGGACCCTGAGTCACATCCGGGCCAAGAACGCAGCTGGCATTGGAGGCGAAGAGAACGCTCGGGTCAGTGTTGAGGTCGACGTTCAGAGACGAGTGGTGGGTGGTGTTGAGGATGGTATCAAGGTCGCGGGCCTTCAGGAGGGGAGCGTCTGTTTCGGTCAGTTCATGTCTTCCGGTCTGGGATGAGGAACAGACGGGTCTGCAGTCCCCTCTTCCGGCGAAGGTCATTCACAGCCTGCTCACGACGAGCAACGTTCTGCCTTTCGAGGCCCCGGGCCTTCAGCTTCGCAGAGCAGTCGCTCAGGCTGCGAGGGGCACGCTTCAGGAAGGCAGCGCGCTCAGCAGCTTCGGCCTTGATGTCGTGGCCGGGATGCGCCGAGACGACGGTGGTGAGACCGGCAAGACCGGTAAGGAGGGTAGTAAGCTGGACCATTTTGAAACCTGGTTAGATGGATAGTGATGAGCTGATGAGTGTTGTTGAAGAAGATTCGATCTGGGTGAGAGGGCCTTTATATCTTCTCCCCAGACTACCCATGTCACTGAAAATGATGCTATCCAGCTGACGCAACCATGGAGCAGGCTGTCAAATGAAACCGCGGACATTGTTCAGCTTCTCCTGCCAAGGGCTTTGATGCCTCCAATGCCACCAGCTACATATCGCGCTGGGGCCAGACCCGTGGTGAGTAGGGGCAGGATCGTCGCTGGCGACGCGGCCCGACATCCACTTGGCGAAGAAGGGCTGCTAATGCACTGGTGAGAGGTCCAAGAATTGATGGTGATGCATAAATGGGTTTGCCAGGTCCGTAGTGTTTTAAGTTTAGCTCAGGGTGGTTGGGGTAGGCTATCTCGATAGTCGAGTGGCTCGATGGGTCCTGATGAAGCTTCTAGATTCGCCTAGCTGTATCCCACCAGTAGTCATTAGCTAAGGCTTCAAAACGACGATGTCGAGATTTCACTCATCATGTGCATGACTGCCTGTGCATATCCCACACCATATCCCATGCACATAATTCGACCATCCTGTGCAATCGCGAGTTAACTTGCACACCACCCAATCCCAACAGATCGAACTCCAACCCTCGCTTCCAGCCATGGTTCAGGCTGATCTGGGACTCCACAGGTGGATCTTCCGCTTAATCATCCAGGACCTGCAGCATCTTGGCATCACGGCAGTTACATCCCCCCAAGACCCGTTATCCCGTTATTGGGGTCACTCAACACAAGCTGTCCGCAGGGCCAACTTCAAATGCCACTAAATCTTGGCAAACAGGAGGTAGATAGTTGGCGCACACGCGGTTTCACGGCCCGAGATCTCGAACAGCCCAATTATTGGCCGATTCATCGACGATGATGTGTATCAAAGAATTCATCGGTGTTTGGAGATATTAAGAGTGGGATTGAGGAAGGTATGTGGCGTAGCTTGACAGCCGAGGCTGTGTGCCTCCAACAATGAGTATTCCATTCCCATCAGTGGATTCGCGAACGTGGTGTTATACATGCTGTACTCCGTAGTAAAGGTGCCGATCAGAGCTACGAGCCACAATATGGCCATAATTCTCCTATCAAGTTATCTCAAGATCAGCATTGCTCAAGGCAGAATGGATTCCTGGATGTAATACACCCACGAACCTCATCAACCTGCACCCTCACCCAGTCCAGGGTCATCTCAAGTCTGGAGAAGATGGAGGCGCCAGCACGGCATCACTTGACCCGCCCAGATGATAGAAGCCACCCGATCAAGGGACGAGACCCCGAATCAGGGACCAAGGCGCTGTCATGAAGCGCTGTCCCTGCAAGGCCGTGGGGGCGTCCACCTCATCAGAATTAGGCTCATCACCCACAAACACCCGGCGGCTTGGCAGAGCATACCCTGACTAAACAACCGGGAGTGATTCGTGGGATTTTGTCGGGCTAGAGCGGACGCGTTGCAAGGCATCGCAACGGCGGGGTGTAGGAGGCATTCGCGATGCCGATCCGCGGCGCGTACGTATGCCTCCGCCGCGGCGTGGCTTGGCAGAGCGGAACCTCCGGATCCAATCCAGCTGAAAAACTTATGCCTTGGACTTCGAAAGATCGCAATTGGGGGAGGGAGATGGAGAAAAGATCGATTCACTACGCTGCCAGTCTCTTTCTCAACAGCCAATACTACGGTGGAATCGCGACACGCAATGTTGTGGTCGGACATGCTCTAGATAACCTCCGTTTCCGTTGTCCTTGCCGCAGGATACGGAATCTGCCCGAGGTTAGGCAGTCTGGTTCATGCTACCTCCCAAGTTCGGCCGGGAAGTCGGCCGAAGAAACAATCCAACAAGGCAAAAACCCAGGTCATATTATCATGCATCATTAATTAGCTATCATTCACGTAAAGCAAGACAAGGCAGGCTAAATGAGCCGCAATGGCGAATGAGCATTACCATGAAAATACTGCCACCAAGCGTCACCAACAAAGCAGAGTTAGTACATCTCCTTCACACCTCCTGGTGCACCGCCGTCGCCTTCTCGACCACCTCCCGCGTGGTGAGACCCATATCGGCCGCAAAGGTACCATGCGGCGTCCACCCGGCCGAAGTCCGAGGCGTGGTCTCTTCCATCATCTTGTCCACCTGTTCCAAAGTGAGCCCCTTGGTCTCCGGGATCAAAAAGTAGGTATAGACAAAGGCACAGGCACACAGCGATCCCCAGATGAAGAACACCTTCGCCTTGAGGTCTCCCTTATCCTTGTCCACCATGTACGGAGTAATGACGGCGATGATCTGTACGGTCAGCATGTTTCATTCATCAGGGCAAGGACACTTACGCAGTTCCAAAGCCAGTTCGACGCCGTCGACAGGGCCACACCACGCGACCGAATGGGAAGGGGGAAGATCTCGCCAATCACCACCCACGCGCCGGGACCCCACGTGCTGGCAAAGAAGAAGATGTAGATGCAGATGAAGGAGATCTCGGCGCTGACCGCGTGCTTGTTGTCGCCATCCGCAGTCCCGACGATGGCGACAATGAATTGGCAGATGACCATGCCAAGCGCACCCCACAGAAGGAGCGAGCGTCGGCCAAACTTCTCAATCGTGTAGAACGAGACAGGGGTCGAGCAGACGTTGACAATAGTGGTGATCATGCTGATGAGGAAGGGGTCGTTGATGGTTCCAAGCTGTCTCCGTCAGCATGCACCGCAGTTACGGGTAAGTCGTACTCACCGACTGGAAGAAGGTCGTTCCAAAATAGAAGACAAAGTTGACACCAGTCCACCTGAAGGAGGTTAGCGATCTGCAGATGGGGATGCTGGAGCGACTTACTGTTGCATCATCTGCAGGGAGGTTCCCAGGACAGTACGACGGAGGTTGCTGTTGGGTGAGAAGATACTGCCACGGAAGCAGTTCATCCAGCTGACAAAGTAGCCACCCTCCGGGATCACCTGTGTCTCGTACTGGTGGTTGGCAACAATCTCAGCCAGCTCATCCTTGATATAATCCGAGTCATGGGGCTGGCCGCGAACACGGGCAAGCACCTCGGCAGCCTTGCCCAGCTCGCCCTTTCGGACGAAGAAACGAGGTGACTCGGGTAAAAAGAGCAGACCGGTACCCAAGATCAGAGCCCAAGCGATCTGAAGGGCAATAGGGATGCGGTAGGAGCCCGAGTCGGTGCGGTTCTGGGTGCCGTAGTCGACGCAGGATGCCAACATCAACCCGATCGTGATGCAGAATTGGTATCCCGAGACGATGGCACCACGGACCTTGCGAGGGGCAATCTCAGACATGTACAAGATGATGATGGCTGAGACAAAGCCAACGCCAAAACCCGCAATCAGACGGCCGGCAACCAGCAGGCCCAGCGATGTCGAGGCAGTCTGTAGGACAACACCAACGATGAAGACGACGCAGCCACTGACGATGGTAGTGCGACGGCCAAACCAGTCTGCCAGGTCACCAGCAATCAGAGCACCAAAGAATGTTCCAGCCGACAGGATGGATGTGATCAATGACTTCTTCCAAGACGGGATGACGAAGGAATCGGTAGGAGTAGTCGCATAATCCTAGACTGCATCAGACTCACGCTCATTCAAGCACAAGCAGGGACACTTACCAAGCCCTCGAACTCCTCGATGAAGTACCTCATACCCATGACACCGTTGATATAACCGGAGTCATAACCGAAGAAGATACCACCAAAGGCCGCAAAGGCACACATCAAGTACGTCTTGATGGTGACGGGGGCCTCGACGCGCGAGGCGTCAACAATCCCATCAGCCATGACAAGTGTGAATGATGGACCGTGAGGGAGTGTGCAGTAAGGGTGACAGACAACAAGACGGACCTCTGTGGGAGGAAGCAAAGGGATAGTGTCAAAACAAAGGATGAAGGAGAGGGAGGAAGACGACCGGTGAGATACCAAGAAATAACAAAACACGCCCAGGGGTACCAGCCGGTTTTATAATCCTGTGCGAGGGCCTGAGTTGCATCATGCCCTGCTCACTCGGTTTGCAACTTCCCGTCTTGAATCGGCCCAGCATCGGTTGGTTCCGGGGAATGGCCACGGGGCTCCCCAATCCTGTCCACGATCCTGTCTGGCCAGCGTTGCCCCCGCCATGGCTTGATGGCTGCTGTGAAGCGTCCTTTGCTGTGGTCTACCAACGGTATGTGCAGGGTCCCAAATTACCACCAGTCTGGATCAGGATGCTTGAGTGCCAGTGAATGTCTATTCCCAGACCAAAGAGCCAATCATCAGGCTGAGGTTATATCCGGAGAGTTTGAATTTTTACCGGCCGGGGACTCCGTACGACCCCAGACCAGGCTTCCCCGGCTGACTGTAACATGCAAGCCCGGGGGCCTGGGGAAGATCCAGATCGAGCCCGCTGCGAGTCAAGCATGTGTACAGTAAAAAAGAGTAACTACCCCGTCCTTCGCTTGTAAAGCCAGCCTAGCCAAACAGAAGCTCGGGTCGAAGCCGGCTTGCCCGTCCAGGCTGTTAGTCGCTCAACAAACTGCTCTGATTGGCAGGGTTCCACAGGGGTCGGAAATTTGAACCTACCACGTGCTCCGTTGGGAAGGATTCCCCACAGTCAGAGGCCAGCCTAGCCAGATCAGCTTAGCGCCTGTCAGTTTGGGTTTCTGATCACGAGACGGCGTCTTGGACCCTGATCACCAACAGTCGCTGCGAAAATAAGCACCTCTTGTGTCTCTCACAGTAACCTAGAAGCATTTGCCCCCCCCGGAATGCCACTTACATTCCACTCGGCTTCATGTGTAAACCCCCTAATCTTGCCTCCTGTCAGCCTCCCAATGTAACCTTCCCGAGGCTGACCCGGCGTGGCTACCCACGATCCATCCATCATTCGTACCTAACCTAACACCTGCTAGCGAGCACAGGCGCCCGCCCAGACGCCACTGCAACTATAGAAGGTTGCCCAGCCCCGAGCCGGACAGTAACTGGTCTCTCAGTCCGGATCCAGGTCTTGGTCCGACGCGGCCCTCCTCCGCGCGATCCTTTGTTGGCCATCAAGACTCGACGACCTTCAGCGCTGGCCAGTATTCGACTCACCACGTGGCTCTTCTCTTTTCTCTGTCTAGTGTCCACAACTCCAATCCGAGATCACACCGATGCCCTCCTTTCACCTCCCGACCTCATGATAGCGCGCACATTCGAAATCCCCTCGTCGGAAAGCAGGGTGTCATGCCAAGAGGCTTGGCATCCACGGCGTCTTGTCCCGCCATTGCATGCGCCGTCGTCCCAGGGGGCCCCTACGGGCCCAAAACATTCACCTTTAGCCGAGCGCAAGTCATGGGCCGGGCAATACGAGCAGATAATTAAGCTAGTGCAGCACACCGCTGTCGAAAGATCCAAATCATACCATCATCACTATCCATCTATCTAACTCGGTACCGGTGGCCACATCCCTCGGTACCACCCACAACTCACAAGGATTAAAAGTAGTGTCAGAAACGACCCTCAGGATGCAGTACCACCGCACGTTTCGCCCTCTCGCCCGTACGACGCACGACTGGCTGATCTGAGTCATGTGAGGTCGTATGTGGCTTACGGGGTGAGATCGTGAGTATCACGGAATCCTGGCCATAGCATGCGGTTTTCCGTACTGCAACATCCGCGGTGTGACGTCCACAAGGCTGGCAAATAACATACTGTGTAACGCAACCGAGTTTATATACATAATCAAGAAATCTACTACATAGAATGAATGCAGTTCGATCGATCTCTCAAATGCAAGACCATACCCACATTCCAAGTGTCGGAGGTTCAGGTTGGGATCTTGAAATGCGGGGTAAGGCATCTCCCACATGGCTGGGCCACTCACTCGCGTGGTCATCGCTAGGCTGTCAGGCAGACAAATCATGTGGGGTATCTGTCAAATCTAAACCTCACCTTCATACACTAATACACACCATATTATCTAAGTCACCGGCTAACTGACTAACGGAGCATATATATGTACATAAAAGCTAGCACTAGCTATTCCCTGGTTAGTACTAAACAGTGAAAATGAATAACCCCTCTACCAAGCTTCAAACCAAGCACCCGACAACCCACAAGTCATTATGCCCGAACAGCTATAATCCCATCCTATTGGAAAATGAACCCTGCCAACACATCCTTGCAGGCTGCGTTATCTGCATCAATCCGAAAATGGGAATTGATGGCCCTAGATATCCGAGTTTGGTCGGGTATATCTACATCGTCATCTACCTATCATCTAATATGGATGTCGAAAATGATCTGAAAGAATGCTTCATTCGCTATGCATGCACTAACAATTTACAATTTACCAGATAAAAATATCGTTGTCACCCACCATTTGCATCCAGTCCACTGAGTCCAAATCCATCAGATATGGTGATTTAAGGTCCCTACACACCACGTCAGCACATCCCCTCAACCTAAAGGGTGGGGCAGAAAACTCACCAAGAAAACCAAATGTCCATCCTCATTGGCAATCTTATCCGCGAGATAAATGCCCTGCAGCTCACGGTATCCGCCATCGGCCTTTCTCAAATGCGCCGTCAACTTGGGTCCGCGCTCCGTGTGCTCGAGTTGGATGTCGTGGGAGGATTCGGTGAAGTTGGAACCGCCCCAGATGAACCAGCCTAATGATTTAAAAAATGGGTTAGCGATGTGGTTGTCTTTAGGGGGGCATGATTATCGACTTTGGTGGGGGAGGGGCAGGAAGGGAGGACAGGCGTACCATCAGTGTTTCCGATGTGTCTATCCAGACGGATAGTGCGGGCGACGACCTCGCCGTTGCGACGTCTGGCTTCCACGTGAAGCAGCGTGGAGCCGTTCTCGTGGATGAGGTGGATGTTTTGGCAGCTGGTGTGGAAGGACATTTTGCTTGTTGTTGGGGTGGTGTGGCGGGGTAAGGAGGGGTAGTGTCAGAGTAGTGTCAGGTAGAGGTAGAGGTAGAGGAAGATGGATGGAAGGATAGAAAAAGGATGAGATGAGAGGTTTATATAACTCCTCATCGAGGCATTGCTGCCCTACGCCTACGCCTCCTGGATGGACCCTGGGGCGGGCTGGCGACTGACCTCACCAGCCCGGGGTGGGGCCGTTCGAGGGAGGGGTGGTGGGGCTCGCATTCACTGCATAACCCAGGCAGCAGGAGTAACGTTGCCCACCATTGTTGGTCCAAGGAGGTTTCTTGCAAGAATTAGATACCTTCCAGAATAAATTCCCCCTTGTAGAAACCAAGAAGAAATAATGTTGCTGGGATAAGACCTGGTTCGGGTCCGCCCGAGTGCAGAACCGGTGGAAGGATCGGGGCTGGATGATCCGCACAGGGATACGGTGGGCCGGCGCCGCGTGACTTCAATAGCGCTCATGGTTTCCTTCCCTCGGGTGGTCCCAGGATTTAGGGTAGCATGGAGTAGGTGGGAAACCTCTGTTAGTCGCTGATAGATACCCCCGTACTCGGAAGAGATCTGATACTATTGCTGTAGCGGATGTACCTGAGGCCACCATCCCGCGGATTGAGTTCTAGACCGCCAGGATGGCATCAGCCACATTCTATAATATACTGTATTTGTGAACAGCCACACTTCTTGCCACTCCCCACTTCAGCTTCCCAGCTGGCCATAGATACTCCGTAGATACGTAGATAGACATCCATCTGCCAGATGCATTGAGGCTTGGTGAAACCATCGTCCTTGGCAGTGATGTCGATAGTATCACTTGGCGGTGGCACGCAATTTGGGAATTGTCGCGCAACATCCCAATCGAGGCAGAGTGGAGCCGGTTTGCTCGGGTTATTTTTAGATACTCGAGTCGACTCGGACAGGAGAATAATGGTGTCACGGTCAGTCATTTACCTGGGGTTGTTGCACATACTCCGTACTGCGGTGCGAAATGAGAATCCAGTGACTGGCAATGTCTGAGTATTGGGAGGCATCAATTCAAGAATCAAGGTTCGATTATTAATTAAATAGAGTTATGCAAATGCCAAATACTCTATCCCGCCCAGCTATGCAAATACCATGTCATGGAGACAATAAATCCGAACCAGCCCATGAACCCACAACGCCAATTAGAACATCAATTGGGGAGCCCTGCCATCCCCCCATCAATCAAATGTAGATCCCCATTGACGTATCCCCCAGCCTTACTTGCCAGATACAAAATAGCTCCGGCAATCTCATCGCATCTCCCCGCTCTCCGCAGCGGAATAAACTCTCTATCGAACGCTCCCTCCACCGTGATCTCCTCCTTCGGCGGACCCCCGACCAAGTTACTCGGGAAGACTGTCCAGGTTAGCACCAAGCACAGACCAAAAACCAGAAGGGAAGTAAAAGTAAAAGATATTACTCACGCCCCGGCGAAATTGTATTCGCTCGAATCCCCTGAGGAATCAAAAATGTCATCATCTGCTTCATCAGATGCACTACTGCTGCTTTGCTCATCCCGTAGGCACAACCCCCCGTCACCCTCCGGTTGTGCGCCGCCACACTGCTCACTGCAATTACCTGGCTCTTCTGGGAAACATTTCCCCGACGATTTCCCTTATCCAACAACGACACAAATGCCGCGATCGTATAAAATACTCCCGTTGTGTTCACCCGAAACGTGTCGAAAAACTCCTCGGCTGGCGTCTCCATGAGGAACGACTCCAGGTCGTCTGGTGTGGGGTTCTCCTTTAGTGATCGTCCCACCTTCACACTCCCCGGGCCGTCGCAGATGGTCTCTGGTGCGGTCAAGTAGAGCATGCCTGCGTTTGCGACAAGGAGGTTGATGTATCCGGTTTCAGCTAGGATCTGGTCGGCCGCTACGGCGAGGGAGGCTTTTGAGCCTACATCGGCGACGATAGGGATGATGATGCCGGGGTGCATGTCGGCGGTGTCTTCCAGGGTTTCTTTTCGGCGGCCCAAGATGTAGACTCTGCTGGCGCCGTTCGTGGCGAGGGCGATGGCCATTGTTTTGCCCAGGCCTATGGTTCTCATTAATTGATGATGGGGTGGATGCGGATGTGACCATGACCATACTTACCTGAGCTCCCACCTGTGATGACGGCGACTAGTCCGCGCACATTAAAGAGATCACTGATGTCGTATGGCATTTTGATGTAGTTGACCTTGTTTGAAAATATTCAGAAACAAGAGAAAAGAAAGGAGATAACTCTGAGAGTTTGTCGATGCCATCGGTTTTAAACCAACGAACAGGTGATACGTCCACCGAACGTACCCACCCAGGCCACTTGACATGCCGATCCTGCTTGGATGTATCACAATAACAGATGACGGGTGTATCGCTCTAGATCTGCATCGAATGCCGCGCCAGAACCGGCTTGCTGGGATTTTCGATGTCATTTTGCCCAGATATAGGCAATGGTAGGGATGCTGAGTTGGTTAACCCAAACTCAGCTCTAGCCGCTATCACTCCATCCAGAAAGTGGCGAGAAAGCAGGGTCATGGCTAGCTTGAGCTTGTGTTAATTTGGCCTCGGTAGAGTCTATCTGTTCATCATAGGCTTTTGTTCGGTGAGCTGAGTAACAAACTCACATGGGACATGTTAGCTCTACCATCCTTCCCTAATCCTGCAGGGGGGCATCACGTACCAGTGATCGGGGCCAATTATTGCCACCCAGTTGCAGGTCAATGTTTAGCACGAGTGTGTTGATGGTTGTTCAGCTGGCCAAGTGACCACACCGCAGGATGCATTTTCTAACCAGCGGCCCAGTGTGCTCTTGGGTAGAAACCTGCTGGATATCTATTTCCAGGGAAGGTCATTAGCCACTTGTGCCTCCCGAAAGTTACTCTCCTCCAAGTGTATCGAGTGATAACAACTTCAGAGTTCACCATGCCGAACGAGCCTCTGCCACTGGGTTGGAATCAGTGTGTGTCAAGCGCCATATGGGTAAATGCCCTTGGCTAAAGAATGACTGTTGTAGAATGCCTAATGACTGCTAGCCCAAGGTTTTTGGAGACGTCAAAAAGCACGATAGAAATAGTCTGTAATGGTTTATGATATATCTCACGGGGAGAGAGAAAAATGTAGAGACCGCGGGGAAGAATTGAACGAATGGCCTGTTTGATCACCTGACTGCATTGTTCCAAATCATACCTATGACCATGTTCGCACATCTATACATAGCATAACCTAGCAGGATAATAGTATATACATCTCCCATTCACCTGAGCTATCTCTAAACTCTATCATATGAACACTGGCAACCGACTCAAGTCGCAGTACAGTTGACACTAACCAGCAGACTCTTATCAACCTGTACAGCATTAGCATTTGAGTTTGCATTCTAATTTCAAAACTCACATTATCACAAACAAAATCATTAGTTCCAATTGGACTTGTCACGTTGATATTGGACGTATAGATATTCGAGCAGGTCTATGAAATGTTAGAATTCTATGTAGCAAGGCACGATTTGAACAGCACCTACATCTGGACTCGAGCAGACGATTGTTCCAACATATGGATCGTAATCCCCTGACGTTGTTCCGCGGAAGTTCTTGAATAGAACATTAGAGATGGTGAGATTGCTCTGTTTGCAAGTTAGATTTCTTGGGATATTTACGGTGCTGGAAGTAGGGGTAACGTTACTGACCGGGAACTCATTGCACAGCGTGATATTATCCTGTCCATAGCACTGCGTAACCTCGATAGCATAGTCCACGTTGTCGATGAATGCCGTGTCGTAAGTGATGTTCTTTACGCTGCCTGAACCGCCACCACCTTGTAGATCGGCTGACAGCGCGGAGGGGGTGCCTGGCCAGACCTTGATGCGGGCCATATCCTGCCAATGTATCTTAGTAAGAGACACATCATCTTATAATAAAGGTATACTCACCGAAGCATTGAACATGGAGATATTATACACATAGACATTCTCGACAATGTCTACTTCGCCTTTGTACTGCCCGAGGGAGCCGACAGATATACCGTGGGAGCCATTGCAGTGAAGGTTTTGAACGAGAATTTCAGTGCTGTTTGGCTTGAAGGAAACACAGTCTTCACAAGTTAGAATGTTGCTGCGAGGAGCAGGAAGGTGTGAGCTGCACATACCATCACCGTTGTTGATCACTGAGTTTTGGATCACAATATTGGTAGAGCGGTAGGTGTCCCTATCAGACATAAGCCTTGCGCACGAGTGATCCGATAGAAGCAGGGGGTGTACCATCCATCCGTGTTCTTTGCCTCATTGTCGCTCTTACTATACCCAGAAATATCAATCCCATCAAAAAGCACATCCGATGAGTTAGCCACGAAGTGGTAATACTGCGGGGAATACCGCAATTTCAGCGGGCCGATAGTGCCACCCTTCAGCCCGATAATGCCCATCAGAACTGGCCGTAGGATGAGATCGTCTTCAGCATACAGATCATACCAGACCTGTCCATTGCCATCCAAGATGCCGTTACCGTACATGTTCACATCTTCACCACCGAGCTGGAAGAAGGTCGTTGCGTTCTGGAAGCCCTGTGGAAACGCGTTCGCCTGCCAGTAGTCTGTATCGTTCGTGAATAAGATCTTTCCGAGAACCTCTGCCAAAACATATTGTGTTAATAACATGTACCATAGCAGTCGATCAGTGGAAGTAGGTACCTAAATCAATGTTCTTCAAGAAGGTCATATTCAGCGCCGTTCCGATGATGTACTCCTTATCCGCATCGAAAACGACTTTCCCACCGTGGTTGCATTGGTGTAGCGCGGAGAGAATATAATCGGAGTCGTCAGTACCGTTGCCATGGCTGCGAACATGGCAGGTCCTGTCTCTGCTTGAGCTTGTGGGTAGAGGCCGGAATGGCTTGTGTGGACCGCAAGCTTCGTTTCTGGACCGAGAAAAGCCTTCTACTGTAGCCCCCAGTGCCAGAAGGCTCAATGTTTGTGTGAGAACGTGGGAGACTTTCATTGTGAGAGATGGAAGGGAGTCGACTCCGGGGTCCTGAGGAGAACTTGAAAGTGATCTGTTCGAGACATTGGCGACCCTGCCCCCTGTCATTTATACCCATCGCAGTGAGCAAGCGCACAATCCCCCGCAGTCTTGGCCACGATGACAACACCACCCATGGGCTCGAGTCGGGGGGTTGGTATCGCATATCCGGGGAAACGGAATCAGCTAAACGGAGCAATGTGCGGAGAGGTGGGCCATGCTAAGCTTGTGGCTTGAGCCGGTAATCAACAGGGGCACTTGGCGATTCATTAGCTGCCCCAGAATGTAGTGGAGGGCGGTTGCGTGGAGGAACAACGATGAGCGATGTGATAGGAGGGGTAGGCGGAGTGGATTCTCCGATTGGGGGAAAAAAGTGTGTCTGGGGATTTAGTAGAGAACTTACCCCAGCTCTCTCCTGCAACATTACCTCATTGGAATGGGCGGGCAATATCCGGCTATTCTCTAATCCCTGGTGAGATTGCGCAAGTCAATTCCCGGGGGGGCTTGCAGTAAGTGGCAAGACCAAATGTCGTGCCCTATATTACCGCCGCGATATAGTATCCTAAAAGTCGGCCATTGCGCAACAGTCAATCAGGCAGAGGCAGCCAGACAACCGTGAATCTGCTGAGCGTGACATTCAAATATCCCTTGCATTCATAGGAGCCAATCCAAAAGGACCCCATAAACCCTTGAGAGATTATTGTTCATCCTTACTTGGTCTGAACCTTCATATGGCGGTAACAGACGCACATCGATTTTCTCCATCGCTACAATCCGGAGAGCGACTCCACGTTCTATGATGCTACCAGCATGGGAAAATCGATGCAATTTAAAATGGAATATGTACATATACAAGTCAGAGTGGCCTCTAACCAAGCTCAATCTCTCCAAGGTGCTCTATGAGCCTACTCACCATGCGAAATGTCAAGACAATCTATTGCCACGGAGGCTGCTGTTTACACGACTCATGTTCCAGATAACTCAGCTGCTTAAGCAGACTTCTTGACCGCGGCCTTAGCTTGAGTGGCAACGGCCTTGGCCTGGTCAGCCACCTCGTGTTCCATGTCCTTCACGGCCTCAGTGGTTGAGCCGTCCAGGCTACGGCGGTAGCTGAAGATACGGCCGACCTGGACGACACCGACACATCCAAGGAAGAAGTTGACAGCGGCGAGCCTATTCAAGTTAATTACTGTTCCCCTCAGCATGCTAGGGTCTGATTCGGAATGCGTACAGGTAGTTCTTGGGGGTGATGATCATGCACCAGCGAGTCCAGATAACACCGGTAGCCATCAGGGCACCATTTTGAGTAAGAGACAGCTTCTCGGCGGGACGGCTAAGGTCGGAGATACCGGCGATGACAAGAGCCCACTATTCGAGTCAGTGGGCGGTCATACAGAGATGGTAGGAGGTTATCGCGATCAAGGAGGAAATTTTGTCCGAGTAACGGGCGTCAGCATGGTGTAAGATTTCGTACCTTCATAACAGGGGCCCTATAGATCGTCAATGTTAGTATACAGAGCAAAAATCGAGAAAACGGGTAAATAACAAGTGTGGACATCTGCAGCAGCACAAAAGTCCGGACATAGACTCACCAGAAATGCACCGTCTTCACACCGACCGGGCTGTTCCATAGACGCTGGAAAGTGCTCTGTTGCTCAGCGGCCGCAGCATCGGAACTCTGGAAGCGAAAGCCCTGGGCACCAGGCCGACGGAAAGGGCCATATGCATTGCGGAAAGCAGCTCTGGAGTTCTGGAAGAAGCGAAGACCAATACGGGACGACGACATGGTGAATTATAGGGCGCGGATGGAGCGCGACGGGAGAATCAAGGACGGCGGTGAGGCGGGAGAACGGAGAGAAAAGGACAACGGTCGGTCCAATGGAGGGGAGAGCGGAGATGGTCAATACACGCCGTACGCAAACAACAGTCACAGGCAAGCCGGGGGGAATTTGAGCTTGGATTCTTGGTGAAATAATGACGGAGGGAAGTGAGCGCCGGCGGCCCCGAGGTCGGCCTTCCGTTGGACTTGCGGCTCTTTTCCGGGTGAGCTGCTGAGGTAAGCGGTGACAATCACGCTTGCCCGGATTGGTCTGTACGGCTCTGAACCTCCCGCGGGAATCAATTCGTCGTCTCCTCCCCAGACTCCCTGTGATCAGCTTCAAGCTCGCCTTATCGGTCTTTGCCCCTCCGTCGCCCCCAATTGATACCCGGTGTTGAACTCTACGGGGCTAATTTGCCGTTGTTGACTTTCCTTGCCATTCCGGTCGTCCCGCGTGTCACGATCATCCCCCACAATGTCGTCCAAGTACGTCTTCACCAAGGGTCTGAAGGAGCTGCGCTTCCTTTTCTGCCAGAGCTCTCAGGACAGCGCTGCCACTCGGTGAGTCTACGATCTGCTTAAACGGGACAACAATGGAGAGATCGCTGACATCGATTGCTGTAGCTCGTTCTTGCAGCGCGCATACCCGACCATGAAGAAGCACAACCCTTACACTCCCATCTTGATGCGCGAGGCAGCTGGTACTGTGCCTAGAGTTTACGCCAGATACGGTACGATATGACTGCTTCGTCAATGATCCATGGAAACTAGGTTTGGCTAATCTATGCGCAGGTTTCGGCAAAGAGAAGCAGGAGGCTCTGTCTGGTAAGATTCTTGACTGGAAAACACGAACGCGCGACTGACTAGATATGTTGTCTAGGCCTGACGGACCAGCAGATCGAAGAAAAGATCACTCAATTGGTGAAGGAGTCGTCATAGCGAAATTACCACGCACCCGTATATGTTCATGCACCGCATTTCCAGTTGTCTGCACTGTATCTATAGATGAATTGAAGACTCGTTCGCCGTCTTAACTCCAGTCAATCTTACACGGTTTCATTGCTTGGTTCTCGACTACAGAGAACTTGTACTGTTAGCGACGCTACCGAATCTAAATTGCGCCCAGCTCATGCTTCCCTCCTTCAAGGTCCAGAGTCTCCTTCCGACATCGTCTCCCGCAGCACCGGCTCCGATATGGATCGGAAGCAAGTGGTCAAAGTATGGATGTGCCTGTCGAGCATCCGGCCGCTTCAGCAAGTCCGCCATGGCGGTTTCTCTCTCCGCCGGGTCTTTCTTCGTGACCGCCTCCTTGAGGGCCTCATCGAAGCTGACGGTGTACGGCAACGGCCGCGGGTCGCCCCAGGTGAACTGCATATCGCGCAGATTGTGCACCGCCATACCAGACACGATGATCAGGATATTCTCCTCACGGAGCCTCGACACCGCCTGTCCGAGTCGGTGATGCTGAATGGGATCCTCCGTTTTGAACAGAGATACTTGCACAATTGGAACATTGAGCGGGTTCGACTCAGGCTCGAAGGCTAGTCATGTCAGCATCTCTTCAAAGTCATTCAGTCTTGTCAAACATACCACACTTGAAACTCGCCCACACTCCGTGATCAAGACCTCTCTTCACACCCTCAGCCTTGATCCCCGCCTGGCTCAACACATCAAGCACCTTGTTCGCAACCTCCCGACTCCCCACATTAGGGTACTTTTCCTTGTAATAATGACTGGGGAAACCATAAAAGCTAAACCAGCGTCAGCGAACCACCTCAACCACCCGGGAAACAACTCCAAACCTACTCATAAATCAAATCCGTAATCTCCGCCGTATTAACCTGCACCGTATCCGAACCCGCCTGCCAATGCGCCGAGAAAACCACCACCGCGCGCGGCTTCACCTTGGTAGTAATTTCCTTTCCAATCTCTCCCAACTTATGATACGCCGGATGCTCATGATCATACATGATATTCGGCTAACCCCCATCATCATCGTCAGCACATTCCCAAACTCACTTAACCCCAATAACCACCCCATCATAAACAACACATAAACAAAAGAAAACTAAGAGGAAAACTCACCCCACCATGACTCAAAAAATAAACCGGCGTTCTCGCCATCCCGACGGTATCTTGAACCCCCGCACCGAACCTCCTAACTTTATCCGAAAGACCTCCTGCACCAGCAAGCGACCTCGTCGCAGACGCAGACGCAGACGCAGACGAGGAAACAACCTTCCCCCGACCAAAAACCCGCTTTAAGCCGAACAGATTGGCGTTCGTAGCGTCCAATCCACTTCCAAAATACCCCGCGATGGCTATCGCAATAAGCAGCGCAATCACAGATAATACTGTGAGGGATGGTTTCCTTGTATTTTCGGGGTGAGTATATTGGGTTGTTGCGGGGGGTGAAGACATGGATTAGTAGTTGTAGGTCAATCAATCAACAATAAATATGGTGCATGTATATATAGCAGAGGAGGAGACGGAGGAGAGGGACGGAATCTTCCGGGTGGAGTTAGGGTGTGTGCAGATTAGGTTTAGACGAGGGGAAGAGAAAGGATTTAAGCATGCATGGAAGGGGACAGAAGATCCTTCGTGGCGGGATTTCAATTTATTATGCAGGGATGCGATCCCAGATGGAAAAGAATGAGCTACGGGGTCGAATGTGGTGGTATGATGAGGCCGATATTGTTGCACTTTGTAATCAGACGCGATCCGATCGGGAAAGGAGGCATTTCCGTCGGAAGTGCGGAATTAGGCCGCGCGCTCCTGGATTTTGATTCGTCTGAATAGCATCACGAGGTCTTGGTAAAGGATTTGTCAGTAGAATAGTGTCATTATTAAGGTATTATGAAACAGCATGGGTCGTCCGGTGTCTAATCTAACCAAATCAACATCATTGTGGGAATCAAAGGCGGATACAATCCAGAACGGCCAGACCAGATCCCTCCCAATGGCTTCCCAGGCAAGAAATGCATGCATCATAATCCAGCTCCAGCTCGTTAGGTGGGTATAAACACTCGGCAGCGAAAAATGCACCGGCCGACAGGGTCAAAAAGAGTATTAAACTGGTAGAAAGAAACACAAGAACATCCCCCGAAATCTTAAACGTCCGAAAATCGTGCGCTTTCACATTATGACACAATCACCCTCATTCTGCTTCTGTTGATTGACAGCAGATCGGGAGAGTCGTGTCTTTTGCATCCGAGCGCCGCCCTGTTTAAGTTCCTCGAGCCGCTCACGAGCCTTGGGAAATTGCTGCGCTGTTGGGATAACGTTAGCGATTGAAATGGCCTCGGGATGTAGGAAAACTTACCAGCTGCCCGCCAATACCACCTCTTCGCATCGTCAAGATTGGCGGCTACACCGATTCCAACCTCGGTGAAATATCCCATTGCATATTCTGCTTTGGCAAGGCCAGCAGTCGCGGCTTTTCGCGCCCAAAGATATGCTTCCGTATCGCTCTGCTGGAGGATGCCCTCGGCGCCTGTAAGGTACCATCCGCTAAGAGCAAGTTCACTTTGGTGCTCCCCCTGGGCAGCGGCGTGGGTGTACCAGATGATACTCTGCCGGGCGTCGACAGGACATCCCATCAAGCCATGCTCATAGGCAGTGCCCAAACGGTATTGTGAGAACTTATATCCTAGTTCCGCAGCCTGGTGGAAAAGTTGGCTGGCATAGGCCTCATCCTGAATGACAACATCATTGGTGCCCGCATTGGCATACATGAGGGCAAGCTCGTGAAGGGCATGTGGGTTTTCGGCATCAGCGCGTTCCGCAGCGCGCTTTAGCCACGAAATACCTTCGCGTGGGTTCTTTGACTGGCCGAGAAGTCCCTTGAACAAGATCATTCCCATCTTGTACATCGCCGGTGGGTCACCCAGGGATGCAGCGCGCTTGTACCACTGCACCGCCTTGAAAGGATCACGTTTGGTGCCTCCGCCTTCTTCTTGTCCGATTTCGCAGCATACAGCGACTCGATATGCAGACTGAGCATGCCCCTGCTTTGCTGCGGAATGGTACAGACTGAAAGCCTCCTTGGGATCAACATGCAGGCCCATCTGGCCTTGGCCGTAACAGTCCGCGAGATAGAATTGTGCATCCGCATACCCATTGGATGCCAACTTTTTGACTATTTTGTACCCGTCCATGATATACTTTTCACGGGCCTTCGCCTTGGTCTTCGGATCCATTCGGCTATCATCAACCAGGACGGTCGCAGCCTCGACCAACTTCTGCGCAAACAAGAGTTGTGTCTTGTTGTCTGACGGTCGACTTTTGGCTAGCTGCTGAAGGCGCTGAAGTTCTTGCTGAGTAACTGGTCCAGAGGGGGCTGGTTCGGCAGGAACGGCTTGTGGTGCGGCTGGGGGAGATGCGGCAGTGCTGACATTGTTATATTGCCGTACTGGTGCAGGTTTACTCCCTTGATCGTGACCCGGGCGGAAAGGAACGGGGTGGTGAGGGAGTGCATCAGGATTCTTCTGCGCATCCAGGGGCTCTGGTTGGTTCAAAGATTCTGCCTGCTCATGTACTGGTGCAGGTTGGTTGGCCCTGTAGGGACGCGGTGGCCCATTGCTCCGGGCAGAAGCCTCTGGAGGGGGATACTGCTCTGGCACAGGATAACTCTCTGGAGCTGGATAGCCCTCATGAGCAGGGTAATTCTCTGGAGCGGAATATCCGTTGTAACTGTCACCATATTGTGGCATTGTTGCGCCCCAGCTACCTTGTCTTTGATGGTGGGAATCCTCGTAAGGGTTGGCATTGTATTCATATCCCGCATTGTCCTGTGGATGCCCAGGATGCCCAGGACGCCCCGGAAGTCCCTCGCTCGGTAGGTCAAATTGGAACCCTGCATTGGCAAATTGATTTGGCGCGGGAGCCCTGGTACCAGTCGGTGACTGGGCGTGAGGATCACCCGCCGCATGAGGGTTGAATGCGGTATACCCTCCGCGAGATGATGGCGGTGATTCAATGGGTGCCCTAGGCTTAGGCTGTTCTAGGCCGGGCAAGCTTTCATCGATCACACCTCCCTTTGAAGGATCAGGCATGGCATCAAAGTTGGGCATGTCGTGTTCACCAGCATGAACCGAGTTGTAATAACTGTCCAACCACGCTTCAGTGTCAAAGTGCTCTTGCGGACCTTGTTGCGGGGGAGAGGTGGGATCTTGGTACGTTGACTGTCCAGGGTACAGCGGCTTGGACGGTGCAGGGGGTACCGCTGAGTGAACAGGCATGGTAGCACTTCGATTGACATGTGGTATGGGCGGCGGGCCACTAGGATCGGTGTACGACCTGTCGTACCGATCGGATGAACCTGCACGAGGACGACCAGTACTGGCCGATCTCACAGGAGCAGGGGGGTAGTTGCCTCTACCACGGCCGGGAGACCCAGGTCGAGGTTGCCGTCTACCATGCGACGTGTGCGGGCGGTCCGGCACCTGTGAAGGGGGTATTGGGCCACCGTTGAGGTTCATTGCAGCCATTTCACTCTCGATCCCCCTGGGTCCGCGTGGATCTTTTACCGGGAACGATGGAAAAGGGTTGTCGAATGCCATCTTGTCAGGAGATTGCGGTGGACGAGCAGCTAAACCAAGTCAACAGCGTGTTCCAGAGGGGTAGTTTTGCCGGCACTCACGCGGTCTCATACGATCCTGCATCGGAGGGGGCGGTCTGTCCCCGTATCCACGACGGCCGTCATATCCCTGCGGCGGCGGACGTCCGCGATGTGCGTACCCTCGATCTTCCATTGGGGGGCCATAGCCACCACGCGGAGGCCGCGGCGCACCTCGTGGGGGGGCATAAGACCTCGGGACTGCACTATCACCGGGATAGCCATGTCCCGCATTCTGAGCAGCGTCGCCATACCCGTTATATTGGTTGTCGTAGCCATAATCGTAATGTCCATTTGGCGGCGGGCCCTGATAGGCCCCGCCTCGGGCGGGAGCGCGGGGGCCATAGTTTCGCACCGGGGGTACTCTCTGCGCTGGACGCTGAGGATATGCCATGACGCCAACAGTAATCTAGAAAACCGAACAAGGTACCGGGATCGAGGCGGGTTTTGAACAAGCGAGTACGGATTCTTTGTCCGGTGGGAGGGCAGGAACAATCAGATCACCAAGAACCAATGCTCAAAGGTCCCTTTTCACTCTTTATTCACCAATGGGAGGTCAGCCAACCGAACACGGGTAGATAAGACAGAAAATAGCTGTAAGACCCTAGTAGTCGTTAGGGGCGCGTGGCTTACTGGAAGCTAGGTCTGCAGACGAGCGACACCAGGGCTTCAACAGTCGCATACGAAATCCGCAGCCATCTAACCGAAAAGAAAGACTTGCGCGAGAATTCCGTCTCCTGGCGAAAGGGAGAACAATGGTGTCAGCGGACTAATCCTGGGCGCGATCGCAGGGCGAGCGCGCGAGACCGGTCCAACTCACCAGAACACGAGGGATAACGTTTCCCCCCGCCAGGAATGAAGGAATGCGGGACTGGGCCAGAGAAGAAGCCAATAAAGGCGGCAAAGGAAGGTGGTCTTTTTGAGAGGATAAAGAGCGTGTGACCCCCGAGGGAGGAATTTTAGAACCGCGCCGGAGGTGGAGGTGGTGGAGGTGAAGGTGATAAGTGTTTCGGTCGAGGTTTAGTCAATTAGTAGTACGGAGTAGTTAGTTGAAGGTACCTGACCGGCGAAGCAGTCTGACTGGATGACCAGGGCGGACTAAAAGGAGGGGGAAAGCCACCCGTGATTAAGTAGAGAGAAAGAGAGAAAAGGAAGGGATTGATTGACCGCGATGAAACACTTTATGAATGCCCGCTTTTTTCTCCGGCTCCCTCTTTGTCTCTGATCAACCCGGCCCTCCTAGCGAAATCCGAATAATGATTGTCATTTGGCGCATCGCCCTTTCTTCAGAATCCTCACACTGGTCGGCAACTGACTGACACTTGGGAACGGCTCCTCTGGAGAGACCCACGCCCGTCCCGCCGGGATACAGTCGCTGGTCAGAGTTAGATATCGCTGTCCCACATTGTCGCCGGCACAAAACGGATCTCCTCCTCCGTTCCGACCGCTTTCAGTCTAGCGGAGTAGAGGCATCTGTGGCACGGTGGCACCATGCATCGACTAATCTGCTGTACCCTACTAGGCCTACTACGCGACTGCGTCGGCCGCAGTGGATATCCCAGGGCACCGTCAACGGTCAACCACCCTTCTTCCACTGCAGACTCAGAAACCGTTGGAGTATGAAAGCCGCTTGGCGCGGCGCTACCCAGCGCACCCGCTGGTCAATGACGTTCCATAGCCACTAAATCCATCTACCCCTGAGACATCATACTCCCCAGATGTACGGAGTGCCATCCGGATATCCCGGAATGCGATTCTTTGCCTATCCCAGAAAACTACCGCAAGGTGTTCGATTATCAGGGGTTTGCAATGGTTATGATAATGGGTAGGTAAGCAGTTAATATTGAGGGGCCCCTAGTCTGCTCTTGCACAAATCAACGGATCACTGGACCCCAGAGCAATCTCCGTTCGAAACGCAGGGGCTGCATGGCTCTCATTGGCCTGGGGAGTATATAGATGGGCCCCATGCGTCGAAATATATATTCGCAGATGGGCCTAATCAATTTACGACGAGTTATCAATCATAGGAATGTTATCTTACATAACCTTGTCCCCAGGCGCTAAGTAGCTAGCTGCGCCTTATGAAGTACTACGGAGTACTGGTGGTCCGACGCGCCTACTGGCCTAGAGATAAGTACGGAGTAAATCATTAGTAGGCTCATTGACCAAGCGCTCTTCTCGCTATATTAATTTTTACCCCTGCCGCGTTGACGTATCAGTCATGCCGCACCCAAAGTTACCAACGTGGACCTCAGTGCGAAGATTGTCTTGCTCCCAGAATGAAGAAGGAGCAGTTCTACTTGGTGGTCATCGACTTGGGTGAAAATGCATAATTTTTTTTCGACAAGGAAGATTTTTGCTACCATGAGCCCTTGACTAATGGCACTCCACAATAAGATGATGATCAGCTGCACCTACTGTAAGAGTCCTGTGAAGTGGGCTGCACATCGCTCGGTAGAAGAGAACCCTTCACCACCAATCGAGAATTATTGCCGTTACCCATGCTTCTATGCGATTATAATTAGACACGTCGGTGCCGAGCGGAGCGATGTCTCAGACATTCAGACGTCACAGGAACCATTCAAAGAACGAATACGGCATCTTGGCCGTTTTCTCCGAGGAGACCCCTAGCCGCACATTCGAGCAATAAGGATTCAATGTACATAGTAGTGCTGATCTAGTGGCATAGCTGGTGGAGCAAAGAAGAACTTTTCCCTTTGGGTCTGGGCAGCAGCAGGCAGTCATCCCGAATGCCGGTTCGCTTCTCTCATTGGTGGACGGGGATAACGGTCTTAAGTTGCGCCACTTGCACTAGCCTCCACTGCTGCGCCACATCTCGATCGGCCCTGCCGAATCCCGTCTGCGCGATTACAATGATGCTGATGAGCTCCGATTGACGAACAGACGCACTCACTCGGACATATCCCGTCGATTCAAGACCACAATCGCCTCGGTATATCCACTTTCAGAAGTCAATTCACCTTTTTGACATCACTCCCCGACAGCTAGTCCACAAGCAATTGTTGCCAACGATCCGAACTCGCCTCTCATCATGTCTCGGGCAGGAACGTGGATGAAGATGCTGGGCTGGTACGGCGTTTCCACACCCTTCCTCTCGATGTGATTCTCCGGTTTCTAACGGGTATTAGCGGTATCGTTATCTGTGTCGGTGGCCCAGCATTCGTCCAATACATCCGTCCCACCGACGAAGAACTGTTCAAGCGATACAACCCCGATCTTCAGAAACGGAGTCTAGAGGAGGGCGATCGCCGAGCTCGGGATTTTGACGAATATGTCGGCAAGCTGAAACAATGGTCCAAGTCTGATAAGCATAGTGCGTTGTGATCTTCCATTCCCGTTGCTCCTTGGGTAGTTCTCGATGAGCAGATGAACTAATGTTTTAAATCATATAGTTTGGTTCGCAGCCCAGGAACAACAGGAGCAAAAGCGCCTGGAGGTCGAGGCAAACCGGAGTCAGGCCAAGGAAGATGCCAAGGTCCAACGTGAGGAGATGAGGAAGGAGTTGTTGGGCGAGAAATAATTTATCGCATTGCGTCGGCCACGAGGGTATGGCCTTTCAACGGGATAAAACCGTCGAGGCTATCTTCCTCTCGTTACATACCTCCTCGATCAACAAAAGGATGAAGGTGGACTATCGATCTCTGCATCATCCCTGTATTTATACCCATTTCGTCTCCCTGAGACATGTCCAAAAGCGTTGTGTGGAAGCATTTGGCTCAGAATTATGTGGAGTTTCGGGGGCTAAGGTCTATCCTGTATTATATATCAACGACTGAATGGAATTCTACGCTCACATTCTATGATACGATGCCGTGAAATTTGCGTTCGCAACTAATGTATCAACATGAGCGCTGACTGATCTAAAATAGGAGACGCGATTGGTGCCAGCTTATGTAGTAGATCCAATTCTCACCCTTAATAGTTGTACTGACGTTCCAACCTACCTGAATACTACTCAGAAACCCCAACAAAGCCAAAGTCAACCCCTGCATGTAGCAAGATGCTCATGCAAACATGGACTTTAGTGCGTATACGAATCGCAACATAGGCCATACCCCACAGGATCCATGCAGCCAGAATCAGGCTTCAGGTATACACCCTGTTCATACTCCCCACAAAGACAAAGAGTCCTTCATAACCGAAGATAATGTATAGCCTGGCTATGGTAAGCCAATGCAGATTTTTCCTAATACTTGACACACCCGTTCCTCAACGGCTCTGAGACACGTTGCCGCTATGATTTTGGAACTTCAATAGCTTCAATTCGCACCGTTTTAGTCGACATGACTGAAATAGATAGGTAGAAAGATTGGTACTCGCACGATTTCCAAGAAACTGAAACACTATGTGTGGTAGCGACGAAAACTTGACAACGATAACTATGAGTCTCAGAGTGTTAGAAATTCCGCCTCCAGACGATCGCTAGACAGATCACTCTTTTCGGTGGATATAGATGCCAATAGAGCAGCTCTCACGGAACAGATCTTTCGGAAGGGTTTCACATCCGGCAATGTAGTGTGGGCGGTCTCAAATGCACGATTATTTAAGAAGAATCATTGCAGTTAAGAAGCCGGCTTTATTGTTTTTCGCCGTTAGAGGGTTTTATGTGTGAGTGTCATTTTCTAAATTAGATTCTCATGTTAGTGACACTAGAGCGGGTGATATGAAAATATGCGACATGGAAGTATGAGTCTCCCAAGAGACTACTAAGTAACAGAAGGGCAAGAGGGAAACCCGTATGATCTTCGAGTAGCCTCACCACCAATTCCAGGTCTTTATCATCTTCTTCCTCGGCCAATGGTTGTAGAAGATCATCGTCAGCTCATAAGGCGTCTTGCCATCTATGGCCTGCGGACATGGATTAGTGCCCCTATCAAGGAGATACTTGACAATACTTCTGTATCCATGCATGGCAGCGTGAGTCAGCTGTTGAAGGTTGCCGGCACCTGTCACTTTTGGGTAGGTAGAGCTATTTTCTATTCTGAAAGCGTACATATGTGGTTTGGGCTTGTCGAAGAATTGACCAATGAGAGATGTAAACGTGATATCGCTGAAATCTGACTCGTACAGTTCGTTCACCAATATGGAGGGCAAGGATATAGTACTATGGTAGTAGACGGGTAGTAGTATGTAGTTAAGGAGCCCTTGCTGTCAGCCTCCCTCATATTACATCAGGGAGAAAAGGGCCCACAGTCCAGACTCAACGAGGGGGATCCCCACGTTGAAGTTGGTGGCGGAAGGCGCAGCATATCCGCCGCACAGCCACATTAGCAGGGCGGGTTTCTTAAGCAACGCATGATTTGGGCAGGCAATTGACATACCTCATACCGTGACTTGGGAGAGCGGCTGGTGCCCAATAAGCTGCAATAAGCGGACAACTGGCGTTTCTATTTCGGTTTCCCTACAAAGTGCGTGGACATCCTCCGTACTTCACTACTGCACCGGGTACATACATAGACTCCATTGACAGCTGTAGATCTTCCATTTCCATTCCAGGTAGGTAGATGTTTCTACTCCGTACAGAGCATCCTTCCCTTTCTGATGTACGCAGTAGTGAATCAAGGCAAAGTAGCAACCCAAGTATCTACCCTTGGACTTCCTCTCTTCTCTTTGTTTCGACTCCCAGCCGCTGACCCAATGGGTTTCAGCACTAAAATAGCTGCCTGCCGGGACTGTCTTTCCCAATAGACCGCGGATCACGTGCACCGCCCCGACCGAACCGAAACGCCTGTAATCTCCAGAAGGCGGGCGGCGATTCATCACACCTTGTCAGCTTCCCTCCAACAACGCATCCTACTTTCCCTCCTGCATTCCATCATCCCGCCACCTTCCAGCCGCACTCCGACCCTCTACCTTCTCGCTTCTCACCGCACTCCCAGCCGTCGAGTCTGTCGCTGCGATTTCCCGCCTCATCCCCTACGAAAAGGAACAGGCAGCAGCCCGTCACCTCCAGCTCGGTAGTCTGGTGACTTGCCAGGTCCTACATCCCGAATATTGAATACGCCGAGTCCGTCGCATATTACAATCATGTCCGAGCAGCCCTACGATCCCTACATCCCCTCTGGGTCCAACGGGGCCAGCGCCAGTGCTGCGCAGAATGGCGACCCCAGGACGAGGGAAATCGACAAAGTAAGTGGCCGATACGCCTCGCTGCCAGCTCTATTGTACCACAAGAATGTATCGTCCAGGTTGGACTGGAAGTGACCGTACTTCGGTGCTCTTTTGGGGGGGGCTTCTCCGACATTGTTTAGATTTGAGGGCACCCCCGGTTTCGGGATGTTATTGGGCTTCTGTTTATGGTGATATATGTCGCGAACATCTAACTAACGCGTTGTTTCTTTTACTTTATTAGAAAATCCAAGAAACTGTCGACACAATGCGCTCAAACATCTTCAAAGTTTCGGAACGTGGTGAACGTCTAGACTCTCTCCAGGATAAGACGGACAATCTGGCCGTATCAGCCCAGGGATTCCGCAGAGGCGCCAACCGCGTGCGGAAGCAAATGTGGTGGAAGGACATGAAGATGCGCGTGTGCCTCATCATCTGTATCATTATTCTGCTTGTAGTGATTATCGTCCCTACTGGTAAGATCTGCGCTCTTCCCCGGAACACAGCGATTCGGTAAAAGGTCCCGACGGCGCTAACAGGTCCTCCCTCTAGTTGTCACCACCAGACATTAATGATCCTCTTGGGAATGGATGACGTTTTTCTTTCACCTGGCCCTGGTTTATCTGTGTTGAGACCGCGAAGCCTTTGTTTCCAGCTATTAATACCTCCTGCTTTTTTCTCGGGCGTCAACCTACTCGTTCTCACGAATAAAGTATTGTTGTCTCTCTACGCCATTGACGCTATAAGCCGATTTGGGGATTGAGGCTATGCCACATGATTCCATCGACGGTGAAGATGTAAATGATACTCCGGTGCTTCCTCATGTTCAAGTATCAGTGTTGTTTGTTGGTTTGGTTTCCTATGTTTGCTGTTTTCTTATGTGTCTCCTTTGTCTTTCTTTAGCCATGAATGGACTCACCTTCTACCACATCGAACCTCATACGGGCTACTCGGCTCGTATATTGAGTGTACAAATACTTAGATTAACGGAGCTGTCTGGAAGGTAGATATGGCATACTTGAGTTAAGGTTCGTGCTGTGTATAGCGGGTACTAGTGATGGCCAAATCCGCACCCCACGCTGAATGGAAGCGGTCGGAGGATGAGGAGATGAGGAGATGAGATGTGGACCGCGTTAATATCGAATCTGGATACCCAGGGTAACGTGTTAGGTAAGGAGAGGATCAGATAACGAAGAAGGATCCATCTGCACTCAGCACTGACGGCTTTGACATCTGTGGTCTGAGTCGCAATGGAGCACGACTCCAGCGACTCGGGAGCGCGACAGGCTGTCATTCGCTGGCGACCTGATTCTCGGCAGTTAGCGAGATCAGATAACGAGCGCCAGGAGTTATTATTGTATGATGAAAATTGATCAGAGAGGATCAAAGAGGATCGACGGGGCCCATTGCTCGGTTTCCATTACGTGTGTCGACGCGAAAAGGGAAGCAACTCGAGATAGGGAGCGAAGCAACCCGGAGGAAACCGAGGAAACCAGAATGGGCCCGGCCTGAATAATGTGTGGTGAGTCATGCCCGTGTCAGTGTTCGATACCCGGCTCCGAAAGTCGCAGCCAAGCCAGCGTTACTTCGGGCACTTGTGCGGACTGGCATTTATCCCTCAAGGTCGAATTACCAGCTGGAACTTGCGCAATTTATCTCAGTGGTCGGCTGAATTCGCTCAACTCCGGTAGCAGTTGGCTTGGGTTCCCTTGCAAGCAGCCTAAAAACGAGGCAGACGTGCGAGCAGGAAAGATATAATAATTGCGACCGACCACCCTGGAAAGTTGGGAGTCATAGTACTACTAGTCGAGTTCGCGGCCGAAAAGCCCACGGAACCAAGGCGATTGCGGCTAGTCATTGGGTCGGAGCTAGTGAGTAATAATTCCCCCCTCAAGGACATCCGCTCCGAGGAGTGGCCGATAATCAATCTGGACGATCAAACTCTTTGGGGGTTGCGGCAAATTCCCTGATGAACCCGCACCACCTCCGCACAACCTTTTTTCCCTCCTCCTCCTTGTCACTCCTCACCTCACCTACTCAACTGCTCTGACTGCGCCTCTCCCTTCAGACCTCTCCTCTCGACCCTCTGTCCGACTAGGCCTCAAAGCTGCCGCATGCTGGCTGGCAATATGTTCTCCCTTCGCACCGCCGTGCGGAGAGCTTCCACCAGCAAGCCCCTCCGCGCCTTCTCCGCACAGCATGCCGTTTCCTCTGCCAGACTCGGCTCTGCCCGTCATTCCCTGAAGGCCTCCGCCGTCCCCTTGTTGCAGGGTCGCCACTATTCCCGGGCCACTGACCCCCAGCTTTCCTCCACCCGCTCGACCGTTGTCCAGCTGCTGAGCAACATCGGTTCCAAGCGCGAGGTGCAGCAGTATCTCTCTCATTTCACCTCCGTTTCCTCCCAACAGTTCGCTGTCATTAAGGTCGGCGGTGCCATCATCACTGAACACCTCCAGACCCTCTCCTCCGCCCTTGCTTTCCTGAACCATGTTGGCCTTTATCCGATCGTCGTCCACGGTGCTGGTCCTCAGCTCAATCGCATGCTGGAGGACGCCGGTGTGGAGCCTCAGTTCGAAGATGGAATTCGAGTCACCGACGGAAAGACACTGGCCCTGGCTAGGAAGCTGTTCCTGGAGGAGAACCTGAAGCTGATTGAGGAATTGGAGCGCATGGGTGTGAGAGCTCGTCCTCTGAACGCGGGTGTCTTCACCGCCGATTACCTCGACAAGGACAAGTATAACCTGGTTGGCAAGATCAATGGCGTGAACAAGAAGCCAATCGAGTCTGCCATCGAAGCTGGCTGCCTTCCCATCCTTACTTCCATGGCGGAGACTCCTGATGGCCAGGTTCTCAACGTCAACGCTGATGTCGCTGCTGGCGAGTTGGCGCGTGCGCTCCAGCCCCTCAAGATCGTCTACCTCGCCGAGAAGGGTGGCTTGTTCAACGGCGACACCGGCGAGAAGATCTCTGTGATCAACCTCGACGAGGAGTACGACCACCTGATGACTCAGTGGTGGGTGCGTCACGGTACTCGTCTGAAGATCAAGGAGATGAAGGATCTGCTTAGCGACCTTCCTCGTACCTCCAGCGTTGCTATCATCCACCCGGCCGATCTTCAGAAGGAACTCTTCACCGACTCGGGAGCTGGTACTCTGATCCGCAGAGGCAACAAGGTTCACACCAAGACCTCGTTCTCCGAGTTCGAAGATCTGGACAAGCTCAAGGAAGTCCTGGTCCGTGACCGCGAGGGCCTGGATGCCCGCGCCACTGTTGACCGCTATGTCGAGGGCTTGAAGGAGCGTGACTTCAAGGTCTACTACGATGAGCCCATGGAAGCGCTGGCCGTTGTCTTGCCCCCTCAGAAGGATGCTACTTCTTCCTTGGCTCACCTGGCCACCTTCACCATCACCAAGTCCGGATGGTTGACGAATGTCGCCGACAACGTCTTTGCGTCTATCAAGAAGGACTACCCCAAGCTTGTCTGGACCGTCAAGGAGGATGATGAGAACCTCACCTGGTTCTTTGACAAGGCTGATGGTAGCCTCAGCCGTGACGGAGAGGTCCTCTTCTGGTACGGTGTCGAGAGCGGCGAGGAAGTGAAGCAGCTGGTCCAGGAGTTCAACCAGCACGGCCGCCAGATGTTTGGAGATATCAACCTCGAGTCGAGGCTGCACCGCGCTGCCCAGGCGGCTACCAACATTGGCAAGGGATTCGGTGCTAGCGGTGCTTCTGCTGAGCAGAAGCGTGCCTTCTCCTCTACGAGCAATGCTCTGCGGGCTGCTCGTTCAGCGCGCCCGATGGTTCCTGTGAGGGCTGTTAGGACCTACGCCACGACGAACCCCAACCCGCCCCTGGGTGAGAAGAACATGTCCAACGCCCGCCCCTCTAAGGTTGCTCTTATTGGAGCTCGTGGCTACACTGGCCAGGCCCTGATCAACCTCCTCAACGCCCACCCTCACATGGATCTGCGCCACGTCTCTTCGCGCGAGCTCGTTGGCAAGAAGCTGCAGGGCTATGACAAGCGTGAGATCATCTATGAGAACCTCAGCCCCGATGATGTTAAGCGCATGTCCGCGAACGGAGATGTGGACTGCTGGGTCATGGCTCTGCCCAATGGCGTCTGCAAGCCGTTCGTTGATGCCGTCGACCAGGGTTCGGAGACGGGTAACGTCATCGTTGACCTAAGTGCCGATTACCGCTTCGACAGCAAGTGGACTTACGGTCTTCCTGAATTGGTCAGCCGTTCCAAGATCGCCCAGGCTACCCGTATTGCCAACCCTGGATGCTACGCCACTGCCGCTCAGATCGGAATTGCTCCTCTTGTCCCGTTCCTCGGTGGTCAGCCCACCACCTTCGGTGTTTCCGGATACTCTGGAGCTGGCACTAAGCCAAGCCCCAAGAACGACGTGGAGAACCTCACCAACAACATCATCCCCTACAGCTTGACTGATCACATCCACGAGAAGGAAATCAGCGCACAGCTCGGTACCAGCGTTGCGTTCATTCCTCACGTTGCTGTCTGGTTCCAGGGCATTCACGTATGTTTTGGTCCTTTTCCTTAAATCAATTCAGTCGAAACTGACTTCTGTCCAGCACACCATCAGCATTCCGCTGAAGGAGGAGATGACCTCTCGTGACATTCGCAACATCTACCAGGACCGTTATGCTGGTGAGAAGCTTGTGAAGATCGTTGGCGAGCCTCCTTCCGTCAAAGACATTGCTGGCCGCCATGGCGTTGAGGTCGGTGGCTTTGCCGTCCACTCCAGTGGCAAGCGGGTTGTCGTGTGTGCTACCATTGACAACCTGCTCAAGGGTGCCGCCACCCAGTGCTTGCGTGAGTCCCTCAGTTCAACAGCCCTTGAATTGAACAGATGGAATAACAGCTAATACGATCTCTACAGAGAACATGAACCTTGCCCTTGGCTACGGCGAATACCAGGGCATCCCCCTTGACTAGGTGTCACCCATTTGTTAAATACGCCTCATGTAACATTGATCTGGTCCGAGGGTAGGTATAGAATCCCGGGACGTCTTTTTTTTGGGAATCGAGAAAAACAATTTTCGTGTCTAATTTCTGGTTTGATCTTTCTCGCATGTCTCATACCCCACGTGCATCTTCCTGGGTTGCTATGGGTTGGAGATAATTGTAGGACCTTTTACCTCTTTCTTCATTCTCCATAGTCAACTTGATTTCTTCTGCTTATTGTCCTCAATTTCTGCTTCATTCCTTCTCCATAGAGTCCTGACCTCCCTCATTGTCTCGTGTCGCCTTTCTTTTCTTGTCTCAACGGACACTGAAAAGCAAGTCTTCTGTATTATGTCTCTGTGGTCTTATCGGCGCTGGTGCAGTGCAGCAATATAGATGGGGAACGGAAAAGCTCGGTCTGGTCTTATAGTAATTGAATTCACACGCAATTCGCTCATTTGGATACTGCCCTTGCTCACATCGTCCGGTGCTCGAGCAAATCTGTCTAGCTCACTCTAATCAATGGAAAAATGTACAGACCTCACAGTATTTAAAATGGAAAATTTCACCAGCGAGCTTTTGCTCCTGTTCACTCCGGTCTGCTCCTAAGCGAAGAACTTCCAGTTCAAGTCTCCCACTCATGTATGCATCCTCACTTACTCCCAACTGATCCTACCCACGTCTATATCCCTTCCAGACTCACAAACCTGCCTAAGTCTCTCACTTGTCACCTTATACTGCTACACAATTAATTCCCTACTGACTCCCATAGTCTGCATTCTTCTTTTCTCCAACTGGAATCATCTAATCCGCTGAACGGGCGTCTTTCCAGGCGGGTAGCCAGTGCAGTAAGTGATGACTTGACCCCTCCAAATCTCCAGCATTTATCCATCTAGCACATGATAGTTGGGTCTCAAGGCTGAACCCATCTGCTTAACCTAGAATCTCTTTACGCAAGTCTGTTGAGTCATTCCTTAGGTAGACGCATCCGCTTGCTCATCTTACTCCGCCCACGATTCGCGTCTGTCTTCACGCGATACTCTGATAAACACGAGAAGGTTTTGAGGTATTTACACGCGCTCCAAGTCACTTGCTGGCTTTCAAAAGGTGGATATCGGCTCAAGGGACGCGTCGGGGCGCGTTCTTCTGGGCTGATAAGAAGGGGAGCTGGGATGTTTTATAGTCACGAGAGTACGTCGATTCGACTTAACATCTCAGAGCGTTGCGTCCTAATCTGGGCTGGATGGCGCTGATGTCTTCTACTTCTGACAGTTCTTACTTCTCCCGAGCATGGCGTTGCTACGGTCTGGTAGGTGGTTTCCCTTACTCCGGATTCCTTAGGGGCTCTTTCAAATAAGCTGATATTGCGGCGTCTACAGGCTGGTCGCCACTCTGGGCTCGAGATCTATCACTAGAAGACTGAACAGAAAGGCTATATTGGATGTCGATGTCCCCAAAGCGTGTGGCGTCATCATGGATCCGGCGGCACCGATGGCGCTGAGGCTTCAAGGAAACTTGCTGTGAGATCAATATAGCACGGAAAGCTTTAGAGCATGGCTGCTGATGAGGATATGGTTTAATCTAGATATGGAGTGTCAAGGGTATACAACCAACAGTGTGGGTATACACTCACAGACGTCCAAGCGATGCATGATAGAATGAGAGCGGTGCTCAAGGTCATGCCGGGAGGTGGACTGGACCCATCAGCAGGAAAGGCTAGGTTTGTCTTCCATTCGTTGTGTTGATGTTCCACGCAGCCATTACTATTTATGCCCCGTGCTTACGCTCTGTCTAGGCCAGAGCAGCTCATTTTACCATACGACCCGAGTTTCCTCCCGGAAATCAACCTGCCTGGCTTGGGCCTCGACCTTTCGAAATTCAGTCTGTCGATTGACATGAACCTGAGTCAACAATCTAGTCTGGCTTGGCCAAAGACACCAGACCTTAGCCAATCTGTCCTTTCACAACCTACCAGCCTTCGATTGGACTTATCTTCTGATGATATCATCTTGAGAGATGTAGGTGGATTCAGCTCGGATACCAATGTCACCCGATACGGTGGAAAAGCCATTGATTTTACCGGCATCGAACCATTTGCTCTTAACGAGGAATCTGGCGTAATTCTCCAACAAGACTTCGAATTCGATGAGGATGGGAACATCATCGAGCTTGGCGGCTCGCATCAAGCCGAAACAAGACCCCGGGGCGTCACATCATCGGTGTTCGGAGAGAGAGCTGTAGAAGATAAGGCGGATGGTCTAGAAGACATTGTTATGGACGATCAGGTAGCGCCCCACTGATAAGTCAATAGGTCCATGACTGACGTGAGGCCGCATTAGCCAGACTTTTTTGATCAACGAGTAAAGACAGCACCAAGGAAAGAGCCAGAAGTGAGGCCAGCTGACGCCCAGAAGACCGCAAGCAACCGTCCTTCAATATTCGATCAGCCAGGCGAAGACGAAGACATTGTGGAGTCGAAAGCAGCAATGCAACAGAGACAGAGAGTCCCCAAAGTCATTGGCTTAGACGACCAGATCGCACTCCGAAATACTGAATTGGCTCAGCTGAATGATAACTATGTGCGGAACATGAGGGCTGCCTCAAAACAAAAGCAACGAAATAAACTTCCGACACTAGCAAAGAGAAATGCTGCCTTCTGGGTCTTCGGTCAAGGTCTTGGATCTGTCGGCATTGGTGTGGGATCTTCTCGTGTCTTGCATCCGTTGCATTCATTCTCGGGCGAGAAACTATACGATGCACTCAATCCTGACCTTATCAATAAAGGCAAGAAACGTATCCACCCCTCGGTAGAGGAAGAGGATGCCTTCGAAACACGACGTGTACGTCCAAGAGTGGAGGACGAGGAACAGATCGGCCGCTTCAACGACGATGGCTTCTGGCATGGGGTTTGTATATGCTATGCTCCCTCTGTGTAAACGAACGCAACTAACATCTTTCCCACAGGATGTTGAAATAGGTCGCAATGCTCCACCAGACCTTCACGATGACAACTCCATCCAAATGCCATGGAATGTCACAGCTTCCATCCAGAGCTCTCGACAAGGTTCCTCTGCCGCGAAGATTTTCCACGGATTTGGCAGCGCCAGTGACTTTTCTTCACATGGCATCTCTGATGTTGGTCTTGGAAGGCCACGGAGCCGTCTCACGAGCGCAAGTCCTCTTGCAGGCCGTGGTTTCGATATTGAAGCCCTTCACAGTCTTGCGATTCCCGGCAATGAAGGTGATGAGATGAACAACCTTGATGACTTTGATATAAGCCAGTATCTACACACTGAACTTGACGCAGATAATGCCGGAGTGTTGGATGAAAAACCAGTAATCGAAGCCGGTCCAACACGCATTCATGCTTTTCAGAGCCTGCAAGCGTTCAATGATGACTCGCAAAAATCAACACTAGACCAGGAGAGCTTGAACTTTTTTGAGTATCTAACCACCAGACTAACTACAGCAACTGAAAATAATAAAGAAGGATGGACTGGCCTACAGTCGAATCTAGCCGAGGCAGTTAAGACGATGTCATTCTCCACGCTTCTTCCTCCACAGAAGACCTCTCGTGTTGTGGCTACCCAAGGCCTTATGCATGTACTCACACTTGCCACTAAAGGTATTCTCGCAGTACATCAAGAAGCCTACGAAGACCAAAGCAGCGAAGAGTACGGTGTGCGATACAAGTATGGTGAAATTCACTTATGCGTACCCGGATTGTAGATGTTCCCCTGCAGCAGAGCGTTCGTCATGTGTTTCCAGCTCCGTGGACGACAGGTCCTTTGTATTGAGTTCTCAATTTCCTTTCACTATGTTCTACTCTCTATCTACTTACTTCTAATTCTAATCTGTCAATCATCTTCTAAGCGACCGTTTGAGGTACGCTCGATTTACTTTCTAAGACAGCCGGCCCATCTAAATCTCATGTCAATAATGTCTTACCCCCAGATATCACGACTTCTAGTCCGCTTCCTGTAACGTGAGCCAATAGGCCAACATCTATGACTAAGACATCCCATGGGTTAGAAATCCTCGTTGAACAAAGGTAAGCACGGTTGGCAGATAAGATTATAACAAGCCTATGACCAATGTCCCAATGTAGGCGGCAAGTACGGAGTATAAATCTCGACAAAGATTTCCGGAACCAAGATGACAACATACAACATACGAGCCACGACGGAATGAAGCGACAGGGCAAAGAAAGGAAGGCTCGCGATTGGTCTCGGCCGATTGGTGGGCCGGTGATCTCATTACAAGATGAGGAGACCAGTTCAGCGTGGACCACGTCGGTTGGCAATCTGGGCAGCTGTTAAATGCCTCCATAGAACGCAGGAGTTCTATTTTCAATTTGTCGAAAGGGCGTCGTCGTCACTTTTCACGGGTGTAAAAACGACGGTCCCTGATTAGATCCATACCAGGTACGGTATACTACGCAGTAATACACTTCCTCGATAGATGCGTCTATTTGTACGGATGTTTACCAGATCTGATCTGATCAGATCAGATTCAGGTATCCGTCTTGAGGGGGTCCCACGATCAACAAGATTTGGGAACCTCACACTTCGTATTCACCACCCACATTCTCCGTTCCGCAGTGATAACGTCCAGGGGCCTCCAAGACACGGAAACACGCGAGGTTGGCGGTGGCTGTGCCGCGCTGGGCTGCGTTCCTTACACAGCATACGCTGTCCGAGAGTACACCGTAGCGTGATCGCGAGGCAAGACGCCATGAATATTTTAGATTCAAGACAGTTGATGACGGTCTCAGGGTCCGAGTTGGATCTGCTACTAAAGTATGGAGTTATGCGAAATGACAGCACAGCAAGCATCCGCGCGGACCGGCGATAAGTTGTGAGACGCGGTATATCGAAACTGTAAATGTGCCGATCGTTCCATACCCTTACACCGGTACCAGTACCTGGTCCTGGGATACTAACGGGGTATTGGGGCACGAACGCATCTATAAGGATGTATACACGGGACTACGGGTTCCTCCGTGATGATCGACTTGGGCTGCATTTCGAATTTCTTTTCCATTTCCCTGGCTTGAGGGATTGAAGGGCCCCCCGCTGATAGGCCTGGAAGCGTCCGCTTATTTTGGGAACGTGGTCGGCTTGGTCAGCCTGCCGCGTGACAAATTTTGACTTTGGGGGGTCTGAGGCACCCCAGACCAAGTTGCACCTGCTGGGGGGGGGATGTCATTGACTGTCTTTGTTTTGGGGACAAAGAAATGAAGATGGAGGGATGGGAATAGCGAGGCAGAAGTGAACAGCACGATCCAACAATAAACGATCGCATCCATCGTAGTGGTCAGAAATCAGTAATCCAGTAATGCTGTGCGGGTTGAAACCCCTCGGGATCAAAATTACGCGGGTGGTAAGGTCTCGTCCTGACAGGCTCGCGTAAGTTAACCGCCACCGTCTCGGTCTTGTCTTGTCCCCGTCTTGTCTTGTCTCGTTCGTTCTCCCTGGCCGTCAAACACTCTTCCTTTTCACTCTCGCTCCCCCGAGTCGTCCTCGCTGCCTCGTCCACGTCCTCATCCTGCTCCCTCGCCCTCGACCTCATCCCCATCCTCCGGAGGCGCCCTTCTTATCATCTTTCTAGCCGGTTCCCCCCGTTCAAGCCACCCACCATCGATCTATTCAGCCCCTTCGTCGTGAACATGGGTCGGACCGTCGACCAGGAAGTTCACGCGGCGTTCGTCGAGTTCCGCGCCAAGGAAGACGATAAGGTGCGTGACTCCTGTATTTCCCGTAATATTTCAACCCGCCGCCCAACACCAGCGTCACTGACATGACGACCGGCTTGTTTGCTTTCGCAGTGTCTTTCCGTCCAGTGTATCTACTGCCAGCAGATTCGCGCAAAGAACACCTCGCGCCAGAAGCAGCACCTGCTCGAGTGCCCCGGCCTCCGCGGCCACACCAACCCTCAGCCCCAGTCCCAGTCCGCCCAGGCCGCCCCGAATGGCATCACCGCTGCTAATGGCTATACTCCCACCCCCAATGGTGCTGCTGCCACCGCGCCGGGCCCTGGCCCTGGCCCCGGTGCTCTCGCGACTCCCAACGGTCCCATGATGTCTAACGGCGTTAATCCACATGCTACCCCGATGCAGACGCCGCTGCAGAACATGCAGGGTCGCGCCTCGCTCCCGACTACAGGCCCTGCCGGAACCGCTACCACGGCCTCGGCCGCGCAGCAGGCCCCTCGTGCGACTCCCAAGTCCAAGCCCAAGACCTCGACCTCGAATCTGCCCGCTCCGCCTCTCGATGATGTCCATGCCGCTTTCGTGGAGTTCCGTGCCAAGGAGGAAGATAAGGTGAGCGAGGATATGGCCCATCCGTTGTCAGAAGGAACCCTATGTCTGACCGATTGCGATCAGTGTCTGTCCGTCCAATGCATCTACTGTCAGCAGGTTCGCGCGAAGAACACCAGTCGTCAGCGTCAACACTTGCTGGAATGTCCTACCTACCTCAGTGTCATGAAAGACTCGATCCCCGCCAACAACCTCCTCCATACCTTCCCCGAAGGCGATGTGGCCCGTTCCCTGCAAATCCCCGCCCCCACCTTGGAACTGGACTTCCGCATGAGCATTAAGATGAACCCGAAGGTGTCCGTGGGTGAGAGTATTTGGGGTCAGCGTGACTGGGTAACCTTCGTCGGTGGTCAATGGGCCGGTCGATGGGGCAAGGGCATTGTTTTGGTGAGTGTCCCTTGCTGTCAATTACTATCTTCGCGACATGCTCACGGTGTTATAGCCTGGAGGACAGGACTCGCAGGTCGTGACCAAGGAATCTTCGACAAGCCTTCGAGCGAGCTACATGCTCCAGACCGCCGACGATCCCCCCGCCTACATTGTCGTCAAAACCAACGGCTGGTTGACGGGTGCCAAAGACATTCTGGACAAGGTCAACGACCCCGGTATGGCGGACGGTATTAATCCCAACACCTACAAATATCGCATCAACCTGTACATGGAAACCGGTGACGAGCGTTACGCGTTTTTGAACACCCTGATGTGGATCGGCAGTGGCTGCCGCAGGGGCCATGAAGGTCAGTACCCCACCGGTCATTGAGCCAACTTCACACGCTAACGGTGTCCAGTCATCTTTGATGCATTCCGCGTCAACTAATCTGCCATCATATTGCAGCTGTTTTGTCCGTTATTGAGCGAGTAGCAATTGTTTCATGGGGGAAAATCGCGTCTTGGTTGTTTTCTTTCCACCTTTGATTGAGTTCTTCTCTTCTGAAGTGTGGCTTGTGTATTTATCTCTTCATCTGCGTGGGTTATGCCTCTAGGGATACCTACCTTGTCATCACTTCATCACCGTCACGAGTCCGCTTGATGCGTTCGTTCGAGCACATTCGAATGTTCTATTATGACTTGTTTGGTTTTCTTCTCATTGAACTCAACTTGTAAGACTGTTTATTTCTTTTTTTAATTTCATTTCCTAGGAGCAGAAGCAAGATTGTCATGAGTCTCAACCGGTTTGTCTTTTTCTTTTTCCGTCGAATCTTCGACGCTAATACGTGAAGCATGGAGGACACATCATGTATCTCTATTTCAGAATGGATATTGACCACCTAGCTGCTTACATGAGAAGATCCGTAAAGTAACGAACCGCCCATCGCAGGGGTTCCCATGACACTTCAGTTTGAGGTGATCATTTTTCACTATACAACTCCTCACCAACTCGATTTTTCAGAGGAACTGACCTTCGCAGACACCACCAAAAATACATATTATACACACCACCTTACTTGAGGTTATATATATCATCCTGATCCCACAGTACACAAATACAAATACACAACTATACTCATACTCATACCAAACCCCAACGTGGGAAGTCCGACGGGTTAGTAGTAAAGTATACCATACACCCGACAATTACTATACTTACCGGAGCGGCCAGTATGATACAGAACCGTCCAATCAGATTGTATTATCGGTATGTATTACTTGGATCCTACTAGTATACCTCACTGTTTTTAATAATCTGTAATATTTTATTAGGCGATGTATGGCCGGGGTTCGGTCGTATTATGTACATACGTAGATAGAAGATGGGTATTGATGAGGGTGGTGGGGGGGGGGGGGGTGGTGCATAGTCAAGCTACTTCGTACGAGTACGGAGTAGTTGCTGGGTATTGCAATGAGTGTTTGGTTTGGCGGCAGACAGAATAATGTGTGATGAGTGAGTGATTGGTCTCAATGGGTTGATAACCTGGGGAAGGGATGTAAGGAATGCTTGGAGACTTGTGCTGGTGCTGCTGCCTGGATTCAGCTAGGCATCAGTGACCTGCCTAGGGATGATTTGGTTGCCTTGGGAAGTGGAGGAGAGGGGTGGGGACGCTAGGGGGGAGGGGGTTGATGGGGTGGTTAGTGTTACCTAGTAGTTGGGATTGCTTGGTCTGAGGGGTTGTAGATGGGTTGCGGAATTCGGTCGTAAGTTGTGAACTGCATGATAATATGCTTGGTTCTTGTTTGGTTCTTGGAGGAAAAGCGGTTGGTTGAGTATGGGAAGTTCTCAAAGATGCATTGGTTGAAGGTGGGATTACCTTGCCTCGATTAGACCACTGCCGCATTGGAAAGGCAGAGTAGATCTCAAGCGCGTTCTGACGTTCTCGGTCGACGGAAATCGAAGATATTAGGTTTTGTTGATGAAATGACTTCTGTTGTGATAGCCAGAATTTTCCAAAGAATATTGTATTTCAATCTCCATGATCACCAGAGGATAATGTTTATCTGGATTCCAGCATCCTCACAAGCATCTATAAGAGGCGTGAGTGCTTGTTTGATGGTCAACGGAGGTCCTGAGTCCTGCTCGATGAGACGCATAAACCTTGACTGTATTTCCAGCTGCCCAAAGTGCGGAAACCTCTCCTTCGACAGGCCACCAGTTCTAGCAGATTGGAAAGCACCAGTTCCAACTGAGAGTTTTGGAATCTTCCCAAGTGTAGTCTTTTGAGACTGCGCGGCAGGATCTCCTTGAGCGACGAAACTCTAGGCACCCGATCACTCATGTGGAAATTGAAAAGGTTGGCCACCGAAACCTGGAGATCCCACAGCTTAGTGAAATCCGCAAAAGATCCGAGCCAGTTGTGAGGGGGTTCGTTAGGGCCCTCTTCATCAATTTCCATTCCGGTGAGCTCTTCCCTGTCATCCAAGTGAAGTACCTGTAAGCTGTGCTTCTGTGAGCAAAGCGCTGAGTAAAACGCTCTTGGTCGGAAGCTGATAGATTGTTCCGCCCAAATCGCCTGATTCGAGTGCCGGTATTTGAATCGCTCAAGGTTCGCGCAGGATGTGATAAACTCCGCCATGCCCTTGCTGCCGTTAGAGTGTCCACGGAATGACAATGACATAGTTGAAGAGGTGCCCCTGGACGCTGTAAAAGCCTGATGATCTAGTTCCGTATATGCGGATTCGATCACCGAGTCCAAGGATAGGGTCCGCATAGACGGAAGATAGACAAAAGGTAGAAAGTCGATATTTGGAAAGTAGGCCTTATTGTCATCGCTAGCATCGACATGAAGTTCCTCCAGTCGCTGCAATACTGGCTTCGTGTCCAATGGTTTCTCACGCATTGCGGCGCGTGAGATGACTCGGCGGAGAAAATTTGGTCTCCGGGTATAATGCATGTCTAAACTGACAAGGTTCTCCAGAGATAACAGCAGTAGTCCAAGCCATGCGTCTTGATTGCCTTCTTTCAATGCATCTCCCCATTCCTTGGTTTCGCCCGGGGCTTGGCTAATTTGTGCCACAAGTGGTAGGACAGAAGTGATATCGTGATCCTCCTTCTTCCTTGTGTATGAGGACCACCAATGCAGCCTTAGGTCTTTGATGGCAGATCCTAGAGCAGGATTGCCCTGGATTGCCAAAACAAGTGGACGAATGCGGTTTCCTTTGATCCAAACATTCTGGTTGACTGATTTGAAAAGGAGCGAACGCCAGCGGCGACAGACCAACAGAAGCTGGTATTTGTCTCTGTGCAGGTAGATATTGTCGACGATAAGAAGGAGAATCTCGTCCGGGAGGCGATCCATCTTGACGGGTGAGCAGATCAGGATGGTGAGTAGGGATAGGAACAGGCAAACGAACTAGGCTTTCTGTTCAGTCTAGGTTCCATTTTAGCCGAGCTGAACAAGGCCGCAGTGGTTCTTGGCTTGGTGGATTTAGGATGGGGATGGTGAGAGAACGGAGAAAGAGAGAGCCGGAGGAGCAGCCAGCAGAAGAGGGAGTTCCAAACCACTGCCTTTCGTAAATACATCGAGGTATCGGGTGTTCTGGTACAAAGTACATTTCTGGTCCTATACCCATATTACTGGTGTTCCAGTAGATACGGGGGCTGATACCGCCTTGTGCAGTACTTTGCGAGGACCCTGTATTTTATGCTGACTTGGGCGGTTCAGGGACCTTTCGGTAGTCCCTGGTCCACTTATCCAAAAGTTACAAGAGTATCCATGGGCTTTCGCTTCAACGTGCCGGCAAAGGATCAAATGGCGATCATGACGGGCTGCGCATGCCACTAAGTCTGGTCTAGACAGCATAACATCCCCCCTGCACCTCGGACGCGAGGCTGATTGGTGACTGACGAGTTCCAAACTAAGGTTCCATTGCCATGAACGGCTTGGGATGGAAAACAGAATTGCGGTAATGGTCTGTGTTGTTACTGGCACTTTGCTCCAAGTCGCCAAGCACGCGAAGATTTGACCACCCGTTCTCCCGTCTATGACAGCCTGGACGCGATCTTCATGACCTCAATTGGGCTACCGACTAGTTAGATCAGCCGGCTCCCATAGGGCTGCATCTTCATCAACGCCCCACCAAATTTATTGGCGGCGGACTTAAACCAAGAGTGGCTGCAAAGCAGTTCAGGGCATCCCCTCGGGATCTAGAAAGATACGCGTCGTAAGGTAGGTTAAGCTACAGTTGTCCTACTATTACCTATCTGTAGTATGCTATGGATGATGCAGTGGCCTCCAGCTGGCCATGTATCCAACGCACGCGATCATAGAGCCTACTATGTAGATAAACAGACCAGACTCCATCCGCTGGATGCCGGCGGATACGATCTGGTACCGATCTGAACGGGATCCGGCAGGGATACTGGAGTGGGGACATGACGTATGATCGATTGATCAGTTTGCGGACAGGAGCTGTCGTCCTGTACCATACAGTCTGGGCCAAGGTTTAAGCCAATACATGCAGTAACGAGTAAATATCGTCGTAGATCCTCCTCACATGGTACCTACAGTCTCTGCCCTACTACCGGGTCGTGGTATACAAACAAAGGCGATCCTTGCGCGTGCGCTTGAATATGCTAGTGTAAATAACATTTCAGTATAGAACAACAGTCTACGTCGCTACATTCAATACCAGTATCGAAGTCGGTTATTTACATCGGAATTATACTCCGCGGCTTAGAACCCTACCGAAACGATTAGCACGCTGTATCCGTGTAATGGAACTCTGGAGACTCACCCTTCTCGGTGTTCCCCTCACCCATACTCTTGCTACTGCTGCTACCGCTTTGGATGGCCCCAAGAATGCCATCCATGTAGGGCGCGCCACTCCATTTCTGATGGGTGAGAACCTCCACGCCCAGTTCCTTTTCCCGCGCCTGGACCATCCGGACGTAGGCCAGCATACCTTCGTCCTTGAAAGCGCGCGAGAGTTCCGTCGTGATGGTTGCGTTGGTGTGCAAACCAGCGAGGGAGATCAATTGGAGAACAAATCTAAGCTAGTTAGCTGTCATCAATTCCATGTCTAGTGAGTCTTCACGTACCCGTGCTGTGCCAAGTCCCAGATGAAAGACTTGAGAGAAGCTTCATCGAAACCCTGGCCCATCCAATTGAAAGACGGACTCAGGTTGTAAACCAACTTCTTGCCAGGATGCGCACTGCGCACCTCACCCGCCAGCGTCGCAGCCTTAGCAACATCCGGATCGCCCGTCTCGACCCAGAGGAGGTCCGCATAGGGTGCAAATTCCTTTGCTCGCTTAGTGGCCGCCGCAAAGCCGGCACGGTAATGATAGAACCCTTCCCGGGTACGGGGGGTGTCACAGGACCAAACCACCGGTGTCTGAGAGTAATCCTCGGCCAGTGCTCTTCTACGAGAGAAAGATAGGTCGGGATTCTCTTTGACACGTTGTTTGTAGGCATCCCGGGCGGACTGAGACGCGCCCTCCGCTTCAAGATGCGCGTCGACAGCTGTTGGGATATGGTTAGCCTAAGAAAACTACAGGTTGCTGAAGGGCCATACCCTCGTCGAAAGTGACAAGCTTATGTCTCTTGACCCATTCCATCTCGTATGCATCGATTTCCGAAGGAGCCGCCCCCTCCCGTTCCATGGCCTGCAAGGTCTCTGCGAGAGGCTCCACATCCTCGGCAACACCGAGAATGAACTCGTGATCGCGCACATCAACGGCACTGCTAATCAGACGTCCACTCTCCGAGTCCGTACGAGCGATGACCAAGTTCTCCGTCCCCATCAAATCCCATTGGAAACGTGCTGCAACAAGCCTGTTGATGTGGTCTCCCATGGGAACAAGGACTTTGCCCGCGAGATGGCCGCATTTCTTTCCACCATGAAGCTGGTCTTCAAAGTGAACAGCAGCAGCGCCATTCTCGGCAAATAGCTTAGCTAGCTTCAGCACGGCGGACAGCCCTCCATGTCTACGAACATCAGCCAATCGACGCTTATTTTGAAGAGAGCGGAACGTACCCAGTATCTCCGTCCGCAACAATCGGACGCAAGTAGTCAACATATGGTGTGGCCTTGCGCTGCTCAGGAGTCAACTTCCGTCTAGCATCCCATTGTTTCCGGTCGTGCAACTGCTGTGCTTTGAACATTCGTTGGACTTGGTTCGGAACGGTGTTGTAGGGATAGTCGCCAAAATCGGGAGAGACTTCGTTCGTAGTGGTCAACAGAGAGGAGCATGCCCAGCCGGAGATATACAAGACCTCCTGGTTAGCTGCCTGCTGGGTCATCTGGACGGGGTCAATGGCGCCCACTGCGAGTGAATCAATTAATCAAGTTGTACAGTGAAATATGTAGGTGCTATGTATTGACATACTGGTATGAACCGGCTTTCCCTCAGCTGCTCTCTCGTTCAGCAAGTTGAATAGCTTCCTTGCCATCAACGAGCTCGGGTAGGTCTGTTGCAAAGAGCCCCGTTTGCTGACCACATCTGCGGCTGAGTAGGGGCGCTTGATACCCTCGAACCGGGGTGAGTTCCACCATGCTTCAACATCTTTAATCTGTTGCTCGTATAAGGCGTCTTCGGCGGCGCCAGACTTCTCAGCCGTCGACAAAAGTTGGTAGGAATCGCCTGGCAGAGCGGACGACACGGGGGGTTCGACCGGAGGCAACGTGAATGCCGACATCCGCGGATAACCGCATGTGAACGAACGCAGGGCGACACGAGATGGACTGCCGGCAGTCGAAGTGAGAGGATAGATCCGTCGAGGAAGTCGACGAGAAACTGAACGCAACATCATTTGAACGCAAGACAATGCAGATGAATATTGCCCTGGCGTAGAGGGGAAGAGAGAAGGGAGAATGGAGACGACGTGTTGGGGAACGGACCATTTCTCGGTCGGGCGATCACCAACCTCGGTCTGGGGGCGGCATCCCCCGCTTGTCCGTGCTTGGCATGGTGGGTGGCTCACTAGCTGGTGGCTGGTGACGCTGGCCGGCTTAGCGTGTAACGCCAACCGCTACCTATCTTACCAAGAGAGTATGTGTGAGGTAAATCCATTCGAATGGTGCAAGAGACCCCAATCAAACTCTGTCCAGGCAGAGAAATGAGCTAATGATTAACTCCATTATGTACCATCATTCAAACCTATCTTCTCAGTCCCGGAAACGGCGGGAAACACATCTTACTCCGTACATATCGCCACAGTTACTAGGATCACACTAGTCCTCCACCATTGAAGCTAGTCACACCTGTGCAATTGAGGCATCAGCAAAAGCTTACGACATCAATCTCATCATTGCTCGAAAGTTCTTGTCTGCAATAACCTTGCACGTCTTCTTATGACCTTTGTCCTCCCATCCGGCTTTTTGGCATTCCTGTTTAGAGAGAGGATCAGTAACCTGTCAATGTAGTGGACACTCCCTAAGGGCATATCGAGTCCTCACCTTGCCACAGTATGCAAACACTCCGCACCTGGCGCACTTCAACAAGGGGATGTTCTTCTTCTCACAGCCATGGCATTCGTTATGCATAGCAAAATTCGCCGGCCAGGTTGCCATCTCCTTGCTCAATTGAAAAAGCTCAGTCAAAGACATGGATAAAATCTTGTAGACCGGTGTGTCAGCAAGCTCTTCATTAAAAACATCATAGATGTGTATCCATAGCTGTACATACCTTGATGGACCGGTATTCCTCCTGCCGGATGCCCACCGATCCATCCACGAAGAAATGCTGCCTGGGAAACAAGAAAAGAAGTGTATTTCCGGGCTTCAGCTCTGGACAATTGGTGAGAGTACGGCCTCGATCTCCGGTATAGAGAGCCACAGTGACAGGAAACTTGACCCTGTCATAGGTTCGCAGCACAAGTCGCGTGGATCGCTCAATGCTGATTATCTCAACAAGGAGACATCCGTTTGTACCACGGCGAGCGAGAGGACAGGTGTAGTCACAGGGAAGATCAGCAAAATTGGGGAACGCATCTTTATCATCCAAGGAGACATAATTACGCGGCATCTTGGTGAGTTGTTACTAATATTGTGCGCAAGCTCGGCGGACAGTTTGGTCGCTGGACAAATGAGATGAAAGGAAAAAAGCAGAGACCTGTTGGTAAGCTCATCCTACTGCAGTGAATGTGTGAAAATCTGAATTTGCTCCACGAATTAGGATGTGTGAGGTTTGACAAGGCAGCAAACGTACTTACTTCACTGCCAGCAGGATCTATTCTGAGTGCTCTTCATCAGTCAAAAATGACAGAATAACAGGCGATGAGATTCGCTACTCTACCTCATGCCCTAGAAGTGGCCATATTGGCTGTAAGTCTATATCCAGGGATCTTTCTCATCAATCTTAACAGTTATTATAGCTGATAGCTCACGATGCTTCATGATCTTTAGCTTATAACCAGCACCCCTCAATCCCCACCTGGGGCCTCTGAACTAGTTAACAGATGGGCCAGGATATTTCAAAGATTCTTGTTGCACTGGGCGCATCTTTTCAAGTGCTCGGGATGCCACAAAATCTTAGATATAGGCAATGTTGTTCGCTCCTCACCCCCCAATGCTTGACTGATCGTGTAGATACTCTAGATACGAATCCTCCTGTTTGAGCCATGGAGATCGAGAATTACCACCAAGGCATGTGTGCTCAAAAGACCATTGCGCTACAAGCTATCTACCAGCAATCAACCTTAACCATCAACACCTTCCACAACCCCGCTCCTCCCTCTCCAAACCACTCTCTAACATCACATCAAGCTCTTTTGAACCAGCAGGTTAATTTACGTTTATCTGGCCCCAAACACTACTGACGAGCCCGAATTGCTAACTCTGCCTGCTTTCGCACCCACAAACCGAGCCATAAAACCAGCAATTCATCGGAGACCAATCAAGACAGATGGAAACTACTCCCTAGCCTCGATCAATACGCATTCAAGCCCACAACAAATCCCAAGGAAGCTTTTCCCGACTACAACACAGTGTATTATTCTCTGTTTTCTTCAACGAGAGACTAATGGCTTATTGTGATCAAGGAGAATGGTCGTAATGACCTTCCGAATTGGATATATCCTTTGCGGACTGGAAGCGGAGTCCCTGGGACTCAGGAAGGTCGCCGGACGGTAAATAGTATGTTTTCTACAGAGTAGTCAACTATGTCCTTGTCAATATGAGTGAAGTCTCCTTACACATGCAGGCTTGGTTAGGAGATTGGATCTCTCGCGCTGTAAATCTTGAGTATAGCAGGTACAATGGTTCTTCTTTTGGTTTTACTCTCTATTTCCTCTGATAACAATTTCTTAAATGGTTTAATACTCCAGAGAACAGAAGGGAGCAAGCGTGGAGCATGCTATTGAGGGGCCACACATAAGTAAGGCTCCAGAACGATTGATGGTAGTGTGGATCATCATAGAATGCAATAGTGTCAGTCAAGGGCGCTTGGTACGATGCAAATCATTATTTATCCCGTCCAACAAATACTATGATAAGCACACAATCTCGTTCTACGTTGTCAATCCTAGGCAGCGCCATAAAGACCAAGAAAACATCAATGTTCTCGAGAAATGATGATTGAAGGAATTTCAAAACTACACCCAAATACCCTTGCGATTGAGTGAAATTGCTTATTGAGCGGAGTTCCTTCCTCAATAAACCCGAAATCCCGTAGAAGCCAATGCAAGGAGCGGCGTGGCTTATCTTCCGTGAAGAAATGACCTTGAAGAAAGTCCGGATCCACCAAGCCACTCTTATTCTAAGAATAAAGCGCATTTGTTAGCCCCGAGGAAAAAATGACGCAGCTGCCAACCCTACGAGGTCCACGCAAGGCTCATGACAAGCTACTTGCGCGGTAATACCTGCAAATCGCCTCTCTGAGCTGTCCGGCCAGTCACCCTTGACTGAGACACGACAAGTAGATGAAAGTGGTGGTACTGAATATGAAGCAAATGCCCATGATGCCGCATGGCCCAGCTTGGATATATGAAGATGCTGAACAGGTCGTGTAGATAACAGCCACAGGCGGGGTGGGCCCGGCTGATCGGGATTAGATGTTGATCGGGTATCAATGCTCGCCCGCGAAAAACCTGTCGGACATTGAATTCAAGCACATCGAGCTCTAGATCCTTGAATGCCTAGGAGGCCCGTCAAGTTTATCGAGCAGAGAAACGTAAGGGACGGCAGTCCTTGAATTCCAGTTACTGTGGCGGTGAGGCACAAGGCGCCGCCAAGAAGGGGCTATTGGCATCGGAATTTTCACAGCCAATGGTAACCAGGTGGAATATAAATCCTGCTGAGTTCATATCAATCAAGGAGCTTGGGGTGTGTAGTCAGTCGGTATACCGGTGGCTCTTCGATATACTTCTCCGGTCGGGTCTGATGGCGATCTCCATCATGATCCTCATGATACGGAGTACTATCCCTTGCACCGCCTCACCCTACCTTGAGCTGCCGCTGCTCGGTTAATGGGGCTCATTGACGGATGATCCTTCTTGTGCGGGATTAGGTTGTACACTAAAGATGATCCGAGTCACCCGACAAATCACTCGACAGATAACAGTCGTGTTTCCGCCTAGAGAGCCACTAGAGCATGCTGCGACTGCAGAGTTATCTACTAGTGCTGGACGGCCTCGTTTCTCTATTATGATCAAAATGCTTATTGGATCTTTATCGAAAAGTATCGCCGGGGTGGCTCGATGGTGGCAACATCTGAGAAGATCTGTACATGTTTCGTTTCGGTGTGCGTGTCTCGGGATACTGTTACACAAGGCACGAACGTCAGCAAGCTAGAGATTGGATCGGAGGAGTGGGGAATATGCCTGAGACGAGGTGCCCCGGTAGTGAGTGGCGGATTACTGGGTGGCTTTCGAAACCGGTCATGGCCCAATCCCCAAAACATGGTCCAACTCGATGGTAGACCCTTTGGGAATGCTCGGGGAAAGCTGTCGGAATAAAACACTATCACCGATGAGATACTCTGTAAATCCGGTTGTCGCTACTCTACCTGGTCACTTGCATGCTGTCCGGTGATGAGCTTTCTTTGTTCATTCTGGCCAAAGTGAGGCATCTCCAGCGTAGGCATTCCCATACCGGCAGAGCCAGCGACTGCCGGGTGACCGAGCACTGTCTGCCATGGCACCTTCTTTGTCTGTAACCCATGGTGGCGTCCGTGGGGGAACTTGTTCTTATCACAACCAGATGAAGATCCAAGACCCCAAGAGGTTTCCAGATTATCAGAGGCGTAGAATATGGTTCTTGTGTACCGCGGTTGAGCCAGCTGGGCTGGTGAGCGTCTGGCAGGAGCAAGTACCGACTCACCAGTGGTTTTGCAAGAAGCTGGGCCTCCATAGTCTTTATTTTCGCTAATTCCTTCGTCCTACATACTTCGTAGAGTGAGTTGCATATTTGACTTTGCAGATCATGGATCACCAAATTCTGTCTGCATTGACCGGAACACTGACGTGGTGGCCTTGGGCTTGTTGCTGAGATGGAAAGCGAGACAGCTGCCGGTGGAGTCCCCGGGCTTTGGGTTGCTCTTCGGTCTTTCCTGCAAGGAGGACACCCCCGAACCTATTGAACCAACCTATAAGGAAGGCGTAATGGGGCCGTCGAATATTCGCTTGTGGTTTCACATGGGCATCTATGCCGGATATCAGCCAGTGGTATTTTGAGTTCGAATGGGCTATATGCGCATAGTCAACTGATAGTGCGCCAGACAAAGGCCCCATTTCGGTCTGGTTGCCACTTACCTTACCTTCCAGACCAGCCTTACGCTGACCTCTTCTCACTTATATATCAGTTCCAAACCCCCCCTCAACCTCAGGTTTCAGCTGGACCAGGTCACCCAGAGCATCCACCATAATCCAAAAATGTGTGGACTCACAGCTTTTCTTGCTCTCCGCGAGAGCCCTAGCTGCCAACATGATGAGATGATGGGCGCTCAGGGCCTTAAGAGTAAGATTAATGACAGTCTGGATTTGATTAAACATCGAGGTCCTGACGCGCGGGGGCAATGGTTCAGTTCCGACTATCGGGTTGGTAAGCTCTAGGCCTATAAATTCCCAGGAAAGCTTCCACAGGTGATCTGACATGCTTGGGAGGTCTTGGACATGTTCGACTTTCAATCATCGATCTCAGTCCCGCAGGAAACCAACCATTCCATGACCGTGACGACACTATCCATGCGGTCGTGAACGGCGAGCTTTACGATTATGAACGCATCAAGGCTGAGCTGGCCGATGAATACGACTTCAAAAGTAAAAGCGATTGTGAGATCGTAATTGCTCTCTACAAACGTTACGGGGAGTCATTCCTCTCGCATCTGAGGGGCGAGTTTGCTCTAGTACTCTGGGATGCAAAGCGGCAGCTGTTGATCGCTGCCAGAGATCGGTATGGGATCAAGTCTCTCTATTATACGGTCGTGGGTGGAAGATTACTGGTGGCAACGGAAATGAAGTGTTTCCTGCCTTTTGGATGGAAACCAGAATGGGACGTCGTCAATCTCAGGGAGAAGGGTTGGACCTATGGGCCACAGATGTACTTCAAAGGCGTGCATAGAGTGAGTATCAGGATTGATACCATTCTCACCTCTACAGGATAACTGACTATATCATCAGGTCGGGCCTGGTCAATATCTCATGAGCCAAGGCTTCAAAGCGGCTCAGGTAAAAACGTACTGGGATCTCAACTACCCCGATAAAGTGAGCAACCCGCACCAGATGACGTGGCAGGGCTAATCTAGGTTTACATAGCACCACATATACCCACACTCAGAAGCCGAGACAGTAGCTCGAGTCCGAAAGCTATTACTTGAGTCGTTGCAACATCGACTCCGTGCTGACGTCAGTGTGGGTGTGTTCTTGAGTGGAGGTCTAGACTCCTCAGCCATTGCGGGCATGACTGCACATATTATCCGCCAAGGACAGAGCCTAGGGAATGATGCCAGCGGTAAAATCTCCAATTTGAGCTGTTTCACGGTCCAGCTGGAAAAGGACAGTGGCTTGGACGAGTCAGGTACCGACTCTATCATTACTCCTGTGATCCCGAGAGACTCTAACGAGTTTCAGATATCGCACGACGCACAGCAGAATGGCTAGGCGTGGATTTTCATCCGGTACTCTTGGATGAACAGACTATTGCTTCAAGACTGGAGGATACAGTATGGCACACAGAAACACCTATTCCTGATGTAAATGGGATGGGGCGATTGGCTCTTGCGGAGTCTGCTCATGCGGCAGGGAAAAGAGTTATCCTCACCGGTGAAGGGTCCGACGAACACTTCTCAGGATATGCAGACTTCTTGTGGAGTTACCTCCTTGAGCCAGACCACGCATGGGCCTCATCTCCAGACATTATGGCCGAACCAAAGAAGATGCGGAAAGTAGCCGATGAGCTAATTGCAAACGGCTTTCTCGGAGCACTTCCTAGGTCCACTGATGCGGAAGCTGCACGAAAGCTAAACAAAAGCTCTGTGTTTCCCAGACTCGACGCGGTCTTCCAGCCACCCTTCCAACAATGGGTCTACAAATACAGTCATAATCGCCCAGAGATGTCCTTTGCCGAAAGTCTTCGCGATAAAGTTCTTGCTAATATGGCAACTAAATGGCATCCGCTTAATTCGTCTCAGTACCAGTGGGCCAAGTGCATGTTGGCCAACTACATTCTCCGATACCTAGGTGACAACATCGATATGGTATATCAAATCGAGTCGCGGCCACCCTTCCTCGACCATCATCTCACGGAATACGTGAACCAGATTCCGCCAAGTCTGAAAATTAAATACGACCCGGTGAAAAAGACCTTCCGTGAGAAACACATTCTCCGCGAAGCAATGAAGCCTTTTATCACTGAGGAAGTTTATAATCGAACCAAGCAGCCTTACGTCGGCCCAACCAAGTACAAGAGAAAGGGACCAGTCTATAAGATCTTGAAACGATTAGTTACAGAGACAAATGTTGAAACGCTCGGGTTCTTGGACTGGCATAGAGTGCAGGACGATTTCGTGAGAGCCTTTCGAGACCATGATACACTTTCCTTCAAGAATACTCTAATGGTAGCCCAATTGGTCGTTCTCGGGAAACGATTCGGGGTGAAGACGGCAGAAGATCCTCAGAAGGCCTTGCCTACCTTTGAGAATACGGGAAGTGTGATGCTTAGGAGCAGGTTGTAATAACATCCACTGGGAATTGGCGTCGTGGCTGCTGATTTGGCGTCTCTGAACCTGTGGCATTCGGGGGTGCAAAATCGAGGATATTCCTCCAGTGATGGAAATGACGTTATGATAATATTATGGCTGAACGAAACCATTTGACGAGCAGGACTTTTGTATCTTCATGGCCTCGAGACACCGCGGGATCCGGGACAGCGGGAGCAAGACTCCAGATTATGCAATGAATTCCAATAGTACAAAACTCCAACTCGTAGATATGTCGAGCCGATTATGTACACGACGATAAGCCCACCAACCCCTGTACTGCACCCTATTCAGACACCGTGGGCCCCAAAGCCCCCAGCCCCCACCAAACCGTCCAGATCTTCCAGGGGCCGGTACCCAGAGAGGCTGGTATACCGACCCAACGCCATCATAGGAAAGTACTGAGAGTAAAGGGTATAGCAAAGGTAAAAATGGTTAGGAAAGCCGGTCCCAGTATAATGCTCCTCTTTCCACGACCCGGCGAGCTGCCCCTCTCGAACCTGCGTTTGGGTCAGATATTGAATGCCTCGAGTGATCGCTGCATTGGTCGGGGGTAAATATGCCAACAAGCCCATCAAGGCCCAGGCCGTCTGGGATGGTGTGGATGGTCCATTAGCAGCTAGAGTAGAATTGTAGTATGTTTCGAGACGCTCGCCCCAACCACCATCGGTATTTTGGGCTTTTATGAGCCAGTTCAAGGCGGCGGGAATGTCAACGTTGTTGTTGTTGTGCCTGTTTTGCTTCATGCTTGGATATGTATCGTCCCAATCATCGAGATGGAATTGTTGATGGTATGCTAACCCACATAGTACTGTACTCGTTCCGTAAATGTAGTTCGATCCCCAGCGACCGTACCATGATCCGTTTGGCTCCTGCTCTGTGGAGAGAAAATTGATTGCCCGCGCAGTTGCTGAAGCTATTTTGTTGATGAACTCCTTGGGGATAGGTCTTTTGCCGCTTTTGGATGGTTGAACGGCTCTCTTCGTGAACAGCCCGAACGCTTCAAGCACACGGCCTGTTACATCGGCGGTTGAGGGGTCACAGAAGCTGTCCATGTCACTGAAGGGGATTTTATTCAGGAAGAGGTAGTTGTTCTCGCAATCGAATGCCGCCCATCCGCCGTCGCGGTTCTGCAATCCCAGGATCCAGTGAATCGCAGAGAGTATGGGGTTTAGGTCCATTAGGCCCGGGTCTTGTTTCACTAGAGCGAGGATTGTGGCGGCGGTGTCGTCGATATCGGGATACCACGAGTTGTAGTACTCGAAGCTGAAGCCTCCGGGGGGGACATTACGATTATATACTCGCCAGTCGCCTTCGGGACCGAGCTGTTGCCGGGCCTTGAGGTACTGGGATGATCGTATAATGTAGGGACTTGTAGTTGGTAACCCGGAGTCTATTAAACCGATGGTCATGAGGATGGTGTCCCAGATGGGTGAGATGCAGCCTTGCATTCGTAGTCCGTTCGTGTCTCTCCAGGCGTAGGTATTTTGGAGAGCTTCAATGCCTCGTCTGACAGGGCTGGACTTGAGGTCATATCCCTCCAGAGTCAAGGCGAAGAGCGCAGCATGCAATGGGGGGAAGATCCCTCCGATATCTCCTTCGGGTTCCTGACGTTCGAGGATCCATGCGATACATTGCCGACGGGCAGCTTTCCTCAAAGGACACCACCGTAGACCCCCTAGGGCTTTCAGTACCCGATCTACCACCGTGAATCATAAAGGGTGGGTCACGGGGGAAAGTCATTTCTTTGCACGAGATGGGGATCTTTCGTTTCGGCCACTGGTATCAAGTTCTTACCTGGCTCCTTCATTCCCCCGGCGGAAGAATCTCACTCAGAACATAGATATCGTGGCACATATTCTTCCAGCCGATCTACTGATGCGCCACGGCAATGTTCAAGGCGCTAAATACCATCCTACTTCCGATATCCTTTCATACCCTTTCTTGCCTTCGTCATGTCCATCGTGCGGCACTCAAACTTTGCACCCTCAGAACAAAACCACCAGATATCTCCATGTCCCACTATGGCCAACAAGACACCAAGCCCACCCACCACAGCGACGTCGCAATGTGAAAGTGACGGTCTGTGGAATGAGAGCAAGGATCCCATCCAGGCAGACGACGATCTGGCTCCTTCGTCAACTGAGAAATATATGGATGGCGTGTTGCTGCATGTGATTATGCTGTGCCTCTCCGTGGCCATGCTCCTTGTTTCGTTGGACACGACCATCATCTCCACCGCGATTCCTCAGATCACTGACGAGTTCCGCTCCACCGCTGATGTTGGATGGTATGGCTCTGCATTCCTTCTCGGTAGTGCCGTAACGCAGGCCCCGTGGGGGAAACTATACGGCTTTTTCAATATAAAATGGACCTACCTCGTCAGCCTACTTACATTCGAGCTGGGATCTCTGCTCTGTGCACTCGCTCACAGATCAGTCACCCTTATCATCGGTAGAGCAATTGCAGGGGTAGGGGCGTCCGGGATTGGATCGGGGATCTATACCATCATCGGCGTCTGCGCCCCACCAAGGAGACGTCCTGTTCTGGTTGGCATCACTGGGTTGGCTTTCTTGCTCGCCAGTGTTGCCGGTCCCGTGGTTGGTGGGGTCTTTACTACGAAGATTTCCTGGAGGTGGTGCTTTTGGGTGAATCTCCCAATTGGAGGAGCTACCTCAATTATTATCCTCTGCTTTTTCCGGACACCGTCCGGGACTGCACCGATGAAGGCGTCATGGAAAGAAATTATCTTTCAACTTGACCTCATGGGCATGATCACATTGACAGGCGCATTACTCTGTTTTCTTCTCGGCCTTCAATGGGGGGTTAGCAATTCCTGGAATAGCAGGAATGTGATTGGGTGTCTCGTTGGATTTTGTCTCCTCATGGGACTGTTCATTACGAATGAAATCTTCTGGGATAGTCGGGCAATGATCCCCCGTCGATTACTTTGGAAAAGGAGTGTGGCCGTCAACCTCGCCTTTACTTTCCTGGTGGGGGGCGCGTTTTTCCTGCTTCTTTACTACATGCCTATCTACTTTCAGGCAGTAAAGGGTGACTCCGCTGCCGACTCCGGAATACGAACCCTACCGCTGATTGCATCAGCCGGTGCTACTGCGGTGATTGGAGCCATCGGTCTGGGGATTACTGGCTACCCACTACCATTCTTGATGGTCGGCGGGATACTCATCAGTGTGGGAGGCGGATTGCTTTACACACTCGATCTCGCAACGCCGCCGAGACTCTGGATTCCTTATCAAGTTCTGGCCGGGATTGGAATTGGAGCTTCATTACAGGTCCCGATCATCATGAATCAAGCTACTGTGGAAGCATCAGACATGTCGACTATGACATCCATGACCTTGTTCTTCAAGTGTCTCGGGGCCTCGGTCTTCATGCAAGCAGGACAGGCCATTTTTCTCGACACGATCAAGCGGAAATTAACCATGTCATCCATGGCTGACGTGAGTGCGAGCCAGATACTCGCGGGGGGCCTTTTGACTGGACAGGACATGGACTTGGAGTCAAGCCGAGGCTTTCTCACGACTTATGTTCTTGGATTAAGAGATGTGTTTGTGCTGGTAGTAGCACTCTCGGGCCTTGCCACGTTACTTGCACTACTGGTGGGTCGGGATAAGATGGATACGACACGATTTCGAATGTAGTAGTATGAAATGCTTTACGATTGGTCGGTCGACTGATGAAGGCCACAAATGTTGTGACATATTATATTTGACATAAAGATATGCCTTTAATAATCGGCTAAGCGAGAGACTTCAACCTCTTGGTGGTCGAGTCTCTTTTGTATATTGGAGATTCTTTACTATTTTGCGATGGCCCTTTTGGGGATCTAACGAGGACAGCCAGGTTTGCATAACATCCAAAGCTGCTCAAGATGATATATAGCTTCCCACCCCGAAATTAGTACTTGGGACTATGATTGGCCAACTTCGCCTTGTGATCTATACACCAGACGGGCTAGAGCATAATCTCCAGCCTTGCCGAGAACCACAACTCGTCGCGTATGGTAGCGTTCACCGCCGATCATTTCAAAACCCCATACCTGCGAATCCTTGTCAATCATCATCTCAGAATGTTAGATCCCCTCATTTCCCACTGACCTGTTCCATCGTCCATCCCACTTCTTCACTGCGAGACACGGTATGCAACCAAGCATACTCCCGAAGCGTCTCTTCCACCAAGAACCCTTCCTCAGGCTCACCCGTGACAGAAACTCTCCCCCTTAGGAAGTCATACACCCTATCAACTAGATCCCGTGTATCCAGCTCCAGCGCAGGTCGAACATGGCCATCTTCATCCTTCACTCCCCCAACAAGTCGACTCCGAACACTAAGGGTCCCGAAAACATAATCACGATGGACATGAGGGTTCCAGTCCAGCGTCCGTTTCTCGGTTGTACCTTTAAACCCACCCGTTGCTGTGTGTACAACGTCCAGGTGCAATGCTAGCAGCGAGCCATCTGCCGCAATGCTGGCGTATTCGGTGAATGTGAATGTGATGGAGACATGTCGGACAGCTTGTCGAAGAAGCCAGTTTATGCGTTGCTGTGAATGTTTCCCTGGGTGAGCGTTCACTGTGTAGATAGGGTATGGGAATATTTGTAACTCCTACCAGCTTCATTAATGGGTCGAGGTCCGTCGATAAACTTTTTTCCTGTAACGATCATCTGGTTAGAGAGGTTGTTAATGAAAGAGGAATGGAGAGGATAATGACCATCACCCAGTTCCCGGTCAGGTTTAGTAGCGGGAGAGGTTTGAAGCACGTCATATTAATAGGTGGGAAGGACGTATATCGCATATGAACATAGTAGTTTTGTTTCCGGCGGTTGTTCTATGAGATTGATTGTAACTCTGACTTCTAGGAGCAAGAAATGCTCTCGCAAAGAAAGATGAAGAGTCGATCTCATTGTTTATTTAGTGAGAAAGATTTTTCTGATATTTTCACGCTAGAAAACAATATGTATGCGGAATGCAATGTTTCTGTCGATGGCAAGGCAAAGTGGAGCCTGGCACATTGAGATTGAAGGAAAACATCTCCGGTCCTTTTTCCAGTGTTTCCACTGGTCTGATGCTTGTATTCCCATTCGTCTGCAGATAGGTCAGATTTTGGAACTCGACATTAGATTTATTAGCTATATGCAAGGGCGAAAGACTATTCAGTGGTTCGTCGCAGCTTGGCTATCGATAATCTAAGACATGCAGGCATCTTTTCAGCCCCGCTGTGCAAATGTTGAAAGAACTATTTCTTTATGAATTGAATTGAATTCTGGAGATTTCTCTATACAATAGTGTTTGTTCTGTTTAGAACTACACACATCTCTTCCGCTCAGTGCCGCTTTTAATCAAGAACGGTCTTATTGGGTTTGCTGAGAATGGCGTCTTCGGGTTCAGAAGGACAGAAAGAGAAATAAGCTATGTGGAATCCAAGGTAGTATGCTGAAGCACGATTGAGTTTACATACCTCAAGGCCCGCCAAGGCCAGCGAGGCGGAAAGGTGGCGGGACAGGCTTCTTGGATTGCTGTTCCCTAGCAGCTCGTCACATGCCCCTCTTGCCAGCAGTGCTACTTTTCCAGCTGTGGAAAGGCCCAGACAGGAAAATGTACCCGCTCGGTAGCTTCTGGTACCGAGAATATCGCCTCAGTATGTCTCTCGGTTCAGGTTGATCACTGTCCAATGGTTCAGCCATGACGTGATGAACCAGAGTTGAGTATGGCTCTTAATACGCATATGATTCAACATGAGTGCAGCCACCTCTTTGGCTTTCTCAATGTGACATTTTCAACATGGCTGGTGGATTTTTGGCTTATCATGAGCCGGGGAGTATGTCTCCTCTCGCCTGTCACCGTTGTCTTCCATTACTGACTGACTACAGTTGTTGATATACTTACCATCGTCTCCTTTTTCTATATTGTTTCCTTAGCAGAATGGATCTCCGCAAAGATCCTGCGCGCCGGCATCGTAGGCCAGATTGCCGTGGGTATCGTCTACGGAAGACCACTGGCCGATATCCTCGCCTTGGATTGGCAAGAGACCTTTCTCGCGCTAGGATATATCGGCCTAATCCTGATAATTTTCGAAGGTGACTATCCATACAATAGCTTGGGTGATGGCTGAGAATGTCCTTCTAGGAGGTTTGCGCGCACGCCTCGACCTTCTCAAGGATAACTTTGTCCTCAGTATGTTCGCTGCTGCCACAGGAGTTGGTTTTCCGATCGGCACGTCTTATCTTCTCCTGCACCTCGGATTCGGATATGGTAGGAGCGAGACTTTTAACTTGATATCTGAGGCTTATTCTCCGGCAGGGCCTGTGGAAACCTTCATCATCGGCGCGGCACTTTCGGCTACTTCATTGGGTACATATCAAGGGTCATCTGGAAACGCTGGGAGGAACGATAGGCTGACCTCTCAGGGACCACATTTGCTGTCATTTCTTCTGCGTCGAAAACCGTCGATCTTGCACAAACCCGCGTCGGCGCGGTACTCGTCAGCGCCGCAGTGATTGATGATGTCGTCGGGCTGGTTATGTCCAGGTTTGCTTAGCATCAGCTACTCCTTGCTCCAGAAGCTAATTGTTTGTTCACCACCAGTGTCATCCACAACCTTGGTGGACTTGGAGGGGGTAATAATGCCAATCTTGGCTGGCTGATTGGTCGTCCCATCGTTGCCTCAATAGGCATGGCTCTAGTCACTCCTGTGGTTACCAAATACATCTTTGCTCCGGTGTTTCGGCGGTATATTGAAGATCGTTTTGCACGCTATGACCACCTCTCGAACATCTTCCTGATGGTTCTGGTCTTATGTGCTTTCCTCACAATCGCGGCATATACTGGAACCTCGGTGCTTTTCGGTGCCTTTCTCGCGGGTACCTTTCTTTCATACATCCCAAGCAAGCACCCTGATGGACCCTTTGTCGTGCTCAGCCGCGAAGAGGGCGAGAGCGAAGCACACAAAAGCCCCACATTTGTTCACACATTTGAGCGCTACCTCAAGGATGTTCAGAAGTACCTGATGGAGCCTCTGTTCTTCGCGAGTGTCGGGTTTGCGATTCCGTTTGTGCAGCTATGGACCGGAAAGTGGTTATGGCGTGGCATTGTGTACAGCCTACTCATGGTTTTTGGGAAGGTCAGCGGTTTGCCTGTGAGCGGCTCTGTTTCTATCAACTAACAGTGCATGCCAGTTTATCGTCGGAATATGGATACCCTTGTGGGCTGCCTTGCCAGTCAAGAAACATACAACAAAGCAACAGAAGACGACAAACGAAGCGAGCGATGAAATAGAGTGCGAAAGTTGTGATGCTAATCAGCAGCAGGTCGGCAGTACATCCCGCTGGCTTTCCGCGCTGCTTCTGGGGTCTGCAATGGTGGCGCGCGGCGAGATTGGTCTTCTGATCATTGAGATTGGGTACAACGAGACGTCCTACGTGACCGAGGGCGGATTCATCACGGGCGTCTGGGCCATTCTACTCAACACCATCATCGGACCGGTCGCAGTTGGTCTTATTGTGAAGTTCTATGGGAAGCGCATTGTAGATGGGGAATGGGGTTTGCAACCCTTGGAATAGGTCCGGGCCCAATGAAATGCTCTACCATACTGTTGTTGATGTGACACTGATCTCCTTACAAAACAGTGTTCTATTCTTTGGTGGATAAGGCTTCATCACGAAGCCATCTCTCTCGATGTAATAAGTGGGACTCTAGTCCTTGAGAAACTTATAACTGAGATCCAACAAGTACTCCAGTTCTACTCCTACAGCCTGGGTTGTACATCATACGACCACCTCACCCTCTACCAGCAGAATATTCACCCACCCCTCACCCAACTCATGCGAATACCGTCGAATCTCAGCCGTGCCATAGACATCCCGTCCCACCATCCACCCATTACGCAACTCAAGGTAAACTGCAGCTCCCCTCTCACCCGTCTAGACAAGGGCCACGGACGCCTAGGAAAAAAAATGATAAAATAAAAGAGGGGTGCGTACTTTTGATGGGCTCTGTGTCTCGGGTATCTGGTATCACGGACGAGGTCTCTTCCGTGCGATGCGGGGCTGTGTTTGCCTTGGGCTTGGGTGTGGGTATGTGCATGGGGTTTACAGATTTACGGGTTCATTGCGTGGTTGTATTCTGTGGCGGTGGCTGTGGGATGTTGTGAGATGGGCTGATTCGGGAAGGGGGGTGAGGAAAATCATAATGGAACGATGTTAGAGGGGGTCGGTTGAGGGGCCTGGTGCTGTGAATGCCCACGGGGTGCCAAAGATGAAGAATGTACCTGGCATTACAGAATAAAAGAGGATTGAGGGTATCTACGCTTAGGTTTACTGAAGGCTATACGTGGGGTTTGGCAGGAGATACCATGACTGCGTACCTTGGTAGCTCTATGTATCCAAAGTCTCACTGAAAAGGGCTCATTTGATAGTATTCTACTCTGTCAAGTGATAATACTCTATAGCCCGATCTAGTAGATACCCATACAACCCAACATCTACTCCTTCAAACAAACCCATTCGCCTTATTAAACTCATCCACCACCTCCCTCGTGGCCCTCACAATCTCCAAACACCCCGGCGAATCCGAATGGCAACAAATCGTCACGGGATATTCCTTCACCCCCATCGGCACCACAGTCCCATCAACCGCGGTGACCGAAGACTCCTCCACCTGCTGACGCACATGAGCCTTGACATCCTCAATCCTCCACGGTTTCTTCTTCCGATCAATCACCAACGTCCCATCCGCCCGATACTTCACATCCCCAAACAACTCCGCCCAAAACGGAACCCCTAGTTCCTGCGCTGCCTGCTCCATATACGTGCCCCCCAGACCCACGACCGGCACCCCCGCAGGAATCCCCTTCATGACAGCCCGTGCGACCTCCAAGTCTCGACACATCATGCCATATAGCACGCCATGCGGCTTGACGTGGTGTAACGGGACGTTCTCGCGATCTAGGAAGGCTTGAAGCGCCCCGACTTGGTAGATGATGTTGGCGGTGTGTTCTTCGGGGGTGAGCTTCATCTCTCGTCGTCCGAAGCCTTGGACGTCGGGCAGGCCGGGGTGTGCGCCGATGGTAATGCCGTGTTTTTTGCAGAGGGCGACGGTTTCCATCATGATGAGGGGGTCGCCAGCACTAGAGATGGGTTGGTGTGTCAGAATTGTATGGTTGTGGATTGGGCTTGGGGTGGGAGGGACGTACTGGAACCCGCAGGCTATGTTGGCCTGGTCGATGAGGGGGATCAATTCATCGTCCGGACCGCATTTGAAGTTCCCGTAGCCTTCGCCAAGGTCGACGTTGATGAAGACTTTTGTTCGTAGGGGAGGCATGGTGGGTTGTGGAGTTGGAGTTGTAGTTGGAGGTTCCCCGCCCGGGAGAGGAGGGGGGCGATATATGGGACGGTGGAATGTGTTCCATGGCTCGACACAGTGGGGAGAGGCGGGGTGGTCTTGCTACGTCAGGCAGTACCTACCGAGGTACTGTTGCTTATGCTGGATGATATACATGAGAGAAGTCCGGTTGTTATTAGCTATTTCAGCAACAACAACAGATACTAAGATAGAGATAAAATCGTAGCCAATATGATATATCAACAGGTAGACTTTTTGGAATTGGAATTGGAATCCCTTTGGGCTATGCCATTCTGGATCAATCGTTCAAATAGAATTATGCAACCACTTATTTCTTTCAAGTATCGTAAGAGTCTGGGTCTATCCAACAAAGTAATAGCAAGTTCTGCCTCAGTGGACCGCTTTAGCTACCCCTCAATGTGATCTTCATTTTCTTCCCCTCACTGGTTCTTCTGTTATCAACAATTGATTTATTGAGATAAGAGATGCCAATCACATAATCTCTTAGCTGATATATTAGACTAGGTAGCCAATTTTGACACGTTTTTTATTGTCCTTCTTATCTCCTTTTCTCTGAATCCTAGTCCTAATTCTTATCTATCGTCAAGGATGTTGATCGCTGCTGTGAATCGGTGACTGACTTTTTTACCCTTGGCAGATTCAAATCACGCTGCTGCAGACACAATCGAACTTCCCGTTGCGATCTTTCCGGGCAAAACCCCTACCGGCTGGGGAAAACGCTAAGCCGACAGACACCCCGACCTGGGGAAACAATTCAGATAGCCATGATGGCGATGACACAGGCAGGGAGACCACTGTTTTGCCTGTTAGATTCTGTGCATGGTGGATCGTTCTACCACTGCCGGTGGCCGATTTATGGGGCATGTCCATATTGTCTTTGTAGACAGTATCTCGTAGTCGTTGGTCATGCAGCCGACTTTGAGCCACGCGCGGGAGCCGTCATTGGCTGTAACTACGACAGCATTGTTGAAACAGTGAAGCCACAAAGGAAGAAGCAGTGGAAGAGAGGGGCCGCATGGCCGGTACAGTTGCAACATAATACGTCCCGAGGGAGGCGCCTTTTCGCAATATGTCATCGCCAGGGGGACTTGCAATTCAAAGTGCCAGAGCGGATGAGCATCGGCGAGGCAGCTTGCTTGCGCGTTGGCATGACCACAATTAGGCAGACCTATGAAGGCTTACTTCACTCAACAATCACGCTTCAATGCAGGTGTAACGTCTGAGCAAGCTGCTGTGACAGCGGTCGTGCAATGCTTGAAAACTTGAAAAGGGATCATGCATGCCAAGGACTCCGGTGATAGCATTGACGGTCATGATATGCACAACAGTGGGCAGTGACACCGTTGATGCAGACCATTCGTGCGGCATGAGATAGCTTGTTAGCAATAGAGAATCTGCGCAAATGCGTTCCTCTGGAACCAAGCTGCCAGTTCAAGCAATACCGGTACAATAAGTCTCGTCCGATACGTCAGACCTATTTCTCACTCAGTTGGATCAACAAGCAAAGGATCAGCCTAACCGCTTGTACTGCCTCCAGCCCATCACCCAGAATGGCGTCCGATCACGATCCGGCAACTATTGCTTGCCGTGGACCGCATAGCGGGGTGGATTGAGAGGAGAACTCAAGGGAGAAGATAGCAGGCTCTCCAACGTCGAAAGATGTTTTGCGACACTGTACCTTCGAGCTCGCGTGCATAGAAACAGGTCATGCGGTAACTCCTTCTCCCTTGTCCTGCTTGCAAGTCCTTTGATTGGACCGCTTAGGCGTTGCCTTTATCAGCTCGAAACTCCCAGCCTGCCTTTCGTAGTCTGCCCTCTGCGACCCACTGTTCTGTTCTCTTTGCTGGAAGGGAACGACCCCAATTACAGAAGACTGCCAACGAGATTGAAGTCAGCCGCGCTGAAATTGGGATGGAGCGATGACAGATCGACCCAATGTGGAACATCTTTGCATCGTCATCCCCTATCCCAATCAAGACAGTCCCATTCATCTCGAAGACCGCCCTGCTATTATTATCCATGATTCAGGTCCCGAGGCGTTTCCTAAGCCGGATTTGGCCCATAGATGACTGGCAACACTGGACTAGATGCAGACTCTCCCCGTCCCTGATGGCCGTGAACCCGTGCAGATGTTCCTGCAACCTAGAGAACAGATACGACGTTTTCGTGGCTCCTTGTCCCATTCCATAGGCTGGTCTGCGTTTTCGAGGGTATTCCCTACCAAGCCCCTTTTCTGGTGGCTCCGGGCTGACCCTGGACTCTTGACCTTCCGCTCGAATATGACAGCGCCCCATCCGCTTGCGGCGTTTGTCACTGTGGTTTAGGTCTTGATTGTAAGGAGTATTCGTTGATATGTCTGTAAAAAAATGCGACTGGTGCTAAGTGATCAAAACATTGCCGCCCAAGGTATCGCGCACAAAGTAGCAAAGAGGCATATCGGCCGGTCGGCTTTTTCCATCTCCCCATTATGCAGAGGTCTATCATATAGAAAGCCCATGGATCAGCTGTTTGGAGCCACTGGCCCAAGTAGCAGTCAAGCCTGCACTGCCAAAACCAACCCGCTCAGAGATTGGGTACAAAGCCTCAAACAGCCGACTGTCTGACCCGTACCTCGATCAAAAGGTCGAGATACCTTCCCGCAGCATCACTGCTAGAGGTCTTCTCCTCATTGGACGACTCCCACGGGCGGATGCGTCCGCCTGCGGACACAACCAGTACGCAGAAGTACAGTGCGGTCCTTTCTGCCTGGACTCGGTAGATGCTCCGTTGACGAAGCTGAGGTGTGGTTGCGATAGAAGAAAGATTAGATTCCAGGGCTGCGCATCTAGGATCTTATTTGAATTCGGGTCTCGCGTACTGGAAAAGGCGGTTGCGTTAAACATGGCTTTCTGTCAATAAATTGTGTCGGTCTGTACTGAGCAGTAGACTGGGTCAATTAGATCAACTTAGTATTTTTTGTGCTTACAGTTTCGTGGGCCATCACAAATTTACAAATCTCCACGATTTTGCCGACCCTAGAACCCCGCACCGAGTAGCGGTACTAGTATACTCACAAGGGTCCTTTGTACTGGATGGCCTCTCGCCCTCTGTCGTAACTGATCTCTCACCATAGCTTAGAACAGGCGGTGAGTGTCGAGCCAGGGACTGGAAAGTCTGTATCCTTCTACAGCGTACACTGGGGTTACTCCGCTCGAGCAGATATCGTGCGGAGCAGCATCCCCTCACCAGCCGGGCGCCTTATCTCCGCCCGCCGCCGCCTGTCTCAGATACAAGCCGAAATCGGTCGATAAGGAGAACCCAAGCGGCATCGGGCAAGTCCTTGATGAACGATGACAGCCTCCAGTCTCGGGCATACGTCACCATCCCGCCCTATATTCTTTGGATTCGCATCGGCAGTAGGTTGAGATGGGACGTGATGCGACTCTTTCCGCGCATTCCCACCACGCGGGAATTCCAAATAGTGAACATGCAATTATCCCGCTCGCATTGGTATCTTTCAAAGCAGAGAAAGCTTAGGTGTTGCACCTGATGTTATTGTGCAACTAGGGGTTGCGCATACCGCCGGGATGCATCCGGTCGCCGGCCATTGTTCTTCGAGCGAGGATGGGTGTCCCCGGGGATTGGATCAAACACGAGGCCGACAGTCATCCCGAGGACCAGTTTGAATTCTTACTCGTGGATCTATCCGAGGGCTGAAGACATTGTCCGACATCCGGGACCAGGCGAGAACCCTGTATAGCAGGTCTAGAACCATGACATTGCAATTGGGGTTTCTCGGAGATTGGCAGGGCGGCTGGTCGACTGACCCCATGCCTTCTTGGAGCCCGCCATGTCGGCTGAATGGTTCCATTGCAGATGGTGGTCGCGTAAGGGATTGGTAAATTTTCCCAGACGAAAGGCTCGTCCACAAACCGGTGCTGCTGGTTGCTTGTCCTACCCCTCGTGAGCGACCAACCGTCAGGCAGAACTGGGGGGGGGGCCGGGTGGTGCTGTACCTACAGAACGAGGGTAAAATAAGGTCGTATCCCAGAGGGTGATGGTAGCGAATTGACGAGAGAGGGATCGAGGAAGAACCTGGTGGGTGGTGCCTACCGGCCATCCGTACCTACTGCTCTGTCCCTCCGTGGCTGCAAAGGTCGAGGGAAAGCCGGCAGGTGACCAGGCGGCACGGCCGAATAGGATCGCGGGGATTTGCTCCCTCCACCACCTTCGCCTTCACGCTCCGATCCCTCCTCCAGGCTCTCGTCCTCATCCTGCTCCCCGGTGGCGTCCGTCTGCCTATCACCGCCTCATAGCCTTGTTTCAACCTTGCCCTGTGGTGTTCCCCAGCGTGAAGAACACGGCCTCCTCCACACCGCTGCCATCCGTCTTCGTGTTTTCTCTGGGGAAGACAGAGGAGATCAAATCCGCTTACTGGTCGAAGGGGGAATTTACCACCCTCGCGAAACTCGAAGGTGTGGTGTTTGCCCCTCCCCTCTTCCTCCACCCCATTATCATCGAAACTTGCATGAAAGGGAAGTTCTAGCTCCAATCGCCATGGCTCCAATGGGGACCCGGCTTTTGTCTGAGCTCCAGCCTCGGATCGACGAATCCGCGTTGCACAACTCGCACCAGCTGTCTCCGCAATCTGCTGCTCTAGTGCAACTCTTATCACCCTGATGGCGCTGCCTCGTCGCCGTCTGGGGCCGTCTCGGGGCATTGAGTTATCTATCGCTCACCCAGGTTGCTCCTATCTCTTCTGCTTTCCCTGCCATCGGAGACGACTCAAGGGTCTTATCTCGGTTGAAATCCTCCAAGGAAACTATCCGATCGTCCTTCCCTCCCTCTACCCTTCCTTACCCCCAGTTGACGGAGCGGCTTCTTTCCCTCTTGTCGTGGATTGCCGCCTCCTGCCTCTCTCACATACTTTCTTTAACTCCTTGCTCCTGGTGCGGTTCATGTCATCATTACTTCCTATTTAGGCATGGAGGACATCAACATCCCTTCGCCGTCTGCCATCCTAGGCACCCATCATCCCTCCACGTCGGTTGGCGGGCTTTCCAAGCCGTCTGTTTCTCCCCAGAAGCCGACTGCAGGTCAGCCTGGTACAGCCAGAGATCAGAACAAGCCTAAGCAGTCCAAGAGCCGTAACGGTACGGTATCATACTTCTTTACTAGCTGTAGGAACACGGGGTGATAGAGGCAAAGGTGCTGGGAAAGGAAGAGGCACAGAAAGAGAGACGAGCACGAACGCTCTATGATGCGCAGCGCGCTGACGTTCTCATGGTTTTTATTCTCCAGGCTGCATCACTTGCAAGGCAAAGCGACTAAAGTGTGACGAGTCCAAGCCAACTTGTCTCCAATGTAAGAAGCGGAACGTGGACTGTGGGGGATACAAAAAAGATTTCAAATGGCGCCCGTTCGAAGAGACTAATATCGGTGGCAAAACCGCCAGTGCCAAAATTAAGAAAGGTGCGTAAATAGCTTCAAGTAATCTCGAGTATTGGAAAGCTGACTCATGCTTTCTTGCAGGTACCTCGTATCAATTCGATGAGAAATCAAATGGCCTTTCAACATCCCCCACTACAGTGCGCCCATCTAAAGGGCCCCAAACCCAGCATGCTGCATCGAGTCTACCTTCGCTAGGCTACGGGGGCTTCATGGACCCTTCTGGCCGTTTCTCGAGGGGCGCATCTCCTCCAAGGCAACTTTCGTTGAGCGAAAAGGGTGTCTTTCCCTCCTCAGAAGGCCTGGTAGGTCAACTGACACCAGTGAGCTTTGATGAGGACATTTTCGCGTCATCCTTGACAGACATCTCACCATTGGGCCACTCTTCGTGGCTTTCTGATATACCAGCGGCTGCCGTAGGGCAACAGTCAGGGTTGGAGCAGGCTCCAGAACGTGGCCCTGGTCGAATTTGCCCCCAAAGACATGACAGTTTCAGCTTCGAGGCCTTGATGGAGGGAGATAGTGATGATATTGAGGAAATAGTAAGGAATTCCGATCGAAGCACGGACCCCGGACTCCTTGAACTGGCAGAGATCGGCATGACCCCGGTTTCGCAGGCCTCCGAAGTGCCGTCAAACATCTTCAGAGAGCCTATATTTGAAATTTCGAGCCCAGAGATGCTGGTTCTGCAGTTCGATAGGGTAACATGTGGAATATTATCTGTAAAGGATGGTGTCCATGAAAACCCATGGAGGACCTTGATCTGGCCACTAGCCAAGGAGACACCCGCTCTGTATCATGCCGTCTTTTCTCTCGCTGCCTTTCACTCAAGCAAAGAGCTGCCGGCCCTAAAGGTTTCTGGTGTGGATCACATGCGCAAGAGCATCGTATACTTGCTGCGTGACATACAGAAGATGAAATTGGATGCAGCGTTAGCCACAAGTCTGGCGCTCGCATTTGCCGAGACTTGGGACCAGCACACCCAAACCAGTCATTATCATTTATCAGGCGCCAAGGTGCTTATCGAGCAAGTTCTCAAGCGAGGCTTGGAAAGCAGGGTGTATGGAAATAACCTGGATAGGGTTCGGTTCCTTTGCAACACCTGGCTGTACATGGATGTAATCTCTCGTCTGACCTCTCGTGAGAAGCTGGGGGATCGGGAGGTGGATGTTTCCTTGTTCCAGTCTCAAACAGGTGCTGTGCAGGAGATTGATCCGCTGATGGGCTGTGCAACGACGCTCTTTCCCTTGATCAACCAGGTTGCTCGATTGATCCAGCGTGTCCGCACGACCAAATCGAATTCCATTTCCCTCATCTCTCAGGCGATAGAACTCAAACGCCTTGTTGAGCAATGGGAGCCACCACAGGTGTTCGAGCCCCCAGAGGATCCTTCATCGGAAGTACAGCATAGTATCCAGACAGCACATGCTTATCGCTGGGCAACGCTTCTGTACCTTCACCAGGCCGTTCCTGAGATGCCGTCGGAGCCGACATCAGAGCTTGCCAAACGTGTGCTAATACTGCTGGCAACTGTTCCTCCCAGTTCTCGGACCCTGATTATTCAGATGTTCCCGCTTCTGGCGGCAGGGTGCGAAGCGGAGCAAGAGGAGGACCGTCAGTGGGTACTAAGCCGGTGGAAAGCCATCCAGACCCGCTTGATGCTGGGCTCGATCGATCACTGCATTGACATAGTCCGCGTGGTCTGGAATCGCCGGGATGCTTTCGAGGCCGAGAAACAACGAAGACAGCTTCGTGGAGCTTCTGGACGTGCCACCAACGCTGCCGTAGAGACCTTTGGGGACGATAGACTATCTTACACTGGTCTTAGATCGGGTGAGCGAAGTGCTGGTAGCATCTACGCCAAGGAGCATTGGAGACCCCGACGGAGCTCGGCGTTGTCCCCTCTGGAGAATATCGAGTTTGAGAAGACCGTGCGAGGCGGGTTGCACTGGATTACCGTGATGGAGGGAAAGGGCTGGCAAGGTATGTTTGAACTTTGGACTTTTGATTTATTCAAGATGTGCATTTGAAAAAACGCCGGCTCATTTATATAGTGTTTCTTGGTTGAAAAGCACGCTCTTTAGTGTGTCCGGCAGGGGCGATTCTTCATGACAGGGCGCGTATGGCCAACACGATCGTTGTCTTTGCTTCCTTGTAGGTATGGTTGCTCTCGCTGGGTTTGCCGGTCGTCATGGTTGTGAATCGCAACGGTATGCTCTTCGGCCTGATCCTCTGCTAGAGGAGCTGAAGGCTTGCTCTGAGCTAGGTACGATCGAAGAGATGCCAGGTAAGGCTCCAAATCGCTTGTCATGGACACGGTTGCCATTGTTGCGAGGGGCTGTACCACGGATGTTTTAGGTACGACTGGGTAGCTGACGGCGTGACGAAGTATATGTTTGTGGGATGTTCAGTGGGTCTTCCTCACCCGATTGTCTTACAATCTGGACTTTGAAATTAGCATGGTGTCCGGCGTTGAGTGTAGCGAATAATCACATTCTATACGGGACTGACTCGCGCCTTGGGGGAACTCCCGGGTCTCTTCGATGTATTATTTTGGACTTAGGCAGTGTCAAAGTATGTTCGTATGAGTCGCTAGGGAAGGCTCCTGAGATTACTGGCAAACCGGTTGGCGCATAGGACAAACGACAGTTGCCGTTCGGAGATGAGTCGGGATGGCGTGACGGATGGCGGGCAGGTTTAGCAGTCGCTGTGGACAGTGAAGTACTCGGTCGTATACAACTGTCTACTAGAGGAACAGCCGGACGTACGCGATCAGGACAAGTCGATGGTGCCGCCTTGGAAGTTGAGGGGTCTCTGCGCGGGGGTGACAGTGGTCGAGATCTGCATTGGGGGGGAGGCGAGGGTGGTTGTCTTGCTGCTTGGGCTGTGGGAGCGAGCCGGTTTCTTTCTTTTTCTCTGCACTCACTACAAGAGGGAGGGGGAGGGGAGGTGCGAGAGCGCGCATTTAAGACGAAAGATCCACCCATTCGGTGGGCTACGGCTTAGTTCAGCTAGAGGGGGTTAGTGGGTGAGTTCCATGGTCTGATCCGGATCTTGCAGGATGACGAGATGACGAGTGTCGGTCGGCATGAAGGGCAGCGAACGACCTGCGGACAGTCTGCCTGGAGCCCGATAAGAGGCAGAAACAGGCGATGATTCCCAGGTGGAGTGGAGCGCAGTGGATGGCCAGTGACCACCGGCTTTACTCAACCAGGCAGGTGGGCGATCGAGGAGGGCTCAGGCGCTGCATGTGAACTTCTCCACGGGGTCTGGGATCTGCGGTCGAGTTCGCTCATCGATCTCGGATGGGGTGGTCGAATCGCCAGTCGTGGCGATCATGTCCAGCTGGTTTGGACTTCGTGTCGACTAGAATCAGCCGGGTGAGATTTGAATGATAGACGGAGGACGAGGACGAGGGGAGAAAAGAAAGGTTGAGAAGCCATGGATCGGAGGTGTCGGTTCGAACCGTAAATACCCGCAAATAAGACTCGGTACGGAATACCGTACGTCGTATCTTTTATCTCGTACTCCGTACTATTACCCGCATCCACGAGGACGGAAGTGCTAACCCATCCGGGGAAAACTATCCTGTACGGATCCTACTCCCCGTAAGTATACAGGATACGGTAAAGGGCCTTTAGGTGATATCTCCCATCATACTCTGATATCTTGCCGGATGCACAGCGCACTTCCCCTCATCTACCCCTCAGTTGGAGATTCCCTCCCTAGAAGGTGCTGTTGGCCGGGTTTGCGTGAGGCCTGTTATCCCACTACAGAAGTCGGATCCGTGCTGGCTATCTGAAATCCTCCGCACAGGATAACCCCGTTGTAGGAATAGGATCAAACAAGGTGAATGAATCGTCTTCAGGAAGAGGGACGCTGATATAAAACGCCTATAAAGCCCATCATGTTAAGTATCTGTTGACCGTGATCATTCAGTCAATTCTTTAGCATTGAATCCAGCAGACAACAAACAATCATGGCCGTTCCCTTCAAGTACCACGCCAAGGCGCAATCTACCTTCGAACCTCCTCTCATTGCCAACGAGAATGCTTTCCTCGGTGATGTGGACTCCAGGCAAATATACCCCTGCTCCTGTGTGCGTATGCGTTTCAGAAGCTAACATGGATTCTGTACTCTAGCGACAGCTACAATCCCGACAAGCCCATGTCAGCCGGATTCTACCGTCTCGAGAAGGGCACCCCGCTTGTTTACGAATACACCTACGACGAGATGAAGATCATCCTGGAAGGGAAGTTCGAGATCTCGGACGAGACTGGGCAGAAGGTTACTGCTACCCCTGGCGACGTGTTTCATTTCCCCAAGGGAACCAAGGTCACTTTCACAACGCCATCATACGGACTGGCTTTCTACGTGAGTTTTCTCTGCCTGTTGTGTCTATCTGGTTGAAGCGGGCTGACTGATGGTGGGACGGTAGACGGGACAACGGGCCAAGGGCGCTGCTTAAGCGGGAAACGGGCAATGATGTAATTAAACTCGATCGAGGGGGAATGGGTTCCTTGCTGTCTGGGCGGTCTCTTTGAGGGTCCAGCCTTGGCTGACCGCTGAAAGGAATGTGTGTGTGTGGCTTGGTAGTGATGGAGAGGGCAGAGACGATGAACCATGGTTAATCGGCCTGGATCTCCACTAGATTGGGGGGTTCCTTGGTTGTTTACGGGAGGTAAACAACAAGGCTGGTGTCACCGCCATTGATGACGATGGTGGATAGCGGCCCGAAGATAGAGATTATTGATTGATATTGAATCCGTTGTGAATGCAATTGTTTTTGTCTGGACTAGAAGCTATCTGCTGTGTGACTGTAAGAGCTGTGGACAACCGATGGCGAGGCCAGGAATAGATTGCAATCACTACGACTCCTCCCCGGGATCAGGTCAGCGACTAGTCGATCTGCCCCATGGGATCGGGGACGATCTCAACAAGGTTCCCGATTTCTAACCTTCAGCTAGCAAGAAACCTGGTCGCTAGTTCTCACCCTCGCCTTGTGGAAATGACGTGCAGCGACTGTGAGTGGTGGTGGGAAGCGACCCCATCGGCGCCATCGCATCCTCAGCCTCGGGATCTCCCAATCACCAGGCGGAAGCGCGTCAGGAACGAGATTGACTCGGACTGCCCTGGCATCGCAACAGGAACAGGCGGCGCAGATTGGATCGGAACAAGGGAGTTACCCCAGCAACGCTGCGGCGCTCAAGAGGGAGGGGCGGCGCCGAGATGAATCGGAGGCATCTCGTTGGCCTGCAGAGGACGACCACCAAGTGGCTGGCTCAACTGCGGCTCCGTCTGTCTCCAACAAGTCGTACAGCACAACCGGCTGTCAGTCAGTCTTCACCCTCATTCACTTGAACATACGGAGTACTTCTACTCCAGCTCCCTCCTGGTCGACGGTTCTTCCCTGTTGCCATATTCCCCTCCATCGGGCACACCCCTCTTCCAGTCACTCGTCGGGTCGCCGTCGTCCTTGCTTCTCGCCATTCCTGCCCGAACCCAGTCCTTCCTCCGCCTCCCTCTTTCTCCCTCCAGCTGGGCCTCCTCGTGGCCGTCTTCTCCTCGTTGCTTTTTGCGGCCCTCTTTTTTTGCTTTTTCGCTCTGTTTTGCATCGCGTTTCCTTTTTTTCCTTGAATCCCGGGTCTCTACTCGTGCTTTAATCTCCTATCCCTCGTTCTTTTTTTCCCCGCTTCGACTCCCCTTCAGTCGCTGTCGGTGGAATCGCACTTCGCTCAAGACAGTTGTGTGCGCACACGTTCACACCTCTACTCACTGAGAACAGTCGCACAGATTTCTCCGAGCCCAAGATGGCGCTCAATCTGGACACTTCAGATCGCCCGGGTCTCCGACTGCCCAACCCGCCGCCTCTCCTCCATACGCGTGTCGGAAATGAATCCCTGGATCGCCCCTCAACACCCGCCGAGACTGGATTTACCAGCCCCGTGCAGACTCCTCAGGGCAGTCCCAGCAAAAACCGCATGCCCCCCGGTGCCATCGACCTTCCCAACGTGTTCGAAAAAGCGCTGAAGCTGAACCCCACTTCGCCCACCAAGGGCACCTACAACCACTACAATCATCCCATGTTCGCGCCCCCCCGAAACGGTGAGGACTTTACCGAGAGCGTTATCCGTCAGCCCCCTGGCAGTCCCACACGCAAATCCAACAAGGAAAACACCCCTCCCAACTCCACCCGTCTCACCAAGGATCTTGGTCCCAACCCCGCCGCTGCCGCTATCTCCCGCCATGAGCCATACCAGCAACGAGATCTGGAGAGCATTCAGCGACGTCAGGTCCCCATGCGTGGGCTGACGCCTGAGGAGCTGGAGAAGCTGCAGAATCCCCGGGTCAAGCGACTGGTCAATGTTACGCAACTCTGTAGGTGACCGCGACTCTTTTGCCGTGTGTTTTGCTGACCCGCCAGATTTCCTCGATCATTACTTTGATCTTTTGAGCTATGTGCATAACCGTCAGAACCGCTACTCGCAATTCCGCACCGCCTACCCCGAACCACCCGTGACTCCGATGGAGGACTATGAACCCGCCCTGTTGAAATACCTGGGTCGGGAACGGGCCCACCTCCGCAAACGCCGCACCCGACTCCGTCAGCACGACTTTCAGATTCTCACGCAGGTGGGCCAGGGTGGCTACGGACAGGTCTATCTAGCGCAGAAGAAGGATACGCGGGAGGTGTGTGCGCTGAAGGTCATGAGCAAGAAGTTGCTGTTCAAGTTGGACGAGATCCGCCATATCCTCACCGAGCGCGATATTCTGACGGCGGCCAAGAGCGACTGGCTCGTCAAGCTTCTCTACGCATTCCAGGATGAAGACCAGATTTACCTGGCGATGGAGTATGTGCCCGGAGGTGATTTCCGCACGCTGTTGAACAACACCGGTGTCTTGCACAATCGCCATGCTCGATTCTACATTGCGGAAATGTTCAGCTGCATCGATGCGTTGCACGCTTTGGGATACATTCATCGCGATTTGAAGCCGGAGAATTTTCTGATTGACTCGACCGGTCATGTGAAGCTGACGGATTTTGGCTTGGCGGCGGGTATGCTGAATCCGGGAAAGATTGAATCGATGCGGGTGAAACTGGAAGAAGTCGGCAACACACCCGTGCCTTTTGGTCGGCCCATGGAGCAGCGTACGGTGGCCGAGCGTCGCCAGGGGTATCGGACGCTGCGAGAGCGCCAGGTCAACTACGCCAAGTCGATTGTGGGATCGCCCGACTACATGGCGCCGGAGGTGTTGAAGGGGGAGCAGTACGATTTCACGGTCGACTACTGGAGTTTGGGGTGCATGCTCTTTGAGGCATTGGCCGGATACCCGCCGTTTGCGGGCGCGACAGTGGATGAGACGTGGCAGAACCTCAAGTGCTGGCAGAAGGTGCTCCGCAAGCCAGTGTACGAGGACCCGAACTACTTCCTATCGCGGCGCACCTGGGACCTGATTACCAAGCTGGTTGCGTCGAAGGAGAAGCGGTTCAAGAACATCCAGGAGATCCACGCGCACGACTACTTCGCCGAGGTGGACTTTCACAATCTGCGTGAGCAGCGTGCGCCGTTTGTGCCCGAGCTGGATTCGGAGACAGACGCGGGCTACTTTGACGACTTTACCAACGAAGCGGACATGGCCAAGTACAAGGAGGTGCATGACAAGCAACGCGCGTTGGAAGAGATGGCCGAGCGAGATGATAAGATGAGCAAGGGCTTGTTTGTTGGATTTACATTCCGGTACGCCCCCACTTTGCTGTATGGGTAGCATGTGCTAATGAGAACAGACACCGGAAGCCTGCGATGGACGGGCTGGGCCGCAGCTCGCCGCGCAAGCCGATCGCGACGGACGGATCCTTCGGGACGATGTTTTAGGCGCAGTTTCACGGAGTTCTATTCGGCGAGCTGGATCTCGGTTGTTTTAGCGAGTATGGTTTAATGAAGGTGTATGATACAGCGTACGTAGAATACAGCGTGCCAAGTTGCCTCATCACTCAATGTAGTCCCAGGGCAGAGTCAAGATCTACTCATTGAGCTGCTGCACCATCTTCAAGATCTCCGACTCATTATCTCCAATCACCGCCTGTCCATTCGTCCAATCAACAGTCTACCACCGTTAGCACATCCATCCCATCCCATCCCTCCAACCCAAAAACGAGAATCCACTTACAATCGGCCTCACAAACGTCCCCTCAGGATCAGCCTTAAACTTCCGAATCGCATCCTCCGCATCCCTCGCCCCCCTCACCACCTCTCCCACCGTATACCGCGCCCCCTTATCCGGCGCGCCCGCCCCCGCCGGATTCCCCGTCACATAATCGAGAATATTGCGGAGTTGATCCGTGGTCGGAGGGCCGGTAGTGACTTCGAGTTGGAATTCGCCCCGGGTGTTGCTCGGCGCGGAGGGCGATTGGGCGGCGGTGGAGGCGGACTGGAGAATCTTGTAGGCGGTTTTGCTGGGTGTGGAGCTGGGCGTGTGGAAGAGGGTTATTGGGTCGAGGGTTTTTGCCTGTTTTTGTTAGTTTGGGGGTTTGGGGGAATGGGGGGTGGGGGATGGGGGATGGGCGTACGAAGCGGAAGACCATTTTTGTGGTGGGCGTGTGGGTGTTGTTGCGGGTGATGGGATGGGATTGAGGTTGGTTTGAGGTGTGAAGATGGATGTAGGTAGGTGGTTAAGGTTATGCTAGGTTGGTAGGTTGATAGGTTAGGTACTGCAGGGGTCTCTGTCCGGGCCGGGTGGTTGGAGTCGGAGGTGGTTGGTGGTTGGTGCGGGTGGTGATTACGTCATGGGGGTTGACTCATGGATTTCCCGTTTGGGTGCCCGACTTTTACATGGTATTCTGCGTATTTAAAAGTATGAATGTATGGCTACTAGCTGGTATGCTAGTTTAATGTTTGTATTGATACTAGGATTATGTTAGAAAGTATGTGATTGGAGTAGTAAGGACTGCTCTGATATGGTGCTTGAAATGTACAATGGGTATCTAATCTATAACTTTGGTATTATCACCATCCGAATTGCTCAACATGCAAATATATCCCCTGCGCTCCGGTTCCCTTATGTACCGCTCGCTCGTCGCTCAGAGATACTACACTGCGCCGCACATCATCTGACAGTCCCCGAGGTCCGCAGACTACCACCGCGCTCTCGCCTTCTGCCTTTTCGAGCACCTTGCGGATGATTGTCCGGGCATGGGGCCGGCCCGAGAGGATCATTAAGTCGTGGGGTCGGGATATGGGTAGGGCCGGTTTGGTATCCAGTTCAGGAGCCGGTTTGATGTCTGTTGACTGTGGCGCAGCATGTCCCGAGCAGGTGCATTTGGTCTCGGTGATGTCTTCTTCGTCCTCGATGGACGCGGTGCAGCAGCATCCTCCGTTCGGTCGACACCCCGACTGTCCACTGGAGTTCACGGAGGTGTTGTCTTTCTCTTCCGTCGTGGCTTTCTCGGAGACTTTCTCGACAGGCTTCTCCTCCGGTAGTGTTGCTGGCTGCGGCGGGAACTGTGATGCCTGTGCGCACAGGGTGCTCTGCGCCGGCTCCAGCTTCTCGTCACAAGTGATGTAAATGCTCATCTCGATTTCTCGGATGATGTCAGGGTTGGCGAGCTGGCACTCTTGTACATCAGTCAGGACCGACTGCAGTTGGTTTTCAAACCAGCTCAGCTGTGTGCGCGACTTGATCACCCAGACGAACCGGATTCGCTTGGTGGCTGCCAGCCGAGTGAGCTTCGATGATTGTCCTTGCGTGTTCTCGGTTCTCCATCTCGCAACGATATCCCGCAGACAGGGCACGGTAAATGTCGCTCCCATGCCGCCGGCCAGTAGGATCACGCTGTCAAACTGCTGGAGAGGTCTCATGCATCCGTAAGGTCCCTCGACAAAGACCGTCCGTGCTGGTTTCGCAGGAGCCGTATCATTGCCCCCCAGCACTTGGTGGTGCTTCGACGCGTATCGGAAGAAGCGCCTGGTGCCGCCTTTCTCCGCACGCACGTACATCACCAGGCTGTTGTCTTCTGGGATAGATGAGATGGTGAAAGGGTGGCTCTGCAGGGGCACAATCGAATGGCATGTGAGAAAGACGTGCTGACCGGGCTTCCACCGGACCCCAGGATTCTCAATGGCTATCCGGGTCACATTGCCTGGCAACGGAGTGAACGTTGCACGGTTGGCCCAGAGAGCGTGCGTGGGGTTCTTCGAACGGTGGAAGATAGACAGGTTCGCATAGGTGGCGCACAGGTAGCGCGCCACCCGGTCAAAGACGAGAAATCCGATTGGAATCCACACCCACACCTTGACTTCAGCCGGAGCATGGAGCCACACGGCCGCAATAAATCCAACAAACGTTACCAAATGCTGCAGAACGAAAAACTCGTACCCAAACCGTCGGATTGGCGCGGCGGAGGTAATCACAATGAAGGTCAAGATACACCATGCGGCAAACCCTCTCGTCGCCAGAGTATAGTGCTTTAGCTCGTACAGGATGTAGTCGTAGCGACCCCAGTCACGGAACCAGAAGCACATGTGGATTGTCGCAGTCAACCACAGCGTCCGGGCAATCCACCGATGGTACCAGTTCAGACGCTCATAGCTCATACCCACGAGAATGCCAATGAGGTTCTGTCTCCCCGCCAGCAGGAAGATCAACGGCAGCTGACAAATGGCGATGAATCCGGTGCGGTAGCCTATATCTTCCCATTTCCACTGGTCGGCCGTATCCAGCTCATAGAAGCAGAAGACAAGCACGACGATCAGGTTGGCCAGGATGATAGCCAGCGGACCCAGCGGCGCAAAGTGATAGGTGTGGCCGCGGATAGACAACGGGGGAAGAGTCGCGTAGCTGGCTTCGCGGACCACCGCTGTTAAGGTGGCATATGTGCCAAAGAAGATGGATTTAGGCTTGGAAGGGGTCAAGGACGAGTCCCGGAGCCTGACAGCGTGAGCATGAGTCGATCCTAGCAGCTGACGACGTACCTTTGGCGGGCGAGAAACCGGTTCAGGACATTAATGACCGTCCCAGCAGCGATGGCACTGCCTATAACGGCCCAATACATCTTCTGCAGATAGAACAGGCCGGGCACGCCATCTCCCATGGACATGGAGCCCATGCCAGACATAGACATGTCCATCTTTGCGGGTAAGATATTGTTCCGATCTGAGTATGATGGGGAGGTGATGTTTTATCGTGATTGATATAATCTCTGCGAGTTCAAGGCATTTCGGCAGAGGTCGTGCAGAAACAGGAAATGGTGCTTATGCATGGAGGAGAAATCCAATCCACCGTGAATTGTCGGCTGTACTGGCGGGGAGCCAGAGGGACCACGAGGACGCGATAGCACCACGCCAGCCCAAATTGGCGGAAATGACTGAATGAATCAGGTCGAGACCGGCGGCGTAGTAATAATCTGCTCATCCCCACCCTCGTCCGACGATGCTTTCGGACGGCCGGTCTGCCCGCCCGCTGATTGGCTCCCGAGGCCAAAATGTGCTCAAATCCAGCCAAAATGTGCTCTAGCGCCATCCGGGACGGGCTTGGCGGGTCCGCGCCGAACAAATGCATGGATTTCCTTTAAAAGATGCCATGTCCTGTCACCGTCATGACTTGATCCCCAGGCCCGCTTCCATGTGTTCGTCCACATTCCATTCCTCCTCTTCCGATCCCGTCAATTGACTTGGCAGGGCTGTCTTCGGTTCCAACTCAGACCCCAGACACCCCTTTGTTACACTTCCGCATTCCCTTTGTTGATCCACTCGACCCGAAACAACCCTCCCCCTACAATGGATATGGATATGAGCACCACCTCCACCATGGATATGGCCAGCACCTCCACCACCATGGCCGGTATGTCCATGTCCATGGCCACATCTTCTTCATCTTCCACATCCACCTCCATGACTATGGCCATGGCTACGTCAACCTCCATGTCGATGCCCATGTCCACCTCCTCCTCCTCCTCCTCCTCCTCCTCTTCAATGGACATGTCCAGCATGTCCATGTCCATGGTCTTCACCAACTCCCACGACACCCCGCTCTTCTCCTCCCAATGGACTCCCTCCTCCAGCGGTACCTACGCCGGCACCTGCATCTTCCTCATCGTCCTCGCCATCATCGGCCGCTGTCTCGTCGCCTTCAAAGCCCTCATGGAGCGTCGCTGGCTCGACGCCCACCTCAACCGTCGTTACGTCGCTATCTCCGGCAAATCCACCGAAGCTGGGCGCATCGAAGCCGATCCCGACGCCAAAGTCGCCAGTCTGGTCACAGCCCAGGGTGTCGAGGAGAAAGTCAAGGTCGTGCGGAAAGTATCGCACCAACCGCTTCCTTGGCGCTTTAGTGTCGATCTGCCCCGGGCTATCATGTATCTCTTCATCACGGGTGTTTCTTATCTACTGTATGTTATGCCGATCGATCCAACCCATTGAAAATGCAGATGCTAACATAGTCGCAGGATGTTGGCTGTCATGACCATGAACGTGGGATACTTCTGCTCTGTCCTGGCAGGTGCCTTCTTAGGCGAGCTGGCCGTGGGCCGATTCATCCAGTGGAATGAGCATGATCATTAAGCTCTGGGATATTATTTGTCTTGCATGGTGTTTGGGATTGGCGTTGCATTGCATCAAGGGTAGCGTGTCTTTTGAATTGCGGGTTGTCTGTCTAGATACCCTCCTCTCTGATCATGGGTTTGTTTGTTAGTGATACCATGGGTTTGAGGTTACTTGTATAAACTGGCATTATGCCTGTACATAGACTCATTTTGGCATGATGAAGAGATTTCATACTGGCATAAGCAATATGTAATAGATCCTTGGCATGTCTGCAAGGGACGGTGTACCTCGTCAATCCAACTGCCCTTCAGGCTGGATGGAACGCCACGGGAGCTGACAGCCATGGCGTGATCGTCAGTATGTTCTCCCCCTCCGATTGGTGCGGGGTCGGATCGACTACGGCGCGCGCAGCGGCCCAGCGCGACTAACCAGGAAGGGAAATAGATACGCTGGAATTCAACGGGGGATTTTGATTCCATGACAATAGCGCATTTAAACAACAATCTGTAATGCCGGCAAGCCATTAGATATTAATCGAACGTAAGGAATGCAGGCTCAACAATTGGCCAATCTCATCAGGCCCTGCCATTAGAGCACCCGCGCGAAACTGCAAGCATCCATTAACTAAACCTGGTAAGCACTGGTTGGCCGAGGCATCAAGCCCGCCTGATCGTATGTCTCGTCAATCGCCTCCATCTGAGCAATGCTCTCGTCTCCATCAATCCACACCCCGGAACCTGCCCGACCCTTAATCCGATTCACAAACTCTTCCAGCTGGCAGCGCCAGGTTGTCCACCATTCCTGATAGGTATTGGAACGCACATCCCCCTTCGGCCAGCTGTATGCTTTGACATATTTGGTTTCATTCCACGTGGTGATAATCTCGCCTTCTCGGCGAAGGGTATGCTTGTCACAAACATCAATCCGGTGATAGATCGTCGGAATAAGGTGATTCCACAGAGTCACCTTTCGCTGAACATAGTGGTGCAATCCGTCGTCTCGTTCCTCAATTGTAGCCTCTGCTAGAGTTGCTTCAGTCATGGGCCATTTGAATCTCGGTAGAGCCTTGGACAATGACGCCGGTAGGAAAGGATACTCTCCCGCAGACGCCAAATCCCCCTCGATCTTTGCAGATTTTCCACTGTCAGTGACATAGGTAGCTGATATTCCTACATCAATCTGTGGCTCAGCCACAGTTCCATCTGGTGCAGGAGGCAAGGGGCGATGTCGAACTTCAACGGGACGGAGATGCTCTCCTCTACCCAGGACCTGCCGTACGCAGGAAAGAGGATACGTTGCTAGATCCATGAGGCAGCCTCCCGACAGTGAGTATTGGAAACGGATGTCGTCCCTAGAGAGGTAGCCCTTGGGAAGGTGCTGCTGGGAGTGGACATGTTCCACGGCCCCGTCCCATGGAACCTTGTGGACCAGAGAGAGGAATGTCTGCCAGGCTGGGTGGAACTGGTAGTGGAAAGCTTCAAGGAGAACTGGGGCATTTGGCCTAGTCACCAGGGGATGTTTGAAGAGCCTTAGCGCCTCTTCCGCATTGGAACAGGATGGCTTCTCGAGAAGAACGTGCTTTCCAGCTTGGATGGAACGCAGCGCCCACTCATAGTGTAGGGCGTTTGGCAGAGCAATGTAAATTGCGTCGATCGACGGGTCATTCAGGATATCTAATGTACCATTCAGATTCCTTTCCGCTCTTCAAGGCTAAGCCAAGCCACGTGGAGATGCTCACCCTGGTAGGTGTCATGAACGATAGGAATGTTGTATTTCTTGGCATACTGACGGGCTCGCTCGCGATCTCGAGCAGCGACCGCTACAACAATGACCTCTGGATGTGACTTTGCAGGAGTGATCAAGGCGATCGGGCTAGAGCAGTCTTGAGTCCCGAGCATATGCATGCCAATGTGCCTAGAACTTACGCTATGGTGGAGGCACCGAGCAGTCCGATTCTGATGGCGTCATCCCTCTTGGCTGGGGTCGGCGGACTGAATGCTGCCTGGTAAGCCCTTTTTGCGAAGTCGAACAGAATCATGATGAGCGCTTAATCAGATCAGGATCCTGCGAGGTTGCTTGACATGACAAGTAGGCGGGGTGCTTGGAGGTAAGACAGAGGGACGATGCCGTATGGGTATGACGCAGAGCGTTGCTGTGAGTGGCCCGGAAACCGCCCAGCAAGTAACTTCCGAATCAATGCGTTAGCCTGTCCGTCATTCATAGTGAATACCTGCCTTCCCATATCTTTTCTTTTCGTGCTACAATTGCTCCTACAGCTAAATCACATCCAAGTTCGGTAGAACAGGGCTGTTTCTACGATGACGGCGGATATATACTACCGCTTGTAGATCTCCGACTCCACTAGTCTTAGCATGCTTTACTGGTGGCCTAGATGGATATGGGATGGGTGAGTATAAACTTCCAAGAGCCGTACAACGCAAACTATTAATCTATGCTCGAACCTCACGTATCAAGTACCGAGATGTCTGCCGACAAGGTCAATGTACATAGTGTACAGAAACTGATACCTCATGCCCCTCCGAATGTTACCGGTGTCTCCGAAATAAGGTCCATTGAGCTGAGTAATTCCCATGCGGCCTAAACTCTGCATTGACACCGGGCTATGTCATTGAGAAGCGAACCGACTCGTGGCTACCATGCATGAAACACAAGAAACTTCTCCCATCGGGTCTATTTTAACTATCTCCGATATGCTCTGGGTCTGTCCCGCGGTACATGTTCGCTTCCTCATAGCTTGGCCTCGCTGGAACGGATCAAGGCCTCAGCAGTCAGGTCTCAGCAGCAGTAACGAGCAGGCTTGGCAATCCCCCACATGGGCGGGCTCGTACCGGGGAACTCCATCGGATTTGCCAGTTCTGAGAAGAAATGAGCACATTTCCTAACCCAATCAGCCCTAGTGCAGCCATGCCCCAACAAACGGCCAATGGAAGTTCTTCCCTGCCGCTGTTCAGATTGGACCTGCCAAATCCATCGGTCATGGCTCTGCAGGGTCTGGCCGGTTTCCGGTGACACCAACAACATCCGATGCGCCCACCACTTAGCCAAACTGTACGTTGGAGCTAGTATCAGGCCCATAATTGAACCTGGACCCTTTTGCATGAATCCCGCGCATGTCCTGTAACTTACTAGTACCACCCTCGCTTAACCCCTGTACTACAAAGCTCACGCCCGAGCCCACCTACCCTTGTCCGCTTGCATATAAAACCATCGCCGACGCCTGTGTAACAATTTTCAAGCCTCCTATTTCCCAAAAGCATTCACCCTTTAGCACCATGCAGCTTCATATTCTCTACCTGGCGGCTCTTGCGCCTTTGGTCGCCGCCCATTTCGAGCTCAAGTACCCTACGAGCCGTGATGGAACGGAAGAGGAGATGACCCAATTCCCCTGCGGTGGAGCTGCTCAATCCAGCAACCGCACGCAGGTGTCAATCTCCGCCGGTTCTTTCCCTGTGGCCCTATCTATGGGCCACTCTCAGACCGCCGTGGAGGTTCTCCTGGCACTGGGAAGCGATCCCGGTACCAACTACAACATCACCCTTCACCAAACCTTTGAGATTCAGGGTCTCGGAGCCTTCTGTCTCCCCCATGTGCTGTTCGACGAATCCATTCTCGGCGCCAATATCACCGATGGCATGAATGCAACCGTCCAGGTTCAGAGCAATGGTGACCCTACCGGTGGCCTCTACGCTGTAAGCTTTTCTCTCGTCCTCGGGTCTAATGGTATACTAACCTCTCCCAGTGCGCTGACATCCAGTTCTCCTCCACCGTCGAATACGAAGAACCATCCTCCTGCAAGAACAATACCGGTGTCACTGCCGTGACTTTCACCGGAGCTGCCGCACAGCGCAACGCCAATGAGTCCACTGCCACCGGAGGAGCGCAGGACAGCTCTTCCTCGTCTTCTACCACATCGAGCAGCTCAACCACCGCTACCTCCACCGGTGGTGCTGTTGCAATGGAGACTGCTGCGTGGGGAATGCTGGGTGCTGCGGTCGTGGGTGGAATGGCTCTTCTGTAAGAGCCAGGTTATGAGCTTGTGGTTCTGGCATCCAGTACGATGGCCAGGTACTGCGACTAATGCTCTATGGTGCATGAAGCAACCCAGTTATGGGTCCAGGAAACGGCCTTCTACCGTGCCACTCTCTTAAAAAGTGGAAGTGTTTCGGCAACTGTCACACATTCAAGCTGCGGAAATGGAAGAACCAATATCACCTGTTCAGAGCTCTGAATCATCGCTCACGGGGCGGTCTCGACTTCTTCTGGTTGTGGTAAAAGCAACCCGGAGCTATCGAGACCCCAACTTCGGTAAAACGTATGTCGAGTTGAATCGTGCACTGGGGCCAATGGAGTCTTCTGAGTGACCATCCTGAGAACACATCCCCAGGCCTTTCCCAGCTCTCCTCATTGACTGAGGTTAAATATGCAATATACATTAGTATAAATATAATTTTCTTTTCAATAAATAGAGACACGAGCAACGCACAGGACCATCTTCACAAGAATTTGTTTATTCGTAGTTCAAGCCTGCCGCATTTTGCGGTCCGCTTCAAAATAATCGTCGGACGTAGTCATTCTCGAATGCTTGATAAATATAAAAAGCAGATGTGTTGTTACCTTTATTCCTGAATATGGGGATTCTGACTTTCCAAAGATACATGTCTGAATGGCTCGGCAAATCAGAGATCAATCCCGTACCGTTTCTCATATGAGTTTGCCCGAGTCAATGTTCATAAATCTGCATTTCCTTAACAATCATCATCCAACATCCGCGCAGAGTTGTGCTTTTCTCAAGGAGTAAACCTCGTACAGCACCAACCCGACTGGAAACAAATCCCAATCAAGGTCCCAGATGACCATGGGTTAGAAACCCGGGCTACAAACAACACAATGACTATCAGCCTGTCCTAAAACGAAGTTAATTGATCCCAGGGAAGCCTAACGACTGCTTAGGTTTCCCAGGGTAATCATATCGGCAATCTGCTATCATGACACCCGGATACCATACAAAGAAACCTCTGGCACGTCAACGCTAATGCAGGCCAGCAAGCAAGGCTTCCCGCCTTAATTTCCGTTCAGATAGCGCCTCCAAAATCATGGGTGCAGCGAAACAGAAGTAGTTACCAATTCCGTGAAGGCCCTTCCCGGTGAGCCACGCGTAATTTCGCGTCCGATGCATGGCTTGGTTCAGAGGATCTATTGGGTAGCTGAGAAACGCTAACCTCGATTTTATTAAAAAGCTAATGTTGACAGCGATGATTAAGATGATGATGTTCTAGCGCGTTGGGGTTGGATCCGGTGCTGCCTGGCCAGCATGAGCGTGATCGCAAAGTTCTCCTCTAAAGGAAGTTGTTCGCGGACACGGAATATATAGTGGCGGTGCGACCCGTCGGCAATTGGGATCCTTTCGTATTGTCTGACTATTGTTCTCCGTCGTCACGTGTTTCTCAGGGGGCCACTTCTTGTTGCAACAAGAACTATTGTTCTTTCGTTTGCTTTTCCCTGTAGCCATACTTCATTAAGAAGAGAGACATAGATGGATATGTTCGAGAGGTTACGTCCAGCTGGTATGTGCGAAGTGCTTTGTCGGGGATTAATACCGAGGACTGACATCCGACAGGACCCCTGGAGAAATACTCCATCGCGCGCCTCCCGCTCAAGCTCTATTTCAATGTGGCGGTGTCGGCAACCTATACTCTTCCCGATACCTTTACTCTGCCTATTAAGGACTATGTATATAAGGCATGTGAGACATTGATCGGCCAACACCCTGTTCTCTCTGCGATCCCAGTGAACGAAGATACCGATGAGCCTTGGTTCGTGCGTCTCCCGGAAGTGGACCTGAGCCAGCCGGTGTCGTTGCAGGAGCGCTCCCGTGACTTCCCCGAGGGAGATGAGCCGGATGTCGAGTTGTGCGAATTGCTGCAAGTGCAGCATAGTACAGGGTTTACGGCGCCGTTGCCATACTGGAGGCTATTCATCTTGACGGATGATGCGAATGAGCGACGCTTCACGGCGGTTTACGTATTCCACCATGCGCTCGGAGATGGAACGTCAGGGAAAGCCTTCCATGAAACGTTTCTGGAGGCGTTGCACGCTGCTGCTTCCTTGACACTGGGAGAAGCCAAGCAGATCATCCCATCGCCGAAAACACCTCTGCTGCCCAACCTAGAAGCAGTCCATCCGTGTAATTCGACAATCCCTTTCATTGTTAATGTGCTGTTTAGGGCCAAAGTATGGTCCTATCGCGACCCAGGTCTCTGGACAGGAGCGAAGATCTTCGTCCCGATTGACACACAATTACGACAAATCGTCATCCCGGCGGCTGTGTCTGCAGCGTTTAGGAAGAACTGTCGCCAAAACAATGCTAGTGTTACCGCTGCCCTACAGGCAGCCATTGCGCGCGCTCTATTCACCCACCTACCGCAGAACTACACAAAGGTCAACCTTACCGGAGCCATATCATCACGAAGGTGGCTGAAGGGGGAAATCACTGAACAGTCGATGGGTGTCTGGGTTATGGACTTTGGGGAAAGCTTTGTCCGAAAGCAGGTGAATAAGTACCCCGACGCTTTCCCATGGGGCGAAGCGAGAAAGTCCCGCGCGACGATCGAACGGACACTGAGTCGCAGAGGCAAGAATACTGGTGTGGGTTTGCTCAAGTTCGTCGATAACTTCCAGGATTTCCTGCAGGGTAAGATAGGCAAAGACCGCGGCGAGAGCTTTGAAGTGTCCAATGTTGGAGTCTTGAACCCTAACCAGGCAGAAGACTCGTCGCGTCCGCAAATTGGACGGGTGATGTTCTCCCAGACGCCTAATGCCACTGGTGCTGCTCTGGTGGTGTCTTCAATCACAGGCGGAGATGGTTCATTGGTCCTGGGCATCACATGGCAGAAAGGCGTTGCAGAGCCGGAGCTGTTCGATGCTGTTATCGAAACGCTGGTAAAGGAGCTGCACAATGCTGCCCAATGACTCGCATGAGCAATACACTTGAGGTGCCATTTTGGTTTAATGTTATATAGTGAATCCTATAGGCCTGCATAATAAGTAATGAATGAGCTTTCTTGTGAAGTATCATTGATGGATGAACTCCGCGGCCAAGGAGCGGCCTCCGGAGTCCGACGATCGCGCAAGGCGGTAGGCCTGGTCCCTCGGCAGAATCGCGGGGAAAGGCCCCTTCCATCATTGTTTCCATCTGTTGAACTCGATCCATCATCTTCATTTTCTCATCTGACCAGGAGAAACGATATCAAGATGCCTCCCCGCGCCCCCTATATTGTGCCGGCGCTCACGAAGCACACCGCGACAGTGATCATGGCCCACGGCTTGGGCGACAGGTTGGTTTCTAGGATAAAACACCCCGGTTTACATTTGGCTGACGGTTGTCTGCATATAGTGGTGCTGGATGGTATGTTTCCCGGCTATAATCTTTCCACAGGCCTTCAACTATTCCCTCCCCAATCGGATATTAATCGACCGGGCCGATGACAGGATGGCTCTGGCCCAGAACTGGCGCCGTCGCGGCATGTTCGATGAAGTGGCTTTCATTTTCCCGAATGCGCCCATGATCCCTATCACAGTGGTACGCGATGGTTGTTGCCTATTGCACCGAGACCTGAATAGGCCGGGCTAACATGGCGGATATAGAACTTCGGAATGAGCATGCCGGGATGGTACGACATTTCCAAGCTGGGTCGTGATGTGAGTTGTGCAAGCTGCTCTATGTCCAAGGCGAAGAGGACTGACTGTGTATAGTTGGACTTTGAGGAGGCCATCCGCCACCAAGACGAACCAGGTGCCATTCGTTCCCGTGACTACTTCAACACCCTCATCAAGGAGCAGATCGATCAGGGCATTAAGCCCTCCCGCATCGTCCTCGGAGGATTCTCCCAGGGTGGAGCCATGTCCCTCTTCACGGGTCTCACGAACAAGGAGAAGTTAGGTGGTGTGTTTGGTCTCTCTTGCTACTTGTTGCTCCATGATCGGGTCAAGAACTATATCCCCGAGGATTATCCGAACAAGAAGACGCCGTTCTTCATGGGTCATGGTCTGGAAGACGAGGTGGTCAAGTATGACTTCGGTAAGCAGTCGGCAAAGATGCTGGAGGATTTGGGCTTGGAGGATGTCAAGTTCCATTCTTACCCGTGAGTTTCCTTCGTTCCTCTGCGGTGTTATAGTTGCTGACTTGTGGGTAGTGATCTCGGCCACTCTGCCGATCCGGTTGAGATTCAGGACCTGGAGAACTTCCTTGGCAAGGTCATTCCTCCGGAGGATGCTGCCTCTGGGTTATGACTTGATGATGGCAGTACGGCCCTGGCCGGGCCATCTATGGCGACCCCCGTCACATATGGAATCTTTCTGGGCATCGTTGTATTGGTAATTGCGGTTTTGCTGTCGAGGTTCAGCTGGAGGGAGAAGCGAGCTGCACCAATGAAACAGGATTGAACATATGATTTGCTTTTGGCTTCTTGAAGATGTCTAGACGATAGATCAATATGCACGAATTGACGGAATCTAGTAGCCATCTACCCATCACCCCTAAGTCTCGAGATATATCTATTGTTCAGTCAAAGCCCTCTGAATAGAGGCATCAATAGCAGCCACCATCGCCTCCGTGTTCTCCACATCAAATGGCACCAAATGCCTTGACCCATGATCATAGAACCTGGCCTTTGCCGGGTCACACACCCTATACAGATGCATGCTGGAGGGATACAACTCATCCTGCTTCCCCACAATGTTCGTTGTGTGGATCTGGACCGGGTACTCGCCTCCGGGTGGAGGCACAGCGAGGACCTCGTTGCCAGTACTGTCGAACGGCAACGCACCGCAGATGAACACTGCAAGCTTGAACAGGGGCTCTTTATGTGTTTTCGCATGATGCGCAATCATCGCACACGCGAGCGAAGCACCTTGGGAGAATCCCATAACAGCATCGAAAGGTCCTTCACGTTCGATGATCTGGTAGACGTGCTTCATTGAGATGGCGAGATTCTCGCCCGGGGCTTGGTCGCGAGGATAGTGGTTGTAGAAGGGCCCAGGGAACAGACCCTTTAGCTCTGTTGAGTGTCAGCAACACCATCATTCCGGATCGGCGGGGGCGGGGTGATGTACGGGGTTCAACTTCGGCCTCCATGTAACCATTGTAGTATTTGAATGTATGGCCTTTTTTGGCGAGGTCATAGCTGATTCCACCTGATCGCGTCGTTAGAATGGGACGTTAATTGAAATTCGACGGTGGTGGTCTATCTGGACTGGTGGATCTGTGCCAATAGCCATTGGAATTGCTGTTCAATTACCGGATTGGACCTCGAAGATCTATGAATGGTGTCAGAGATCATGGCGGGGAAACGGAGATAAGTGCCGGCTCTGACATACTTCAGCGTTGGTACCTGCGCCATGGAGACAGAGGAACCGCATCTTGGGAGTTAAATGCGAGTGTCTTTGGGGCGTTTTGCTTGACTGGTCTGATCGCGAGAATGGCCGACGACGACGAAGAAGGATGGAGGGAGAGAGTCGCAACCAGCGCAAGAGCCCCTCCGACCGTCAGCCCAAAGCGGCTGCCACTAACGTCAGATCTTGCCTTTCTGCAGACCACTCTCGGCCTAGCAACATTCTTGGCCGACGTCCTTCCTTCTGGTACCTTCATCGCGACCATCCCTACTTTTGAGACCAACTCTGGTCCTACCCACCTCCGTCCCCATGTGAACATGTCGCACCCTGCGGAGTTTCTCCTAAACGGCTTGATCTCCGGCACCGAGGCCGGCCCCCGTGCCGCCCTGGAGATCTGGTCTTCTATGCTGTCCTCCCCCCAGGAGGCATCAGGGGTTCTGCATCGCTCCTGTCTACGCGATCGTGCCAGCTCGGGCTGATTTCTCAACCAATGGCTTCCATTGTCAATTTCGTCTCGAATGTTCTGTTCCGTCCGATAGAGTCCTATTGCAGCTTTGGACCGACGGTGAACGAACTCACCCTGGGTCTGCTGGGCTACTCCTTCAAGCCGGAGCGTGATATCAATGATCTGTCAGGGAAGGTCGTCTTTGTTACCGGAGGTATTATCTTCTGTCCCGGCTATCCGATACATGTTACTGACTTATTTATGGGTCTACAGGAAATGCCGGTCTAGGAAAAGAAACAATCCTCCAACTTGCCCGACACCGTCCATCCCGCATATATCTCGCTGCGCGGAGTGCAGCCAAAGCTGAAGATGCCATCGCTTCGATCCGAGAGCACGTCCCGTCCGCTGATATCCGTTACATATCATTGGACCTGACATCGTTCAAGTCCATCCGTGCCGCCGCAAAGCAGTTCACGTCGGAGTGCGATCGCCTGGATATCTTGATTCTCAATGCAGGAATCATGAACACCCCGCCCGCGCTTACGGAGGATGGATTTGAGATCCAGTTTGGAACAAACCATATTGGTCATTTCCTGCTTACTGAGCTGCTACTTCCCACGCTGCAGCAAACCGTTGCTCTTTCGTCGGATGTCCGAGTAGTCACGTTGGCTTCTGCCGCAAATGTTGCCGCGCCACCCTTCGAAATCATGACTTCTACGTCGGCTCTCCTGGCAGACCACACGTTGACCCGGTACAGTGCATCCAAAGCGGCGAATATCCTTTTTGCGTCGGAGCTGGCTCGTCGCCATCCGGAGATCCTTTCCGTCTCGGTCCATCCCGGCTGTGTCGTGAGTGAGCTCTGGGACCATACTAGCAAGATTAGCATCATGGCCAAGTATAGCATAGGTGCTATCTTGGCGTTCAGTCGGAGTGTGCGTACCGGGGCAGTCAATCAGCTCTGGGCTGCCGGGGCGAAGAGAGAGCTGTTGGACAATGGGGCCTATTATGTTCCCATTGGGGTGCGTGCTGCGAACAACCGCTATGCGATCGATACCGACATGGCGCGGCGGCTGTGGGAATGGACCGAGCAGCAGATTGCTAAGAGGTCCTGATCTCCCTCTGTCTATGGGCTTTTTTCTTCCCTTCGTCTGCTTTGGGGCTGCCCATCGGTCCGACGGAGATGTTGGTCGGCTTTTCAGTACTCTCATTTGGATATGGGTGGAGTAACTTGTACATATACTCATAGTTGATATACATCTAAAGGCATAATGGATCCCGGATGATGTGCAGGGTGGTCCGGATAGCGGGGGTCGGGTAGGCTCGCAGATTACCGGATTAGGCATGAGATGCCGGGGTTCGGGTGGTGAGCTTCCATTCGGTCGCGATGGGCGGTACCACCGTCGCAAGTTGGTGAGAACCCTACCAGGAAGGATGCTATGCCCTTATGAAATGATAATTCAACTCGAGCCTGGACAGTATGCGCCTCTGTCCGTGGTTCCTGAGCCGATGATCTCGACCGGCGGCGACATCAACAGCGGGTGATCGTTAGGGTTTAGCCGAGGAGCCTCTGGAGGCAGTCCCTCGTTTCGCCCACAACCACTCACCTCTCACCAGCACGTCCATCCAGATACCCCCAATGAAGGAATCCCCGATGCCAACCATCCAGGAAATGTAGTTCGTAGCGTAGAAGCCATGTAGGTGGTAGATCCCTACCGTAGCGTAGCAGAATCACGAATATTAGCGAGCGCAGCGCTGGGAGTGGACGCAGTCGGCGCTGCTCCCCACACAAACCCGCCGGCGCATCATCGAACTTCATCTCATCCTCCCACTTCCACTTGCTCTCCTCCTTCCCCTCCAGCACCACCCCATCATCAATCTAGGTACGTCTACACTACCCCTCTTTTCGCCCTGGAAATTCAGATCCCGTGTCCGGCTACACGAAATTCTTCATCCGAAATCCTGTCCACGGTCGCGATTTGAGATTCCCCCCAACACACACGCCCGCCATTCACCTTACCGAGCGATCCTCTGTGTGCAAAAGTTCCACACTCACCTCAACCGACGAGATCTGACAACACCCGCTTCTTAGGTTTGAACGGAAACAGTTCATATCATCATCAAAATGGATCAGGCAAAGTTGGCTAAGATGCAGGCTAGCGTGCGGATTGGTACGTTTTTTTCCTTCTCTTTTTTTTCTCTTGGTTTTTTGGGGGAAGAAACTCGATTTATAATCATTTCCCACGAAAGAGCTCAGTCTTTGTGTACGTGATGGAATGGGATTGGATTCTGCGAGAAATGGCTAGGACAGCTAGCTAGCTCGATCCTATCCTGTTCGATCACGTCACAATGGATTGATGATTGATTCGCGTGTATGGTTTGGTTTGGTATGAGTTAAGACGACTAAAGCTAACCACCACTCTCTTTAACTACAGGGTACGTATAATACAACACCACACACCAGACCACACCATCGATGTCCACGAAACCGCGAAACTAACAACATCCAGAGGCAAGGGTACTCCCCGCCGCAAGGTCAAGAAGGTCCACAAGTCCTCCGGTGCCGATGACAAGAAGCTCCAGGCCACCCTGAAGAAGATGAACGTCCAGCCCATCCAGGCCATTGAGGAGGTCAACATGTTCAAGGAGGACGGAAACGTCATCCACTTCGGTGCCCCCAAGGGTAATTCCAACCTCTCCCCCTAACCTCTACCACCCATACACACAACCCCCTCCTCCGTCAAGTCTGGACAATACTAAAACAAATGCTGAATAGTCCACGCCTCCGTCCCCTCCAACACCTTCGCCCTCTACGGCAACGGCGAGGAGAAGGAACTCACCGAGCTCGTCCCCGGTATCCTGAACCAGCTCGGCCCCGACAGCCTTGCCTCCCTCCGCAAGCTCGCCGAGAGCTACCAGAACATGCAGAAGAACCAGGCCGGCGCTGACGGCAAGAAGGACGACGATGAGGACGACATCCCCGACCTCGTTGAGGGCGAGAACTTCGAGAGCAACGTTGAGTAAATTCAAACAACCCCCCAATGACGTCTTTTCTCACCCGGGATTTGGATTGGAAATGAACACGGTGTGTCCCGGGACCCATGAATGAAATTCCACGGCTTGTGCTCTTGTTGCGCTGGCGGAGTTTTGTCTTGTGTTTGTGATATCTTAGGTTGATTTGAGAGGATTGAATCAATAAAATATGAATCTTTTTTTTTTCTTCATTGTGTTGGGGTGGATGGTGGGGATACTGTTTGGGATGGGTTTGGGAGTGAATTTGAGGGAATTGGGCTGTTTATGGGATTTGGGGTGTCAAGAAGAATGTTGTTTGGGGTTTGGATAAGTAACTGGGGAATGGGGCGTATTACGATGGTGTCACCTTTGTTAGTGGCCTAGAATGTAGACTCGATCGAACGGCTCATGACGAGGTAGACTAGAGGCTCTAATTGGTAACCAGAGACTCTGATTGGTACTAGAGGGTAGTAATCTAGCAACGTATATCTAGTCAAGCAACTCGATCATTTGAATGTCAAAGATATGGCAACCGCTGAACAACATGGGTATTGGTATACATCAAGAATCGTGATAGGGTCTGAAACACCCCGCAACCAGCAAGTTCATCTGCTCTCCACCTGGTTCATGGAAGACTTCTTCGGCACAAACGGGGCGGTGGTAGGCTTGGACTTTCTCCGCTCGTCCTTGACGCGTAGCCCTCTGCTCAAACCGCCGCCCAGGCCCCGGGCAAGAGAAGCAAAGGGAGACGCAGCTTGCCACTGATCGAGGTCGTCTTCGTGTTGACCAACGCTGGTCGTGACCTCGCCGTTGTGTTTGGAGGATCCCGATCCATCCGAAAGCTTAGCGCGGTGACGGTAAAGCGAGGTCTCGCTGCCATGCGTGCTCGGGGAAGTCGGGTTCAGTTTCGTTGGGGTGGTGGGTATGTCGGTGTCAATATAATCGGCGCATTTGCAGCCGCAGCCGCTGGGGCAGAACTGGTATTCGTCCTGCTCGGTGTTGTGAAGATCACGCTGCGGGTCCGATGAAGCCATTGAGAACCAGCCGCGGTGACAGTCGAAGCAACTGACGTGACCGCAGCCGAGGCAGGGGATGAGCATTCCTTCAACGACTTCGCCGCAGACAACGCAGGGGATTTTGAGGGCAAGAGGCTGTTTCGGTTTGCAGTGGGGGCATGTGATTGGAGGTATAGTTATGCTCTTCACGTGGCTCTTGGGGACCGCGTCGGTGAGAGCCTTCGTGGCGAAGATGGAATGCTGCAGAGCCCGGCCGCAGCTACTGCAGTGGCGATGGATCTCAAGACCTTGGTTATCGGTGTCGACAGCCGCTACTGTGGAGCTTCTGCGCTTGGAGGCTGGGAGCGAAAACGAATCGTGGTGGCTCCTGTGGCGACGGTGTGTTGGCGGCTCCTTGGTGGGAGTTGGGTTGCCGCCGATCTTGAGCACTTCGCTACGCTGCACTGGCAGTCCCCAAATGGACAGCAGGTGAGCATATACTGCGCGATACGACCGGTACAGCCACTCTTTCTTGGGGTCCAGGAAGCTATGCTGTGACGGTCCGTTGTTCTCAAAAGCAGCCTGGTTCTTCAAGACCGCTTTAATCTTCGTGGAAGGTTTGGCAGGAGTAGGCCGCTCACTTTCCGTGTCGGAGTGGGTTTGTGAAGTGAGAGCGGTAGAAGTGGTCAGGTAGTCGGGAACTGCTGAGGCAGGTTTGGCAGAAAACGCGCTGGTCACCCACACACCCGGTCCGCCGATTGTATTAGGACTACCACCAGGGTTGAGAATCTTTCTGGATAGGGCGGTTGCCGGAGGAGACGCCGATGAAGGCCCAAACGTAAGGGACCGTGAGAGGGAGGAAGCCAGGACAGAGCCAAGGCCAGACCCACTGCGCGGTTGGGATTGCTGGTCAGGGGAAGCAGCTATTGCTATATTCTGGGTCCAAGTCTTCCGGTCTGCTGTCAAAGGCCCGGCTCGGGCAGCTAGAGGAGGGGTTGTGCCTGTGGAGTATGGGGGAGTAGAATCCGGGCGCCAGATTTCAGACGAAGATCGTCCGGAATTATGTGTGATGGGTGTTGCATGGCTGTCCTTTGGCGTAGCGGCAAGTGGCATGACCGGCTGCGATTTGTTCTGCATGACCGAGTTGGGGGCGTATAGATCAAATGAGAATGCATGTTCCTCCATTCGCTTGGACACTGCCCTGTTATTATGGGCTTGTTCCTTTGAGGTCTCGTCGCTGTTGGGCTCATGCAAAACACAAGACAACATGGCAATCATCTGCACGTCGCCAATCTGTTCAAAGTGCTCAAAAAGGGCAGGGATCAGCCAGCGACCCCCGAATGGATGATCGCCCCATTGGATCGCGGCATTCGCAGGCTCTTTGGGACGTTGGTCCTGGCTTCCCGTATCATAACTCAGATCCACCGCGCTGTCTTTCCTCTGGATATACGGCCGGTCCAGGGTGTCAAACCCAGACGAGAACATCGAGGTTTTGCTGTTGTGCAGGATGAGCCGAACAAGTCCCCAGATTCGGGCCAGCTCATGGTAGCCGTGGGCCAGGGCTACTGCCGAGTTATGCGCACAGACATCTGTGACTTTGCCACAAATGCGATACTTGCTAGCCAGATCCCGCTTCGCTGGGAGCAGGTCACTGAAGTCGTGGATTGAGATCACGTTCTGTGAACTTTCAGACGACTTCGCCGTCATCGCCCCGATGGTTGATCTCTGGGAGTTGTCCGTAGAGCGCGGCCGGTACAGTCCAAGACTGCCACCACTTCGCCAAGTCTGGGGCGTTGGGAAGCGGTGTTGTAGTCCTGACAATATACCAGAAGACCCAGAAGAGCTTGACGACTCGGCATCCGAATCGTCAGAGTATTCAGAAGCGCCATCATCAGTGCTAGCCATCGTAACAGATGTCCGAGGCCCAGGGGAATTAGTTTGTATCCGACCGAATCCTTCAAAGACCTTGTCCGCTCTCGATAACCGGGTCATTTCCTTAAACCCAAGGTTTTCCAGCCAGTTCGATTTGTCCTTCTTAGAAGGGAAAAAGCACACCAACCGGCCATCATTGGCCCAGAGCGCACCGCATCCCTTGGCCACGGGAACCATCACATTGGCGTTGACCGGACGAAGCAGCTCAGAGCTCATGCCTAAATCTTGGCTTTGAGACAGCCCGACTTCGTCCTCATCACTAGACTCCTCGCCGCCTAGCTGACCGTTGACGGGAGACTTGACGGTGTCTGCGGTTTCCCCGAGGATCCATGCTATACTTTCCTCCAGGGTACTCTCGCCCAAAAGGTAGCGAACAACTCCTTCGAGACACCCTCTCTTGTGAGCAAGGAAGGTTTCGGCAATCGTGCGAAGCTCGGCGATAATCTTCTCGGCGAGTTGGTCAGTAACAGCCGCAGTCTTCTGCACACTAAACGTCGGCAGGGCAGCCCGAGGATAATCGACGGGGAATTTGATGTCGACTTTCAGGAAAAGGGAGTCACCATCTGCGCCCCATGGTCCGAGAAGGGATATGGTTGCCTTTCGTTGCCTGACATCAACGGATTCGAAAGCAACCTTAGTAAATTTTTCGCCGACATGGGTTATCTCATCCCCTAGGGTTTCAATATCCCAGCCGGATATTTTCACGCCTCGCATCCAGGAGATAGGATTGGTGTCGGTTCGAATGTTCGTCCGGCCCTGCATGCCAATTCGGGATTCGGGATTCCCTCCACCCTGCGTCCAAGCGCGAGCATACGGAACCGATATCGTATTCATCCCCTGGTTGCGCGAAGTCTGAGGTGTAGAGCTCTGTCGAGTGGTGGGCGACAACGAGTCCGTATCTTCGTCATCTTGGTCAACATTCGTGTCCCGATATGACCGGTACAGGGCGCCCTTGCGCGTGAGGTGTAAATTTGACACGTAAGATTTCCCTTTCTCGAAGCCAACCCTTTGCATGATATCCGGATCTACCCTGTGTAAGCGCAGTTCCCGATCTGTGCCCCAAGACACTAGCTGGAACTCTCGGTTATCGATGCCATCCACAACTCCGCCGCGTGCTCTCCAGAGGAACTCCTTCACTTGACCTTTGTGTCCTGGAAAGCTATGCACCAGAGGAAGGTCATCATTGGATGTAGAGCCATCTCCAGCTCTGCGGCTATACAAATGGAGATCACTGTTACCTCTTTGTGGCATGGCCAACACACCCCATCCGAAAGGGGTGTTCCTTGCCCGCCATACTGGAAACGGTGTTTTGATCACCTTCTCCGGTACCTCAGTATCCACGGTATAATCCCAGAATTTGATTGTCTTATCCAGAGAGCAGGTCACAAGAGCTCCGGGCCGCACTCGATTCCAATCTAACCCGTAAATTTTAGTGCTGTGTGCCTCGATGGACTTGATTGGATACGCGCCCATTCGCTTGTCCCATATCCGCAAGAACTTGTCGTGGGAACTGGCAATAACGTTGGGGTCTTGTCGGTTCCACTTGACCTGGGTAGCTCCAGCAAGCCAGTCCGAGAATGAGATGGCAGGACGGGAGGGAGTCCGGAGGTCCCAACAGTGGACGAAGCTGTCCACGGCACAGGTCGCGAGCATATCTGCATGGTAGGCAGAGAAATTGATATCTGTGATGGCTCGCGTGTGCGCGTGTAGAACATGTTCAATAGGGCTTTGTGAGCTCTTCATTCCTAGGTTCCATACCAGCGCCTTTTGGTTTGACGTGCTTACGACCCAATAGTCTCGGGAGGCAAACGGTGACCACTGGACATCTGCAACTTCCCATGGTGTGTGATGCGGAAGATATCTGGGCGGAGAGTAGGGCGAGTCCAGATCAATGACGTGGAGACCCTCCTTTGAAGCTAAGACCACATCCCGTCCACAGGGCGATATTGACATCGACCCAACAGGTTGCTCCACATGAAACGAGCTATCCTCGCCAAATGTTGGGCTCTCGAAGGCCGATGTGGGTGGCCTAGGCTCGTTGAGGTCCACCATAGTTATGTCGCCGACTCCGGCCTTCTGAATCTCCTTAATATCTGTGCTACCTATCGGCTGCTGCCCACACGGTGTGGGAATGTCGGAGTTAAGGAATCAGGAAGCACATTGGTGATAAGTATACATGCAATCGTGGACAGTGCTCTCATGTCGACCGGGCTCGTCGAGGCTTCTTCATCAGTTGGGTAGGGTGAGCGGATCTGAGAAATTGGCTGCGCGCATTGCGCAGGTCTTCATGGGGCGGTCGAGCTTGGAATTCTAGAGATGGATGCACCGTAACGTTGTCGAACCAATGAAAGAACGCTATTTAGACACGATTAGTACGGGAAGTGAGGGAGCAGCCCACAAATCAATTGGAGTCTTGCCTAGGGGGAAACATCCGAAACGAGGGCCTCAATCCGCACCAGCCACTCCGCAAGTCTGGGGTTGGCGAGTTGCTCCCGGCCGCTGCCTCCGATCCTCCCAATCGGGCCCGGGATCTTGCACTCTTAGTCTCTCCTGCCTCCCGCGCCCATTACGGTGGACGATGTGCCCAGGAAGCGCAGCCCCTCTGTCGGTTACGTCGTTCCATATCGAACACCAGCGATAGGATCATCCCAGGTGGCCGCTGCTGAATCTCACCCCCGACCATCTGCTCAAGGCTGGTGCCGAGTCTTCCCTTTCCAACAGTACGTGGAAAAGGTATCCGCCGCTTTCCGACGGTCAGAAAACTGCAGGAGCAGAGCCGTAAGCCCCACCTTGATAAACGTGAATCGCGGGGGTGCACAGTGCATTAAACGTTGCTACTCGACAGGCTCAAGATGGCGTTGCCAAAGAGAATCATAAAGGAGACAGAGCGCTTGATGGCAGAGCCGTAAGTAGTTCCATTATTTAACCTAGTACCACCGCAGTAGGAATTGTTGACGCATACATGTCCACAGAGTCCCTGGCATCAATGCTGTACCCCATGAAGACAACCTCCGTTACTTCGACGTCTCCATCCACGGACCGGCGCAGTCGCCGTACGAAGGTAAACAATAATCACTCCTTGGGTTGTGAGGATGGAAGCTGATTGCTTTGAAGGTGGCATCTTTCGCCTCGAACTGTTCTTGCCTGAAGATTACCCGATGACTCCGCCTAAGATTCGCTTTCTGACCAAGATCTACCATCCCAACATTGACCGCCTGGGGCGGATTTGCTTGGATGTTTTGAAGAGTATGCATTTCTACGGACAATCACTGGAAGGCGTTAAATGGCTAATGTGTGGTTAGACAACTGGTCCCCTGCCCTGCAAATCCGTACGATCCTGCTCTCAATCCAGGCTTTGCTGGGAGCCCCGAACCCGGATGACCCGCTTGCAAATGACGTTGCTCAACGTTGGAAGGAGGACGAGCCAACAGCCATACAGACAGCTAAGGAGTGGACTAGAACCCATGCCATGACCTAGATAAGACAGGCATAAGAACTGCTTTAACCTGCAAAAAACTGTAAGAGCGGCAATGTTGCGATGTGACCATGAGCAAAAGTACTGCGTTCTGCCTCCCTGGCAGCTCTCTAGGATAGGTCTGAATTCCCCCGGACCTTCCCATATGACGGAACAGGCATTATCTTTTCATCAGCCACGGTTCGTTTCCCCAGCAATGCCCATGTATGGCGAAAGGGCTATGGCTCATTCCAAATTGTGTGGTATAGGCATATGCTTGCTTTCTTCAGGCTAAGATCTAGTTATTCCGATTTTAGAGTGTTATGCTTCGATAGAATCGCAATATACCTGTAGTAGATAGTTCTTCTCCGTGTTTGCTTCTACGTGCGTAATGTTTACAGGGTAAATCCGACTGCGAATGTTAGGTCTCGGTTTCTATAGGCAGTTATTATTATCGACTACCGCTGGTTCATGCAGCCAGCGATGCTCGTATGCAGGGCATTTGATAAATCTCCGAAAATCAGAAGTACTATGCATATACAACCTTGGACGCTAGCTAGGGGACTGACTGTCCTGACTATGTATCCTGCGCTTGAGTTGCATATCAGATAACTTAATGGGGCCCGATTTAACAACCTACCTAGTAGTTTGGTGCTCATGTAGAGCCTGTATTTAATACAGCTTCGGGTCGTGCCTTCCTGTGCGCATGGTCACCTGCCATACCCGGCAGAAATCACTTGCTCCTGCTCACAGTGTTAGTCAGAGTGAATACACACGCATGCTGAATCCAACCTCATCTCTTTCTTCCTTAAACCCCGTCAATCTTTCTACCAGCTAAGTGCTGGATATTGTTACTATCAGTGGTATTTAACTCTTAGCAGGCTGTCTACTTACTGAGCACTTCAACATATTTAGAAGCCCATCAGCCAGAATGTTAAGATGGAAGAACAAGAGTAAGAAAGGGAAGAAGAGTGGTAGGAGCAACTATGGGAAAACTAGGTGCGGTTCTTTGCAGATGCATTTTACCAGCTTGAATGTGCTAAGGTATCTAGTTCTATTATTGTGTGTGACAGCCACGCTTCTGGGAGCGACTCACACGTTTTCCAGACAAAAGAGTGCAACAATCTGATGTCGTCTGAACTTGACCAACAAACCAACGACATCACCACCCAGCTAGCAAGCACTTTCCGTATCACTGATGACCAGGAGGACCCGCCTTCTTTATCTGCTGTGAATGAGAACCCCACGCAGCACATAGAAAAAGGTGACGATGTAATATCTCTGCACACTCCGCCTGAATGTTCTTTCCCAAGCAGCTCCCAAACATCTCACTCTTTATCTACCGCTCCTGAGAAGCCCGATGAGGTACCGTCTTCCTCGCATCAATCCGATTCGCTCGACATCGATCATATAATCACAACAGGGCGTGGTCTGACCGGAATATTGAAAAAGCACAAAGACAAGAAAACGTCCAAGAAGGTCAAATTCGCGATCACCCCTACAAAAGTTGTGAAGCGCTACAGATCAACAGAAGGTGGGTGCTCTTTAGTCCAGAGGCATATGATGTGTTCACGATAGTGACTACTGAAACAGACCGCGAGTAGAAAATGAATAACATGGACGCCTTGCATCGTGCTCATCCGAGCTTTCCATCCATAAACAGCCATAAATCCGGCCGAAGCTTGAAACAAGTGGTACATGTTATGGCGGAAGACCAGTGCGTCAGCGGTGGAAATGGCAATAGCGAGAGCAAGGGCGGAGACAAAGCGGGCAACCAGTATGACGAGAGCTTCCCCATAGTTAGCAAGAGCTCATTCAATGATTTGGTAAATGGCATCCAATTTCATAGCCGCTGCTTCAAGGCTGCTAACATAATAAAAGATCGAATACATCCGCCAGAGCACCGCGTGCGAGGTCAAAACGCACGATCCCAGCAAGCCCCAGGTACGCCAGAGAGAGGACGACATCAGGGCTTGGGACTACAGGAACATTTGGTGCACCAAATGCTACGGGAAATGCCCTGTTTGCGATACCTTCTGCTGCGTGTACGAGGAACTCCGGTCCGTAGTCACCGATGAGGAATGCGACCCTCTCTTATCGCGAGATCGAGGACGAAGCATGGGACTCATAGAAGTCGTGGGAGCCTACGTTAAGGACACAAGCACATTCTCGTTGTGTACAGCGCCTGGAGGCTGCGGAAGGCACGTCTGCCCGTCCTGTTGCGGGGTGTGCCCAGATGATTGGTGCCAAGATGTGCAATGCAAGGTGAGCGACGACTGGTGTCTCTTTCTTTCAACCGGACCAGGCAATTGGGCTGACAACCATTTTCGCTCAGGAGTGCAAGGCAAATCCTTGGGCGGAATGCGACTGGCACGAGCGGTCGGTGGTGCGCCGTGTAGTGAAACGATAAGACACGATCATGATCAAGTGACGACTCCTCTAATTTTTAATAGTTTATTGGTTGATGCTTGGTTATTATTTTGATCTTACAGGTGGAGATTGGATGGATTGAGGATGGTGATTCTGGTATCATTTCGTCATTCATATAGGGGCATTAATCTGAGAGCATCGAGAACGAATATCTATTGAAACAGCTCCGATCCAGGTGTGCCATCATAGAGAGGTTAAGACCTTGAGTTCGGATAAGAAACTATCATAATGTTCCACAAGCCCGTGCCAAAACAAAAGTCATCGACCGTAAACACCCCGATCCCCGATATCTGGAGAAGTTGAGGCGGAAGCCAACAGCCAAGGGCAGGGGTGGTCACGTGGCACCGCTTAGCGAGGCTCCGCACCGCACCACAATTGTGTCAGTCTCACGAACAGCTCGCCGCAGAGACCGCTTCGACTCAACCACCCAACGCCAACCGACAACATCTCGTCTCGACCGGCTGCGCATCTCAGACGTTCAAGATGCGTACCTACGACGATTCTTTCAGCGGTCAGAAGATCTACCCTGGAAAGGTGCGTTTTGTGTCCCTTTCCGCCAGACAGAACTGCAAAACCGACCGGCCTCGATTCCACCACGAAACCATATCCACACCTTGCACCAAAGCATGGAAAGAATACTCAGTTGACGGTTTTTTTGTACAATATATAGGGTAAGCTGTACGTCCGTGGCGACAGCAAGATCTTCCGCTTCCAGAATGGAAAGTCCGAGTCCCTCTTCCTCCAGCGCAAGAACCCCCGTCGCATCGCCTGGACTGTCCTCTACCGTCGCCAGCACAAGAAGGGTATCTCTGAAGTCAGTACCGCCATTTCTCCCTTTGGATTGATTGTTTTGTTGTGTTGCCATGCGGGTTGAAGAGGAGGATGGTTGGATCGATTCACGACACGAACACAATGACCATGCGTCATCGAAGGGGGGGATGACGATTGCGGGATTGAATGGAATAATACAACCTGGGACATGATGCTGCAAGCAACTGCTTGGAGGAGTCTATGTGGGGGACACATGCTGACGGGACCCTACGTGATATACAGGAAGTTGCCAAGAAGCGTACCCGCCGTGCCGTCAAGAGCCAGCGTGCTATCGTTGGTGCCTCCCTCGATGTGATCAAGGAGCGCCGCAGCCAGCGCCCTGAGGCCCGTGCCGCTGCCCGCCAGCAGGCCATCAAGGATGCCAAGGAGAAGAAGGCCGCCAACGAGAGCCGCAAGCGCGCCGAGAAGGCCAAGAACGCCGCTGCTCCCGCCCAGCGCATCCAGAGCAAGCAGGGTGCTAAGGGCTCTGCCCCCAAGGTCGCTGCCAAGTCGCGTTAAAAAACGGAATAGAAGCGGCACTGGCTTGGGCTGGGGAGTAAAGGAAGAAAACACTGGGAAATGTGTGGACATAGGGAATTTGGGAGGTCTCATCCCCCAGGAGCGTTTTTTGCCTCACAAAGTTTCTATTTAACCAAACGAATTTCTTTCGGCGTATGAGCGATGGGGTCGGGGGGAATTTCTTACGGATCAAGAATTCCCTCTCCCCCTCTCGGATAGGACTTTTTTTTCTTCTATCATTTTGCGCCCTCCCTCTCCTCTTCCCATCCCTATGGTATCTTTACTATACTCCCCCAGGAAAATGAAAAATGGATGTGATATGATGGCCCTTTGTTTTCCTCAATCTTCATCCAGTAGCCTTTCCCCGATGTATCGCTCGGTACAGTCCTTGCAGTACTCCGTAATCCATCAAAAAAGCACGCGCCCCATATGATCTCATCACCACCCTTAGCCTTGCAACCAAACAGTCTAGCCCGGCTGTTCAAGATCCTCCAACCCGGATATGCCGGGCCCCATCAGGGCCTATCACGTGACAGACTATAGGGCACAGACCTAGACTAACCTGTTCCGGCACTGCATGCATAGCTGAGTAAGTCATGTTGCATTTGCGTAACAGTCAAGGTTATGCTTATGTCCCTTCCTGCCTTAGGCATAAAGGGGTTAGTTGCATGCCGGGGAAACCATGACAACAATCAGTGCTTGTACTCTGCATCCTCGGAGGGTTTTGCGGGCGGGAGGGATGTTTGTTGATAGGTGGGTAGAAACAATGTGTTTGATGATGGTGGGGAGGGATTATGGATGTGAATTGCTATGTTCATCTGGGGATAGTTGTGGTGTAGAAAGTTGTGGACTAGACACTCTGTGCTTAGGTTCTATTCTATTGTGTTGTGGCTGTTTAGTGGTGATATTCAAGAGGCTTGCAGTCGTGTATACGCTGTAAATAAACGTCTAATTTCTCCATATGATCAACCATGTCAATACCATCCACAATATAACCCCGTCCCAGATCTATGTATATAAGGAAACGCCGAAAGAGAAACGACTCTTTATTAGAGAAATACAGAACCCGAAACAGATATAACTCGAGCTTCCAATCAGAAGAAATCTAGTAGTAGTGCGCCATCTCCAATCCAGCACGCTTGAACCCACACTTCAGGTAGAAGCCCTCGTTGGTCTCGGAACAATCGAGGATACTCTGTTAGACATCATGTTAGTTTCGCTGTCTATGCTGACTCCCTGAAATACCGAAGCGCTTCAAATGAAAAGAGAGGGGGAAATCATACCTTATAACATCCAACCTTGGCAGCCACGAAATCCAGCGCCTGAATAATCCTCAACCCCAGCTTCTTTCCCTGCTGGTTCTTCTCGACCGCAATATCCTCAATATGACCGACCATGCCAAGAGAGTGAATGAACTTGCGCTCAACGATCAGACTACCAGTGCCCACGATGCGGTCCTCGCCGTCGCAGACAACAAGGAGGTAGTACTCGTCGTTGCGGGACGAGATCCAGTCATAGCGCTGGTTCCATTGCTCCTCGGTGATGTCGCCGACAGTGGTCAGGACACGCAGGACATCAAGGTAGCCGCGCTGGTAGTCGGAGCGGCGGACGGGGCGGATCGTGTAGTTTTCGGGCAGGACGGCGGCGACTTCGGGGGAGATGAGGGAGGCGGGGAAGAGAGGGGCGTCGTCGGGGGAGGAGACGGCCTTGACGGGGGTGGGGGGGACGGTTGCGGTGTTGGTCATTTTGACTGTAGTGGGTTGTATTGTAGGGGAGAGGAGGGGGTCAAAAGAAGAGGTTCTTGAGTCGGTGTGCGGAGGAGTTCGTTGGAGGAAGGCCCCTGGTTAGTGGCGGGGTCAATTGGAGGATGGGTTGGATCGGGAGGACCGAGAGACGACGTGGAACGAGAGACGTAAAAGACGGAATAAGCAGATATCTGGAACGAGAGACAGAGAATTTCCAACGAAGGTGGTTATATGGAGGCAGGGGAAGGGATGGAGGAAGAGAACAGGTCGTGGAGGACTCAGCGGAAGTAATAAACAAGGCCGCAAGGCACCGGCGAGGCCCATGGGTCCGCCTGAAACCAATCCCCATGGCAGATGGCGCTCCCCCTGACTACCGCCACCTCTACGGGTCACTTACCACACTCAACAGGTCGACGGGACCTGCTAGGCTGTTGGTCCCTTCCAAGCCCTGCGGCAGTACAACCTGACTCCTGGGTTGGTTGATTTCTTTGTCACCCGCCCTCTACAGCCCACCAGCAGTGGTTGCTAGTCGTGCATAGACCGGGGGGTGGGACCGCTACCATCCAAAAATAGCACCACGGAATCCGCCCCGAGATCAGACCAAGGTTATACCGGAAATTTTTCGAGAACCAATTCCATGCCTACGAGAGTGCATGCACGTAAGGGTGATCCGCGGATAAGCTGAACAGTAAGAATAGTACAGTAGTATTCCTGAGTATACATAGATTTGAAAAGGCAAAAGCTCGTCGTCGCTAGATTGCTCCCTCCAAGCTAAGCCAAAACATCTCCCCGCCGGTGGCGTTCATCCAACTCTCCGGCTATACATCTATTTCTTCTCCTTGGGGCTCAGCATCAGCTCCGGGCGGACGTGCTTGTCGAAGTCCTCCTCGCTCAGAGCCTTCAGCTCCATCGCACTCTCCTTGAGAGTGAGACCCTTCTTGTGGGCGTTCTTGGCGACCTTGGAGGCCATGTCGTAGCCAATGACGGGGTTCAGGCAGGTGACAAGCATCAGACTAGATAGCGATCAGCGCGGGATCCGCAACTTCACACGGGATACATACCTCTCGTGGAGGAGAGCGTTGATTCTGGGCTCGTTGGCCTCAAGCCCGTGGACCAGGTTCTTCTCGAAGCTCTTCATGCCATCGGCCAGGATGCGCACGCTGTGCAGCAGGTTGCGGATCATGACGGGCTTGAACACGTTCAGCTCGAACTGACCGTTCATACCGCCGATGGTGGCAGCGACGTGGTTACCCATGACCTGGGAGCAGACCATGGTAAGGGATTCGCACTGGGTGGGGTTGACCTTTCCGGGCATGATGGAGGAACCGGGCTCGTTCTCGGGGAGGACCAGTTCACCAAGACCGCAACGGGGACCGGATCCGAGGTAACGGATGTCCTGGGCGATCTTGAACAGAGAGCAGGCCAGGGTGTTCAGGGCACCAGAGGCCTCAACAATGGCGTCGTGGGCGGCCAGGACCTCGAACTTGTTGGGGGCGGTCTTGAACTCAGTGCCGGTCATCTTGGTGACCTCGGCGGCGATGGCCTCGTCAAAGCCCTTGAAGGTGTTCAGACCAGTGCCAACGGCGGTACCACCCTGAGCCAAGAAGCGGAGGTGGGGGATGGAGGCCTGAACGCGCTCAATGTTGCGGTCGAGCTGAGCAACGTAACCAGAGAACTCCTGACCGAGGGTAAGAGGGGTAGCGTCCTGCAGGTGAGTACGACCGATCTTAATGATCTTCTCGAAGTTCTCGACCTTGACCTGGAGGGCATCCCGCAGGCTCTGCAGAGAAGGCAGCAGGGTGTTCTCGAGCTCCAGGACGGCAGCAATGTGCATGGCGGTCGGGAACGAGTCGTTGGAGGAAGCGGACATGTTGACGTGGTCGTTGGGGTGGACGGGCTTCTTGGAGCCCTTCTCGCCGCCCAGGATCTCAATGGCACGGTTGGAAATGACCTCGTTGGAGTTCATGTTGGACTGGGTGCCGGAACCGGTCTGCCAGACAACGAGAGGGAAGTGGTCCAAAAGCTTGCCCTCAGCAACCTCGGCGGCAGCCTGCTGAATGGCCTTACCGATCTTAGGGTCTATCCACATGTCAACCTGATTGAAACCGTCTCCTCTGGGTCGATGGCGGCTTACCGAGGCCAAACTGCATGTTCACGGTAGCAGCAGCACCCTTGAGGATACCGAAAGCCTTGACGACGGGCTCGGGCATGCGGTCCTGGGGCTGGTTGATGTCGAAGTTGCCCAGGGAGCTAGTGTAGCATCAGTCAGCGTCCTCTCATTCCTCCGTCCGGTCGCATGTCTAGCTTCCAGTATCGCAACCATTCTCGAGATCGGGATCTTACCGCTGGGTCTGGGCACCCCAGTACTTGTCCGCGGGGACCTAGAAAGAATGCTCAGTTAAAATTGCATGGCGCGAATCGTGTCCACGAGTGTCGTGCATACCTGGATCTCGCCGAAGGCATCGGTTTCAGTGCGGGTAGCCGAAGACTAGAGCAATAACCGATCAGTAATGTATTTCCACATGGCGGTGTCTCAATGGTGATGGCAATCGCCATCGAACTGAGTGCTCGCTTGCTTTCGTAGAGGTGTAGATGAGCATACCATTCTGATGGTGGTGCTGAAGGCTCTCTTGCTGGAGGTAGAGTTCAGGGACTGGAGGCGGGGAAACTGTTGGAGGGAACGGCTATTGGAGCTCAAAAGGCGACGGCAACCGAAAGAGGCGGGAGTGACAGCCACAGCAGCGCGGGCAACTGCGGGGGTGCTGGCCGATGCTCGAGATGCAGCATGTGTCAGAGAGGCCATCGAGCGCACCGCGGCTCGGGACGAGTGGGCAGGTGTCAACATGGCGACCGGCTTTTGATCTGCTCATCACGCGCATTAGACAGGGTGTGTGCGGCCAATGGGGGAAGCCATTGGAAGGACCATGGGTCAAGGAATCTGGGGTAGTCATACTTCTAAAAGAAGGGGATAAAAATGGAGAGCGATCTATAAATGTTCAATTCTACCCAAAACCTGGGGGACGATCCAACCACGCAGAAAGAAGGGAAGAAGAAGAGCAGCAACAGCCGCGCATATAATATTTAATCCACCCCAACCGTTTCCGATACCGCCTGCCGAAAACTCCCGGCCCGGTACGGCCATGACGCCGGTTACCCGTCCTTGACCGCCGTCTCAAGCATCTATGACGAGGCGCCGGGTACGGTACGGTAAAGATTATCGTCGGATAAACCATGATCCTGCCTGTCTCTCCGCATCTCCAATGGAATGTCAATGCATTGTTTGTTCTCCAGAGTCCATACTACTCCGCCCCTTCCAGCCACATCCCTTCAGCCGAATTACCTATCTACATCACAAGTTCCGTCCTCATCGTCCTAATTACTTTCTCACTGTATTGACGTCCGCTCTCCAAGATGCCGTCCAACAGGGAGAATGTGTGGGGTGCTCCGGCCATACACACCAACTCCACTTGACAGCCGGCGGCTCTCAATTTGGCAGCGTAAACCTCGCCTTCGTCCCGCAGAGGATCCATTTCAGCGGTGAAGATTAACGCTGGTGCCAGCCCAGAAAAGTCGGGGGCCATCATAGGGGAAATCTTCCAGTCCTAATGCACAAATCAGCAACTTGCAGTGGCGCGCAGCTATGGCTGCCAGCGAGCATGGTAACTCACCTCCTCCGAGCTTGCTGGCCGAGGAACCCCAAGGAAATGTCTGTGGAAGTAGGCCATCCGTGCTACAGGAAGGATTGCTGTGAACTCCATCTCTTGATACGATGCATAGGGGCAGTTTTCCCGATCGAATTCGCCATCCGGAGTGAAGGCTCTGAGTAGATCACACACGGGCACATTCAGCACCTGCAGGCGCAACGGGATGCTGGCATCACGACAGAGATGGGCGACCACGGCTGACAGATGACCTCCCGCCGAAGACCCTCCGACGGCCATTCGATTCGGGTCCAAATTGAACTCCTCTGCTTTTTGGGAGCGGATCTGCACGCGGTGTCAGTCCGCAGCGATCATACCGGGCTGGATGGAAGGGCAATCAGAGCTGACCCAGTTGAAAGCTGTCCAACAATCATCCACAGGGATCGGATACTTATGCTCAGGCGCTAGCCGATAGTCAACATCGAACGCAACCAGGTTCCCGTCCAGACTGTCGACGACTCTTTTACAGAAGTCGTGGTCTTTTGAGAGATCGCCGAACACCCAACCCCCTCCATGGAAATTGACATATGCGGCCCTCTTTTTGGCCTTGCTATTCTCATCCATGATAGGAGTGGGCTCGAATATGCGTACTGTGATCTCTCCACCCTGCACGGGGCATTTCTGCTCCGTGATGCGAAAGACATCGGGGCCCAGAGCACGACCGTAGCTGATGGCGTACTTGGCTGGGTTCTTGCGGAATTCCTCAATTGGGACCTCGTGCGTATGCAGCCTGCCGGCATTGTACTTGTTGTAGTGTTCCACATAGACCGGGTCGAAGCGAGATAGCAACTCTGGTGGGATACTGTTATGCAGTGGTTGCAAAACGGCCTTGGGCCGTAGCTCATTCAAGGTCTTCTCGTCGGTGAGGGCGGCCATGCTGATGTCAGTGTCTCCAATTGTACGGTTATAGTTTGAGATGAAGTAGCTTCAGGACGAAGATGAGGATGTCAGGTCATGCCTTGGATGGGCGATAACCCCCTCCTGACCCCTCATGCTCGGCCGCGATCCGTTATCAGCAAGTGACCCTTGAACGCAACCCCGTGATTGTTGCCAAGGACTACGCGCATCGCCTTGATACCAACCTCATGGCCGATGGTCGGCCAGCAAGGGATTGCAAATTGATGCTCCGTACGGAGTATCGGCAAGTCTTATGATGAGGGTGTGAACATTCCGGGTGAATATCCGCTCGGTTATTGTCGGATCAACCGCCCTCGCCCGGCCATAGCCGCCCTCGCAGCTCCCCCGCCGTCTGTCATACTCGGAATCTTGGATAGACGGATCCCCCAGTAGTACGTTTCCAGTCATTAGCTCATCGACTACTATCGATCTACGGAGTACTAGCACTAAAGTTGACTTCCGACCACCACGCGGCAGCTGACTTCGGTGGATAGTTTTAGCGTCAAGGGCCCCTTGAAGAAGCGGCATCAATGTCTGACCACATTCCATCTGACTCCAAACTTGCAGGAGACAATTACGAACTACGAAAGTGCCGAGCAAGTGAGAGGCCGGGAACTAGGCGGCATTGAAACGGGATCGGCCCCCGGACTGAAGCAGGATGACACGAGATGCTATCCAACATCCCCCGTCGCAACCTCCAGGCACGAGCCGGGAATGACGGTTTCTCATTGTCTGGTTCGACCCACCGACTCGTCCTCTCAGGAACCTTCACTAAGCGCACTTTTCCGTCGGTTCGTTTCCCCCCATCAGTGGCGAGAACAAGCAAAAAAATTCTTGATGATACGGGGGGGACAAGCAGCGGGTATTTAGGAGGCTAGCCCGCATGGCCAGCTTCGCCGCGGTGGGCGATATCGGCCAACTTCCATGGCTTCAGCTCTGCACCGCGCTTGACTCATGTCTTGATCCACCGTTCTCCCTACCGATTTTCGTGACCCGTCATTCGCCCGCTGTACAGATACGCTCTTCGGGTCGATTGCTACTATACCCTCCTGCCATTGAATCGCTTCCTCTCTCCTCTGCTCCACCTTTAGCACGGCCGAGTCCTACCGTCTGCAGCGGAAAATCTTACCGAACGGCCCCTCCAACGTATATATCAACTACCACAGTCCCTCTCGCGAGCGCGATCCAAACAACCGCTTAATCCAACACCATAATCAGACCACCCCTCAACCCCCACCATGACTGTCCTCAATTTGGTTCCGTTGCCGGCTGACGAGATCTTTGCCCTGAACCGCGAATACGCCAATGACACTTTCCCCCAGAAGGTCAGTCTCGGAGTCGGTGTTTACCGCACTGACGATGGCAAGCCCTGGCCTTTGCCTGCTGTGCGCAAGGCTGAGCAGCAATTGCTCGCCGAGGACAACCTCTTCCGACACGAATACACTGCCATTGAGGGTGACATCCCCTTCCTCGAGCTGGCTCGAGACCTGATGTTCGGTTTTGACGCCAAGAACCTCTGCGAGGAGCACAAGGCGTTGAAGGGCCGAATTGGCTCCGTCCAAGCTGTGGCAGGCACTGGTGCCAACCACCTGGGCGCTCTGTTCCTCGCCCACAAGATGAACCCCAAGACTGTCTGGCTCTCCGACCCCTCTTGGGCCAACCACGTCACCATCTGGGATCTCGTGGATGTTCCCCGCAAGACCTACCCCTACTACAAGGCCGAGACTCGCTCCTTCGACTTCGAGGGCATGATGTCCACCCTTGAGGCCAATGCTCAGGAGGGTGATGTGATTCTTCTGCACGCCTGCGCACACAACCCCACTGGTTTGGACCCCACTAAGGAGCAGTGGAAGGCCATTGCCGATCTCTGCGAGCGCAAGAAGATCTTCCCCTTCTTCGACTCGGCGTACCAGGGCTTCGCCTCCGGTTCCGCGGACGAGGACGCCTGGGCGGTACGCTACTTCCTCCACGAGAAGCCGCACATGGAGATGTGCGTCGCGCAGAGTTTCTCAAAGAACTTCGGTCTCTACGGCCAGCGTGTCGGCGCGTTCCACTACGTGCTCGCTGAGGGGTCCCAGGACCTCCGCGATCTCGTGGTCAACAACCTCTGCCACTTCATCAGAGGAGAGTTCTCCATGGGCCCTACCGGTGGCTGCTCGATCGTCAAGAAGGTCTTGACCAACGATGCGCTGACCGCACAATGGCAAGACGACCTGAAGGTCATGAGCTCGCGGATCAAGGCCATGCGGGCTGCTCTTTACGATGAGCTCGTCAGACTCGAGACTCCTGGAACATGGAAGCACATCGTCGAGCAGGTATGTACCAACCTTCCTCCTCCAGACCCTAAATACCATACTAACATACCGCTAGAACGGCATGTTCTCCTACACCGGTCTCACCACCACCCAGGTGCTGGCTCTGAAGGAGAAATATCACGTCTATCTCATCAAATCCGGCCGAGCCTCCATCAGCGGCCGTAAGCTCCCCCAGCCTAGCAATTCCACGTCCGTCATCACTAACCCTTTTTCGCAGTGAGCCAGAAGAACGTCGCCTACGTGGCGGAAGCCATCGACTATGTCGTCCGCAACGTCAAATAAATGCATATCTCAATAAAGCACCACTACTTCGGAGCGAGCGAACCACCCCCTCGCTAATACCACCCAATTTTTCCACCCGACATACGGAGTATATACAACCACCACACGCTTCAACGCGTCACAACAAAAAAAAAAAAACACACAAATATAGAATCACGAGGATACGTATATGAGATGATGTACCGATATATAGGGGCCTGCGCTAGAGATTCAAGATTAGACCTACTACTACCTAGAATTGACCGGTTTGCAAAGACCGAGTGCGGATGCAACTTACTATACAAAGGCTACCTAATCTATTAGAAGGTAAAACACAATAGACCGGAGCGTAAGCTCAAAAAAGAGAATAGAGTAAGATAATAGAAAAGACAAAACGTGAGATACACCAGCCCCCGTGACATCATCTTTCCGCCCATATAAGGAAAGGAAGAAATAACTCATACGAAGAAGCGCGGGTGGGGAGGGGGGGGGCTAATGTATCGGATATACACTCATGACGCTAGTCAACTTGAATCGTGGATGTAGAAAGGGAAAACAGAATCAGTGGGGAGAGGGAGAGGGAGAGGGACTATTACAGAGGGACCTCATTGAAGTCTCCTTCGCCTCCTCCCTCTTTGGATTTGCCCTCCTTCGCATCATCGGTACTCGATGATGAGTCCTGGTCTTCGTCTTCCTGGTCTCGCGTGTTCTCTTGGGTCTCCCCTCCTTCGTTCTCGTCCTCGTCCTTCTCCGGCGGAGATGGAGGTGTCTCGCTCTGCCCATCGGCTTCGCCCTTACTGTCCTCATCCTTCGGAGGCGGAGGAGGCGGCGATTCCGTCTCCTCTTCTGAGTCAACTTCCTTTTCTTCCGCGATGGGCTGGCCGGTCATTTCAGCACCTGGAAACGGCGTAACCGGGGGCTCGAGATTCTGCTCGCCGTCCTGCTCCGATTGCCGCGAGGGCGTCTGAACCTGGACAGCCGGAGGCGCCAACGAGGTAGCCGTCGATACCGTCCGCTGATGCTGCGTGGAACTATGAATCGGGCCCAGCTGTCTCGCCTTGGGATCCGCATTCAAATAATACCCACGAACGCTAACGATCGTGCCCTCCGCCTCACAAGCATCCACCCACTCCGGCACAACGACAGGGATATTCATCTCGACGGCCTTCTCCCAGAGCGGACCCCGCCCCTCCGTGCAGACGAAGTGAGTGGTATCAATGCGGACCGCATCAATCAGCTTTCCACCAATCCGGTCTAACGCAGCCGCCAACGCATCCTTCTGTTGCGGGGGTAGCACGCCCGCCGTCACCGTGATACCGGAAAGATCCGTCATCTTGTGCGTCCGACAGGCCAGCTTTTCCGACTGGTAGGTGCCGGCGGTGGTGCGCAGGACGAGATGGAAGGTGTATTCGGTGTGGATGGCCAAGCCGCTGATTTTGGTGCTCCGGGTTTCGAGCGGACGGGGGATGGAGCCGGCTTTGGAGCCATTTCGGTACAGGGAGAGGGATTTCAGGGATGCGGTGGCTAGGTCAATAGGGTCCCATTCCAGGACGAGGGAGGTTTGAGTTGCGTTGCGGAGGCGGAGGACGGGGGGTGTGGGGGTCTTAATGCCGTAGGTGTTTAGGATGCGTTTTTGGAGCGTCTGGAAGTTGGCTGCGCTGGCGGATTCGGCGCTGTGGTTGCGCGCGACAGTGATGTCGACGATGCTGCCGGAGGTGATGTTGTTGGGGAGGAGGACGGAGGGGAACTCGATCTGAGGGGGGTTAGTGGGTGTTGGGATTGCTATGAAAGGGGGTGAATTGGGTTAAGGGGAAATGTCGTGCAGGCTCGTGCGTCAATCGCTCGCTGCATGGTCGTGGGGTATGGATGGGATGGGACTTACGAGTCTGTTGTCCTGAGTTAAGAGTACGGCGACTCCTGCGTCTACCTTTCCAACTGTCAAGGAGACCAACATCTTGGAAGCAGGTGGCGGGTTTTCAAGGATGACGCATCAAAGAGAGGATGGCCCTGAGATGTCGGGAGACGTCAAGTCGCGTGGAGAACACCTGGGGATTGAAAGGGAAGGAAGAGGGAGTCGCAAGAGGAGAGATGTTGTTGTCTTCATGCTGGATGGAGATCGGCCGGTAGCGACAGGCGCCAAGGAGGCTCGGCCGCGTGGTCTCTAGCCGGCGATGCTTGAACGATTCATGGTTTGAATCCCTCCATCATTCCGACTCTGGACGAACGTGACATGCTCCATTGACACCGGATATGGAGCATTACTTGGCCCCCATTCATGTCTTCAACATGCATGACTGACAGGAAAGTGCTGCATGTCTTGCGCAGCGCATCGCAAGGGGGTTAAGTATATTTCCACCGGCTTGTTGTACAAATATACAACGAGACCGTATCGATATCCACGACTTGATTACTATTGGTATTTTTTTCGGAGAAGATTATGATGACTTGGTCCCTTGGTCATTAGTAGTTGCCTCGCTGCTTTTTTTCTTCTTCCCTGGCTTCGGATGCGCATTCTTCCCCATTCTATCTATCAAAGCATCCACTCCAGCATTCATTTCCTTCTGCAGGTCCTCGAATTGCGCCCGGATGATGTCCGCGTGAAGCACCAGTTCAACTCTCCCCTTCAGGTCCTTTTGTTCTTTTCCAGCATCCAACGATTTCTCTCCGGTTCTTCGACCGTGCGTGTCATAGCCGTGCTCTTTCAACGCTAGCTGGAAGGCCATCCGAGCTCGTCGACTACACCATGATCGAACCACGCGCTTCATTTTTGTGGACATCAGGTAGGAAGGATTTATCATCCACCATAACATGTCCTTATCACGGGTGGCATACATGTGTGCGATCTTAGGCTGGAGGGGGTGGACATCCGCAGTTAGGTACCGGAGGGCAACATGCGATGGTTTGTTGACGGGGTAGTAGCGTAGCACGAAAGCCTTGGTGTTTCTTAATATTACCACCATGATGGGCGTGTGTGAGAGGGCCCGTAGTCAAGGCTGTTGATCTGTGAAAAGGAGAATGAAGACAGGACGCTAGCTTTTATGCTTCAAAGTTCAAAAATTAGCACCCAGTAGTAGTAGCATGCGGTCAGCGCCTGGTCGGAACAGAAGAAAGCCAGCTCTTCTGGTAGCGAGCAGTTGGTGTCTATAACAGCAGACCGTAAGCAGTCCGCGAGATGAGCGAGTAGAATCAAAACAGGCATTAGACGTGGAATACGAACCAAGAGAGGGCGCAATCGACCTGGCGATCCAAAAAAGAATCCGGGCCTGTCGGGGATGCTTCGGCGGTCCCTGATTCTGCCGCCAGGCGGTCAATACCGTCCTCAATGATTGGCGGGTCCCTTGTAGCGGGCCTCAGGCGGGAACAAGGCCATCAGGCCGCCACCCACCGTGGCTGACATAATCGGACGAAAAGCCTCGAAAACACCCGCCGGGCCCTCGCTTCCCTCCGCCTCCTCGTCTTTCCCCCCACTTCCACCTCCTCTGGTCCCTAGGGACATCTATTCAACCTCTTCTTCCCCCTGAACATCTGCTATCGCACCGAGTGAAAGACCACCGCGGTTAGCGAGATTTCAACATGCCCAAGAACAAGGGAAAGGTTAGTTGTGCATCCCGCCCGGGAACCCCGCTTTACAGATTTTCGCTTTCAGGCTGCCCTGGGCGCTCTTGCCACCATATTCCCCTCCAACGGCACCCCACCCAGGAAGGCGGGTATGGATGCATAAAGAAGGGCCCAGGGCATCGCCAGATAAAATCAATCCATGTTATAGATAGTTTGCTAATACTTGTGCAATAAACAGGGCGGTAAGAACCGTCGTCGTGGAAAGAACGAGAACGACAACGAGAAGCGTGAGCTCGTTTTCAAGGAGGAGGGCCAGGAGTACGCGCAGGTCGTGAAGATGCTCGGTAACGGCCGTCTGGAGGCTCTCTGCTTCGACGGCGAGAAGCGTCTGGCTCACATCCGTGGCAAGCTCCGTAAGAAGGTCTGGATCAACCAGGGTGACATTATCCTTCTCTCGCTGCGTGACTACCAAGACGAAAAGGGCGACGTCATCATGAAGTACACCGCCGATGAGGCCAGAAGTCTTAAGGCCTACGGCGAGTTGCCCGAGCACGCCAAGATCAACGAGACCGACACCTACGGCCACGAGGGCTTCGAGGACAACGTCGAGTTCGACGAGGACCGCGAGAGCGAAGAAGAGAAGGAGATCGATGTCGACGAGCTCTAAATGCCCTTTGGGGCTTCGATCTCATACCCCTGCCGGAGCGACTGGGTTCGGTTCTGTTTTTCTCGACTCGTCAAGCCTCTTTAGCCTTCACGGGGGGGGAACCTTGCCGAGTGTCCTTCCGACAAGCTGTTACGTGCTTCGAGAGGAGGAAATCGGGCGGCTGGTGCGTGCTGTGCTAGTCGAGGTTTCACCGGGAAGGTCTCGAGAGAAGGAATTAGGGCGGCAGCGCCTCCCCGCTTCGCGTAGGCGCTTGCCTTTACTGCGCCCGGTGCGGCTCCTTATAGTTCAGGGTATGGATCAGGGGCAGGGGTACACCTGAGGGTTTCTTCATGATGGGGGTATATCCGTTTTCTGGACATAAATCATGTTCCGTCGTGAGGGCGTTCTTGGGTTAGCTACGGAAGGGTGGCTTAATGCGTACAAGGAGGCCGCACTGTGTACGGCCTGTGGCGTATGGGTGATCTTTGTGTTTGCTCCCTGCTCATTCGTTATGCCTTTCATTTCGCTCCTTTGTTTTTTAAATCTTGAAAAACCTGGATGGTAGAGTTATGAAAGGGTTACGAATATTAAACATTTCAATCAATTGGTATTCTCGCGTGTTTAGGTGACACGGAGCGTATATACAACAACTAGCTTTCCTCAAACACACTTTTGCGGAAGAAGCCAACTATCTTCCGTGCCGCCTCGATTCCTACCAAAGGATCCAACTGCTCAACATTCATGTTCGCAATCTCGTGAATGCTTCCCGTCTCCACAATCAGCTGCTCGAGGACATTGGGGTTCACGCCTGGAACAGCCCGGAGCATGTCCTGCGGCAGGAGATTGAAGACCCGGTGCTCTATTCCGGCCGCCGCCATAATGTCACCAGAGTGGGACGACGCCGCAACGTCTATGTCCAGCCCCATCTGGACGGCCCGGATGGGATCCGGTTCCGGATTATTCTTCTTGAGCTCGGCGAAGATCTCTGCCGTCTGGTAGGGGGACGAGGACCAGATGATTTTTAACCGGGGAAAGGTGAGGGTAAGGAGGACAAGAAGGTGTTGGGCGGATTTAGGGCTAGATGGGTTAACGAGGGAGCTATTCGAGGATAGGGTGCTTGTTCCGGAGGTTGAGAATCCGAAGTCGGTGAGGAATGTAGTGCCCGGTGTAGTTGCGGATGCAAATGCATCGAAGGTGAAGGATTTGTTTTGGTCGAATTCAATGAGGAGGAGGGGGTTCTTGTAGTGTTGGAGCATGGTCTCTGCTTGGTTGTAGAGGCGGCCGTTCCGTAATGAAGCGATCAGGTCACGGACTGATTTGCGCTCCACGCAGATATCAGGGGTGAGAATGTAATCACCGACTGTGAGTTGGCATGGGACCACAATCATGTTGTTTCCATGTAGTAGGGATGGGAGAGCACTTCTGAACTCCCGAACATCTACCACTACTCGAGGGGGTGATGCTGTTGCGACCAGTCGGCCTCCTCCAGCGATACGGGTGTTTACTGTTCGAAGAAACTGTTCCTGAGGGTCTTCAAGGCTCTTGTCATGTGTGATAGTGACAGCCATGCTCTAGTATAGTGAGTCAGTCAATAGTTGCTTAGATGGTGACAGGGGATGACCTTACGCCTTTTTCTTTGATGAGTTTCGTGAACGAGTCTTTCTCACGTCGTACAGCACTCAGGTAGCGCTGCTCTTCGACTGATCCTCCATAGTAGACGAAATAGACCCGTACGTCCCTTCCAACGTGAGAGCTGCGGTAAACCTCTACTCGACGGATGAACGCAGGGTCTGGTTCGTACATGATGATGTACCGTGGCCGAACTTCCTCGAGAATATGCTCATCCATATCCCCGTCGTATGGGTGTATCATGACCAAGTCATCCATATCGCATAGTTCGTAGTAGTCATCCGTATCCTCCAAATCATCGATAAGTATTTCCTCCTTTTGGGTCTCTTCGACCTCTGTTGGCTGAATCTCGTCCAGAAGTGCCGACACTTGGGCCGGCGGTTCGATGTCTACCTGTACACTGCTGTTTGGCACGCGTACTGGAACGGCCGATGTGCCTCCTCCGCGGACTCGGCGCCGCTTGTTCAACGGGGCTCTTCCTTGATTCAAAGACCCAGGCGTGCTCTTTTCCGCCGGTGCTTGTAACCCCTCATCTGGTGGTTTAGATGAAAAGTTCTTACTGACATTGGTCAGAGAAGTCTTCCAATCAAGATATTCCCGCAGCCTTCTGCGCAGCATCACTCCAGCCGAACCTTTCTTTTCACTGATGGCATCACCTGGATCCAGTGTTTCCTGTTTTTTCCTACCCACATCGGCATGCATCGTGCCCAGGTACTCTCGGAGTTGCCGGCAGGTTCGTTGGTCGCTGCACATAATCAACACGGTGCTATTCGACTCATCCACATTGACTGGATTGAGGTATGCATCTGTCTCAATCTCTTCCAGTATCTCCGCCATGACTTCCCATTTGGGCTGCTCTTCCAGAATAGGTTGAAGCGTGGTAGGGAATGACGTCGATGATGAGAGGGATACCTCGTTGCTAATTCGTCCCTGGTATACTCTTGACTTCGCAGTCTGGAAAAGCACGTCAGCTGCATCAAGGAAAAGCCACGGCGAATAGTTATGCTTTGTAGACCCTGGAGGGGGAGTGTGTGCTGTGACAATTGTGTCAAGAAATTTGAGGAATGAGACAGCGTCATAGGTCAGTAAAGCACTGAAATTTCGTTAGTTGATGGAACAGGCCAAGAAAGCGAGAGGTGGCCGTACTGAAGAATTGCCCGGAGATCCGACAAATCACTGACAATTTGTCTGGTCCGGAAGCTGACACGATGCCATATGGGGTCAAGTTGGCGCCTGATCGCAACATCAAAGGACCGGTGTAATGCACTGTCTAAGGTCCAGTCTGCCATGTCAAGTCCAGTATTTGCTTTTTTCAGTTCGCCTATGCATATCTCCACACACTCAAGGACGGCATTTTGTATTTCGCGCATCTTATCACTCATCGGTACTTCCAGCTCGATAACTTCTGCTTTTCTGTGACCTTCAAGAGCATCTGCGACAGTGACATGGAAGCGCGGCCAGAGAGAGGTTTTGCGAAGGAAAAGGTTGCGCATGGAGTTAGCCAAGGGAGCAAATCCTGTCGTGAATGGCTCTGGGGAGTCGGAAAATGCCTTTAAAAATCCACGCTTGTTGTGTTCTCTATACACGCGGATAATGAAGGCTTCAATAGACGTTGCCGTAATCCTGTATATCATCAGTATACTCGAACCATGACCGGGGGCATGATTCTTACTTGTCAGCATGGAGCACGATCATTCCGGTGACTTTCTCGGGGTCGAGCAGCTCTGGGTGTCAGGTTAGAGGAGAGAAATCACAAAATAGGCCGCGTTTCATTGCACGCACTTGATAGAAAGTCTACTACTAGTATCCTGGATGTTACACTCAGTATACCGCCTTCTGCGTAGATCTTCTCACTGGACTAATATCAGCATCGAACGCCATTAATCTCGCACAAAGAACATACCGCATTGGGACCGTGGCCCTGTCAGTGTTGATCACTTTAAGACCCCTAGCCAGGGGAGTTTTGCTGATAGCATAGTGCTCAGCCAATGCTTGCAAAAGGTCAGCATTGGACTGGTCCAACATAACCGACTCATAACCTGTCCGAGCAGCAGCATACCTTCTCCGATCCATTCATTTTCCCGATCGTCAGCACCAACAACAAGTACCAAATTGTTCCCTGCAGCATCGTAGAAATGTAGTAAATTTGTCACCAAGCGCAAGAGCCCCAGGCCTCGAGCAAGAATGACCAACTCATCCTCCGAGCGCAGTTCGGTGAAGATGTCCTGCTGGTATTGCTGGGTTTGTCTGTCAGCAATTCGAGAAGTGCCGCTTACAAACCACACATGACTTTTGAGTACTTACCAAAGGCAGGGACAGCTTCACCGGTATATTGGGGCGTTCAGGTGGCATGAGGAGCCTCTTGACGCGAGGAAGTCATCTTCCTTCGCGAAGGAAGCACCAAAGCGAACGCGGGGTCACGTGTGCTATGATGTAATGGCGCTGGGCGCAAGCAGCAACTACCTCATACTCTAAAGGGGCGAATTATAGAATGCGTGGCTTATCCTCATGTAGAGTGCTATGTGAGTAGTATTGAAGGTGCTTCTGAACTAATTTTTCAGGCAAGCTTACAACTGTAGTATGGAGGTGAACATATATAGTATATAGCTACTGTATGGAGCATCGGGATACCAACTACAACTATCAGTGGGTCAGATCACAAACATAACCATATTAATTGAAAACTATCAATACAACAGAATTACACGGTCATGTATACATTGCGTTTCCACTACTTATTCAACTCCTTCTTGCGTGCTTCAATCTCTTCCCTTGAAGCTTTGGGTGGCATGCCTATAGCAATCAGTGATCTGCTACCTGTGGCATGCTTGAGGGCGGTAAAAGCGCAACGCAGACTTACTGTCAGGAATTTGAGGGCCCTTGGATAGGTGGTCAAGCATCGAGGCTTTCTCGGTTCCATGACCAGAGTTCCTTTGCTCCTGGGTTGTGGAGGAGTTGTTATTGCTGTTGCCTTGCGGGGCCGGGAAGTCGGAGCTTGAAGGGATGACAGGCATAGTGATGAATGATGATTAATCGCGGAAGGTGACAAGTCTGAGAAAAAGGAAGTTATGTTATTGAGGAGTTGAGAGAGAAGTGTAGATGTAGCAAGGACGGCGACACGAGGCTAGCTTTCTATAGTTGCAGCAGATGCGATGACGTCGGTTAGGCTCCGATACTACTGCAGCAGGAGAAAGTCATCATTGAGGCACTGCAGCTTTACTCTATTCACATGGTTGGCTGTGATCTAGCGAGACCAGCAAATGAGATAATGTCAGAGGCAATTTTCTTGAATTTTGCATGGATGTGTCTGCCTAATCCACCCTTGCGATCATGGTGTTGTATGAGCCCCAGGCAGACATCCCTGCACACGAGACCACCGTGGGCAACCGAAAACCACTAATTAGGCCGTCAGTTGCGGAGATGGAAATTCTTCAGACAATGAGCCTCATGTGTTGAAACGCATTGTATCCAAGCCATACCTACCCATTGAGCCACCCACCATCGAAAGTGACTGGGCTCGGCTGAGTGAGCGCCAGTTGATTCCAGAGGCGTCCGGATCCCCACCGCGGCGTTAGTGGACTTTAGTGGCTCTCCGTCGCTCTCTCCCTCCAACGCTCCTCTTCTTCCGGCTACTTGACCTCTTCTCTCCTCTCCCCTCCCCGAAGGCAAGTTTCCTTGACCACCCAATTTCACTCGCTCAAGGCTTTTAACCCTGTATAGCCTCCAAACGAACTTCACTCCCACCTCTCACATTCTTACGGTCGCGGACCAGCCACCACCTACCCCACGGAGCTTGGGAATCCCGCCCCCCCTTTGTCTTAGACGGATCCGTTGGTGCCGCGCCGTATCAGCTCTTATCCGTGCCTGAGGAGCAAGCACACTTCGGTGGTTTGGGCTCACAAATCTACAACCAGCACCCTGCAATGCGCCTCCGGGAGGCGATCTGACCGCTCTTACTACACCGGTTACAATCTGCAATTCATTAGCCCGTTGTCTTTCTTTGCCGGTACATCGTCATGCCTTCAATTTTGAACGATAGCGACAAGGAGACTGTCAGGAGGGTTGTCCCCAAACCTGACAATAAGATCCTTGCGGTGGCCGTTGCGCGCCTATATGTGGCTCATCCAGACACCCAGAGATGGACGTACACTGGCTTACAGGGAGCTGCAGTGCTGGCAAATGACTTGGTCGGGCGCACATTCTGGCTGAAATTGGTGGACGTATCGGTGAGCATACTACGATCGATCCTGTTCTGGGACGGTTGACTGACTGCAACCATTTGTTTGGGTTATAGCCTGCCAATAGGGGTGTTATCTGGGACCAAGAGATCTACGATAACTTCGCATACAACCAGGATCGCACGTTCTTCCATTCCTTTGAATTAGAAGATTGTCCCGCCGGACTATCCTTTGCCGACGAGAAAGAAGCCAAGACATTCATCAAGAAGGTACATGAGCGAGAAAAGCATGCGAGTAAAGAGACGCGGCAGACGCCCTTTGCATCTACCCGCGGCCAGGGCCCTGCCCCGGTGGTGAATGGCAAGTCCGGGGTTGGACGATCGCTATTTGGCAGCTTACTCGGCCACCGCTCATCATCAGGATCCCATGGGCCCCCGACGGTGACACCTGCAGAATTGCCCCCTGCCCCATCAATCCAGGTTGCTCCGCCGCCTCCACCTCCATCCAGCCCACCACGCAAGGAATTGCCGTTCGACACCAATGACCCGGCATTCAAGGGTATTCTAGACGAGCTCCTGCAAATGGGCATCACAGAAGACTTGATCGCGGAAAACTTTGACTTCATTAAGTCCTATATTGAACAGAAACAAGGCACGACGCCTACCCCGCCTCCTGCCGATGATCAGAGGAGAGGGAAAGCTCCCCCTCCGCCTCCCCCATCTGCACCGCCTGGGCCGAAAGTGGCCACCATCAGTCCACAAAACACCGGCAATAGCACTGGCAGCCGACGAGGCGCCCCGCCGCCTCCGCCCCCGACACGGAGAACTCGGATTGACGCGGCGGAGGAGGAACCTGCTTCGAAACGTGAACCGTCTCCTCCAAGGAACCGGTTCCGTGCCCCGCCCCCAATTGCAGATGCCGGTAAGTTTGCTCATGCTCCGGGTCCTCTGCCTCCCACTCGTCAGCGAGCTTTGTCGGGAGCCACTCCCGGTCCTCCGCCTCCCCCACGGCCTCCGAAGACTCCGATGGATGAACCCCAGTCCCGCTTCGGTGTCCCTCCGCCGTTTCAGGGCGAGCGCAAGGTGTCTGCTCCGCCTGCACCACCCAGTCGGCCGGTGCCTTCAGGGCCTCCGCCGCCGCCTCCGCGCACCATGAGCCCTGCGCCACCGCCGCAGTTACCCCCCAAAGTTCCCAATGTGTCTGCGCCAGGGCCTCCGCCGCCCCCGCCCCGAAGTCCTTTGCAGCCTCCGCCCCCACCCGTACCTGCCGCTTCCCGGCCTATCCCTCCTCCGCCGACATCGAGCGTACCGCCTCCTCCACCCCCGCCTCCCTTGGCAAGCGTTCCCCCGCCACCTCGACCACCTCCATCCTCGAGCGTTCCTCCCCCACCTCCACCCCCACCATCGTATCCTTCTCCTAGTGCAGGACCTCCTGCACCTCCTCCTCCACCGCCCCCTCCACCAACAAGCTCGGTTCCACCTCCCCCGCCGCCTCCGCCCCCGACAAGCACCGGTCCCCCAGCACCTCCGCCGCCTCCACCACCAGGAGGCTCGGTCCCACCACCCCCTCCGCCCCCTGGCGCTGGTGCGCCTCCTCCGCCACCTCCTGGCGGAGCTGCTCCGTCCCTGCCCCAAGCAGAAGGTGGTAGGGGTGACCTCCTGGCTGCTATCAGGGCGTCTGGAGGAAAGGGAGGCGGTGGCCTGCGGAAAGTTAAGGATTCTGACAAACGCGATCGGAGTGCAGCGCTCGTCCCCGGCTCAGCCAGCGAATCGTCTGCGCCGACTCCCAGTGGAGGCGCCGCCCAAGGAGGCTTGGCAGGGGCTTTGCAGGATGCGTTGGCCAAGAGAAAGCAGAAGGTCAGCGGTAGTGGTAAGTATACTTCTTCATCGTGTCAATGGTACGCATACTAACATCAACTCCAGATGACGAAAAGGAGGATGACGACGATTGGTGAGCCCTGCTTAGTTATAACTCGCTTTTTTTTTTCTTTGAAAATCCCTGTTGCTGCCGTGGCTTAGACTTCTCGGATTTCGCGTGTGATACCTCCGTCTTGCAGCCTCGAGTTTCTCTTTGTGTTTCAGCATATATTCCCATCCGGTGCGTGGAGGCGAATGTCGGGATTTTCCTTTCTATTCAACATTTCCTGCTGGCGATAAAAATTATGCTCGGGAGATTGGGGCTGTCTGACAGCGGACTCATTTTCCAGTCTCAAGAATGGAAGCGCAATGTTCGGGAACTCCCAGAGAATCACAATTAAACCTGGCAACCCTAGATGGCAACTCTAGGAGATTGGATCGTATCTTGTCCTATCGGGTGAGTTCCAGGAATAGCCAAGTTCTATCAAAATCATAGACACGTATACAGCTCGGCATGACTATAAGAAAACACTACACTGTTAAACTATATGCACAAAGTTCAACAACCAAACAAACGACAGTAATCGTCTGACGGTCTGCCTGACCTACCTCCGGGCTTACTCTCGCTCTCCCCCGCGAAAGCACTAACGGAGGAGGGGAAATCAGGGCCCTTTCTAGAGAGGAGAGAACATTCAAGACTGGAAGGTACGGAGTATTATCACAGGGTCTTTTTTTCCACCTTTGTATATGTACATGTACCGGATTTTAAGTACCGACAAGGTTAACTAAATACGGCATGGGATATAGCTTTCCTGGACCTCAGCTGTGACTCAGGCTGTGCCCCGATATGCTTTTCAATGAGGCTATTTCCGCCGCTCATGCGCTGGTCGAGTATCTCCTTGTTCGCATCAGATTTCCTGGTGTGCCTCAGGGCTTGGTTCAGTACCAGCGCTGAGCTATGCACCATAAGAGGCTAGTTAGGCTATGGATACACTGGGATAGGGGAGGACGCGGGAAATTTGACGTTGAAGAGTTGATCCTTGAGTAGAACACTACTAGTACTTAGTAAGGTACAGCTACCTAGATCGTACTAGTCGTAGTACTTTCGGTACATCTGGTGGGGTCAGGAACAGCCAATGGTGGATCACTTATCGAACTTCCGCCCAGGTGGGGCTTTCTAATGCTGATTAGGTAAGCTTAAAGATCAGGGCCTTTTAAACATACGTAGATGATATGGTTTAGTTGCATTTTGTGGACAGAACTGATCGGCCCTGGCTCATCTGGTGCCGAGATCTATGGTAACCGTGATTGGCCAAGACTGAAGTACTAGCAGAGAAGTTCTCAGTTGAGGAAGGAGTGTGTGCGGCTTCATTTATTCACAGATCTTGGTTCCGTGAGTGTGATTTGTCTGTGGAATGGCAACATGTAACTTACTCACTGCCATGCACAACGTATAGTTCTGCTTGGATTCTCACCAGCTGGCACGGTTCCCAACTGTATGAGGGAAAAGAGAGCTGGAGGGAATTACCCGGAGCACGACCGGATCATAGTTGGTCCGGGCGGCGCAACTTGGATGCGGGAAAAAAGATGGACGATGAGACAGTTGTTTTTGGCTTCGATGAGTGGCGGTCGTCTTCCTGGTCGGTGAAGTTGTTGTACAAGACAGAGATGCTGTCTCCATCGTCTCTGAAGCCCTCAGCTCCGTCAGCATCTCTTCTCCGGTTTCTACGTTCACAATCCGATTCCTTCTTTTTCACAGCCAACCCAACCACTTGCGGGCGGTCTCTCAATGACCCCCAACCTCAGCCTCAATCTCATGCCTTTCCGCTGAGCAGGACATCCGACAGCAGGACATCCGACTGGACGCATATTGATCCTGCACCGTGCCGGGCGACCCTGGAAGCAAGCCTGATTCCTTTCCCCGGCCTTTCAGTTAGAACTCGCGGTATTACACGATGTCGGGCGTCGCTGGCTCAACGCTCTTCAACAAGCCCGTTCTTTCCTCCCAGTGCGCAGTCTTCACGCGCTTCGTCCACAAAGAGCAAGGGTCTATGGCGTCGACTTTTCGATTTTAAACGGAACAAGGCTGCCGAGAACAAACACTTCGTCCGGCATCCGCCTGCACTGATCAGTGAAGGTACAGAGGGAAGCTTCAACATTGGTCGCGGATTAGTAGCCAAGGCCTCGAATGAACCGCGCCTGCGATGTACGGAGTTCGACAGCAATGGGGATGTGACTCTTGTCAACGGCGAATTCAAGAAAAGCGAGCTGATTGCCAAGGTCAGTACGGGTGGTTCTGCAAATCGCTTCATCCTGGAGTATGGCACAAGACTAAATCCGAGCTTAGTATGGACTTCTTCCTCGAGACTTGCGCAAAATCGACTCGTCAACTTTGCCTCATATCCTTGTACGACCGAGCGCCATCCTTATCAATCTCCTACACCTGCGGGTCCTTATCAAGGCCGATCGCGTCCTTGTGTTTGATGCGTACGGATCGACAGATTCATACATGCAGTCATTATTTGTGTACGATCTTGAAGGAAAGCTACGACAGAAGCAGTCGCCGGGTGCAGGTGCTTTGCCTTACGAATTGCGGGCGCTAGAAGCTGTCTTGATCAGTGTTACAAGTGGCCTAGAGGAGGAGTTCAACGGCGTTAGAGATCCGGTTGTGAGCGTGCTTCGGGCTCTGGAGGAAGATATTGATCGCGACAAGCTCAGACATCTCCTCATCTACTCCAAGAAGCTGGGTACGTTCGAACAAAAGGCTCGTCTCGTGCGTGATGCCATCGACGATCTGTTGGAGGCAGACGATGACCTCGCTGCAATGTACCTCACTGAGGGCTCGAAGGGTATTCAGCGCGAGGAAGACGATCATCAGGAAGTCGAGATGCTTTTGGAGTCGTACCACAAGGTTTGCGACGAAATTGTTCAGGCTAGCGGCAATTTGGTGACCGGAATTCGCAATACCGAGGAGGTGTAAGTAGCTCACGATGTCTCCCATGCATCTGCTGTGACAGGGTACTAACTTCTACACAGTGTCAAGGCGATCCTTGACGCCAACCGCAACTCTCTCATGCTGCTAGACCTCAAATTCAGCATTGGAACTCTCGGACTCGCAACAGGAACTCTCTTCTCCGCCCTTTACGGAATGAACTTGAAAAACTTCATCGAAGAATCAGACCTGGGATTCGGCGCAGTGTCCGTCACATGCTTTGCCATCACAATCGTTGTCTGTGCCTACGGCCTCGCCAAGCTGCGCAAGCTTCAACGCGTCCGGATGTGGGGCGAATCTGGCTCCGGCAGCGCATCCATGGTTCCTCTACCCACCAGAGGCGGTGCTCTCACCGGCCATCGGCCGAACTGGCGAGCAGATACCATCGAACCCGTCTGGGGTAGCCTCCCCGGCGAAGGGCGTATGGAGCGGATGAAGCGCATCAGAGACAATGCAGCTGCAGCTGCAGGCCGGACTGCGACCCTCAAGACCGCCAGTGCGCCTCCGAAGCCAGCAGGCGACGGGTCCAAAGGACCAGAGCAATCCTAATCTCTACTAAAGAGTATCCCCACTTTTTATGCCTGATCGTGATACCCCCACGCAGCTACGATTTTGAACCAACTACCATGAAAACAATGATGAATAAGAACCGCTCGGGGCTTAAACACGGTGGCTATTTACTAAATCTATAGAACCGCATGGTAGGAGTTCGGCAAGTGGATTTGATTTTGATTCATTCTTTCGTTTGGACTGATTTCCGCTAGTGCTGTCTACCCAATCTTCGGGGAATGACTGTCTCTAGTTTAGCATCCCACCCAACTCACTCTTAAGTCTGTTTCTAGGGAGCCGACTTCGCTCTGTAATTTGTCCATAGACGATAGATGTGACGCCTGTGCACATGTATGTACATTAACATCATTTCCTTCAAATCCTCATTCCAGACCTTTTCTCATCGATTTATCTATCTATCATCTATCATATGTAATCGACTACTTTTCGGGTATCTCATCTCATCTCATTTCATCTCATCTCCCATCCTCTGTATCTAGTTCAAAATAATTGGAATTACCTCAATGACCACCTTGCTTCCCCGATCCAGACCCCTTATTCAACCCCTTGGCCCTCTCAACCCAGATCTTCGCCGCCTCATCCACACCACCCTCGCGCGAACATTCACGCCGCACAACCTCCATCACTCGTTCCAAGACCGCCTCCCCATTCCCATCCCCTTTAATATCAGCATCCACCCCATGGCTCTCATCCTTCCACTCCTGCGTCGTCCGCTTCCGTCCCCCAATAACAGCCATATTCCTCGTACTAGGGATCCTCAACAAGGTCCTCTCCACCTCGTACCCGATCTCTTCAGCCACGCTCATCGTCTTCGCAGTCAAAGAGCCATACATGGACTTAAGGAAACCAGCCTCCGTTTGCTGAGCATCTTGCTTTTCCTTCCGAAGGGATTTGAGATCTCCTGACGCGGGGTTTTCAGCTTCAGTCCCTTCTGCCAACGAGACAGGGTCCTTCTTGTCCGACTTGACTTTGGGAGCCTTGGGAGGCGGGTACCGGAATTTCGCCCCAGAGAGGGAATGCGAGCAGCACGGGATAGCGATGAACGGGGATGGAGATTCCGGACTAAGGAGTAGAGCCATTAGGGGCGTCCAGACGGTGAGTTCGTCTGCGTGATTGGAGATGATGAAGGTGTCTTTTGGGAAGGTGCCGGTGTGGGATTTGATGGTGAGTTGGTCGAGGAGGGAGGGTGTTGCGGTTGCGAAGGGTTCAGGGATGTAGATTTCTTCGTGGAGCCGGGATCGCACGGACTCTGGGAATATACTCCAGGTCTTGCGTCGGCGGGCATCGAAGCCCCAGCCCGTGTAGCCTTCCATGAGGAGGACGTAGACGAGGACGCCGTTGCCGCAGGCGACGTCGACGAAGCCGGGGAAGGGGCGTTTGGGGGGGTCTTGGTCGGTGGTGGTGGTGGTGGTGGTGGTGGTGTTCTGTTCGTCGGCTGGGACCGCGCCGTACATGCTTCGCCAGAGTTCGATGAGGAACGCAGTGATGGAGAGGTCCTCGAAGACGTGCTTGGAGGGCTCGGTGCTTTCGACCCAGTTTTGGCAGAGCTCGGAGGCGTATTTGGCTTTTAGGCGGGTGTAGGTGTTTTGGACCAGATGTTGGGGGATCACGTTGTCTTTCACGGGGTTCTGGCTGCCGCCTTCTGGCTTACCTGTTAGGCGGGTGCCGCGAGCAAGGCGGATTTGGATGGTGAGGAGGGCTTGGAGTGTGCGTTCCAGACGGTTTTGGATGGGTTCGTCTGGGAATTGGAGGAAGTGGATGGACATTGTGCCAGGGCCTGAGGCGGTTTCTGGTGTGTTGGGGTTGTAGTCGTATAGGAAGGCTAGGGAACGAAGGAGAGGGTGGTAGAAGGGCATGTCCTCCTTGGAGGTGATGTGTGGAGTGTAGATGACAAGAGACCGGTTGATGGGTTGCGCATCTGAGTCTGCAGACTTATCTGTGCGTTGAGGAGGTGTGTTCGCCTCGTAGAAATGGCAGGTCTGGTCCATGACCCGGTCTAGGTTTGGATTCCTGGGGACGAGCCTCCTCACCACAGTCCTGACCAGAGTGAACCCGGAAAATTCTCTTGCGGTGATGGGTTCCACGTTCTCATCGGCAGCCACGGTGGTCTCGAGATTGCTGTTTCCAGCCTGAGCGAAGGACTGTTCTTTCTGCTGTGGTGTTTTCAATACACCCAAGCTATCGAAGAGGATATCTGCCCGGTACAGATGGCTTGAGCTCATGTTGGGGTTCGCCAGAAGAAACAAAGTCATGTCTAGGATGACCTCTGGCTTGAAGGAAAGACCATATTCGGTCAGGTCCTGCGAGGTGACCCATGGTTCTGTGTTGGTCTCCAAAACCGAAGCTGGCTCCAGCGTCTCAGCAAGTGGTTTACCGGAGAGACGGGTGACGTCTCTCGGGTTCGTTCTTTTATTCCCGGTCATGGTCTTGAGGGGGAAGTGGATATATGGTTATGATCAGTTTTGCTGTGTATATCACGAATATAGCTTCCCAGCACTATTTGGTGGTCTCTCCACCATTCTAGCACGACTGGTGCCCTTCACGAATCGTTATTCATTGCTGAAGAATTCTGCCATTGCTCTCCGATTAGTCATTCGTGTATCCGTTCATTGCGGAGAGTATAACGCAGACCTTGAAGTCGAACATTGTAAGTGTTTCTAAGTACAAGCATCAAGTCACTAGCGATTCTTACTTGCAGGCACCAGGACATGCCCCTCCATGGTATACGAGAGTGTAGAATGCCCTGCAGGAGCACCAGTGCATGAAATCTTAGTCATCATACAGGGACCTTGTAGTCATGTGACAGAGTGTTGTATACGAAGTACTTTTGTACATCATAGTGAGCCAAAAGACCCTGACTCCATGCGTCGGAGTGTCGAAAAGGGGACCTTGGGGTTCCCGAATGCCAAAAGACACCCGATAATATCCGTAGAAAGGGAGAAGAACCCCCTCCTGCGCCAAATTCGGGGTTCTGCCTCCATGGCCGTCCTATCACCATGTTTTATTGGACGCCTGCCATGTTGGGGGCAGGGATCTGGGCGACAGATTGGATGCAGCTTAATGTGAGACATGCCCCGACTTGGGCTAAGGTTGGTCGAAGGAGATCACTAGATCACTAGCATTTTGGGGGCCTGCTGACCATCGCGATGATGGGCAGATAACGCTCCGTTTCTCGCGGAGTTTGAGTTCATCATATCTCCCGCCCATCTTTTCTTTTTATTCTCCGGTCGCCTTCTTTTTGGCTCCTCGTGTATGCATGTACTATGTAGGTACGGCGTGCATAGTCGGTTAGTGTCGAGTGATAAACCCTCGTATGGGCGGCCAAGGAACACCCGGAAATGCAGGCATCGGTTTGCCTTTTGCGATCATCCGCTGAGTCAGTGGGCAGCCGACAGCTGTTTGCATCGAGGGCTCCACCTGTTGCAATCACTCCCTTGGGCCCCCTCGGATTGATTGCCTTTATTTGCTGAGAATTGAGATCATTATCATCTTGACTCATCCTTAATCTAGCATCGATGGATGCAGCTGGCAGATGTCTTCGACCCCTGAGAGCCTACCAAGGTCGCCGTTCCAACCATTTCCATGGTCCATGTCGGGTCCGACATCTACGTATCTCCGAATCTAGAGGTAGCACGAGGTTCTACCGCTCTACTTATCGTGTACAACTGTACAACCCATGTCCAGCACTCCGCTAGTGGGTATGGGATGGATGCACGAAGTATTATGTACCAACCCAGGTCGCTGTTTACTGTATGACTATCTAAGCCTCAAATCGATTCCGTTCACCTTCCCCCATGTGTTGAGAAATCTTTTCATAAAGCGGCCAAGCTTCGTGCAGAGACCGACGATCATTGCGTACTTCGTGTCTTGCGGGGTCTTGACGGAGATTGACACAGTCATGACGTTTACATGTTCGCGCTAGCTGACTAGATTCGAGGCAGTGGGCACTATCTATCAGGCTACCGTCGTTATCTCACGATTGTCTTTGCTTCTTCCCCCCCCTTTTCGTGCACGAAGGATCCGGATGACAGGTTGAAATTGTCAATGCTTTCTGCCCATGGTGCATCTCACCAAACGGCCTTGCTTTTGTGCTACGGTCAGCAAAGCTTCCGTGGGAGCTTGGGACGTCTGGCTAAGACACGAAGCTCTTCAGATTGGTGGATTCGACGTCGCCATATGTTTGTCATCACCCCGGACATACCGAGCTGTGCTCGCATTCGATGGTGCGGATAACGTGACAGATCAAAGCGGATCGCCGCAAAAAGAAATTCCCCAGAGTGTGAAAGGGAAAGGACAGACCACTTAAATCAACACGCACCACCACACTAACGGTCATCTGCTTTAGCTCGTTCCCAACGAACCATTGCTCTCTAGACGAATTGTAGCGGCACAAGCACTAAATTGCTAGACATCACTCCAGGAGTCGGTGGATAAAATTCACTAGGCGACCAACCGTCTGGGACTAGCTGTGCGCGAGTCCAATACTTCCATGGGCGACAGACTGGCAAGTTCGGATGCTAAACACAAGGATGAGGAGTGGTGGAAGTCGAAGGCGGTAGGAGTTCGAATCGTCGGAAGCTTTAGTATGACTCCGCATTAGAATGGGACCATCCGAACCTAATGGTACCGCGAGCAGTCGCGTTCACAATGCACTTGTTCAATCGGAGCCAGTCTGTGGTGAGATCGCAGACGCAAGGTTGAAACTGGCCCCGCGTATGGGCTCGGGAGTGCCGAGGTGGCTGTTTCCGGTCGAGTTCGCAGGATGAGGGGGCGGTGGCTACCACACGGTTACATTTATCGTTGGGTAGAGATCATAGGTCTTTTGACCCTGTTGATCGTGCATTGTGTGCGGTGCTCTTCCACGTATGCTGGTTCGCAGTCCTGTCGACACAACTAATTATATATCTACTCATCAAGGTTGTAAACTTCTTGATGTACAGAGTACTTCGTACCTGTGAAGTGGTGGCACCTACGGGGTACCTGAAGCCCCAAAATACCTTGCGGCAATACGTCAAACGACCAAAGTCTCGTTAGTATCTACTGTCTGACAGGCGATGCCGAAACGATCAAACCCCAGGCAGCTCAATTGAAATTTGACGATAGCGGGGTAAGACAGCCGGTGAGACATTTATGGATCAAATCTGTTGGGGCGAGATGCTTGCAGGCGTGTTATGCGAGAATTCGCGGTCCAGCCATACCTATCATGGCGGGATGCAAGGTCATGATCAATCTAGACAGTCAGTTGGTATGTACGGAGAAGTCTATGTCGGATATACTTAAAGATTGTGCAGAACCGCGACAGACAGGCCGACACATTGTTGGTCGGCGGATTGCGCGCATGGTCCGGCGAAGCGATCTAGGCCCCGATGATCAAATCCCTAAAGAGTCGATGCCTCCTGCTGAATGCATACCAATCAGCTCCTGACGAACTTTAAGCTCGGCTGGTATGAAGAAAATGTAGGGAATGCCTCATCCGGGAACAATCAGAGTTTGAAGCAGTCCGATCCAGTCAGTCTACTACTTACAGTCTTACACAGGACTACAATTTCTATCCAGTGACAGTGAATAGAGCCAGGAGGACCGGTACCAGGGCAGGAGAGAGAAAAAAAAGTTAAATTAACTCGACGGCGGCTGATCGATGTTCCAGGGAAGAGAAAAATTGCCCTGTTTCGGTAAGATTTGATCAGTACCTGACCCACTGACCGGTACCATAGATAGTAACAGCAACTAATAATTGAACAATGTGATTCGTCCTAGGTGCCCAGCTAGCAGCGAGCTAGAAGCCGGCTAGCCTGCCTGGTGGCCGGCTCCACCGGCATTGTTTTGGTCAATCCGGTGCATCACCCCTAGGGTCTGGACCAGGTGGGTTTTTTTTTCTCGCTCGCAAGCACTAAGAAGGGCAATTAATGCAGCAGTGGCAGCATGAATTGATAATGCGATCGAATTGCGATCGCAGGTTCTCTCATTCTTCCTCAAGTAAGCCAATACACTACGGAGACTAGTGAGTGCTCAATGTCTCATGTTGGGGTAAGAGAATCCACTCCCTATCCACCCTGAGAACCATTGCTCGTGAGGTGTAGATAGATGCCTATCTGAATTGAGGTGTGGAAGATCCTCAGCCTCATCAGCCATCACATTGCCATTATGTTTCCAATTTATCTATGTCAAACATACTACAAGTCAAGCCACCGGGGCCGAAGGTTTCAGTTCTCAGGAGGTAGTCCCTCCTGGATAATCTGGAACCTAGCCGGGATATTCTGGAACTCACATAAGCATATCTGGAACTTTATTAATAACCAAAGTTAGCCGCTCCTCCGGGCCATACTGTGACGATTGATGTCAATGATGAGCAGTGGCGAGGGGTAGACAAAGTATCCAGAGAACCCCAGTCGCGACCATGCAGCAAGTGGAGGGGCATATTACATTATTTACGGGATCCGTAAGCAGCAAGATACCCCATGGTTACTAAGGCAGCCGTCCATTGCAGCCATGACATCCGCCATCCATCCCTCTGCAAACAGCAAATATCCTGGTATGAGTGTCGATCCCTGCTTCGGAAGAGGGTGTGGCATGCCGGGTTGGACCACAACACCGCCTCCCCCTTCCCGATTAACCCAAGGCGGAATTTCCCAGGTGACACTAATGCAAGAGAAGAAATGCATCGATAGCATGTCAGTGTGATAGTGGTGAGATGGCTGGTCTACTGAGGCATGGTGGTTGGGAACATCAATCTATAGAGGAGGAAAAAAAGAAAAGAAACCAACGGGCATCCCTCATATTCTGAGGGACCTGGTATAAAAAGAAACGACCAGGAGAAAAAAAGGCAATGAGATAATATTCCTCGATTCTGTTGTTCGTACAACCCATCCAGTTCCTTTGAGCACTAGATTAGACAGCCTGCCTGGGGTCTTAGCTAGAAGCTAAGAATGAGCATTGGCTGGTCAAAGACCCCGTGGTCACACACCCACCGGAGGGGTTGAGTTCAGGGAGCTGAGCTGGTTCAAACAGGACCTTCAGCACAGTCCTAACTGGTCTACCCCGTATCTTGCGGTTGGTTGATTTACCAATTGCCCACCTAGTACTCTCCTCTCCTCCAGTAGGCTCTATCTAATAGGTAGGAGCGGATCCCCACGGTGTTCGAACGTGATAGAAACATCGGAGAACCCAGGGCCCGATGGATATTTATTGATCCTCTCCCCTGTTTGACCTTGTTTCTAGCTAGTTACCAGAACCAGCTAGTGCTGGCGATGAGCCTGAAAATAAGTTCCGTAGGTACAGGAGGAGGAGAACCTCCATCTGCGACCAGGACGGAATACCCGCTTATTCGTACGGTGGTGCGCTCCAGCTCCATATCGGTTGCAGCATTAGAGGCAGACTGGCCAATCTGCCCGAGTCCGATTGCAGCGGGCGAATCCCGGCCTGACCTCGACCACAGACGAAGTGGGCTCGGGTGGGTTTGGTGACGGGAGGATGTGCAGCGGTGGCCGATTGGGTCTTGGCCGCATCATGGTTGGCTCGTCCAGTGCAAGTGGGCTGGGCTGTCGTGTCTCATCAATCCATCCACATAATCAGGATCTTTAGTTGGTCCTCTGGTCAATCGTCTCGTCGTCATCGTCGTCGTCGTGGTGGTGGCAGCAATTGCTGTTGTCGGTCGTGTGGACTTGCCATGCTCAGGGGCAGCCGGCTGCACCTGGTCGTCTCTATATCAGAGATGTCAATTGTCAGTCTCCGAAATGGGGCAAAATGTGCCAGATGGTCTGCAGGAGGGGACGGCCAGCATCTCTAGTCACTGGCTATCTATAGATGAATCGATGAAATTAATTTTTCGTAGGATTGGATGAAAATCCAGCAGATCATGATCACGGTTTTATTACCTGGTAAAGATGGGAAAGAATAGTGACCAACTGAAAAAACCGGTTTCACCTGGCGCGATAGGACGTAGCGTGGACAATACTCGGAACGGGCTAGTTCAGCGTCCAAACCGACTGGCCAGGTACCGGGAATCTCTAGCTACCGTAGGCGCAGCCGTCGGTACCTCGCCAGCATCGTTCATTGATCATGATCCCATTCTTACTACTAGTCCTGCTATCATGGCACGAATGATAAGGCCGATGGATTGTTTGAGGGAGGGGAGCTCCGCCATACAGCATAATAATACCTAGACATAATCCCTAGTCATGCTAATAATAATCCTACCTATCCTAGTCATTACCATCACACAGGGTGTGGTTTGTCTTCATTTCCGATCGTTAGTATCCCCCCCCGGTGGCCGATTAACCATCATCAGTATTATTGGACTTTTTTTTTGGTCGCGCGGCCTCTCCTCGTCCTGTGCATCCCGTCTCGGGACTTGATTTTTCTTGGGGACATTCTTTCGGCCTTTTCCCTTCTGCTTTCGCTTGCAGCCCCCGTCGTCTCCCTCTCCGTTGACAGTTGTCGCTCAGTCCGCCTCTTTCAGTTCCCTGCCTCCGTTTCCGGATCGAGCCCTGGTGGGGGATCCACGGCCGTTAGAGACTTTGAGAGACAGCAAGAAAAAAAATAATAATCAAAAATAAAAAAAAAGGATACTACTCAACCGTGAAAGCCTAAAAAAAAAAGAGTGAACAAAATTACAGAAAAAGATACGCACGGCTCCATAACTCCCATTCGGGCTGCCTTTCCGCCCAAAGCTGACCGGCTTCCATCTTGCTTCTTACTCCAACCATCCGCCATCCGCCATCCCATCCCATTCTACTTACTACTGCTGCTCTGTTCCCCTTTCACCTGGTTCCCACCCCCTCCTCCTCCCTCTCGCTCCCTCTCCCTCTTACTGCCACTCTCTTCTTGTTCCCTCCCTACGGCTGAACCACCTCCTTTCGTTTGTCTTTAATTTATTTCATCATCCTTTTCGCTGTCCAGTCTTCCTTTTGTGATTCCCCTTACTTTCGTTATCTTGCCCTTCGCGCCTTTGCGAGTGTCTTTTATTAATCGGTCCCGACATCACCCTGGCTTCAAGTTGTCGGATTGCGTCCCTTCGTTCCGTGGTTAGGCAGCGTCAATCGCGCCTTTGGTCGTGGTTCAGGAGATACCTAACTCCAGTCTAATCGTCCATTGCTTTTTCCATACTCTCGTACTGGCTGGTCGGATCGCTTCTTTCCACTTTTGATCGACAACCATGGCTCCTCCGCCGCGCTTGCGCATTCTGTCAGGTTAGTTCTCAGCCGCTGCCGGAACACCACTTATCACCGATTTCCGACCACCCTTTCCCCTGGATGTTTTCTCGTCTACTCTCGCTGCCATTCAAGCGATTCCCACGTTGCGTCCTGATCCCCCAGAATGGGCCGTCTTCTAACGCGGGTCTGTTTAGTGGGCAGCAATGCCATCTCGGCGTTCCTCTCCTGGAGGCTCCAGGCGACAACCTCCTGCGACGTTACACTGGTTTGGAAATCGGGCTTCGAGGCAGTCTCTCAATACGGCGTGTCTTTCAAGTATGAACAATCGCTCAATCTCATATGATGGAAGGGTCTGACGGGGCATGAACTAGGTCGAAAGCGTTTGGAAATGAACGATTTAAGCCACGTCATGGTAAGTTTCGTGCTTTGCTACAGTTCTGACGCTCCTGTGCTAATCAGAGCCACGCTATAGTTGTTCGTACGCCCGAAGAAGCCGCATCCCGAGAGAATGCATACGACTATGTGATCCTCTGCGTCAAGGCTCTACCGGATGTTTATGATCTGGCAGCCGTCATCGAGTCCGTTGTTACCCCTCAGCATACATGCATTTTGGTGAACACAACCAACACCCTCGGTGTCGAATCGCATCTGGAACAACGGTTTCCCACGAACGTCGTCCTGTCGCTTGTTTCGGGCGTGGAGATTACCCAGATCGGAGCCAGCGAGTTTGAGCACCTGAACTCATCGGATATATGGGTCGGTGCCACGAATGAGAACACGAACGTCCCCTCTACTATACAGAACGATATGGCTGCGGCACTAGCGATGACACTGAGCTCAGGCCAGGTGGATTGCAAGGTATCGAAGAATATCAGACAAGAACAATTTGAACGTATTATAGGGTGAATATGTGGAACAGGACCTCCATACCGTCGTTGAGCGATTGCTAACTCAAGTGTTTCCAGACCCATCGCCTTTTACCCCGCAAGCGTTATGTTTGATACTGGAAATGTACAGCAACTTCTAGAAAAAGTTGGAGTGCGTCAGTTGATATCAGATGTGATCGACGAACTTCTCGGCCTGGCGAAAGCACACGGTTGTACTTTCCCCAGTGATTTCAACCAAAAGACTATGGAGAAGATGATCGCCAGTCAAAGTCCGAACAGCATGTTCCAAGACTATCAGGCTCGGCGTCCCATGGAGATCGAGACCTATCTTGGTTCCCCCATCAAATTGGCCACGGAGTCCAATGTCAAGCTCCCACGCATCGAAACCCTTTATGCAGTCCTCCATCATCTCAATACCACTAATCTGAGCAAACCTCGTGATTCCCCCCCACCTGCACTGGCTCAGCCCCCGCCCCGGATGTCTTCGGTTCCCCCGTCTGCCAGGAACGGACCTATGCGCCCGCCTCCGGGAAGGTCAAGTTCTGCAATGATGATGCCACCCTCAAGACGCGGACCCCCGATGCCCGGAATGTCACGACCACCAAGCACCCAGCCCCCGTCTGCAGGACCCAGGGTGCCTCGTGAACCGTCTTTGGAAGGCCTTGAGGAGTTTAGCCATTTGGTTGTTTATGATGATGCAGGTGATGGTGGTGTACCTGCAAATGGCGCCAACGGCTACCCAGACGGCCCATCAGGCCCTGGACCGGCGTCCGCGGGCTTGGCCTTGAGGGAGCGTGAGCTGGCGCTTCGACAGCGGGAATTGCAGCTTCGGGAGCAAGAGATGCACATGCGGCGGGGTCCTCGCAGACCTCCGCCGTCCAAGGCAGCAGCTTTCGACGAGGAGGATGAAGACGACTTTTTCGATCCCATGGATAATAGCCTGGTCCCAACAATTGACCCCGACAACGTCGATATGCTGAGTATCACGTCCCGGAGAACAAAGAAAGTCCCCAGTGCTAGTCAGATCCGCAAAAACCCGGAGCTCCTTTCGAATACTGGTGGCGGCGGCGGTGGCGGCAGGTCTGGGACGTTCAGTCGCTACTTTGGAGGCAACCGAAAGCGTGCGAGCGACCGTATCATGCAGGAAATCCCTGGCCTTCATGACTCTCTTCTAGACAACCCTATGATGGCTTACTCTTCCAACCGATATGGGTCTGTTGACAGAAACCACATGGCTGCGGGTTCTCGTACGAACTCGATGACCACGAGTCGAATGGGTGACTACCCTCCTCATCCGTACCCGCAGAGCAGGAGGAACAGCCATTCTCCTGCGGCTCCTTACGGTGGTCCTCCTGGTCCGCGAATGGGCCGCCCAGCGACTGCCCAAGACCAGAACTTCGGCCCACCCCATGGGCCCCCGAATGGCGGCCACCCGTCGCCTCCGGGGCAAATGCGAGCGCCAGTTCCTCGGCATCCTCCCGGGCATGGCAATGCGGTAGGCCCGCAGCAAGTTGAACAACAAATTGGGGTGAGCAAACCGTATCCCGCCAAGGGCACTCCCAAGCATAGAAGTCTGACCGGAAGTGCGAGCGCCAGCGCGGAGAGTGGTGACAGCGGGGCTAGCGCCAACCTCGATTCCGAGAATTCTGCTCATAGCAGCCAGATCAGCCTCGGCGCGCAGCAAGCTGCGGCCTCCGTTCGTTGAATCACGAAGCCAATCCCTCCTTCGCCCCTCTCCCAAAGCAGCTGAGCACTTACCTTGGCCCCGCTCACTGCGAACTCGCCTGGTTCCCTTCCTGTCTCCATCTTTCTTGTCCCGTCGGCTGGCGTTGGCCATCCACTGGGAATACCTCCCACAATGCTTTTTGCTTCTTATAAAGGATATACTTTTAGTGAGATGCTTTGGCAAGGAGGGCGGGAGCGGACTCCATGTCATGGTCTGTTGTTGCGGTTTTTCTACATATACACACGGGACATAGGGGTTTTCACTTTCTTCTTTTCTCGTTTGATGATTTCACTATGGAGTGGTCGGGCGGGCGCGTGCGTGCGTGCATGTGTTGCATGTGGTGATTTGCCTTTTTTTCTCCTTTCAGTTCCACGGCATTCTCGAACTTAATGAGCATGAGCATGAAGCTCCATCAGATAAATACGTTTTTGACTTTCCGCAGCTATACCACCGACGTTCATTGCCAGACACCAACCATGCATCCCTGTTTCTGCGAGACCACGTGTTGTATACTACCTAACTCGGCGCATCATCCTATTGTCTACTCTCTACCATCTCCGCTGCTTTGTTGACATGCATGCCCTCCTTTGACCTTTTCTTTTTCTTTGCCGTCTCCTTCCATAGCTGCTCTGTGCTGTTCTGTCTGGGCTTTGGCGCGAACCTTCCGCAGCCCTGTGATTGTCTCATTCATGGTCTGGTTTCTGGCGCACAAAAAGAGCAAAGGGTTGATTTATTCGGTTGATTGATTGATTTGATTTGGCTGGGTTCATGTTCCTCCAGGGTGTCTGCGAGAGGAACCGGGTCGTCTCATCGGCGCGGCAACTGCTCCATTGATTAGAACATGTCTTTGACAATAAACGAGACTTAATCGAATGACTTTAGCGACCGCATTTTGGGGCATTGGAATTGTCTGATCCATGAGTACAGCCTGCATATAGTCCTGTAGGCTGCCGGTTACCCCGGAGGTGCGCTTCACGTGACCTGCAGCAACGCCGCGGGGGTAAACAAATCCCACCCCGATCATCTCTTGCATCTTCTCATCACCAACCAACCCACGCTCCGACGTCGCCAATACCCCACTACATCCTCCCTACCCCTCGAAACCATTTCCGACCGAACCGATCACCATGCCGCCTTCCCACCAATACAGCCACTCCCAATCCCTCCCCCGCCATTCCGTCCTGCCGGGCTCCACCACCGCTCCCTCGACCATGAGCGGCGGCGCCTCGTCCATGTCGATGGCCAAGACCCGCCAGTACACCAACCTCCATAATCAACTGGCACAGCTGAATGCCAATCTGCGGGATACGGAGAATTTGCTGCGAATGACGGCCGTGCAGGCGGAGGATATGCGGTTTTTGGGTGGTTATGTGGGTGCTTTGTTTATGGGGTCGGCGAAGGTGTTGGGGGAGGAGGGGGTTAAGGGTGAGAATGTGAGTGAGAATGAGATGCAGATGCAGGGGGGTGGTGGGAGGGAGGGAGGGGAGTAGTGGGGTGTGAGGGATTGCTGTTGGGATTTGTTTTATTTGTGGTTACAAGTAAGGGTGGGGGTAGGTTTGCTATGCGATGGTAAGGGCAAGTACTCTTCTATTTGTATGTGTATGGACTGTTGTCTATATGTCTATTGTTTATGTTGCTGATATTGGCGTTTCAGTGCAGATGGGACGAGGGGAATGCCATGTCCCGACTCCGACTGAGCTTCGTCTCAGTTATCCACGACGAACCCTCCACCGAGAATGATCGCCGGCTCGTCGATGCTATGGTGCTCATAACTGGATATGTACGGTCAGCAAGATGCGCAGTGCAAGGACTTCCCCTAGAGTTCTCTCACCTCAACGTGCCCACACCACCCGCTTCCAGGATCAGCGCCGTCTCAGTCAACGGCCGTCCTGTCCAGCGCATCGCAAACGCACGCAGGATATGGCCGTGAGCGACGATGAGAACATCACCTTTTGACGAGTCACCGGACCCGTCGAAACACGGGCCGTGATACTTCTCCCTGATCTCTGCGATCAGCGCATCCAGACGCTTGATCACATCTTCAGGAGACCTATATCGCGTCAGCTAGTCATTCCAATAATACCATCACCCTGAAACCATAATAGCAACGCAACAACATCAAAGTAAAAATGAATCACATACTCTCCCCCAGGACATCCATCCTTCCAAATATCCCAAGACCCTTCACCCTTTTCCGCCCTCAACTCCCGAATCTGTCGACTCGTCAACCCCTCATAGTCACCATAATCCCATTCCCGCACCGCCTCCGTAACTTCCACCCGAGCCTCCGTCCGAATTGGCTCTTCCTCTTCGGACTTCCTCTCCCCGGACCAGGGCAATCTCTCCCGACATCCAATCTCCAGTAATTCCAGCGTACGTTGAGCTCGTGCCCGCGGCGACACATACCTATTCCTTCACGTTAGCAAAACTCAACTCATCAACCTCCTCCCCAAAGCCTCAACCCCAAAACAAAACCCCAACACACAAAAAGCAAAGAACAACCTAACGAAAAGGAGGATGACATACACATGAACCAACTTCCTCGGCGCAATCAACCGATCATTCCCCACCAGTGCCTTCCCCGTCGCCTTAATACGTTTCTCCCCGTTAGCCGTAAGCGCCAGGTCCGTGATGCCGGTGTGTCGACCGTTCAGGGACCATTCGGTTTCGCCGTGCCGGATGATGAAGCATCTAGGTGCCATTGTTTATTCCTTTTCTGGTTCTTTGATTTTGTTTTTCTTTTTGTCTGGCTTTTGGTTGTTTAGGGTGGTGATTGGAAGGGTGAGGGGAGAGTTTGTTGGGGGAGTTGAGAGGATTGAGGCTGTGGTCAGCGGGGGATGGGGATCGGAGGAGGGAGGGAAGAGTTGGTTGGATGGCTGGTTGCGTCATAGGTTGGGCTCTTATCGATAGGATCGGAGTGGGTGGGTGGGTTTTCTAGATGCGGATGGTACGGAGTAGAGTACGGAGTAGTGTGGCACTGGTATGGATATTTTCCATAGTAAGTAAATCATTCGAGGAAAGGTGATGGATGTATGCTCGACATATTTGAGTGATGTAGTATTGCAGGGAGTGAATTGTTAAATGGATCGTTGTCTGCTGTGGAGGGAGAGAATAGATAGATAGCACCTGTCACAGTTTGTGGTGAAGGACTAAGTGTAAGATAGTATCCTGATTCAATACTCAACACTTGATAATACAGCTGTCATGCTAAGAGGCACTGGCCCAGAGACATTCCAGGCATCTAGTATTAACCTTATCATGAAGTACGCTTTTCCCAGATAGCCCGATCCCTTCCCAGCGCATGCCAACCAGTGCCCTCCAAAGCGACGAGTCAAATAGCAACCGAACCATCACGCCAAAGGAAACGCGGAAAACGAAGACGAAAGCCAGTGATCAAATTCAACTCATATTCTCCTGTTACATACTTGTTCCAGCGACCATGACCCAGCTCCCCGTCTAGGCCATGTAAGTGCTAGAGTCGACGCCGCCCTCGGGGTATTCCCTAGCATTGGTTAGTGTGCATCCAGACAACACATCACGCAGGCGCTACTTACGGAAGGGCAACCTCGAATCGCTTCTCAATCTCCTTGAGCACCTTCTCGTCATCCTCGGTGCTGACGAACGAGATCGACAGACCCTTCGTACCGAAACGACCCGCACGACCCACACGGTGCAGGTAGGAGTCGGCATCAGCAGGCAGATCGTAGTTGATGGCAAGGTTGATACGCTCAATATCGATACCACGGCCGAACACGTCGGTCGCGACACAGATACGCTTGTTGAACTCCTTGAACTCCTTGTAGCGTTTGATACTGCCAGGCATTAGTCATGGCCGAGGAAATGCGCAGATTGGGACACTTACCGCTCCTCCTGGCTCACGCCCGAGTGAACCGCGATACTAGGGAAATTGCACTCGCGCAAGAGCTTGTCGAGCTCATTGGCACGGAGGGTACTCTTGACGAAAATAATGACCTGGTTGAACTCGAGGCTATCCAGAAGCTCGTTCAACTTGCGGTTCTTCTCGGCTTCGCTGAGCTTGATGTAGTACTGCTGCAGACCGTGCAGAGTGAGCTTGGTGTCGTCATCAACGTAGACCTCGAGCGGGTTTCTCATGAACTTCTTGCAGACAGGCCGGATCTCCTGAGAAAGGGTGGCACTGAACATCATGACCTGCTTGTCGGCGGGGGTGGCGCGGAAGATCTCCTGAACGTCACGACGCATATCTGTAACAATCAGCAAGGGTAACGCATTAATGCTGGACATGTGCGCACTCACCGATCTGATCCAGCATCTTATCACATTCATCGAGGACGAAAGCCTTGACGTTGCGCAGCGAGAGCTTCTTCTCGCGGACCAAGGCATTCAGACGACCGGGAGTACCGACAACAATGTTGGGGTAGGACTCCTTGTTGGACAGCAACTCGACGTCCTTCTGGATGGGGGTACCTCCGTAGAAGACAGCAGTCTTCATGTCGGGCAGGTACTTGCTGAAACGAGCATACTCGTTCTTGATCTGGTAGGCCAGCTCACGCGTGTGGCACATGACCAGGATGGAGGCCTCACCGGGAACCGGCTCCAGCTGGTGCAGCGTGGTCAAAACGAAGACCGCGGTCTTTCCGAGACCGGACTTGGCTTGGCAAAGAACATCGACGTTCAGGATGGCGGTAGGAATGCAGACTTGCTGGACTGTAGTGAGGCGGTATCGTATGTTAGACTTGTACTCGACCCATAAGTTTGGAGAAAAGAAAAAAGCAATCCGCGTCGCAGTGTCCGTCCATCCCCGAGGTGTCGGTTCCAGAATATGTATAGCATGTCCGTACTTATTGTTTCCACCAACGACAAAAGTCAAATCAGGTTGTACGAAGTCGGCAGTTGAATCAGCTGCGGTAAGAGGTCTTATTCAGAGCTCTCCCCGCAGGCGGCAAGAGGACGAATGCCGTTCAAAGAACGGTGGCAAAGCGTCCAACCCGTGTTCTTCGGAAGCACGCCACAATGTGCCCGGAATCTCTACAGGCGGACCCAACTAGGATATCCCCTGAACACGGTGCTGCCGGAATTCACCAGCGTAAAGTGAAGCAAACAAGCAGAGGCCGTAGATGCACTACTACCGCAGGGCGACTCGTCTTGTGAATGACGTGAACAGACATCCTCATGCCGCCCGCATGCTGAAGCGAGACAGGTGTCCCAGAGCGACTATAGATATTCCCCGCGGAGATGGACGGACGTTGGAACATGGAGCAATGGAGGGAGGCTTTGGGAAAGAATACGTGATAAACTAACCCTCCGATGGATGTTCGAAACCGCAATCGGTGATGGCACGTAGGAGTTCCTCTTTGAGCAAAAAGTCGCGGAAACCGGTCGAGTGGATACCGACATAGCTTCCCTTCTTGTCCGGACGGCCGCCAGAAACCGTCAAGTCGCCCTTCTTAGCCTCTCCATTGGAGGCAGGAGCAGCGGTGGTGGCCGCGGCGTCAGTGGTCTGAAGTTCCTCGTCGGAGTAGTCGATGAGATCCTCTTCGTGAGACATGGTGACGGATAGTGTTGGAAAAAAGGTGTTCAAGAAAACTCTGTTGCTGTCGCGTCGTTCCCAAAGGCAGCGGAGCCCAGGGTAGATGTCGTCGAGAAAGAAACGGGGGCGAAAAGCTAATGCAAATGGTAGTTCTAAGTCGGAGATGATGCGAAACCCTCCTCTTGATGGTTGTGAGATGAATTGAGGATGGGAAAGGGCCGAGGCGCGAAGGAAGTGGATGGAGATGAAGAGAAGGTTGTCGACGCGCGAAGGGATGGAGCGGCTGAGCCTCCGACCTCAACCTCACGTGACTGAGTCCATTAGTCACCGCAGGCTGCCAACTCTCTTGCCGCTTGCGGTTAGCGCGGGACGGTCACTCGTGAAGCTTAGACCCCCGCGCTCTTCTTTCATCTTTTTTTATATGCTTGCTCTTGCTTCGAGTCATCATCTCATTGCTCATCACCATGGCTAAGGCTAAAGCAAAGGGCAAGAAAGTCTCGGCGGGGGGTGCGCACCCTCACATCCGTGCGCGAATCAATTACCTCTACAATGCTGCTACGTTCCTTCAATCAGTAGCGACGCCTCTTACGCAAGCGCAAACCGATAAGAGGGACGAAAAGGAGAACAACACCGCAGTGCAAGCACCAGCGCGTATAGTGCCCCAGATGGCGAATCCTGAAAGCGTGTCGGAAAAGGGGCCCGCTGGCCTGTCCAGTCAAGCGACCACCGAGCATCTGCCTCAACTTTCCCGGGTCTATATGTCGCAAATGCGTGGCGTCTCTCTAAAAACGCAACTTCGACTCCCCGTCGACGTGAAGAGGTCGTTCTGCAAGCGCTGCGATACGCGTTTGATTCCTGGTGTGACTTGTATGGAAGAGATCCGAAACGCCAGCCGCGGCCGCAAAAAGCCGTGGGCTGATGTTCTAGTGGTCCGTTGCTCTACATGTGGAACAGAGAAGCGGTTTCCCCAGACAGAGAAGCGAAGCAAAAAGCTATCGGAGCGTCGGAAAGAAATACCGCCGCAGCCGAAAGAGGAACCTACCGCGGGTGCTTGATCACCTAGCATAGAAAACTTATGACTCTACGACACATCGTCTCCGCGTCGCCTCTGGGCATCTCACTTTCAAAATCGTGGTCCCGGCATGACTCGCCCTTGAATGCGGGCAATCGGAATGGTTGTAGAACCCCATGCAGCCAATCACTTGCCAGAAACCTCCGAGGCGGATCTGGTGCCAGAGGCGTCTGCACAGAGACCCAAGAGAGTTCTGCGTGCCATGCTATAACTCGGCTGTTAACCCCAAGAAGGACAAGCGCCAGGTGGCGCGTCATATTCAGGCTCAAGGTATCTGGGGCAGGGGTAAGACACCCACAAATAATCAACAATGGCCTTGCAGGTCATAAAGATGCGTGGAGAAAGCCAGCACGAGACAAAACAGTATATATACAAACAACACATTTGGCCAGGGCCTCCGTAGTCCTATTGCCATGAGGCAGTGACTCATTAAAAAGGCGCAAGCTCTGAGGCAGCGGGCGAACAGGTTTGCCAACCGATATTCGGATTGACCCACAACGGCTTTCGCGAGATGACATGCAAGATAAAGGTTCGGTGGAGAAATAAAAACAAACGTGGGTCACATCACTGCAAATGAATTCCGCTCAGTCAAAAGGAAACATAAAAGATGGATGCTCGTCGGGGAATCGCAACATGATAGAAGAACACCGCGTCATCAACTTCGTAGAGTGAAACACGTGAATCATGAAAAGGAGCCGCGCTCCGAGTAGGCGACAGACAAAACAGGTACTCCAACGCTATCAACACCGTGCGATCCTGTCAGTTTTAGAAGTTGGTTTCAGAAGCCAAAAAATAGCCGCGAGGCAGATATCCCGGTCTTTAAACAGCAGTCCTCTCCAAATACACGGACAAAGGGAAACAAAGTAAAACCATATAGCTCCTGCGTGACCGCGATGAGAACCAAATCAGCATGTAGAACGTTAGCACACAAGGTCATAATAACACAAGGTCCGCGAGGACACAACCGGTTTATCAACACGCATTTTGTTTGTTGGTCGTTCTTCCTTTTCAAATGAGTTTCGATTTTGCAGTGGCCGTTATTAGCCACCTGGGTCGCTGTAGAAGGGGGTATGTGAGTAACATAAGGCGTATAAAGCAGATCGTCTGGTCGTCAATAACAGAAGGGATTTGAATGCAAGACCCTTCGGAGCAGAAGAACGATGAAATAACTTCAGAGGGGAGTCGAGGAGGTGAGAAAATCCCAGGATGGGAAGGCGCTGGAATGAGGTGTGTAAAGAAGAGTATAGGATAAGGTGGTAGGTCAGTGTCTCCGACGGGCGGCTTGGTCCAGGCGTTGATCGAGACCTTCTATACGGCCACGATATGCTTTCACAATTTCTCTGATATGTCCAATCTTCGCAAGCTCATTCTCCAGATCATCAATTGAGGCAAGAATAGAACGGGTCCGGGCAATCTGGGCATCTGCATTGCGGATGACGTTGCCTGCGCAATCGTAACTGTTTTGAATGGAAAGCTGCATCTGTTCTTCTAGCTACTATAGGTTAGAGCTTGAAATGACCGAGCGATTATTGAGGGGTACATCAGGGAATTAACGCAGCGGGTATGGTATGGCTTAGGAGACCTGAGTGGTTGCAAGATTGTGATTGAGTGGGATCGAAGAGGAACCACATAGAAAGATTCGCAAGTAGGTGGGGGAACAAAACAAGAGATATCACCTACATCATCAAGGCGATTCCGAATCTGCTGTTGCAATCCGTCCAACTGATGTGAAAGCGCGCGTAGGCTCATCGGATCCAGAATTAAACGGCCGTGACTGCTGGCGGCACTGGCGGCGCGCGAACTGGAGTTGCTGGTTCGGCCGGTCCCTCTGCCCCTGGCAACACCATTGGCACCGTGGCCGCCCTGCAGAGCGATCTGTTGTTGTTGCCTCAGGATTTGGATCTCGGAGGAGGTGAGGCCAAGCGAAGTGTCGGGAATCGAGGCTGATACGGACATTTGGTCCCGGCAGAGACATGCTCCTACAGCGACAAGAGTCTAGGAAGCGCCGGTCGTTCTCGTAGTGTGAAGATAGAACGGACCGAAGTTCATGATGAGAACCGAGGTGAGCAAGTGGAAGATCTCATGAGCGAGCGTCGGAGAGAATGATTATAAGAGAGACCGGAAAGAGAGGGAAAGAAAGAGATGTAGTCGTAGGAAAAACAGGCAAGGATAGACACCCCCGTGAGATGGAGGGGGGAACCAAGTCGAGATCCGGTCAATGGCGGAGTCTGTCAGTTCCCCGAAATGGATGAAAATCCCTTCAGCGAATTAAGGTATCATTGAAAGCCAAAGGAGGGAGGCCAGAGAGGGGACGAGGCTCGACGATTGGATCGTTGGCGGCAGAGAAAAAGGAACGAAGCAGGCGGCCCCCGTGAGTCGGTCGGGGTTACACTGACGGTGACGATGGGTATCGATCCGATCCCCAGGAAGGAGTCTGGCACGAGGAATCCAAGGCAGACGGATCAAGGGTCAGCCTCGGAAGACGGCTGGAGAGCGGAGGGAAAGGCGGAGGAGGGAGTAGGGGAGTCGAGGCGAATGCGAAGCGGAGGATGTGGTTGTAGATATCTGGTGGTGAGGGAACCCCGTCGGAGGGGAAGAAAGACACCGAGCAGCAGAAGCAACGAGGTAGTGATAAGATCAGAATGGGCTTGCCATTTCCTGAAGAAACAAGCAAAGACAGTTGTGGAGGGTTGATGCCTTTTGCGCCAGGTCTTGATCTGGTGGTTTAGTTCCCTCCTAGACACCGAGGACTGCTGGAGAGGTCGTTCGTGCTTGGTGGAGAGGAAGGACTTGGTCTATACCGACAAGATCCTCACCGACGCGGGTCGGTTGGCTGATGCGATCCGGGCTCCCTACAATTGAGAGGATGCCATGAGCGGTAAATACCGGATCGCCTCGAGGACTCCAATCACGATGGGGATCATAAAATTGTTGGACGAACGGCCGTCTGGAGGGAGCGTGACTGACTGTTCCCAACCGGGCAAGCATCTCTCCGCCCGCAATTTCGACTTGATCGCATCGCGGAGACCTTCTTCCACTTCTTCCTCTCCAGCGTCCTTCTTTCCTGCCCACCCAATCACTCGATCACCTCCTCCTTACATCCTTCCAGATCCTCCAGCCAAGGCGACTCTTCTTCTCCAATCAATTCTCCATCCGAACACCTGACAAAAGCACCTCGCCAACCAACTTCCCCGAACTGCCGCACCAAGCGCTTCTTCAACCGCCATCCAGACGCCCGTCCTCCAGCCCCCCATACTCAAGCGGACCAGACCTCTGCATTATTCGACAGAGGAATACCACTGCGCTGCCCAACCCGTGAGGCTAGAGCCTTGTTTCCTGGGGTGTCGTGACCTCCGTCCATATTATTGGTCTTGGCCAAGGTTCCGCAGCTACAGCCGGCTTCGCGAATCCGCTGCGCCCGTGGTTGGCTTCTCATGCAGCTTGTCTAGCTATCAGCCTGTAAGCAGTTCCCATTTCTCTTCTCCATCGTCTAGTCCGCTGCAGGAGCTTTCTCATGGCCATGCAACCACCCCGAGCTCGTCATACCCTGCCCCTCCCACGCCGGAATTCCAAGCTCCATTCAGATTTCGTTGATATCGGAGATGGAACCAGACTGGCTGACAATTAATATATTCAGTACCCACATAGTTGCCTAAGCGGACCGAATAATCTCCCCGGAATAACTGCCATCCTATCTACCTCACACCCCATACGGGACGCCTCATAAACCTACACCATGCCCAAAGACAAGGAACGCAGCCTAAACCCCGCGGCGGCACAACGGAAGCTAGACAAACAGAGGAGTCTGAAAAAAGGCAAGGCGGAGGCACAGGCCCGTCGGAATGAGAAACTAGCCCGTCGCAACCCGGACCGCATCCAACGGCAGATCAATGACCTCAAATCCGTCGAGGAATCCGGGCAAAAACTACGACCCCGTGACCAGGAGCTTCTGGAAGCTTTGGAACGTGATCTGCGCGCCGTGCAGAAGGCCAGAGAGGCGTTGGGCGATAAGGCACCCAAGTTCGGAAGCTTTGAATCTAGACAGGGCGGTGGTCAGCGTGGGCGCGGGGATACTGCAGTCCTCGGCAAACGGAGGCGAGATGGCGGCGGCCGATTTGGGCAGGAGAGCGAGAGTAGCGATGAGACAGATGAGGAGGTGAGAAGGATACCCATGCCGAGGGATACGCCTCCGCCTATCCCGCGACAGCCCCGGAAGGGACCAGACAGCCATCAGCCTGCAGGTGGTCGGGGCCCGCACGCTCTGCCGGCGAGACCGCCCGTCGTCGAGTCGAAGACCGTGTACGAGGCCAAGCCGGAAATCAGGAATCTCCGGCAAGAGGCTATCAACAAGTTTGTGCCTGCCGCCGTCAGGGCTAAACAGGAATCCATCCGAGGGCAAGGCAAGCTCCTGGAACCGGAGGAAATGGACCGGTTGGAAAAGGCAGGGTATAACGCTGGTCCTGCCGAACCCGAGCGGAAAGAGTCCCCTGGTCCCGCTGCTGATGAGGACGCTCAACGACTTCTGGAAGAGGAGGAGAGGCGGTTCAACCAAGAGCTTCGATCCGTGCAAATCGAAGAAGTCGAGGACGAGGAAGCATGAGTCTTACGAGGCATTGTAACTATAACTGGACATGATACGAATCGGGGCATTCCATTTCAATACCATCCGTCCACAGTAGAATTTTCAAACCAGCCATATGTAGTCACGAGTCTGCCTCGGGGATATGCACGAAGGTGAAAGATTTGGAATGAGATAGCAAAGACCAGAGTCTGCCATTGCAGAACTTAACAAAAATCACAATCGGTATGTACAACAAGTACACAGGAGCCCTTCCTATTCCATATGTAGCCCAGGAGTCACCCAATGAACACCAACCGTAAAACACCATTTAAATGGAAAAGGAAATGTGGCTTTCAAAAGAGTGGCCAAGGATATTCAGGCAACGGCCGTGTCAAAAGGCGCGAATCATCCAAGTAGAGCTCCGGAGTATTTACTCGGTGAGTAATCCAAGCGGGAGACGTCAAATGCAATATCTGTACAGGTTCGACGGAAGAGAAGTAAAAGCAAACAACAAGGGCATCACGGCATTAGAGAACAAAGGAAAGAGGGGATTTCGGGGAGAGATGATAAACGACGATGCGGCGCAACAAAATGCATCCAAGTTCCATGACTGGCATGGCCAACGTTGGTCTTAAAATCGATCCACCCAGCCGTAACTCCAAAATATGTTTCGACTATTAATAAATATGGCGTCCCCAATCGGGAGTACCCAAAAGCCTGCTGCAGCTACTCCCGCGGGGCAACCAGCGAAAGATGCTCGCAGTCGCTGTGTATGAGGGATAGTGGCATGATGCGAAGGTCGGACAGAAGAGGCGCCACTAGGTTTAGGATGGCTTGGGTTACCTCAGGTTGCGGATAACCTTTCTGCCACGGGCCAAGAAGGGACTGGGCATCTCGTCCCTCTCCGGATCCCACACCGCTGGGGGTTCTCGCTCGCTCTGTTTCAAACCAGTACGAGAGTCGCTGGAACACCGCTTGATCTCGTCAATCGGACGGCCACCGGCACGCGCCTGTGCTAATTCGACCAAGGTACGACCACCCATGTTGCGCTGCATCACGGCCTTGTACATTTCCTCTCCGCCGCCGTTAGCCTTCGAGGCTAGCTGCTTGATGCCTGTCTTGCGGGTGGGCGAGCCAGCGTCGGCAGCCAGGTTTGCTGATGACGGGATCTTGGACAAACGTCGGTGAGGCGATCGAGACTTGGCATCCCTCGGGTGATCACCGACTGACATCTGGGGCAGTCTTGATCCGTTGGTGGGAAAAATCGGGGGTTGGGTGCTCAGTTTCTGCATGAAAGCGGCCGTGTTCTGGCGGAGCAGTGGCCTGGGCGGCGCCTTGAAGGGGTCGGGCTTGACCTTGGGGCGAGTCGGAGAAGGCAAGTCGGGGATGTCGTCTTCGTCGTCGGAGTAAGCCAGGGCCGGCTCCCACTTTGAGCGGTGTCGTTCGGCCTCTGCGAAGATGTTCTTTCCGGAATGAGTCCCGGAGGTGCGACGAGGGGACAGAGAAAGTGATGCAATCGAGATCGGGGAGGGTTCTGCCATCTGAACATCCATAGGCGACTCGACCACGGTTTTCGAACGATTGAAGGGGGTGCGGGTGGCTTCCTTCCGCGGGGCCTTGTTTGCTGCAGGGGATTCCAATGACAGCTGGCTGATGTCAGTACTGGAAGGCGGATCAGTGTCGTCGTTGCTCATCGAAAGCCGGGAGTCATCGCTGCTTGACCGGAGACCAGCCTCCTCCCGGAAATTAGCGCTTCGCTTCTGCTTCTCAAGCTCAAGCGCAACTCGGTCCTGGACTTCGAACTCGAATCTCTTGCGGAGCTTTTCTAGTTCACTCTGCACCTGACGATCGATTTCCAATCGGGCCTTCACCTCCCACTCGCGACGCACTGTATTCTCAATATCGGCTTTCATTTGCTGCTTCTCCTTTTCGAGCTTTGCATACGCTTGCTCGACATCACGAGCCTTGGCCAAAGCGCTCTCTTCACGCTTGCGAAGAGTCTTGGTCAAATCGGTGACCTCCTTCTCCTTGCGCATCAAGCGAATGATGGGCAAATTGATCAAAGCAGCGGTATCGGGACGGTGGTCTGGGTTGACTCGCAGGCAGTTTGCAATGACATTCTTGAGCTCGGGAGAGTAGAAGTCGGGCAAAGGAGCGAATTTCCCTTCACGAATTCTTTGCACAAGTTGAATATGTGTTCTGGCATTGAAAGGCGGCTCTCGCTGACACAGTTCGTACATGATGCAGCCGACGGCCCAGATGTCGGAGCGCAGGGTGTATTTCTCCGCCGCGCATATCTCGGGGGACATGTAGAAGGGAGTACCAACGTAAGTCGAGGCAAAATCGTGGGAGTTCATCAGTTTTGAGAGGCCAAAGTCGCCGAGTTTGACGGTGTTGTCGCTGCCGAGGAAGATATTCTCGGGCTTGAGGTCACGGTGGAGGATAGTCATCTGTGCTTGCTTGCCTTTGAGACCCGATGCCTTGGGCGCAGGTCCAAGTATGTTTGACCCAACATCGACCGCATCCGCACCATAGTGACAACGGTACAAAGCGGTCACCAACTGGGACAAGATGCGCCAGACGAACTCCTCTTCGGCGTATTTGTTTGTCTTCTTCAGGTTCTTGATGACCATGCTGAGATCGCCGCCGCCGCAGTACTCCATATAGAGATACAAGTCTTGGCTAGCCTTGAGGTGTTCACGGTGGTAGTAGGCGACGATGTTCGGGTGTCGAAGGGAGCTCAGGATATTGAACTCGGCCGTGAGCTGCTCTCGTTCCTTTTGGGACATCTTGATGTAGTTGATTTCCTTTCGACATAAGATCTGGATGATCGGCGCCATAAGTAGGGCTTCATTTTGTCAAAAGGGGTTCACAATCTTACGAAGCCATCTGTCTTTCGCCGAACTTTGCGAATGATCCCAAAGGAACCGCAACCTGCGCATGACTAATTAGCCTAGTGACAATGAAAAGGATAGTGGTTCAGGTGTATGTACCAATCTTCTCAAGCACCTCATACTTGTCTGCCTCCGCCAATGCGATTGCCATTGTGGCTGTTGGATGAGTCGGCCACTGACAAGGAGGTAAAGGATGGAGGTAATGATGAAGGAGATGAGAGGAGAGGAGATGAGGAGTAGGCTATTGCATTTATGGACCGAGGCTGTGGGACTGAGACCTGCTGGGTTAGTAGACCACGGTGGTGGAGTGGCACATGTAGTTGAGTTGTAGATTTCAAGAATGTAGGCATGCAAGAGGATGGAAGTGCTGGATGTTTGGGTGCAGGGCTGTTGCTGAGCAACGCATCTTGCCATAGCCCTTTCCTGCATGCAGCAGGCGGTCGGAGTGTGGGCGGTGAGCAGGGGTTGCATCACTCTCTGCCCGGATGAGTGGATGTTGGTGCGATGGCTTCACTGGGATGCATGGCTGGGCCTGCATGGGGTGTCAGACAGCCCCTCTCCGTGAAGTCCGCGTCCGATGCTTGATGATGAATCTGCAAGGAGGGGGATTATTTGATGGAGGTTTCCAGGGAGGCTCCCAAGGCTCCCTTCCTGGCGTGGCAATCGCAGCTCCACGTGATCCCGGCTTATCGATAAGCGGATGGCCTCGGCGGTCCCGCCATTCGGACCTCCGGCATCTGCAACGTTTGCCTCAGGACATTCACAACACCTTCATGATGACAGCAGAACCGAAGGTCCTCCGGAAGGACCAGCTCGAAGTCAGCTTGCACAATGAGAAGAAGCTCATCAAGGAGGGGGCGATCAAAGATGACAATCCCCTCGATCTGAGCGAGCCGTTTCGCGAGCTCTGCAATGCCTGTCGTAAGGGGGATCTCAAAGTTTGTCAAGAGAAGATCACAGAAGGAGTCAATATTAACGCCCGCGATCCCTATGACTACACCCCCTTGATTCTGGTGAGTGTCCCATTGTGGAAAGCGTGGCGTTGGGCGGCATTGTGACCGGAATCCTACCTAGGCGAGTCTCTGTGGTCATTACGAGGTGGTGCAGTTGCTGCTCGAGTCTGGTGCTCTATGCGAGCGTGACACATTCCAGGGTGAGAGGTACGCCGTCATTCCAATTGCTGCATGATCTCGGTGCAGGTTACTCACTAATGGGTGGTGTTAGATGTCTATATAATGCATTAAACGACCGTATACGAAACTTGCTACTCGAATATGATTACTCGAAATCAACAGATCCTCTTCAGCCTCTTGCGGCGCATATAACTTCACTGCTTACTCGTGAAACCCCGAAGACATCAGATATTGTGGTCACGGCAGCTGATGAATCGCTGTATCTCCACAAGTTCATCTTGGCCGCACGGTCGCCATACTTCCACAGCAAGTTGGAACCTGCCCCGGAGACGTCAACATGGCGGCTCCCCAACACTATTCCCCCAGAGGCGTTTGGAACCGCAATCAAATATCTATATTTCGGAGAGGCCCCTCGTGATCTGCGAAGCGGACCTGGCACGGGATTTACTGAGTCGGAGGTGTTTGCGGGCATCGACAAGATCGCCAAGCATCTGGAAATCAACACGCTTGTGGACAGTATCCTTGACAGTGGAGATAGGAGACTTGCCAGACAAAGGCGCACGATGGAAGTCGCCAAGGGAAGGGACCAGCTAGAGCAGTGGTTCCGAGCAAATGTGCTCAAGCACAAGGTGACAGTGGAGACCTCGAAGGCCGACGAAGTCAAGTGGGACAGGGACAATGCCATCTTCGCCGATGTTTTGCTCCAAGCGGACGAACTCCCGGAAGACGTCGAGGCTGAGCAGGTGGACGGGGCCGATTCTGGATTCAGCGACCCGCGTGTACCGATGTCGACGCTCTTCCCCTGTCATCGGGCGATGCTGCTGCGGTCGGAGTTCTTCCAGACGATGTTTGCCTCCTCGTTCCGTGAAGCCCATATGAAGGACCACCTGAACGTCATTAACGTGAACTGCTCCCCGGACGTCCTGGAGATCGTGCTCACCTTCCTTTATACGGAGCGGGCGGACTTTCCGCTCGACATCGCGGTCGATGTTCTCTTCGCGTCGGATATGCTGTTCATCGAAAAGCTCAAGACAAAGGCCGCGATTGTGATCAGCACACTCGGCAGCGGCAACATGTCGCAGGCGGAAGCTGCAAGGACCCGAGGTACCAAGGAGGAAGATGACTTGGACATCTACGCGATCATCCGAGCTGCATGGTTGACGCGCGTGCAGCGACTGGAGGAGTTTGCTGCGCGATACCTTGCATATCGGCTGGAAGCACACATCGATTCGCCCGAATTCGCCGAGCTGATCCAAGAGTCTGCGTCTCGGATCCAGTCTCGACAGGAGACCGACTCGATTGAGCTGTTGGATGATATCCGGTTCTATCTGGGCGAGCGATTCCGGCTGCGGTTTGACGATGCAGGTATCGAGGAAATGATGGAGGATGCCACGCAGCCGGCTGCTGGTGTCGAGACCAACGGCGACGTTGACAAGGTCACAGAGGGGGTGGAGACGATGCGGCTTTCGACAGAGCGCTCTACGCCCGGGCAGGCAGCGTCGAAGGGAGCGGAGCAGGCGGTCATCCGGACCTTGGACGGCGAAATCGTGGTGGACGAGTTCGACCAAGATGCGCTGAACTACCAGATCCTGATGGACAAGCTCGATCAGATTCTGGAGAATTTGAACCTGGACGCCTAGTCTGGTTGACCAGGGTGACGATTGACGACCGAATATACATGGGAGAACTACGGAGTATATACAGATAGAGTGGCTAATGTTAGACTACGGTATATGACTTCATCTATCTCACATTCAATGGGAAACATCTTGCAAGCGCATCTACGGGGTGCCTGCGTTGCGACCACCCCTATCCTCCATACATCCAAAGCAAACCACACACCACACCACGCAACCCATGCATCCCCTACAACACCACAAGAGATCTTACACCAGACTCCCACCATCCCACGCTCCAACCATCCATCCTCCGAACCGCCCCGACAATCCCAAATAAAGTTCCTCGCCGTCCCGCCTAGTCACTATCTCCTCCGTAAGTGCTACATAGTAGACACTCCCCTCCCGCGGTTGCGGTACGGCGCACCGCATGGTACGGTACCGTCCCTTTCCCCCAAGAATAGCCCACCCAGGGCTACATACATAACCAGGATGTCCAATCCTCCCTGTCACACCACGCCACCAGTACATTGGACCCCGGTACACTACCTCCTCCTCCTCCTCCACCACCCCAGCGAGCCGCCGCATCACCAGTGCTACGGGCAAGAAACTTCGCACTAGATGGGTTGAGGTGTCTGTGCTCGACCGTTTTTACTTTTACTCAAACTTACGGGGGTGGTTTGGTCGTATGGAAAGTTACAGGCGCTTGTGCTGTGGGCTGAATGGATTGATTGGGTGGGTTGGGTTTGAGTTTGGTTTGGGGGTGGATTGGTATGGATTGAACTGGGAAAATATGATATTAGAAATTAAGAAAAAAAGAAAGGAAGAAAGGAACATGGGAAATGAGAAATAGAAAAAGAAAAGAAAAGAAAAGGTGATTGATTCTGAGACAGCATGGACTTGCATACCATAAGTTTGTCTGTATGTAGGTGAATAGGTGTGTGTAGTGGGTATGGAAGAAAGAGAGGTTTCAAACCCGACTATGGACTGATTGAACAAACGGACCCGATGGACTGGGATACACCTGGTTCATGGTCTGGACTAGGAAGATGAGTAATGGTCATTCGATGGCATTCGACTCCGTACGCAATACGCACATAGGCCTTGTTTTTTTTTTTTTTCCGGGGGAAAATGGTTGGAAGTATCCAACCGCCCATGTTGGGGTCTATTATAAGACGTGGTGGTATATTCGGGAATGTGATGGGATGGCGCATATGTAGCCTGTATCTGTATGGAGTGTCTGTGCCTGATGCTCATTCGGCATTTGGACTACCACTGCCGGGATGGAGGAAACCGGACGGAAGGATTCTCGGTGAACACAAGCTGCATGGCAAGAGGGAGATCATCGTGATCTCCCGCATCCCACGCAGGTTTTTGTGACTGGCTTGGGATGTGGACGGATGACTTCCAGTGCATCCATCCATCCATGGACTGGCACCGGCACAGGCCCAAGCGCAGCCGACGCAACCAGTCAGCGACGAGGCTGCAGAGGCCAGACGATCGACCGGACTGATTGGTGATCCGAGCCCCCTTCTTTTTTCTCCTGGTGCGTTTCTTTGCTTGACGGTCGGGCATTTCCGTGGCGGATCGGGGCTTTTTCCTGCCAATCGGTCCGATCCAGCCATGTTGGGCGTCAACTCGATGCCAGAGATGAGGGATGATAGGAGGATTGCCGTTGCGCCCATTCCAACCCGCAGGTTCCTTGCCACGACGACTGTGTTCTTCTGCATAGGATTACTGGGTAGATCGACATCGCCATGGCCTCGATCGGGTGTGCGGGGATACCGCACTGATTGGTGCATTATTCGGCGAGCTGAGCGCCGTTGAAAACTGGAACTTGCAGCATGATTTCATCATTTCTAACTGAACCCACAGATTGACAGAATACCCTCAAAAGTCGAACAAGAACGGAGTCGCCGGACTCGCGGAGGGCAACCAACCACCAAGTGGAGGCGGGATTTCTCTCCCCTGAGGGGCTCCAGCTTTTCTCCTCCACTCAACATCCACTCGGGATACGGTGTACTCCTGCTCCCTCCACCCCACTAGCACTAGCTTACTTGTGTTAATGTAGGGTAAATCATGAGGCCAGTGACACGGTAGTATCTCCTCGGCGCTTCGCCTTCGCCAGTCCCCCTCGCCCCTGCCCCTCGAAGCCAACGTGGCTATCCTTCCAACCTTTCCCAGTGCCCACCACACCAATTAGCCCATTCGCGCTGACGGCGGATGATCTGTCGTGGCATGGCTGATCGGCTACGCGGTGGAAGCCCTAATCCTCCTCCCAGGCCTGCTGGCCAGCCAGAGCGTCTCCCAGGGGTTTCACGACGACGACCATGGCGCCACCTGGAACCTAATACCGGGGACTATGGTGACTGGTGACCTCGTTTCCGAATTCCCGGGTCATGGTCCAGGATGGACTTCCTTCTGCGAAATATTTCCCCTCTTAGGCCTAGACTACGCACCCTACAATAGCATCGAATTTGCCACAGGAGGCGGGACTCAAGCCCATCAAGACAAGGTTAATCAAGGCCAACGGCCCCCAGTGCATCATCGATCGATAAGCGAAGGATTTTTAGCACGAGGGAGGGGAAAGGGCGGAGCCGAGCATCAGCATCGGGGCCGATAGATTATTGTCCATCTTGGTACACAACTCCGGCACTATGGCACGGCTGACAAGATTCAGACGCGCGTAAGCAGCCCTGCCCAGTGCTTACAAACTCGGTGTTGAGCGGCGATGACACCGTTACTGTCTGGATTCAGGATTGTCATATGTCCTCCTCTGTATCCCGGAGGATAGCTATCGACACGTATCAGGGATGGGATCACAGACCCTGAATTAATGCAGGAAACCCGGTCGATCAAGACAGCGTGATTTCATGCAGCGCAGCAGCAAGTAACCGATTCTAGCCGTACCTGCACTGTCCGAACAAACAATCACCATACATCTCAGACAAAGGCAAAGTAAGTCCGGAGTAACTATCTCCACCCGAATCCATCTATCCAATATCATCTATCATCTATCACCTCGGCGCTCCAGCCAGCCAGCCATCCATCTGCGGGGTTCAGGATCGCCCTACATAGTACATCCTATGTAACTAGTCCAGCAATCACAAACCCGCATTCTGCAGATTGATGCAGACCCAAAAAACGGTAAACAGCGGTCAGAGGCTGAAACGAACCCAGCTGCACCACCCAGTCACAGTCATCGCTGCCATCTGACTAACCATGAGTCATTCTGCTCTATGCTATGGGATTGGTCGGCGAGTCTCATCTATCACGGAGTACGGGGATCCATATGCGCTGGAGTTCTGCAGAGGATGGATGGATGGATGGATGCAGGTGAGATGCGCGCGGTGTCGTCGATATGTTATTGGATAGTGGGCAGTCAGATGACTTTAGGTGTCTTGTGATGTGTGATGTGTTGGATGATCATGGCGCTTAGTATCTGGTGATGGGTCAGATACTACTTGTAGATTGTTACTGGATATGCTGTATAGAATGTAGTTACCACAGACCAATAGATCACTATGAGACTCATTGATAGTAACAGGAACATAGTAGAGACATAACTTTAAACACACCTACCCATTCCATACCCATACCAATAGCAACAGCAACAGCAAATAGCATAAACTTAGTGCTGACAGTTAACAATCCCAAGCACTACTAGTCCCCGACATCCCATCCATCCCAACCTAGCTCAACCACGGAACCACCTCACGCTCGGTGACATTCCGAACAAGCTTGCATCATACCTTCTCCCTCCTCGCCTCCCATAATTGAGCCATCCACGTACATCCATCAAATCCAATAATTAGTACTCCGTAAATCCAACACACCCAATATTCAGCCTACAAACAAATCAACTCCCACCATACAAACCCATCCTCCCATCCCAAATGCCCAAGAGTTCTCCGTAAGTAACTAGCCATCGGCACTGACTAAGAAATCATAAATTGACACCGTCGATCCTTCGGCACCGCCAATACGATCATAGTACGGCATCCGGTCCAGCCCCACCAACCTCCAACGCTAACTGCCCTTAGCGCGCGGCCATAGCACTTCTTCTGGTGTGGTTCTGGGTCTTCTATGGGGCGGGGCTAGGCTGGTTAGGGGATGGTGTTTGGGCTGCCAGGCCGGAGATCTGGTGGGTATAATGCACCGGTGGGGTTAGTGTGGTATGGTATGGTATTGGTGTATTTTATTACGGAGGAGATGATTGTGTATTGCGTTGATGGGGTTGGGGTGGTTATGTAGTAAATGGGTTTAAATTGATATATGAAAGAATAGAAAAATGTTATTGAGGTATTGTGTGAAAAATGGCCTTTCCAAAAAGTCCCAGGATGAAGGATGAAGGAATTAATTCATCTCCCCTACCACGGACAAAGTAGTACTACTAACTATGGATAGTCCAGGGTATGTGGATACTTCCTTCGGAACGAACACTCAGATCGGAAAAGACAGCCAGTTACCACCGTCCAGTGATCATAAAAGTACGGAGTATAGGTACTATGTACCTAGGTACGAGACAAAGAAACAAGATGATTATATTCCATCCTAACTGTCTCGGGATTTATAGCGCAAGCGAACGGACCAATAGGCTTCGAGGTAAGTAATCTGGGATGGAATATAGCTTGGTTGGGGGGTATATGTGCTCTATTATAACTGTCTCTCATACTTCTTTCCATGCTCGTGCTCAGAGAGTAGAGTGTGAGTATATCTATGATCAATCCATCTACTGGGTATGAGTGATGAAGAGGAAGAAATATCAACTTGGATTGTATCATTGTACCGTGAATCATCTGTGCCTAGCATTCAACAAATCAGCATCCGTCAGGGACCACCATCGGAAAGTTACTTCAGGGAGCCAATGATATGACCCCGCCGTTAGGTTTAGGTTTGATTGACGTGGTCGGTGGCTGTCACTGGCGAGGGAAAATGGGATTGTGGATGGTGCTGCAAGTTCCTGTTAAGGCTGTTGTGTTTGCTGTGTTACTGTAAATGTTGGTGGTATGAATGTGTAGAGTGGCTGAGTGAAATAGGTTGGTGTTGGTTCTTGATTTCATTGAAAAAGCTCATTCAGTCTATGTTATCCTTATATCATGTAACTTAGTAAGTATCGTTGTGATGATACTTTGTCTGGTGACATGCTTCAACTCTGAAATGGACAGCTTCACTGGAGCATCGGTTATTCTAGAAGAGTAAAATTATCCTTTATCAACCGAATTGACGGCTTATATATATTTTGCTGACACAGTGAATCGGTCATGTTCATACATTCAAAAGAATGTTCAATTCTGACATACACCGCACATGTATATATATGTACTGTATCGATATACTGCACAACATATACTCACACTCTTTTACAAAACAGTTATAATTCAGCTGAAGTACCCACAACATAACCATTACCTGGAGGAATCACCTAATCCTCCCAATCCTGAGACAGACTGCTAGAATCCTCCATCCTTCATCGGACTTGAGGTGGCAAGACAGCCGTGGATTGGCACCAAGGATATCCAATGACGAGGACTACTGTCTCGGCAAGTTCCACTGTCTTTTGCCACAAAGTAGGTGAGGGATTAAGGAATGAGAAGCTGGAGGCGAAGTCAAGTGCTAGTGGAAGGATGTGAGTGGAAGAAGGAAGCGTAGTTTCTGCTGGTACGATTCGAGATATCACTTAGAATCGAGGCTATGCTGTGAGTACAGACTACAGAAGTGAAGATTGGTGACAAGCATACTGAGCTGTGCTAAGCTTGACTTGGTTGACCTGCCAGACATAGCATTCAACCAAATAAACTTCCCTCTGACAGGAGGACCACTTAATGCTCATAGCACATCAGCTGAGAAGAAGGAAACACAGCATCATGAATATACCTACTTCACATCCCACACCTATCTGCATTTAAAACTACACAAACCAACCACATGCTCATTCAAGCCCAGCACAAGCTCAACCCATCAACCTCGGCAATCTCGCCACTTACACGTTCTAGAACCCATCTAGCCACGAGATCCATACCATCTACACAGTATAGTCCTACCAAAATAGTCCATCTAATCCCTAGTCCACCGCACCACGCACACGCAGCACCCACAGATCTCATCTCCGAATCTCCATCCCCATCTCCATCACCACCACCACAACAACAATAGTATCCATCCATCTATCTCCAACACGCCCTCCGAAATCCTTTCTCGGTCTCCCTCCCTACACAGTCTAGCCTCATCCCATGCCAAACCACTCCATCATAAAACCCAGGAGCACTAGTTTCTCCCAAGTCTCATCCAAATTACCCTCCTCGTGCCGCGGAGAAAAAAAGAAGTGGGAAGTTAGGACCATCTCCATCTGGCTTCCACGCGCGCGCCCCACCCAGCCCTAGCCCATCGCATGGTATTAGATTACTACTACTCCATATGTAGATAGTATCCATCTAATAGTAGTTAATATGGATTGATGCTAGGTACAGCCTACCGCTGAACGGAAAGCCGAGCATGGCATGGCGGGGACCCGCCGACCGAGTCCGGTGAGTGGGGATACTGTGTATAGGTGGGGACTTGTACGGGTGTCTAATCAGTAATCTCCGGTGGGTGGGTACGGGATTGGACTAGAGGGTATGTGGTTAGTTTGGGGGGGATGTACCGAGGTTCTTCCAGCTGCGTAGGCTAGGGTGGTTTATTGTGTTGTGTTTTGTGTCTAGGTGGTGAGGGATGGGATGGTATGGGACGGGTGTACTTAGTACTCCGTATGGAGTACTGTGTAGGGTTGTAGTAGGTATGTATGTATGTATGTATGTAGGTGTACTGTAGATGTACATAGAGGAGGTAGGTATGTGTATTAGGAAGGTCGAGACGAGATGCGAGTCATGCAGCTAAGTACTCGAGTAGGAACAGTATACCAAGTATCAACAGTGACATCCCATGTGTCAATCACTAACCGACTTATTCTATCTACCGCTGAGTATACGACTCGGCTAAGCATGCCATGACTCGGCTACCCTGGGTGCCTTCCATGGCACCCCGAGTGGCCTCATGGCTCATACGTTATACTAGGCAGAGATATTAATTTACTCGGTGGGAACCAACGATCTAGGGACGGACCCGTTCACATGTCTCCAACGCTGACCGTCTGTTCAGGTCCAGTGCAGTAGATAGGGTACGGTATAATGTTGGTTGCTTTTTCCTCAGAAGCAACAAACATCAAGTGATCACGATCATGACGCTGCCTCGAATCAGCTGGAAGCCCATTGTTGCTATGTATAAATGATCGCCCCGGACAGATGGTATGGAAAGTACCCGAGATTACGTCGAGACGGGCGGATTGCGCCGCCAGCCGCCCAGCCTCTTTCGTGTTTGACTTTGGCGTGTGGCTGTCATGTGAAAATCCCCCCAATGCGTACGCAATCTCCAACAAAAGGAAAATATCTCCTGGCCTAGTCAAGCACCAACTCTAACTCAAACACATCATCCCACCGCTGCTGGCTGGCGAGCGGCAAAAGTCTCCTCGGTAACACGGTATCCAGCCCGTACGGCACACGGCGTCACGCTAGTAAGATACCAAGCGGCTTGTCATCAGCAAGCGTCACGATAGTGCATCGGCTTTGGTGCCAAACTCGGGAAGGGCCGACCGCAGCTGCAGGCGGAGCCGACGTCTGCCACGTGAAATGACCAGGGTCCAGACTCCAGGGAGGCCGCTAGGACCGCCTCTAACCCCAATGGGGTTTGGAGTGTCCGACGCCCGCTCCAGCAGTTCTTAGCGAAAGGGGGTCGTCGGTCGGCCGGCATCTTGTTCAGGGGCCGACCGGCTAAGCCCAACACGGCCGAGGGCTTTCCAGCGCGCATCGCCCAGCATCACTCCGCCCAGACCAAAGTCACGCATCCACGCAGCCACGCATCCCTACCTACGTACATCACTGCAGCAAGCCAGCAACAAGAAAGGAAAAATGGGCGCTTCATTCCGATACCAATCGCCAGATTCGGGTCCGGTCTGTTCTTTCATTCCTAATACCCTAACTCCGTCGGATCGGTTCCAAGCCTCCACTGCTATGAGGCACAATTGACCCCTGGCTGCCTGGCTGCCTGGCATGCGAGCTTGCGACTGTTCGTTCCCCACGAACCCACGGCGTCCCTAGTTTAGTTCCCTGATGACGATCTGCGCTCGACGCCTGGACTAACCATCGTGGCGTTCGGGGAAGATGCTAGTTCTAGACAAGTTGATACCCGTCGTTTTGCCGGTTGCTTGAGAGAAAGTAGCTTCCTCTCCAATCACAAGCTCGGGCGACCCCAATCATGATCCATGACATCTGTCACTCCCTTCAACTGCCGGGTTCTAGATCTTGCCTCTTCCAGGCTCAGCAAGGGAGTGCGATCGATGGACGACCGACGGCGCGGCGACGTGGAAAGTGGACTGTAGCACGGCGGGGCCAGGGTTGGACCCAGTCAGTATGGGCTGATTCCCTGAAAGCTCTTCTCTCAGTTCCTGAACGCGGGACGAGATGGTCCTGCATGATGGCGTCCATGCGTCAGAGTCTTGGAAGTTGGCACAAAGCAGCCCGTCTGCAGATGCTGGGCGATCAACCGTCTTGGTCAAGCACCGCCATCCTGTCATGTGCAACCCCGACCGGGGGGTAAAGAATACGAGATACGAAGTCCGGTCGCATGAGCCAGGAAATGAAGCCCAGCCAAAAGCAAAAAGGGGAGGAGGGCATGGATGGATGGCCTCAGGCAGACCACGATCGCGTCCACTCGTGGCTCTTTGAAACCGGCTCAAGTGTTTCGATGCCTGAGTTTGATCGACGACTCTTGCCGCCCGCCTATCCTTCGGTACCGCAACTGTGACCTCGACCGCGATAAATGAAACAGACGAGGTCGGTGGTTATTGGTTAGTGGCTGGGCGGGTGGTGCCGCCTGTCCATGTTTGCTTCTGGGGGACAGGATGGATCGACATGCGAGGCGCAACTTGACTTTCTGATGCCATGGTTGTTTGGCACATCGGTGTACGTTACGTTACGTATATCCCGCGACGACTCGCACAGAAGGCAAACCAGGACGACTCCGTGCGTGAGATAAGAATCCAAAATAGCAACCGGGTACGGCGTCGTCAGGAATGGCATAGACTCCGACACAACCCTGTTCGGAATCAATAGTTTCGAGAACAATCATCTAATAATCATCCATGATCCATCCGTGTCCGACGGCATGCTCCGGTCGGACTTCTATTATTAATGTGGTCAGGGGGCAGCCCCGATTATTGATACCCGCGGCTAAGCGACTTGCGGTAGAATGTCCGACGACTATTGGGGCGGTCAAATCTGGAGCGTTGGAGAGCGTTGGATGATCGGCGCGCGCATCATTGTCAATCTTTATCAAGATTCAAGAGTTTATCTCGGAATCTCCCCGTCGTCCTGGTCGGCACATTGCTTTGCCGAGCTGGACCGCTGGGTCGCTTGGTCTGGGTGGGTTGCACTATTACTCAGACTAGTTATTCTCGGTGGCATTATGACTTATGAACGCTAGGGGGCGACCGCCATGAATCACTATCGAGGGACTATCTCCTACTTCGTACGAAGTACTATAGGAGGTAGCATCATGATTATCTCCTGATGGTGTGGTTGGCATGTCTGCCCGCATGGATCGTTGTTCAATCAGACTTTCCGGTTGCACCTATACGAAGCCATCCAAACTCATTTTTGGGCGCCGCCAGTCCATCACCACGTCGTGGAAGACCCCTCGAAAAAGTAAAAACAAACGACGCTGTACGCATCCAGCCTGCGAAGTCAAAAAATGCGACACCACCAGGTGTTGACTTGGCGTGCTGCACTGCCTGCACTGTAACTCAAGAATGCGACCGCGCCGATTCCCCCAGTTCCCCCTGCCCCCAGTTACCGTCGGATGGAATCAACCTTAACCCCCTCCCTTTCCCATTTTCACCGGCCCCGAACATGGGTTTCGTTCGTCGAGATCTCCCTTTTGGGCGACGATGTGCTCGTTTAAGCTCAGGCGATTTTCCCGACAGCGCGCGTCTAAGCGAAAGGCTATCTACTCTAACTTTCCCCCCGAGATGTGATACCGTTGCCACTGCCGACACCCATCGATCATCATCGTATCTAGACTAGCTGGCTGTCCGCTGTCGTATGCACCCCCCCCCCCATCCGATGGAGTTCATGCTTTGGAAGCCAAACCATCCCTGAGGAATTCGATGATCCAAACATCAGGGCAACTGCGGAACAGCCAACACGTATGCCTGCCCACTCTTTGTTTTCCTGGGTCGGTTCGGGGGGTCGTTCTGGAACCTCCCACGCAAAATGTCTGATCCGCACTGTCCGAAGGGTGATCGCCGGCCTGTCTCGCGGTACTTCCGAGGAAGTGGATCGAGTCATGGCCGTGGCAGAGGACTCTGGAACCCCTCGTATACTAATTTTCGACTATGTCAGTCGAAACTCATCGCATTACCTAAGTGCCTGTTGCTGCCATCCCACCGGTGCTGGTTTCATGATGCGCATTCCGTCTGGTTAGCTGAAACTCAATCACTGCCTATGGCGGGGGACTGTCTCAGAGACCAGAGCCCAAAGACTGCTTTGCGCTGCGCTGTTGTCTCTCTGACTCTCTCGTGGTCGCGGGCAAGACTCGGCGGTTGGAACACGCAATCCCACTCCCTCTCGAGTCAGAGTCAGAGACAGTTTCCCGTTGGTTCCGCAGCGCTGCCTACACTGGACTACAGCATCGACCGTGGAATGCAATGGATCGCAAGGATCCTCGACTTAGATTAGACAATATCGAGATGATACTAGGGATCGCAATCTGGAGCTACTACACCGGAGAGCCTCCCAAACCCACGGATTCTCAAGGACTAGCCATGTGAACCTGGGACCGCGGCAAAACCCAGCTGCCTGGACCGGACGAGGAGATTAATTACTGTGGCCAGGTCATCTAATATGCTACGAGAGGCAATCTAATAGAAGTAGGCTATATGGGCCGGAAGGATGGAGATGCTGACCAGCCACGCCAGTGACTAAGACCCAAGGCCACAGGGCTCATGCCTTCTGCGCAGGAGCCGACGGATGAGGGGCTGAGGCCTGGTCTAATTGGTCGACGAGCGGGGAGGGAAGGAGCTTCGCTACCACGAGACACTTTAGCCGTCTCGTTTATTAAAGTTTGGGGCCACTGGGGAATCGCACATGGAACTGGGTCAGGTTGGTTTATTGGCGCCTACGCGGTGGCCCTTGGCCTTGGCCTTGGCTTTACAGCTTTCTCCTTGGAGGAGAACAGATGCCTCCCCAGTGGACTAGGGCAGGGATCCAGGATCCCGTTACCTCCCAATCTACATAGGACGTACCAAACTACCAATGACCATAACCGACGTGACTACGACCAGCCGATCATTTAATTTATCTTGCAGCAGCCGATGTCTTGGACAGCGTGTGGGCTAATTGACTAAGGATGATGTAATCCGGCGTCGCCGACAGTTGGCAGTGGCTCTGGGGCCCGGTGGCAGGTTGATCATCCTGGCCTCCATTGTTCCTCTTCACTAACCCCGGGCGCATTACCGCTTTGGGGGCTTTTCGGGCCCAGTTGGCAGCACCTCAGGCACGCTTCCGGTAATCGGCTGGGCGGTGTGGCCCGCCGCTATTCTGCTGATCCTCATCGGAAGAATTTCGAACAAAGACTGGCATTTGGGGACGCGAGAAAAAGCAATAATGCGAAGAAAGTGTGAAGTTTGTCCCAAAAGGCCTCAAAATTCAAGACACGCCAGACAGACACCGTACCTACATCCAGCATAGCCCCCCCCCCCCAACGAGGTTGTGAAACCATCCCGAGGATTTAAGAATGATGCTCAATATCGGAAAGATCGCTTCCGACGACGGGATGACTGATCTCGGATCCCAGAGCTGCACTGGAATGCACTGATGATCGCCAACTACTACGGAGCACTATCCATCAGTCGTCTCCATAACCCTGTCGGGCTTCGTGTGCCACTCCCGGCCGAGGCATCTCGTCTCGTGCCCAGCACACTCCAGTACAGAGAGGAAACCCGGCTACGAGTCTGTGAGGACCTCCCGAGAATCAAACTCTCGCCTCGCCTCGCGGTGGAAGCTTTTTAGTTTCACATCAGCCGTCAAGGACCCATGATCTGACGGTCGATCCCAATGGCAGAGAAATTGGCAGGGAATCCCACGCCTGGTGCGCCTGGGCTGGCTGCCCTTTCGGCAGTTGGCTTCGGTGGTGACTCGTCCGCCCGCGCTGGATGCGGCGGCAGCGGAGAAGGATGACGATGATGCACCATGCGGCCCGTATGTGGAGGAAGAAGCAAAAGCGCTGGGAGAGCGACGCAGTATATCCGGTTTTCAGACAAAGTCAATTGTCGCTTTGTCCTTAGGCATCGCCCTCCAGCAAACGCCGGGGTCGACGTCATTGACCAGTCACAATATCCAGAGCCGTACTGCATGCCACCTGCAGCATCCGCAGCATGGGTGATCAATCAGGGGAGATTTTTTTCCCTCCCCGGCCCTGGGGGCAAGGCTAGGCCAGTCAGTTATCGCATGCATGTACTTGCCAGTAGGATGCAGTGACGATGCATTTCCCCATGACCTTTCTGGCCCTCCCGTTGGTCAGTGGTTTTCTCCGTGGCTGCAAAAGCCAGTCACTGCCCAACAAAATCTAAACCGCCCCGAAAAATAAAATAAATAAAATGAAAACAAACAAATAAAAACAAACATGATCCATCTCCAGACCTCCCATCTCCGGATACCCTGAGGCTAGCATAGCGGCCGCCAGTCTGGTCGATCGCAACCACCCGACTCCGGGCGTCCATTGTACATAACCCTCATTATACCGAATCCCTCAGCATGGAGTGAGGCTGACCGGCTCCATTCTGGCTGACTTGGGGTTAGTCAGCGACATCCTTTGCTTTTCTGAGTGGATTCTTCTCGATTCTTGTTGGCTGTCAGCGCCACGATAATCTCCGGCTCTCTCCTCACACTAATTCCCTTGGCCCCTCCGAGCGAAGGCAGGCCAGGCTAGAAATCGTTCAGAGATTCCTTTCCTGGAGACAGGGGCTAGGCTGTGTCGGGCTAGCATCGCGTCGACCAGGAGCTGCCATCCGCGCATCGTGCCGCGACTCCGTCAGCCGGCCCCAAGGGCTTGGTCGCGAGGGATGGTCATCACGGAGACATTTCCCATCCCAGCAACCCCGCGAGTCATGCCTCCTGATCTAGTGTAGGGGGGATGGGCGACTATCTACGGAGACCTCCTCCGTCCGGTGTCATAGACTCCTAGTGGGTGTACTATTATTGTGTTGCGACGTGCTGGTCTGTGGTTCCGACCACGCACGCCGGGGGGCTCCCCAGGACAAAGGATCTCCGGATGCCAATGCCGTGGGCTTGATTGTTTTCCCCAACGGGATGTTTAATCGACCGCTAGAATCCGGAAGAATGGGGATAGAAAGGGAGACCAACCAGGGTTGAGATCTGAGAGAAGATTGGAGCCCCTCTCCTCCTCGTCCCCTCAAACCAGTGATCTGAGCCATGCCGGGCCAGGGTTGAGGGGGCTTAGGAACACGGACAAGTCCCGGGAGGGAACCAGATTGTTAGAGGGTACCTTAGGCAGCCATTTGCCAGGATCTACGGAGTAGGGGGGAGGACAGAGCTGGAAGATGAGATCAGGTTCTCAGCGCAGGTGTGATCGTGCGGCAACGATCAACCGTTTATGGGGCCTGGGATCGTTGTGACAGGTAAAACCAGGACGGAGCCAACCTTGGTTCCACTCCGACAAAGATCGGCTGCTGGCGTACTACGACGAGTCGACGACGGGGTGTGTATCTACTAATCCTAGTCAGTAGTCATCAAAATCCGGCCGGTGGACGGACGCTCTCCCTGATTAATGGGGATCGATGATTGCTTCGCGGCAGGCGCATGATGGAGAAAGGAAAGGTGTCCGTGGATCTGCACTAGCGCCAGACTTCCTGTAGCCGAGCCCCGAAAGTACCGTTGGATGGCTCCATCCGTCAGTCCATCGGCCGATCTGGGTGAGCGAGCGTGTGCCTTTCGTACGACGCAGTTACGTATGTTGCTTTGCTTTGCTTTTGCTTTTCCGTCGGGGGTTCATTGTTGGTCGTGAGGATTCAAAAGGATACTTTCCTTGATGGTCTAGAGCAGTGGGGGCAAACCGAGGATCGGGATCTCTCGCGCGCTTCCTCTCTCCTTGGTCTCTTCTATGTATAAGCCCTGAAGAGGATCGACTGGGTGACCTCGTTTCTTTTACCTCGTCTCAGTGGGATCTACCATCCGGTTACTTCATTCCTGCCGTCGTCCACGGTAACCCTCAAGTCTCCCAGGGTTAAGGTGGTCTGGGGACTCGGGAGAGGAGGGGGGAAAAGGTTAGGGTGTGGATGGCGGAGGAGGCGCACGTTGTTTTAGCTCTCGTTGAGCCTACCTAAAAGGATCATAGCTAATGGCAAATCATGCCGGCTAAGTGTTCAGTCACTGAGTGTTTGGGAGTCTTTGGGGAGGGGGGGG